GCCGGCACTCGCTGGCCGAGATGGAGAGATGAAACGAAGCCTTGGGGAGAGGCACATAAGACATTGTGCCCGTTGCCATGGTCTTGTCCTTCCCACCAGACTTGGCCGGGGGCGTGTGCCAAGTTGAGCATATCTCTTTTTTTCCTATTGGGATTTTCCTTTCTTTTTTTTGTCTGTTCATACGACACTATTAGAAGGGGTTGGTTGCAATGGCTTGGGTTTCGGGGCGGGACTGTGTGTCGTCCATGTCTGTTTAGGACGGGAACAACGATGACTATTCAGGCTGCGATGTTCACGATGATCAAAATTTGGTACGAGGTAGCACGAGACTTTTGCTCGGCAACGACGAGGCATCATTTATTCGGTCTCTCCCGAATCGATTCCCAGAGATGGATACTGACTACTGGTGATTTGACCCAGAGCCGAGGAATTGCGAGTAGAAGGAATGTGCCTCTTGGAAATACGAGCAGATTCAGTGACGCCATGACGCACCATTGGAGCTCGCCTGAGACACGACTAAAATTTGACCCCATCACCAATTGGCCTCGTTTTCGCTTCGCAACACGAACAGAACCACGCCCTCCCCTTTTCTTCTTGGCCCTCTCACGCCCTGCCCGTATTGAGGACTCAGAGGGAGCACTTGAAGGGGAGCCAAGCTGGGCTGGCTGGCGCCACCTGTCACCTATTTCCCGAAACCGAGGGGATGGTGTTCATCCTGAGACATTGGGGATATGAAATGAGCGAGATTGGGGGCTCTTTTTCTTTTTCTTTTTTGGAGCGAGGTGGTGACGAACGCTGGCTCTCGCCTATTCACCATTCTTTCTTTTTTTCATAGGTCTGCTCCTCTGCAAGACCTACATGTATGCACAAGACTCATCGTCGCTTCTCTACAACCGCACAATGTAAGAAGCAAGGGCCAGTCCACTTGGGTTCTGGACCCTGGACCACGAAGCTCTGCCGTGTTCAATAGAGGCCGAGATAATGGATCTACTTGAAAAAAGGTCTCATTGACGTCCTGCAGATGAGGAGAAAAGAAAAGCATTCCCGATATCCTTTTTCTTGATTTTCACTCCCCACCGACTTGCCCAGCATGCACTCGGCTTCTTCTTTCGATATCCATCTGCCGATACCCGGTTGGTATCGGGGGTGTTATATTGATGCTCTGTCCTTCAAACTTGTGTGCCGGCTTCACAAGTTGATGGATAAGATTCTTGATACGCCGTATACCATCCATTCCACGTACATGTACCCTGCATCTCGCCATCCGTGCAAGTTATGCTTGCCTCGAGTGCTCCGCCGCTCCCCGATCCATCTTCCAGCCAACTTGCATGGGAAATGTCCGTGGCATCAATGCCCAGCCGCCCCCAAGAGCCTCACCACACACACACTCCACCACCAACGACACCACCACCACCTGCATCATCGGCATAAAAGAAAAACCTCATCTTGACCACTCCTCGTAATTTGATCTCCACGCCGTCGTAAATCTCGTGTGAACCCCTCTCGCGTTCGAGTCCAGCGCGTTATACTCCCGCTTCCCATTTCCCCTCCCTTCATCCCGCCAAGGCCCTGCGGATCGCCTGCCTGCGCCATCATGATCGACTGGGTAAAGCTGGATGAATGCAAATGCGCAGCAGTAAATCCCTTTTCTTCCCCCACCGAGCCACCATATTCATCTCATCTTGAGTAACGAAGACTCGCCTTTTTTCCCTCCCTCCACGTAGCCATGGCGATCACGGTATGCGACCGTCAGCCACACTCACACACGCCCCTTCCCCGATCCAATCGCCCTCGATTGGGGGCTCGGGGGTCTCTTCGGCTTGCGGCAGATGTAGATAAGTCTTCAAAATCCAGCTAGGTTCAAAGCTCAATGGGGAGGACTGGGACGATGTGTGCCTGGCGAATACCTCTCTCTCCTCTCCGCGGTTTGAGATAGAAGAAAAGAGCCGCAGGCGTAGGCTATGCCCTCCATTCCCCCCCAGTGCTCCTCCATACCCCTCCCTTCTCCGTCCCTCGCCTCACCGGAGAATAAAAGCCCAATGATCAGCGTCCATCTCTCATGAAGAACGCCCGGCGGTTGCTCGTCTTTTTCCCCGTCTGAGCTCAGCCGCCGAGGCGCAGATCTCTGCCCCACACCGTCAACATCCATCCATCCAGCTCAATTAGATCCATTGGGGGCAAGGGGGGCCTTCCTCGAGATAGCGGCTGTTGTGAGCCCAAAGAGGAATCGATTTGGCGTAACTTGGCGGATTTCCCGCGCTCTTCCGCTGCTTATCTTCCAGCATTTCTTTTTGGGGGGCGGCTATTCAGTTTCGAGACTCGGCCTCGGGCGTCATTCGGGTCTATTATGCTCAAGGCCACCGAGCGGGGATGGAACTAGGGGTGAGTGAAAATTGCCGCGACCCTTGAGGAAAAGGTGCAATGGGCTGCATGTAGTCACTGTATGATGGTCTCTTTGCCTTTGGTTAGTATCACAGGGAGGTGGAAAAGAGCGGTGGGCGAAGGCAAGCAAGAAGGATAGTTGGAACTAACCGCCGGCATCACGCCCTGCGAGTCTCGGGTTGATCTTTGCCAAGTCTTTCAGGCGAAGCTTGAGTCGCGGTATAGTCTTCGTTGCCCGAGAGAGAAGAGGTGTCGAGATGGCTTGAGAGACGGTTTGTCGGTGCTGTATTGGTGCCGTCTATGTTCCTACAAGCGCACTTGGAGACATCTGCACCCTTTCCTGAATTTAGAGCTTGCATGGATATCATCTTGGGCATCTCGATGAAACCTCCTGACGCGTATTGCTTCGATCTACCAGCCTATGTTCGACAAACCCAAGCTGGCCGGGGGCAGATAGAAGATCATATTCGCAGTAGCGTACCGTATTTCCTCGTCCAGTCCCATTTTGACTCCCTCCATCGAATAGCATATCATTATACTTATCCATGGGTCATACTGGCTTCCAATCTATCGACGAGCCTCTCCGTCCGCCCACTACTAACTTAATTCTCAAACCATTTGGCTTCGTATAAACTCATCGTTCCGTCATAAGCGTGATATTTATAGAATGTGGTCGACAGACGCATCCCCACCCTATCGCGTTGCATGCCTCGCCTCCTAGACCTGAGAATAGATCCCCCTCATAACGTCCCCTCCCCCATCTCTTCACCACTCATCATCCGCGCCTCATCGCAGCGACACGCTCTTCCTGAAACAAGCCGCGCTAAAAGATGACATGGGGGACCCAAGCTCGACATGCAGATACCCCATCGCTACACTACCAAGCGAGACCGGGATCGTGCCTCCTTCCCTGTCAACCCGGAGCCTTCGGATGCCCGGCTCATCAATACCATCGCCAAGTGTAAGACTGCGGATCGAGCCTCTCTGCGCAGCTTTTCCTGGCACTTTCCTTTTGTATTTCTCATCCTCCACGCCGACAGGACTCATCGCCACTTAGCCGCCCCTCCGCCCCCAATGCCTAAAAGATTGCACCCTACGCCGCGAAACCTCCTCTGACCGCAGCTCTCTACAAAGGTAACACAAACCCAACGAGAACTCGCGCCTTGATCCTGCGCTAATGGGCAGCTATCCACCATGAAAAGGGGTGCCTACGCCTAATTTTCGATGCTAGCAAGGTCAAGGACGAGTGTGCTTGCTTCCGCACGGCTATATGGACGTTCTTCTGGCCTGTGAACTGACTTCGAGGGCATCCGTGAGCACTCTGTGCCGAGAAAGAAAGCTCTCATACTGCTGGCTTTGGATCCCACCAGCCCGAATGACGGCGCTGACCCCCTCGAGACCTGGGCCCGCGGGATCTCGTGACCACCCGGTCAGAATCTCTATCTAGCCTTAGGCCGACGCTATTCCTCAGCATCGTGGCCAAGATCCGCAGTGAGAGTAGGGAAACAGTGTCGCTTTTTTGCTTGACCCCACTCACTCCTCGCGTTGTGTTGAGCTACGTGGAGCCCACTACTTGCTAACTTCAAGATTCCGTTTGTGTGCAGTCACGTTCTCTTCTTCACTACATGCATTGCAACGACTGCTAAGCTCGAGTTTTGTTCTCACACAAAAAGTGCTTGTATTACTATTAAGCCCGGCTCATCTCCCCTGCACGTTGGGGAAGTATGAGCGGAAATCTGCCTACTGCCCTGTTCTCTGGGTGCAACCAGACCAGATCGAGTTCGGCTTCCCAGACAACTCCGCAAAGGCAACATGTCTGTGGATGCAAGTTCTCCTCAAAAGGTGGCGGGTAAGCGAGGGTGCGCGTAAAGCGCGATCGGAGAGGGGAGGAGTCGCGGCGCCACGCCGTTGGTAGTTTGGGGCCTTGCTCGAGGCAGCTGTTGGCCGTGAGCTTGAACAGGCCAAACGAACGGCTTCAGTGATGTCATCTGAAGGTACATGTAAAGATGTAAAGCGGTAAAAAGAAACAAAAAGGGGGTATGAAATAAACCAAGTACACGGCAGGATGGGGCGACGTAGATGGTATGATATGTGAAGAGAAGATGGAAAAAAGTCAAAACCAAAACCGGCCTACCCAACATCAAAAGGCGTGCGTGCGACATGAACGAGTGACGAGAACCCCGGGGCCAAACTCCCAATGCCGTGGCATTCATGATACAAACCCCGTAACAAAACAGATAAAAAAAAGTGAAAAGGGAAGAAAGCAATGAACGCCTCGCCTGATTTCCCATTTGCCATTACATACAGCCCGAAAATGTAGTTCCGGGCCTTGCCTCTACCATCTCTGGAGATTCGGTTGGTGCTTTGTCTTTTTTTGGTGTTTCTTTTGTGTTTCCCGTCTTTTAGCCTCATCGTAGCGGAGTGCTGGAATAGCACTTCCCTAAGAGTGCAATCATTGATGTTGGCGCGAAGATCTAGGCTGGCCTTCCAAGTAAGAAAGAAGACAGCCCCGTTCTAAATGCCCCTGGCCGCTAAGAGAGGCGACGCAAGTGGCGCGGTGAGCGTAGTCGGCTGCACCCAAGGCGATGAGACTATTCGCCTTGCTTTCTAGAATCGGTCTACCTTGCCTTCACTGTCGTGTTCCCGTTGAGTTCGACCGAGCTGCTGGCGGCGCCATTACCGTGCTTGGCCGCATTCTTAGCCAGCGCCCTTTCGCGCGCTTGGCGGACAGATGCCTCAACTGCCTTCTTGCGCTCCCTCTCGGCGCGATCACCAATGTACATTGTGTTCAGGAAACGATCCCAAAACGTGAAGAAGGGTTGCGAAAAGTTGGTCTTGATGCCCCAGGTTTGGTGGTGAATGTCGTGGTACGCCGCGTTGTTGCTGGTGATGTGCTGCATCGGGTCCCAGGGGAGCGCGTATCCGCAGTGGTCGTCGACCGTCTTAATCGTCGAGAAGGCAAAGAAAAACATGCCCTGGCGCATGCTCATGCCGGTGAGCTTATAAGCGAGGCCGGCACCGACGGTATCAAGAAGGAAGCCTTCAAAGGGGTGGTTGTAGAGGGCGCCGTAAGCGTAGGGAACGTAGAGGCGGTGATGTCGTGAGTGGAAAGTAGCTAAACGGGTGAAGAGAGCCCATGGTTAGCCGCCAGGTCCGATGATGCTTTCGAGGTCATTTGTTTATGCACGGGGGCCTTGGAGGACTTACTGTACATCCATTTATTCACATGCATGAACCTGTGGAGGAAGTATTGCCAGGTATCGAGGAAGCTAATGGCGAGGAAGAGCTGGATACCGGGAACAACAAGCCAGTAGATGGCCTTGGCCACGAGGAGCTCCCACGTCGCGAATGCGGGCACCTCGGATCCGCTGAGCTCGGTGGTGAGGAAGGGGTAGTACCCGCCGGCCAGGGCTCCGGCGATAAGGGGATGAGAAGACGCCATGTTCTTCGAGATGGAGGCGGCGTTTAGGCCGAGGAGGCCAAGAAGCTGAGGCAGCGCACGCTGAGCAAGGCGAACCCTCCTGGCCCAAACGGCGACGTCATATCCTTCCATGCCCGTGAGCTGCGGCGGGTCACTAATGGAAAGGAAGGCGCCGACGCCCATCTGAATGATTTGCTGGATGATGACGTCGCGGGCCACCTCATATCGCGACGCGTGATTCCTCTTCAAGATTTCCTCGGGCGTATGGAGTCGATATTGCGGCCAGATATCAAAGGTGTCGACGAGGTGGAAGAAAATCGAGACAATCCAATACACAATGACGGGCAAAGCCATGGAAAGCCAAAAGTCGGAAATGAAGGTGAAGAGATCGGTGACTTCGGTGACGGTGTAGTCGGGCAGCGGCGGCAGCGACGGGTCGTACGTCGAGTTCGCCAGGGCCGGCGCGGTGGCCCCCTGGAAGCTGTCGTTGACCATGTTGAGTTATGGTGATCGAGACAAGCTTGTTTGAGAGGAACTGGGAATGGAGGAGAAGGAGCAAGACAAAAAGAAAAGAAAAAGGAAGAAAAATTAGGTTGACCTAAGAAAAAAAAAAAAAAAAAGAGAGGCGGAAAGAGGGCCCCCAAGTGAGATTATCAAGCTTGGAATTCCCCTGCAAATCTGCAAGAACTAAAGGCGTGTGGAGTGGGCCCGAAATCGGATTTGACTTCAGGGCGAAGGCGGCTTTATGGGGACGAGGCTTGTATTCTCACGGCCGAGGAAAGGGAATAGGAAGTTCCTCGGGGGTGACGCGGAGCGGAGGATGTGCACACTGTTTCCAGGACGGCAGCGAGGGCCTTGACTTCCATAACACACCGAGTTCGCGGTTCAATGTTGGGCTTGGGGAGGATGACGCCGGTGATCTGTCTAAGGAAAGGAGCGGAGGGATGGCGTGGCGCAGAGGAGACGGAGGAGGTGCAGATATGCCTGGTGGTGGCACGGGCGATTGTTTGGTTGACGATTGGGGGAAGGAAGAAAGGAAGGGCGGGAAAGATGCTCTTAGTTCGTGGTGCGATCTTACTCACTCGTAGAACTTGCCTCAGCCGTTTTCAATCTCGCTTCTCACTTTTTGCTCTCTGGTCCGGCGCAGCCGGTTTTTTCGAACAAGAGGTCGAAAGGCGTAGGGGGTGGTGGCTGTAGCGTCGTTCCTGCCAAGAACCCCAGCACAAAGAGTAAGGAACGACTTGGAAGTCAAAAGCAACCTGAGCAGCGCGCACAGTGCGCACTTGTTCTCCCGGCCAGAAGCGGGAATCTTGGCGGGGATTGCTTATGGCTCTCTCGGACCCACCTGCCACCATCGACGATGTTCCGCCAAATTGCAACCAATTTCTCAATGTATCTTTTAGGTAGAATTCCACGGTGTTGTTTCTGCGCACTGTGGGACGATCCGTGGCTGTTCATGATTTACCAGGGGAAATTTTTCGTCGCCTCCCAGTGTCAGCACACCAGCACACACACGCACGCACGCACGCACGCACACACGCACAGAGTGGAGGACAATCGTCTTTGACAGAAGGGAAGAGGGAAGGGGGAGGGGGAATGTTGGCTGAAGGGGTGACGACTAATGTACGGTGCATGCGGAATGTGGCATGAGAGGGGAAATTAGACGAGGCTCGGCTCGCTTTACTGCACCTAGCTTGCAATTCAATCCATTCTCTTTTTCTTGGCCTCACCAAAGTCGCATGGGGAGGAGTGGGAAGGAGGGCCTAACGGGTGTGGCAACATGGACGCAGTCCAAATCTCAATCATCGTTCAAGTGGCGCCGTGCACCATCTGATTATGAGGTTGCTTTCCTAGACTAACATGCAAATGCAAAACACGGATTTTTGAAATGTCCGCTCGGAGTCGACCCAGCCAAACATCTGGGAGTTCCCAGTGCCGGGAGGATCCCGGGAGCTAATTATTGACACAGGGAGGGTCGGCACACGACGTTCCTCCAAAGTATCCATATCGTTGCATCGGAAGCTCTCCAAGCTACCGCCAACAGCAGCGGCACGAAAGTGATTTCCCTTGCACACCAGACCTTTCCGGTGGATGACGATCACCACGTGATGGGCATGTACACTAATACTAAGAATATCAATCTCAATCGGGAGGGCTTAGCTTCAATGTTGGATTGCAGCCCCGTTCGATGCTCAGCAACATATGATTTTAATATGCTGTAATACAAGTGGGCCAAGACCGGACACCTGGTTATCAGGTCGGCGGCCGATGCTGTTTCTTGGACCTCCTGCGAAAGGGGAGGCAAGGAGGAGGGGAGGCTCGGAAGACCTGGTTCACAAGAGTTGAAATGAGAGAGACAGCGAGCAAGACAAGGTGCAGGGGCCACCTACGGCTGGGCTTCTCTCTCGACTACCCCTGTTCGATGACAAAAGTCGTCGGGCACTCGGAGTCTGTTTCGGGGCCATTGATGGACACATGGGAAAAAGGCCTGTGGCGTGCCGTTCCATCCAGCGCTGGCTTGTGGGGAACCATCACCTCTGGTTAATTGGCTCCTCCCCAAGCCCGCCCCAAAAAAAAAGAAGAAAAAAAGGGGGCCCACAGTTCTCTGCTTGTTCACAGTTGCCACGCGCAGAACATCGAAGCGCAGGAAGCGCCGGAGATTGCCATCACTGAGTGGCCCCGAACATGCAAGTTTCTTGCCTTTGCCCGCTTCGAGGTGAACTGTTGCGAAGTAGTTGGGCGAAACAAGGGATCGAAGAATTCCCAATAGCTTCAACTCGAAGATGGTCTAGTGGCCCAATGGCAAGGCGTTTGACTACGAATCAAAAGATTGCAGGTTCGATCCCTGCCTAGATCAACCATTCTTTTTTTCTTTGTCCCTCATTTCCTCTCTTTTTTTTTCAAAGTCTTTTTCTTTCATTCTTTTTCATTCTCGTTTGGTCTTGGCTGTTACAAGACGATGTCATATCGCAATTGAAGCGAGGCCCCAAGGTTCCTCTTTCGCTTGCTCAAGCAGTGTTCGTACTTCGTAGGTAGTCGAGTGTTAACTTGCCCAATACTGGCATTGGATGAATATTGCACTTCATTTTCTGTATATATCCCCGTTTATAGTCCGCTCGACCAGGCATGAGATCAGAAGTGAAGATACGATCCATTCAACTTCTGGTCTTTGCATAGTAAATTGCCCTGCCTGACCAAGTTTCGCTGTCCTCGACCTCGTAGGTCTGAGTGTCAATACAGACTCGGAGTGTTTTCTCCCTGCCCCTGACCGAGTCTCTTCTTGATTTATCAATATCCTCCACAGTGGCGAAAATTCACTAACGCGGAGGCGAAAGAATCTTTCTTTTCTTTACTCTCTCTCTTTTTTTTTTCCCGTCTCCTCGTTGCAACACTCTTTGCTTGAGGCCGGCGCAACTAGCTCGTTTGAGTTACACTACAAGTATTATCCTCTAGTAAATATTACTCAACTCAAGCTTGGATGGAGGGTAACGGTCACGTGAAACACTTTCGCGAGGAACCAAGATTTTTTGAAGCAGACTCTGGCGGCGCCGTCCAATCGCGGGCGTCAGTTGGAAGGCATTTTTCTGGACCCCTCCTCCCCCACCATAGCGTGTACTAGGCCCACGATCATCAACCACTCGACATCCATCCCGAACCTCTTTTTCTTCCCCGCCTGGTTTTTTTCCTTCCTTCATCTTTCTCGCTCCATCGCATCGTCTTTGTTTCCTCATCACCAACCGCTAAATCAACCAAAATGATCATCTACAAGGTGGGTTCTTCTAACCAAGTCATTTCATTCCCGAGGGCCCATGTATACTAAGCAACCCCGCACCTGCAGGACCTCCTCTCCGGCGACGAGATCATCTCGGACTCCTACGACCTCAAGGAGGTCGGCGGCGTCATCTTCGAGGCCGACTGCAGCATGATCACGGAGGGCAACGTGAGCGTTGGTGAGTATCTTCCCGAGAATCGAAGGCTACCTTGATAACTATTCTCTTGACTTTCCTTTTCTTTGTGTTTTCCTTTCCAAATTCCGGTGATGGCGTTGCGCTTTTCCCGGTCTTCGAGGAGCCAGGGGTGGATGGGAAAAACGCAGGCCAATCGGAAACAGAAACAGAAAAATGAAAAGAACAAAGGGAATCCAATATTAGAAAGGCAGGATTACTGACGAAAATTTTCTCGATGAACAGATACCGGTGCCAACGCTTCCGCTGAGGAGGCCGAGGAGGCCCTCGACGACCAGGAGGTCAAGGTCAACGACATCGTCCACTCTTTCCGCCTTCAGTCTACCACCTTTGACAAGAAGAGCTACCTTACCTATCTCAAGGGTACGCAATTATCCCCCTGCTCAAGGAGAAAAATTGTTATAGGCTCCCCTACAGTCGGGGTTGCGACCTGCTCTAAAGCTTGGAGACACTAATTTCTTTTCTCTCTCTAATCTAGGCTACATGAAGAGTGTCAAGAACAAGCTCCAGGAGAACGGTGCCGATGCGTCGGTGATCAAGGAATTCGAAACCGGTGCTCAGAAGTACGTCAAGGAGACTCTCCTCCCCAACTTCAAGGACTTCGAGTTCTTCACCGGCGAGTCTATGGATCCCGATGCCATGTAAGTTTGCAATTCGACTGTCTAATCAAAAGGCCCGATGGCCGTTTTCGAACAAGGTATTCTAACGCGCCGTTCCTTGCAGGATCGTCCTCCTCAACTACCGTGAGGATGGTGTCACCCCTATGTCATTGTCTGGAAGCACGGTGTCAAGGCTGAGAAGGTTTAAGCGCACAAATACTGCGGTACTCGACGCTCCTTTTTGTGTTCCAACAGCAACAAGCCCTCGCCCTTTTCCCACCCTTGCCCTCCCCTCTTTTTCCGCAGTTCACGCGTATAGACGCATCCATATGACCAAACTCACGATATGATTTGGTATATCAAAAACCTTGCAAGTTAAGCAGCACGGAATACAAAAAGCTGGGCCATGAAGCCATGACCTGCCCACGAGGGTGTGCGCCTTTTGCGACACCCTGAATGACTACTCAAAAAGCTTGAAATCTTCGCCTTGGGCGTGTGCACATGAATGAAGTGAAGTAGATGGAATTATCTGCCTAGTTGAGATTGAGCTATGGAGGGGATGGGACCCGTAGCCTTGATCAATTAATGAGAACTAACTTGGGGTCCGTCGATCGTAGTAGGGGACATGATGTAAACCCCCGCAATCCCCGCAACCCCTGCCCCCCTCCCGCTCGTACAACTCCTAAGCACAACTCCTCTCATGGGGCTGGATGCATGCATGGAATGAATATCATGGATGGAAAAAGAAAAAAAAAGAAAAAAAGAAAAGGGGCCACGCCAGATCATGAAAAACGCGGCTTAGAACTTAGGGGTAGTGGTGGCGGAGCGTCGCCTGTGGCCGGAGAAACGGGACCGGCGCCGAAGCGCTTCTTGGGAGGAGGAGGAGGGGAGGCTTCTTCTTGGCTGCCGAGGCGACGGGGATCGGCGTCTCGGTTTCCGGTTCTGGAGTGCGAGCCGCCGATAGGGCGGTACCTTGTACGCGATCGGAAATGCCGTACTTTTGGTTGAAGCTGTTGGCGGTGCGCGCCGCGGACGCTACCTGGTCCCCGTGCCTCTGCCGGAAGTTGTTGGCCGTTGACGCGGCGCTCCGGGCATCCTGGAAGGATACGGTCGAGGGTCCTTGTGGAAGTCGTTGGCGGTGCGTAGAGCGGCTCTCTTCTGCTCCCAGGTGGTGCCCTGGGCGGCGGGCGGCTGGGCGGGGTCGCACCGGAAGGGGAAGAGGGGGATATGCCGAAGCCGGGGACGGAGACGCCGGCGGCGCCGAGACGGGAGACGGCGGACTGGTTCAGGTGGCCGTCTGGGTGGGTGGGAGAGGTGGGTTGGGATCGGGGCGGGAGGCGGGGCGGGAGGGCGGGAGGGGTGGTCTCGAGGAGGAGGAGGAGGAGGAGTAGGCTGGCGGGGCGGCGGAGGGGTGGGAGGTTGTGGGCGAAGGGGAGGAGGAGGAGGAGGCGCCGGCGGTCCTTGGGGGCGGCGGGGGTAGAGGGGCGGAAGGGTTGCGCTTCGGGGGTTCGAAGCTGGAGGGGTCGCGGAGTTCTCTGATGGGGCGGGGGTGTAGCCTGTATTTGCTGGGCGCTTGTCGCCGCCTCGGCCGAGTTTACTGGACTAGAGAGACAGGTGAAGAATTTTCTTTTTTAGAGATATTGTTCATAGCTGCATCAAAGGGGAGGGAGGGAGGGAGGGAGGGAGGGAGGGAGTGGATTCTGGAGGAGGTTGAACGACGTACTACTTGGTTGCGGATGCCGTCGCCGCGGACCGAGTTGAATTTCTCCTTGAAGGAGTCCATGGTCCCCGTTCGTGTTGACCGATTCTGTTGGGATACAGACGTGGAGTGTTGGCCAAGAAGCTCTTTGCTCTGATCGTCACGAGGGGGCAGGGAATCGTGGGTGGTGGATATCGAGAGACGGGGTTGATGCGCTTCGGATGTCAAGAGGGTTCGTGGGGATGTATATCGCTCAGGGATTCTTTTTCTAGACCGAATCCTTCCCTACGTGGACTTGTAGAACATTTGATGGAATACAGCAAAAACCCTTTTGGGGGGGAAAGAGGACCCTGGAACGGAGTTAGCGGCGGTTGGTGTCGGTGACGTAAGACTCCGACGGGGTTGTGAAAGCGCCAGCCAGCGAAGGGGACAGGACTGGACGCACGGTGGGGCACATGCTTTTCTTTTGCTAATCCCTGGCGAATCCGGTCGGACAGGAAACAATGCACATGAATTTCTGACGGGTCAACCTTAATGGAGAGAGAGAGCATATGGAGCTCGATTGGGAATATGTACAGAGGGAACAAGCAGAATGGAATTTTGTGCATGTGCATTGCAGAGTGTGCAGGGCCCTAGCCCAGGGTTTGAGGTTGGGTTGATTTTTAGTTCACTTGGTTAGGCATTAAACATGGAGGGCTTTGGAACACGAGTGCGGCACCGTATTGTGATAGTGCACCGTCTATATCAGCAGGGTCAATGGAGGTGAGCACAGGAAACAACATTGAATGAAAGAACATTGAAGTGTGGCACTTCCTTCATTCTATGTTCTATTGCTGTTGAGTTTTGGGCTTAAAGTCAAGACCCGGCCACAGGCCTGGTGGTGGTCGATGGACACATAGCCAGTCGCCCCTCTTCCCCGCCTCTGCTCGACTCAAGATGTACTCTTTCCCGCACCAAAACAACGATTGATACTTGAACTGAATTGTTGGTGTGTGCTGACTCCGCAATTGAAGTTACGACCACCCACACTACCCACACCACGCCAACCAACCGCACCCAAGAGCCAAGTGGCAGTTTTGCGCCTCGCACATCTCTTCGCGTCGCGTCTAGCGCCTGCTTGCCCCCGACTTGCATCGTCCGCCCTCGTCGCTGAACATTAGAGAGGCCCACGAGCCACCCCTCGATTGCGCCACCGCAACGAGAACAGCAACCAAAGAAGAAAAGGAATATTTGACACCAAACAGTCTGGCAAGATACAATTGTCCACGTCTGTTTCCCCTTCTACTTCCCGCCCGCCGAGGCTGTCGTGCGCGGCCAAAAAGATTCTCGAGCGTTGTTTTTTTCTTCGTTTTTATCGCGAAGTGATTTCCAGTCCACAATGGCGCAAAAGCCGATTATGAGCTCCTCACGGAGCACTTTGGCTACCCTCCCGTGGTATGGCTCTCCTCACCGCTCCCCATTGTCTCCCGCCCACAGAAGGATCAAAGTGTTGCTTGAATCTTTTCTCTAACAAACACACCCTCCAGAGCCTCCTCGATGACATCATCAACACCGTCAACATCCTGGCCGAAAGCGCCCTCAAATCCATCGAGCAGTACCTCTCCAACTCCTCCCCCAAGGCACTCGGCTTCCGCGACGCCAAGAAATCCTCGTCCTCGACCGCCGCCCCGGCCTCCTCCTCCTCCCACGGCACCGCGTCCGCTCCCCTCACCGCCGCCGACGCCGCCAAGTTCGAGATCGACAACGGCACCCACCAGCTCGAGACCCTCCTCTGCTCCAGCATCGACCGCAACTTTGACATCTTTGAGCTCTACGTCATGAAGAACCTGCTCCGCATCGCCCCCGAAGACAGGCCGTGGATCCGCCTCCGGCACTACGAAGGCCTCGACTTTGATCGCGCTGCCGCCGCCACATCCGAGGGCCAAAATGCCGACAGCGGTAGCGGTCGCGGCGACGTTGGCGGCGGTGATAGCCCCGGCGGACCCACGGCTACCTCGGTCAACGTGCTGCGGCGGAAGCTGCGCGCCTCCCTGCGCCTCAACGCCCTCCTACAAGCCGAAAAAGCCAAGAACGACGCCCTCCTCGCCCAGCTCTACTCCGTCCTCGGCCGCCCCGGCCCCGAGCTCAAGGACGACCCGGACCCGAAACCCGCGCCCCCGCTCGCCTTTTGCGCGACATGGGCTCCCTCACCGAAGGCGACGCGCAAGCGCCCCTCCGGACCACCACCGCCTTCACCCTGTCCCAGCTCCAGGCCCTGCGCTCCCTTTCTACCTCGCTCAAGAACATGGCCCCGGACCTCGTCGCCTCGGTCGGCACCGACAACGACGACAACGACGGCCAAAGTGGCGGCCGCAGCAGCGCCGGATCGGGTTCGTCGTCGGGTAACCGGAACTGGAGAAAGGAGCGCGTGGGTTACGTAGAGGGCCTAGCGAGGAAACACCTCGAGAACGCGCGGGGCCTCGAGCTCGGCGCCCAGGGCGAGGTTCGCGACGGCGAGTGGCAGGGCGAGGGCAGGACCATCAGCAAGGCCGAAGTCGAGGACCTGGAGAGGGTGGTGGGCATATTGGCTGGCGGGGTCATGGACGAGGACGCGATGGACGAATCCTAGACGTTTATTGCACGTGTGTGTATGTGCGTGTGTGTATGCGCGGGTGTGTGTTTTGTAATTGCATGGGGGCTGGGAGTGGATATACCTCGAGATATGAGCTTTTTTACACGTCATGAGTCGGTGGCTAGGTTGGGGATGGGGCGGCTGGAGGTTCTTGGGTCTGGCTTCTTACTGGAGTTCTTGGTCAAACTAGCTATACAATACCAATCTTGTTTTTGTCCTTCGTCATTGTTGCTAGACGTACTCTTGCGGGGGTCCGCTCTTCACTATCTGCACGTAATAATGGTTCACTGTTCGGGAATATAGCGTAATATTGGTCCTATTCTCTCAAAACTATCCAAATCCAGAATCTAAATATGTGTGTGTGTGTGTGTGTGTTTGTGTATATATATATGTTGTATGTACTCCGTACGTTCCCTCTGGACTGTTACCGACTCGCGTCTCGTATCAAGGTAAGACACTCTCCAATCGAAGGGGAGAGAGAGATAGGGAAAAAAAGAATGCGGAAAGAAAAACCATCCAAAAAAGTATAGCAATGTTGTATGTATCTTCTCAAATCTTCTCCAGATGCCACGCGCAAGTCAAAGGGGAGGAACGTGAAAAGAGAAACCGAGTCAACGCGACTATCCAAATCCGTACAAAAACGCCCTTGATGGATGGATCGAAATCTCGATCTAAACGCCACTATGCCGGATGATGATGTTCATCCTGAAAAGGCCAAAAAGAGTAAAAGAAAACAGGTGCAGAAAAAGAGAAGCAAAGCGCGACCAGGTGGCAGGTCCGCGAGGTGAAATGGAACGGGAAGAAAAGGGGAGAGGCGACGGGAGTACACCCGGGTGCTTAGAGTTCGCCTACCCAAGGGTCTTCGGGAACCGGGTCTTCGACGACGGGCTCGCCATCACCATACTCGAGGCAATAGCCTACCCAAGACCAGCGGACACACGTTTCCCCGGCGGAGGCTCGGTTGTCGACGAAGCCTCGGTGGTGGAAGCAGAGGTCGATGTGATCGTGGGGGTGAAGGAAGAGATGGGTCGAGTCGTGGTGCCGTCCGTCACAGTGATGTCGTCGTCGTAGCAGCCCCAGAAGCGCCCGGGCGTGAGACAGGTCGTCGTCTCTTTGGGGATCGTCGTCACGGGCCGGGTGGTCGTGATGGTCACCTCCTCCGTCGTGGTCGTCTTGTCCTTGCAGCCAAACCAGCCCGGAGTCTTGCACGTCGAGGTCGACGACGTGCTCGTCGTCGTCGTCGTAACGACGCCAGACGTTTCCGTCCCCCCGTCGTCGTTGTCGTCTTGTCCAGGCAGCCCCACCAGCCAGGCGTCTCGCAGGTCGCCGTCCTTGTGGTCCTCGTGAGCGTCTTGCTGTGGGTCGTCGACGTAGACCGCGTCGTGGTCTCGGTCCCGTTGCTCTCGTACATCTTCCAGTTGGCGCAGTCCCGGCATTCGGGAGTGCGCACGCATTCGGGCACCGTGTCGTACTTCATAATCACGTCGTGGATCACGGCCCGGATCTTGTGCGTGCCGATGCCGACGCGCCAGCCCTTGTCTGCGACGACGTCGTACGTGCATTCGTAGCCGGTATGGCACACGGACTCCATGGCGTAGCCCCCGAATGAGCACGTGGAGGTGGCACCGTTGCAGGTGCCAATGTAGACGGGATCCGCGGTGTGCCCGAAATGGTAGGTGCCGGTATGTTCCCTGGCCTGGGGAGCACCCGGGTCTGCGCCGGGGGCACCGGGAGACCCAAACGGCTGGCGGGAAGCGCCTCGGGCACGGCCTCAAACGTAACGACGGGAACGCCGTAGGTCAAGCCGAGGAGGGAGCTGACGGCGCCACCGAGCGAGTGACCGACGAGCCAGACATTGGCGCTCGGGTACATCTCGGTGATGTTGGAGTATAGCTCGCGGCCGGCCGTGTAGTAGCGGTGCTCGTCGTACAGCTGTTGCCGGACACAGGTGTTGTTGCAGCTATACGTCCCCGTGGCGCAGTCGCAGACCTTGGTCCACGACCACTGTCCTTGCTGGGCGCAACAGCAGCTGAAGAACAGATTATCATTGACCTTGTCGTTGGTCGTCGTCCCTTCCCCATCAAACAGGGCAGGCGACGTTCCTTTGAGTCCGATAATGATGGTGTCGTTTCGTTCATCAGCCCAGACGTGGCCCCGAAGACCGTCCAGCTCCCAGCCGAAGCTCACGCCGTGCTTGTACGGGTCGCGGATGATTTCCCAGTCGGCGCCGTCCTCGTCTTCTACGTAGGCGTTGGAGGCGATAAGAGCCAGGTTCAGGACCGTTTCCTTGTCCGTCACGTTCGGGGCCGGGATATCGTCGACGGTCCAGGCCGACGGCCCAAAGATGCCCACGTGCCCATTCCGCCTGCTCTCCGCAACCAAGGGGTCGACAATGGATGGGCGCCGGTCCTTGAGCCGCTCAATGCGCGTGCCGCTGCTCTTGACCTTGAGGCGTTGAGGTATCGATAGTTCGTCGTATCCGTCCTCGGCCAGCAGCATCACCTGGGTATTCGGGTGAACGTCCTTTCGTTTGTGCAGATGCGGGTACTTGTAAGTGCCATGGTGGAAGATGTGCCGAAGGCTAAAGGCGTGCTCGGCGGGTTCGGGGCCGTGTGGTCTCGAAGAGCCCGGCGGCGCGGGGAGAGGAGTATGTCGTCGAAGTTGGGGATAGGTAGAGGCGGTGGTCCGAAAGCGGACACAGTGATGGGCGATAGTGCGAGGAATGATAAGAGGACGTGGGCGGTGACTCGCTTGGCCGAGCTGCACCTTGTCCGTCTCGGTGGCTTCATGATGGAGGAGGAATTTGTGGATGGTGATCTAGAACAAAGGAAAAAGAAAAGAGAATTACCTCCCGGTATGGAGGAAGGGAATCCAGGGAGGCGAAGGTATTGCTTGTTTGTTGAAGGAGGAGGAATTGTTGGGGGATGGGGGGATGGAAGGGGAAGGGCGACTTAGTGGCCAACGGTGACGACAAAGCGGAGCGCGTGCCTCATATCAGGCGGTCGCTCCGATGCCGAGTGGTTGACGTGGGGGAAGAGAATAGGCAGGAACATAAACCTTGGCCGGGGGTGTTTAGGTTCAGTGGCAGTGGTTATCGGCTGCTGCCGGCTGCGTCTTATCGTCATGGAGGGTGAGTGCTAATTTGACAACATGTGATTGGTTCTGTCACTTTCCATGCATAACAATCGCAAGGGAAAACAGAGGCCGGGTGACCACCTAATAGTTGCTAGGCCCCTTGGGGGCAGAACGACATTGTAAGGGGATCAAACTCGTCTTGCAACCGAAATAGTACATCTATTGGATATGTATAGTATCATTATTGGGTTCGACCAGGAGGACTGTCGACTGTGTTGTCTCGACGAGTAGGACCGTTGGGGTCAAGTTCTACAGTTGGCCGGAGATTACCCGATGCACTGCTGAGGATTCCCCAATATGTACTCAAACTATATGCCACCGTGCATCATTCCGCATCCTTTCCACGTGATGCTCATCTCTGACATTATTGAGGCCTCAATGATGCCTTTTGCAAGCAGCTGGTTTGGGGTGGCGCTTTGGGTAATTCTCGGCTGACTGGGAATTTTGACCCACACAGTCCTGCGAGTCAAGGCAACACAGTCCTGCTAGCTGGACCCTTATTATCCCCGTGCACCCTTTGATGGAGACGGTATTGTCTGCCAGCTCAGCTCACATCAATGGGTGCTCACCCAAAAGTAAAGTGAGGGTCGAAGCAGACGGTTCCACTGTACGTGCACCAAATAATCGATCGATTAGTTGCATCGGTGTCAATGATCAGGGTTGCAGGATAATTCGGAGTGCATCTGGGTGACGAGCACTTGAGGGTAGGATGAGGCATCAAGCGAGTGAGGCTGATCAATTTGTGATTGAATGGGTCCGTGGATGCATCAAGGTGTCGAAAACACGTCGGATAAGAGTCAGCCATGGATCAATTGATCCATGCATTAATATTGCCAATTCTGTCACCACTCTCAGCTCTCCCACAATGTGAACCTTGAATATTGATCTAAGCCGTGCTGTCTTGACGACTAGTGTGTGCTCTGAACAACGTTGAAGACGACTCAACGTTGAAGAAACGAGAAACTTGTGGTTAGCCCCAGCACGATGTCTCCGAGGGAGAAAATGGGCCTTCTCGAAGGACTAGGCCCGTTCTCTGCGGATGTCACATCAGTGATCAATCACTGTGCTTTCGGCGTGGGCTGGCTGGTGCCATGCCAATACGTTTGCATGCGGGCCTTTGGAAAGGACCCCTTCAACACTGCCAAGGACGCTCCGCCTTGGCAGAGGCATTCGGTATTGATTGACGCCACTCCTTTTTCTCCCCTTGTCTACCAACTTTTTCTCTCTCTTTCTCCTCCCTCCCCCTGTGTAGAAACATACGCGTGTGTACTACGAAGTACGTGTGCACACCTCTCATTCCGGCCAGTGCCGGTGCCAAGGGTCGTTTTTTTGCCAAGCTTTCTGAAGAGTTACGAGGAAGAATAAAGGAAGGAGAAAAAAAAACAAAAAAAAGAGGAAACCTAGCGAGCCGTAAGCCCGGACCTAAGAAGATTGACGGGCCTTTTCACAAACCCGGCGCCGATCGGAGCGCGTTCGAAAGCTGACGAGGTTGGTGGGCGACGTACGTGCAAAGTCCTGGGGACTCCGCTTGCTTTCTTGGCTTGGAAGGTGAGGATGGCGGTGCTCAAACGGAGAGACAGAGTCTTGGGACTTAGCAAATGGGGTGGCTCTGGCTGAGAGGTTCCTGTGGGGCACCCGTCATCGTTGGTTGGAGACAAAACAGAGAGGGTCCCCTGGGCTGGGTGGGCTGGACTGGACGCGGGCTGGGCGTTTGGCTGGCTGGCTGGCTGGGCTGGAGCTCGGATTCCCGGGTGCGAGCATCAGTACTTGTACAAGTTGGTGGATCGCGAAAAATAAATAAAATAAAAATAAAACAAGGATTTGCTTTGCCCCGTGTGCATGTATGTGCGTGTATGTCTGGTGTGTGTAGTGTCAAGTCCGGATCCCTCGTTCAGGTGCGATGCGGCGATGCCTTCCCGTCCAACAAAAGGACCAGCGGCCAGCGACGAGTGTCAGAAAATTGAAATACTGACACTGTATTTATTGGCTGCCAGGTCTTCAAGGCTGGGAACATGTCCTGGAATCCCGGCCGCCCAGCATCCATGGATGGGATTCGCGCCAATAGTGACTTAGTCCGTACAGTGTGGGATTGGGGCCGCGTCCTCCTCAATCTCCCCGCTCCTCCACTTTGCGTTTTGGTCTGTCCATCCCCCACCAGTACAGTGCGTGCAGTGCTTTTCCCTTAGCTCATACCTCAAGTCAGGAGTGCTGGTCCCTTCATTGTTCCCAGACCCGGCCTTTTCAGGGCATCGTTTCTCAAATTAGCACCTGGAAGAATTCGCCCCGTCAATGGTATTTCACCGCGTCGCTCACTGCGTATTGGTACCTTGGCCAGCCAGGCCAGGCCCTTGAAGAGCGCTTCTATTCTTGATCCTGCCTGCACTCTCATTACGGTCACTCTAGCCCGCTTCCCCGATTTGATCGTGGCAGTCCGATTGACTGACTAGTGCTAGTAACATTGGAGAATCCTAGAGCAGCAGACTTGGACGTCTTTGGTTACTTCGCCTGTCCTGTCCCGTGCTGGTGGTGCCGCTGGCTGCTGGAACCAGAGAAACCCGGGGTGAGTCCTAGCCGTCTTGTTCAGTCCACCTCTGACACAACACGCCCGCTGTTTGTCGTAAACGCAGCACCAGCCTTCCCCTTCCCCTTCCACCTGCCTGCCCCCCTCCCCTAAAGCCCCGATCGGTTTTACGCCTCCCCTCGTCCCCTCGTCCCCTAGCCCTCCGTTCCCCATTCAACCTGGCACTGGCATTGCTCTTCTCGCTCCTGCCTCCTGCTCCGCCCCTAACTGTGGGCCTTTCGACCTCCCGCGTCTCTGAAATCACGATGACTAACCATTTCAGTGATGCTTGCTGAACATTTCGACAATAGAGGGCCATCTCCTATTTACCTCATCGCGAGCATTCTTTTGTAGTCTCTTCTATCCGTCTCCTGCCCTCGCCAACCGTGTTGGAAATATCGCTCCTGTTGTTGTGCTGGGGAAAGAATCAATTATTTCCTTCCCCCACACCTTGCCCGTGCAGTTTATCCTTGGCGACCTTCCTGCCCGCCCCCGACCGATTAATCCTGCTCACTCTGCCTGTTTTCGCCCCCTTCTTTTCAATCAGGTCCGCCCAACCAGGAATATAGACAACCCAACGATATTTTCGTCACCACCTTGGAGCGACTGGTCCTCTTTCGACATGCCCGCCTATCAACCTGACGGCAACGACTCGATTTACAATTCTGCTCCTCACATCATCAACCTCGACCCTGGTCGACTCGGCCTCGTCTCCGATAAGCACATCTCCCTTGATGGGTCAGACATCCAATCTGCCGCCCGGCCCGACACAACCAATGCCAGCTTCGACGACACGTCTTCGTCTACGGCGTCATCCTCTTCTCGCTCCGACTTGTCCGACGCCAGTCTGCCCCGGCCTATGAACGGCAACAGCATTCGGACACGTCAAACGAGTATGACATCAATAACCAATGGCCAGGCTGTTCAGCCTGGCTTCTCGGCCGATCACTCGAAGCCCCTGGCGAATGGAACAGCAACCTTAGCCGACAGGACCATGCCCTCGACTGCCCATCACCAACAGCCTCGTGCGATGCACCCTAATCACGAGAATAGGGCCTCGATGCGGACCGACGAGGACGACACCGAGCTCGAGACCACCCCGACCTTGGCGTCATCGGCTTTTCCTACAATCGACGCTTACCCTACCGACTTCTATCAACAATCCGCCTCTCGTCCTGCACCTGTCTCCTTGGGATCTCCGACCGGTTCCACTACGCATCACTCCTATTCTTCATATATCCCAACCAACGTCGTTACTCCCGCATCTCCTCCTACCTCTCCCCCTCCGCCAATCCCTACGAGCGCCCTCGGAGTTGTCACATCCCCGCTAGAAGCGATGCACCCTCTACCCATCGCCTTTCCTCGCCTCCGCAATACAACCCATCCAACTCTTCCCCAACACTCACAACAGTACAGCAACCCCTGGCCCCGGGCAACTAAGACAGCGGCATACCCTGGAAGTTCCTAGGAAACAGCCACGGGGCTCGCGAGATGGAGCCGACGCTGCATTTGCCAGCGGCCGCTTTTCTCCTACCATGTCTACTGGTCCCGGTCCTGCCGCCTCCGTGCGTAGAGCCTCGCTGAGCCTGGCCCGACGAGCCACCCGATCGATTCAGTCCGACTTGCCCCGAGACGAGATAGCCCCGGATGAGGATGCCCTCCACTGGGCTGAAGTGTATCGGCAAAGGCGCGCCAGCAAGAAGAGGAGGAGAGAAGAGGAAGACGACGATAAAGTTTTGGTCGGAACCAAGGTCGACGAGCACCATGTGAACTGGGTTACCGCCTACAACATGTTGACGGGTATCCGAGTATCGGTCTCGCGAACTAATGCAAAGCTCGACAGGGAACTGACCGACGCCGATTTTCAGGCCAAGCAAAAGTCGACCTTTGATATGTGAGTTTGACATTCCATGAAGCAGCACTCATACCCGTGGTCCCTTGACCTTCTCCTTCTTTTTTGTTGTTCTTTCCATAATCTCCCATGGTCTACATTGTACTAATCACTTTGCATCTTGCTTACCTTAGAGCTGGAAATGAAATGGTGCCCTCAGCCAAGTACGACTTCAAGTTCAAGGATTACGCCCCCTGGGTGTTCCGACGACTGCGGACCCTTTTAGACTCGATCCGGCCGACTACCTCATGTCTCTCACTGGAAAGTACATCCTCTCCGAGCTTGGCTCCCCAGGGAAGAGCGGCAGCTTTTTCTACTTTTCTCGCGACTACAAATACATCATCAAGACGATCCACCACGCCGAGCATAAATTTTTACGAAAGATTCTCAAGGACTATTACCAGCATGTCCGCGAGAATCCAAACACTCTGCTGTCCCAGTTTTACGGCTTGCACCGCGTTAAAATGCCGTACGGAAAGAAGATCCATTTCGTCGTCATGAACAACCTCTTCCCCCTCACCGCGACATCCACCAAACCTACGATCTGAAGGGCTCTACTATCGGTCGAGATTACCCCGAGGAACTGGTCCCAGATAACCCGCGGGCTACGCTCAAGGATCTCAATTGGATGAGGAGAAAGCGTGCGCTTGAGCTCGGCATTGAGAAAAAGCGGCTTTTCCTGGGCCAGCTGCAGCGTGACGTCCAGCTTCTGAAGCGTCTCCAGATCATGGACTACTCGTTGCTCATCGGCATCCATGACTCCAAAAAGGGCAACGAGGAGAACTTGAGGGACAAGACCTTGCGGGTGTTCAACCCTGGAGGCGAGCGTCACTCGGAAGAACCCGAGGTTTCTGTGCTTCTCCGTACGCCCAGCAAACTGGAGAATGCGAAGAAGGCGAGGGAGCTCCGGCAGATGCTGCGACAGGAACGCCCCGTCCCGATGGATCAGACGGCGAGTAGGATGCCGGACGAGCTGGACCAGGGTAACAGCCGGACAGGTTTCGTTTTCAACCAGGATGACGGAGGATTCCGCGCGACACAGGAAGATAATTCGCCCGCGGATGAGGTGTACTACCTTGGCGTCATCGACTGCCTGACTCACGTAAGTTATCCAGACCGAAAGCATTACTTGATAGTTGTTGGCTAACTTGCCCCTCTTTTATACAGTACGGTGTCATAAAAAGATCGAACACTTTTGGAAGGGCTTGACCAGTGATCGTACCCAGATCTCTGCCATCCCCCTGACCAGTACGGCGATCGGTTTTACCAGTTCGTCGAAGGCGTCACCATGTCAGCCCAGGAAGCACAGCGAAAAGAACTCGCCGAAGCCGAAGCCGCACGAAACGCTGCCCTTGCCGACGATCCGGTAGAAGAGATTGTGGAAAATCACGGCGCGTGTCCACCTTGGAAATCGCACAACCGGAGACACTCTGGCACACCAGCCATGCCGACATATGCGCCACCGCCGCCGCCAACTCAGCCGTCTGGGAGCCTTCCCCCAACGCCGAAGTAACGAACGAGAAGCCTTTCCTGGAGGGAGGACCGAGCGAGAAAACTAGCCACGACCCGAATTATGCGGATGGACCCTCGCATGTCCATGATGGGGAGTCGGCCCATGGCCAGTCCCTTCCCGTGGTGGACGAAGCGGTGGAAAACTCATCCTCTGGTGGGGCTAGAAGCACCCGTAGCGGTCTGAGCATCCGGAGCCGGGTCGAGGACGAGGCGCGGCCTCCCACACCGCGCAAAGATCGCCCTGTGACGCCGCACAAGACGATTCCCCGAAGACGCGATGGACCGCCAACCCCACCCAAGTACTTGAAACCTGAGAGTGCGGATAGCGGGTATGGCGGCGTGAATGGGACTGGCACCGACAGCCGAGAGGGGTCCTTGAAGATTAGTCGCAAGATCAGCCGAGAATCTCTCGACAAGGATCTTCCGGCGCTTCCACGCGGTGATCGGTCACTTGGGCTTTATGTGAGTTGATTGCTAGAGGAGGAGTGGGAATGAAAGAGCGGGGAGTGAGAACACGGAGAGCGAGTGTGTGTGTGTGTGTGTGGGAGAGGTGACGGCAGGGGGCACTCCTTTTCTCTCGGGCACACATGTCTACTTGAGGGAGGCGAAGGGGAGGGCCCCGGCCTAGTCGATGAAGGGGTTTGGGGAGCTTGTTTCTTTTGTTGAAGGAGAAGAAGAGAATGAAGTAGGGCATGATGAACGGCTTTGCATTTTTACCTACCCATCGACTGAGATGGGGTTGCCAGATTCCCAAAACTACCTCGGTTTCCATTGCATTATCCCTTGTCCGCCTTGACAGGCTAGACATGGTCAAGTCTTTAGGGGTTTCCCTTATTCGGGTTATCCTTTTGTTTTGTTTCCTTTATACACGTCACTCATCATCATATCATACAACCACTGCACCATCTTCGCTTCTTGTGTCTATTAAACCTCCCTCTACTCTGATAAAAGTAGTATGGTTCTTTTTCTTTCACCTCATCTTTTTTCTTCTTCCTGTTATCCGATTCTCCATCTCCCGGACCTATTTTTCCTTTTTGTCTCTGCCTTTTCCTATTTCCTTTTCCTTTTTGCCCTGTTTCCCTCGCCCGAACTGTCTCTTCAAGTTTCTACAAGGACACTTCGAGGCAGTGTTCATTGATCCCCGTTGATTCCTTTGTTTTCAATCCCCGGAAGGCCCGAAAACCAACCTACACGAAAAGAAAAAGAAGAGAAAAGGCATAAAAACACACTTCCCCCAACAGCAATCCTGGCACCGTATGATAGGGGACAGAGCAACATAGATGATACCATGGCATTGTGTAGAGCATCGCGAATTTTATACAAGAGGCTTTTGAATTGACTTGCAAGGTTTCTAGAAAATGCTTTGACCTTTTTTTTTTTTTTCTGCTTTCCCATGTTTAGGTCTTCCTCCTCGTATTCTGAGCTTTCCTGAAAGGCGGCCCGGACAGCGGTTGAGTCGATTGGGGACGAATTTATACATTGTGTGAGGTCTCATGGTGATGGTGAAGGCGACGAGAACCTCCCCTCGTGGGGAAGGCCCTCAAAGGAGCGCTTGAAGCAAGGGCCGGGCGTGCTGTTATGCCGATGTATGGGCGAGGGAGGCAATGTATTGTTCAAGAAACAACAGCACATGGAGAGATGGATGGAATGCAATGAGTTTGGGATAACCACGGGTATCGATCTCCGGAGGTAACCGGGGTGCTCCGTCTGTGGGAGAACAGAAGAGCGAGAACACGTATAGTTTAGAGTTAAGATTGATCGTATTTTTGTTCTAATAGTCGTCGTCCCAAGCGAAAAGACCCGGGCAGGGCCAGCTAGTGTTACATGGTCTCGTTGTCGATTGTAGGCGTATCCCGCCCATCATCTCATCCGCCCCTTGTTATTTTCCTCTCTTGACCGTCCGTGTCCGTGTGTGTATCTACAGGTAATGTACAATGTGCTTCCCGTCTAGCGGCATCCCGCCTCGCTGTGAGGAGCAGCAAAGGGTGCGGATGTCGTTAGGAACGGGTTGGACCCCGTTGGGTCATTCTAACCTATCCAAAGAGTCCGGCAGCTAGCATCCTTTCTCTGGGAGCTTTCTCTCTTTTGATATTCCTATCAGCCACGGAGCACACCCCCAATGGCCCCCATTTCCCTCAATATCGTTGCATATTTCATGCTTCTCATGGCCTACTCTCCCCTTCCTGTCTGGCGGGCCCCCAACTACTCACGGCTTCTTCGCTGACTCACCGCCAAACTCAGGCTTCACGTCCATGCGAACGGCGCCCTCGCGCTCGAGCTGCTCAATCTTGGCCCTGCGCTTGGCGTCCATGACGCGCCAGTCGCGAAAGTACGCCACCCACTTGGCGGCGCAGTCGCGCTCAAAGGCGACGGTTTCCTGGGGGCAGGCGCGGCGGGCGGCGGTGGGGTCGGCGTTGGCGTCGAGGACGGAGGCGGCGTCGAGGCAGGCGAAGTAGGCGTCGCGGGAGGCCCAGCACTGGAGGCGTTCGGCGCGGGTGGGTACGACGGTGCCGTTGCGGACTTGGGTTGCGCGGTCGGGGGTGAAGAGGCCCATGGTTTTTTTTCCTGGTGTTTGTTGGATGGTTGTGTGTGTCTGTTCCCCTCTCGGCGAGGTTTTTGTTTTTGGTTCTTGGAGAGCTTTGGAAAAGGTGGGTTAAAGCTAGGGCTGGGTTGTTTCGTGGTTAGAGCTTGGCGAGAGGTGTAGGGACGTCGGTGGTGTGTCGAGAAAGGCGGTAGAAGAAGAACAAGAAAAAGAGAGAGGATGGAGGGGTGGGTGGGTGGCTTTGCGTTGCTTTGCTGTGCTGCCGAGAGAACAAATTTCTTTTTTGGAGAGGATCGGGCGAGCAGCGTTTTGAAGCATCGTCATCAGATCAGAATCCACTTTGTTCTGCTTGCGGGTGGTCAAAGGTTTTTGGGCGGGCAGAAAAGAAAAGCGGTGAGAGCTCGGCAAATTGGCTGGGCGAATGAAAACGGCTGGGGATTGGCCCGGTCGGTTTGGCGTTAGGCGTTGGAAGTGGCCCTGCTGAGAGGTTGAAGGACGATTGCTGCAGGGGGTTCGATACCGGGTACAGCTGAGACATGGAACTTTAGGATAGGACAGCACGACTAGGCTTCGAACGTTTTGACCTCTATCCCCTCGACACACATAAACAAACTCGAACCATCAGAACCCCACGACGACGACAGTTTCGCGAAATTCAACGACTGCTCCCCTTTCCTTTTTTGACTTGGGGGTAGTATTCATCATTTGCGATTCACGAGGCCGAGTCTCCCTCCCATCTGTGTCGGCGTCTTCCTCTAGATACCTTGGGCCCGTCGACGACACCTCATCAGGCTGACAACTTTTTTGGCCCCAGCCACCCACACGCAAGCTCCTTTTCTTTGGAATCTCGGACCCAAGAACGGGGAAAGAAAGCACCATCTCGATGACGGCGTAGCAAAGCAAGCCACATCCCCGAACCTATCTCGAATTTATTTCCTCTTCTCACGGCGCTTGAAAGAGCTTTTGAGTGGAGTCGCCTCGTTTCGCGCTCGCTCTCCGATTCCCCCAAATCTCGACTCGGTCTTCTCTTCCCACCCCCACGAGCCCAACTAGCGATGCCGCGACGCCGTCGTCTCCGGCGGCCGGGCGCCCTGACCGAGCTCCCTCCTCTCCGAATCGTCACCCAGATCGCTGCTCTTCAATCCGTATACTATTCCGCCGCCTTCCTCCTTACTCTCTTCACCTCCATCGTGGCCGGGACCAAGTTTGGCTTCGATCTCATCTTTGGATGGGAGGCTGTCCGGGGTGACACCACGCAGGGCTGGTTGATGGCCTTTGTCTGGGTTTTGACGGGCGGGCTTTGTCTGTACGTGATGCGTTGCGCTGCGCGAAACCCCCTCTCCCCCTTTCTTTTTGTATCCCTTGGATTGTCTATTTTCCCCTCCCTTTCACCACCTGCTTTTTTTTTTGTGGGCTGTAACTGACGCTCTTCTTCGATAATAGGGGTGCCGCGATAGTCATGCTCGTTACCCGAAGTAAGCTCGTTCCCGATTTTGCGCTGACGGCGCACTTTGTCCACCTCGCCATCTGTACCTTTTATACCGGCTTTCTCCCTCGCAACGCCATGTGGTGGGGCACCATGGGCGTCTCCGCCGGTGTCGCTGTCGGCTTGGGCGTCTGGGGTTGCCGATACCGTGAGCTGCAACCCATATCGTTTGGAGGAACGGCGAGGGAGACATTGAGAGCGCGGCGGGGGCGTCGAGGAGAGGCGGACGACCACGATGGTGGCGAAGGCTACTCTCGCGGACGAGGACGGGGAGGGGCAGGGATGGCGCTGGGGAGTACGAGCTCACGAGGATGGGAGAGGATCCCCGCTTAAAGTAGGGGTTGACTGTTCCCCCCCATGTCTTTGTCCCCTCCCGCCTCTTCCCTCCTACGCCTGCCTTTCTGGACAGGGTGTGGTTTCCCGAAGGCGTGTTTCTGCCCTGGGTCTAGGCGTTCTTTGTCGTGGGCACAGACATTCACAGTTCCTTTTGTTGGGTTCGTGCCAGAGGACGGATGAGATATTTCTTTGCATCAAATTTGGAGTTTTTGGGTAAACGGCGAGAGGTTTTGGCGATTTCTCTGCGCTCATATCTTTCTGTTACCTCGCGAGCCTGTATCACTATTGCGTCTACTTTGCGCGTTTGCTTTTGCTTGGTTTGGGAGAGGGGATTTTTCTTCTCCCTCTCCTTTCCCCTTTCCCGCCCTTGTCTGAGGGTTTCTTAGGTCTGTCTACCTTGGGTCCCCTCGCTTGGACGACTTGGGGACTTTGTTTTCTTTTTTGGGATGGGGGAATTTGTTTTTGATGCCACTGTGATACTACTAATAGATGGGCCGCGATGTGCCAGGCCCGATTGTCATGACTGCTTGCGATTCTCTTTTTCTCTTATTATTGAAACCTTTGGACTTTTGTTAGAGCTGTTGTTGCTGTTCCTATATGAACCAACTCGGCGGACCGTGCCATATGTTGCCATGGCTTCGACACTAAACATCTATTCATGAGGGTACGGGTATCGACTGAAGCCACCAATATATCCTACGACATTTGTTCGAGGGCATGCCGGGAGCTCTGTTTTTGGTGGCGGACGCTAGATTGACAAATGGGGGTTCCCCTTCTCCCTTTGGAGTCTCTACTGACTAGATCTACTCGAAGCACTCCTCAGCCTCATAGTAGAGTCTTCGAAGGCGGTCGTTGCTAGATCTGAGCGTATCACGAGAACATTCCCCAACGCCTTCTAAGTGTATGGGGACTTGAATTATTCGCTGGTAGCCTCCTTTTTCGTCTCATTCTCCCCTCTCTCACTATCTCTAGCGATCCATGTCCGCTCACGATTGAGAAAGAGATCAACCTCGGGTCATACACTTCTTTGGAACACTGTAGCTCTTATCAATAGGCGGAGACCAAGGATGTCAGCATCAATTGATGTAAAAGATGGCCCGCCCCCAAATGTGTCAGCGTAACATGGACATGCGCATGGCGTCCCTTGCCGTGCTGCAGAAAGACGTCGGGTCGCCAGGAGTTCCGATTCGCGCCAGGTATGGGGGTAAAAATAGAGAGATGGGGGGCTATGACTGATGCGCTGATGCGGGAAGCGGGTGATTACTGGCGCACCAGGGGTTTTCCTTTTGCCCGTATTTACAGGGTCTCCGCGCCTCGCAAGCCGGTGATGCATGGATCGCTCACGCTCTTGAGAGAAGAGCAGCGAAGGATGCGATTGAGTCTATAGAGCTAGCTGTGTCTGATGACGGGGTGAGTGCCTGACTGTGTCCCCTGTGGGAAGGGCTTCAATTCCTTGTGTCACAGGCAGGATATAAGAGAGTCATGATGGACCTCTTCGTAGACAACATTGACAGATGAATATAGACCATGGTATATACGCGCCTCTATATACTCTACTCCCGCTTGCATGCCGCGGGGAAGAGGGATTGGATTTGATCAATGGCTTGAACGTTGTCGGGGAAAGGCGTGAGTAAGCACCCCTTTGCACCGGGTGCTTGATGCATGGCGCTGACTGACAGGTGCGCCTCATCCCCCGGGCTGGCAAGTTTTCATTCTAAGTTATCTTTTATGTTCTTTTTGCCCGACCTCCGTCATGCGTTTTCCAGTTTCGTGTAATAGCCCATAGCCAAGAATGGGAAGTGCAAATGGCTGCTTCCCGGTGGAGAATCGATTGCGACGGCCGGAGAGTTTCCTCCCAGCGATCGTCGCTCTCTGCTCTTGAAAGATGTGCGATTTTCCTTGACCAGGTTGAATTTGTGCCTCAAGTGCGCCAAGGTACGAAGAAAGGAAGGGGAAAAAGGAAATAGAACTCACCTTTTGTCGCCGGTTTGTCCTTGCGCACCTACGAGATGGCTTGGGGCATCGTCTTTTCCACTCCGTAATTCGGGCTGTCGGCCACCTCTTCCCTGCGTCCCGACGACTCAGCTGCCCGACGCTACTTGCGCATCCTCCCTCTACCCCCGTCGACTACATGTAGTTTTCGCCACCCGGTTGGTTCACCCGTTAGATGTCAGTCAGAGTAATAGAGTAGAGACCCTTTTAGATTGCCGGCGTTGCAAACCGTCCGTCGGGGACAACCGGCGCGACATGCTTTGGTCCTCCAGCTTCAAAAGCAAGCACGCTGTTCGGGCTATTGGGTAGGCCCCGTTGACGATATTACACCTGTTCTCCTTTCCAACGCCCCCATGGCTAACTAGGATCATGTTCCCCCCGCCTAAGCGCCACCAGGGATATCGGCGGCGAGTGCGGGTACGGTTGCGGGAGCGCGAGCGCGAGAAAGCAAAAGGGAAAGAGGGAGATCGTCACGACCAGGGAGGGTCAGGGGGTTGCTGGCAAGGAGGAAGACCGGCGAGAGTGGAGGGAAGGACAAGGGGTAATAACAAATCCCCGCCAAGCCGGATCGAAACCGCCAGTTTTTCAGGAAAAAAAGAAAGAAAAGAGTCCGAGAACGTAGGAAGAGGAAAGAAGAAAAGGAAAAGGGAAAAAGGAAAGAATATAGGGCGCAAGATGATACCCGATCCAGCGGCTCAGCAGCTTCGTTCAAAGACAGAAAAGAGCACAACTGCCACCGGTCGTGTTGTCCCGGACCGACTGCGTGGGCTTAGCGTGCCGGGGGTTGATGCGCCGTTGGACGGATCGGCGGGCAGGATTACCCCCATTCTCCAGACTATCGACGGAGCTTAATCGTAAACACCCCTGCCAGACTCACGTCACAATCAACCACCGGCTCTAGCTCCGGGGGTACGTACAAACCCATCTCCCGTCTTAATGATGAATTCACGGGAAAACGGACAGGAGAAGGAGCGGGGGGGAGGGTTATTACTGAACCCTTGGCCCTACGCCGCCAAACTTCATGTTGGTGATCCTCGAGTTGGACCTCGTCGAACGGAAAAAGTTTGGTGAATCCTTTGGGTCTTTTTCGTCTTCCCCCAACCATTCCACCCCTTGCTCAGCTTGTGACACCTGTTGGGTCGTATTTTCTTTCTTGACTCTGCTTCTCTCTTCCGCTCTCCTCGCCGCGAAATGCATGACTGGGCGATGACTGAACAATGGCGGATCCTCACCCGACCCTTCCCCCTTCTCCGCTCTCCGCTCTCCCCCTGCCCTTGTCTAAACGAAGGGTCTGTCTAGACCCTCAGCCCTCCCCTTCGTCTCTCCTCTCCTCCCGGCCGGTGGCTGACGCCATTTCGGCGAGAATAAGGCTTTTTTTTGTTTCTTTTTCTTTTTTCTCGTTTTTGCGATGTAGAGTGGGGGGACCTTCTTCAACCATGTCGGTCGTGTCTCTCTTCATCCGCATACCAACCGCCGTCTTCCTCCTCCCTGCCCCCATTCCCCTCTTCCCATTCGTTACCAGAGTTTGGGAATTTTTGCATTCGTCGTCGATCCAACCCTCCTTCGGGACTTGGACCTGGCGTGCGTACATCTAGTAGTCAGTACACGTGCAGCCCCAACGACGATATGCATAATGATGATGAACCACGCTCTCCATTGGGCCGGACGGCTCGTAACGCACTCGCGGGATCTTTTTCCTCTGCTTCTTTTCGTACAAGTAGGAAGTACTCCTTCTGTCTCTCTCTCTCTGTCTCTATCTCCTCGTTCGCTTACCCCCCTCGTATCCTTGTCTGTCCCGACCGTTTGTTTCCCCAAAACTCTCTGGGGTCCGATATTCTCTCGTTATCACTTCCCCAGACCAAAGAAAGCTCGAGACCCTGTAGTCTCGTCCCGTCCCGATGGAGCACTGACGATGCAGAGGGGCTCGAACCTCCAACACTCATTTCCCAAATCTCTCCTTCTCTCTCTCTCTCTCTCTCCTCTCAGGTGCAGCTTGCAACGAGAGCCAGTCTCTCCTTGACACCTCTCACATCGTGTCCGATCTCCGTCCGGTTCCGAGTCAAGTCGGAGCAGGAGGAGAGTGGGTAGGCCCGGAAGGAGAGCATTAACAGTAACCAACTTAACTTTCTTTTACCCTTCCATTTCTCGCCATTCTCTTCTCCATTCTGCCCACCATGGAAAGTGATATCCGGAGCGAAGCCGGCATCTTCCTGGTCATCGCGGCCCTGACCACGGGGTTGGGCGTCCTTTTCGTCGCGGCTCGGATTGCTAGCCGGACCATCTCCCTCGGGAGGTACGGCGCCGACGATTATCTTTGCATAGTCACAGTGGTGCGTTCTTCATCTTTCGGCATTTCGCCAAAGGCTTTCCTTTTGGCGAATCTCTCATCATGCTCGATAGAATTCCAAGACTAAATATCAAATCTTTCCCCTCTCCAGGTGCTCAGCCTCTTCTATCTCGCCTTCATGTCCGTAGCCATCAGCGTCGGCGGCGAGAGGCGCATCAGCTCCCTTACCCACGACCAGCACAGCCGCGTCCTCTTCTACACCATCCTCTCCGTCGTCCCCGGCATCCTCTCTTTTACCATCCCCAAGTTCGCCGTCGTCATCCTCCTCTTCAAGACCTTTCAGCCCGGCCCTATCCACCGCGTTCTCATGCTGGGCGTCTCTAGCTTGTACGCCCTCGCCGTCTTCCTCCTGCTCGTCTTCAACTTTGCCCAATGCGCCCCCGTCCAGGTGCAGTGGCTCGGGGCCGAGGGAAAGTGCTGGAACCCCAGGATCTTGGTCACCTATGGCCTCATCGTCGGTGGTAAGTAGTGCCGGGGGCGTGATCCGTGGAGCCGCCGCATTCCGTGGTTTTTGACCTTTGAGGACGAGAAGCAATCATGAAATTCTTACGCTTACATGTGTCCTGTGAGCTTTCTAGTACTTTCCGCCACCTTTGACTTTTACCTCGCCCTCTATCCTACCGTAGTCCTTGCAAGGCTTACCATGAACTGGAAGAAGAAGTTGGCTCTCTCTTCTTCTTTGGGATTTGGCTACTGGTAAGATAGCCTCCCTTATCATAACCCCGTGAGAGACCGCCCGTGTTGGCCTGTTACTAACGCGAGTGATGTTTGATTGCGGTAGTGCTGGGGCCGTTGCCATCTATAAATGCACCACGATTACCGAACTCCCCGGCCAAAAGGAATTTCCCTGTAAGCTAAAACCTTATTGTTTCTCGTGTTCTTTATCCTCGATGGGTCAGCTAACCGGGTGAATCTTGTGTTAGTCGCCCTCAACGATGTCATGCTCTGGACAAGGTTGGTCTCCACGTAGTTGTAAAAGTAAGAAGCACAAAACTGACATCTACAATCCTTTCCCCTCATATCTAGTATCGAAGCAAACTGCGTCCTTATCGGGGCCTGCATCCCGACCCTCTACCCCCTCTTCGTCCGCGTCTTCGGCGCCTCGGCCCTCGGCACGACAGCCCGGTTCTACGCCGCGGCCGCACGCCGACCACCCCGCCCCCGCGGTACGCCGACGACGAGTATCCGCACGTGCTCACGATCGGATCGTATCCCACGCGCAAGAGGCCCGTGGCCGACGACGACCTGTCCAGCCTCTACGGCGAGGGTCTCTACGGCGAGGAAAAGGAAACGGCGGCGCCCGACGAGGCCGCGCACCCGCTGACGTATCCTCGGAGGGTGTACTACTCGGGGAGCTCGTACTCGGTGAGCGCGTACTCGGCGACTACGACGACGGGGGAGGATTGGCTCGGAAGTGTACACGTTGGGTAGTGGGAGCGGGTACGTGTCGCCGATGGGACATATGGAGGGAGAGTGGATATAAAAATGGGATCTTTGCTTTATCTCGAGCAAAGGTATACATCAGTGCCGCGTGGTGCAGTCTGTTCACTCTTTTTTTCTCTCCTTGCGTTGCGGTTTGCCTGGTCTTTTTTTTTTTTAATGACTGAGAAGGGAATGGAAAGGCGTTCTCGGAGGGTATGGCTTTGGGACATGGTTCACGGCATACGAGAAAGGGGGAGACTTTATTATACCACGCCTCATCCTTGGGCAAACGCCCTTGCGCAGGGATGTGACCTCCGGCAGCAGTAGGCGGTCATCATTCGCTTGTTAGATTTTAGCTTCTTTTGTCTACACTGATAATAATTGGAAAGTAACATAAATCCTCTAGGTTACCATTTTCTCTGCCTTTACTTGGTCTTCTTCTCGTTATATTCTTGTCTTAGAAGTGGTTTCACGGGTTACATAATCGGTCAATTACCTTGACACTCACGACAACAAAAACCCAGCTCCGGTCTCTTTTCCTCTTTCTTACCCCGGGGTTGCAAAACGCTCTAGCGCTCGGGAACCACACTCCTAATTTTTGCGGCCCGATGCCGTGGCCACTCGTACCGCGTAAAATCGTTAGGCTTGCGAGGCCCGCCATGTCCCTCCCCCTCTCGCCCGGGGTCTCGCGACAGGCGTGGCCGACAATGGTTCCCGGCACATCCACATCCTCGGTGTCGGTAACTTGGGGAAGCTCGTGGCGCACTACCTAGTCGCATCGAATGAGCGCACGCGCGTCACGCTGCTCTTTCACCGAGCAAGCTTGCTCGGGGAGTGGGAGGCTGCGAGCCGGGCGATCGAGTGCGTGGTGGACGGTGAGGCAAAGCGGGTGTCGGGTATGAGCTTGGATGTTGAGGTTCTGCCGGAGGACGGGCGGCAAGAGCCGGCGGAGGAACGGTTGGAAGGGGGCTCGATAAGGAACCTCATCGTGGCTTGCAAGACTTTTGCGACCGTGGAAGCTTTACAGCGCGTGAGGCCGAGGTTGGGGCCAGATTCTACCATTTTATTTATTCAAAACGGGATGGGTATGTGCGAATGTCCGAGAACCGGATTACGTTCCTACTTGCTAACCGCGTGAATAGGCACGACGGAGGAGGTCACCTCAAAGATCTTCCCTGAACCAAGCGGTCGGCCAAGGTACTGGGCCGGGATTAGTGCCGCGGGTGTTTACAATACTGGCCCCTTCTCGATCGTTCACGCCGGCAGGGGCCCCTGATCCTGGGCCCCGTAGCATCCAACGGACCTGCGGGGCCGTGTAGCGTCCCTGCTGATCCTGCGGAGAATTACATGATTGAGAAGCTCGTGGCGGCGTCGGCAGGCCTCAAGCGACTGTCGTATCCGCATCCTCCTTACGGCAAGCCCAGCTCCGAAAGCTGGCTGCCAACGCGGTGATCAACCCGCTGACTGCCATCTTTCGCTGCAAGAACGGGGAGCTGCTCGATGGTGGGCCGCGAGAAACTTTGATCGCGGAACTCGTCGCCGAGATGGGCCCCGTCTTGCGTGCGCTGCTCCCTCGGGCGGCGGAGAAGGAAGCCGGGGAGAGCGTGCAGGGGTTTACGGATGCCGAGTTGGTGGCGTATGTGCGGGGGTGACGCGGGGCACGGGGGCGAATACGAGTTCTATGCTTCAGGATGTTCGGGCTGGTAGGCGGACTGAGATTGACTATATCAACGGGTTCGTCGTTTCAAAGGCGGAGGGGCTGGGGGTACAATGTGCGAGACACGCTGCCTTGGTTAGGCTGGTGAAGGAAGGGCGGGCCATGCAGGATGAGGACATTCCAGGCTTGTTGGCGGATCAGTCGTAAGGGGAGAGCAGAAGCTTTTTCATAGTATACGAGATTCTCACATGATTCCCATTATAGATTATTTTTCTTTTACTCTGTGCGCCTCATTCAAAGCTAGGGAAGGGAGTGGTGCCTAGAGACTTGGTGGCTTCTGCAAAAGGAGACCAGCGACCAGGACTAATCGTATCGTACAGACCCACGAGGCAACGTATCATGCTCGCGCTATTTTCCCGGTTCACCGGGATCTCGGCGACCCCCACACCTCCAGCGTGAGCCCGCCTCCACCCTCCCGTACCCGCGGCGGGGCCTAGCCCGTTGCCCGAATCGCTGGCGCCCGCAAAGGCCCAGAGGACCACGATGGCGCGGTGCAGCGCGATGTAGGCCAGCAGGTTGAACTTGACGTCGGCGGCGCGCCTCCGCCGGGCATCGGGCCCTTGCTTCCCGATGAGCGAGCAGATGGACATGGCCCTCTCGGCGGTGAGCCGGCCCCGGGAGGAGCGAGCCCATCGGTATGCCAGGGCGAGGTGGTCCGGCTCCGGGGCGCGGCCGTCGGCGAGCCCGTACTGGATCTGGTGCAGGCTGGAGACGGGGCAGCTGAGGTGGACGAAGGCGAGGTGGTAGAATAGGAGGCTGCTCATGAGGCTGCTGCGGTCCGCGTCGGTGCGGACGAGGGACTTGACCCAGGGCACGCCGGCTTCCCATTTTTGCCACGCGCGTAGGAGCCGCGCGTGCCCGGCGGCCATGTCGGCCATGCGTCGGGGCGCGCTTTCGAGGCGCTCTACCTCGGACCAGGGGTGAGGAGGGAGGTTGAGGGGGCGGGCGTTGGTGGCGAGGAGCGTTGTTCGCTGCTGCTGCTGCTGCTGCTGCTGGTGGTTGTGGTTGTTGCTCTGGCTTTGGCTTTGCGTGCTCTCTGCGCCGATGCTGGACATGCCGGGGCTCGGGATCCCGGTGGCTGATCCTGCCGTGACGCTCCCGTCCAGCTGGAGGGCGGAGGTAGCCGCAGCAGAGGCGGTGGGGAAACGAGTCTCCTCACTGTCGTCGCCGAGGAGCATCTCCTGGTCGCGCGTGCACTCCCACACGGGCCACAGCAGACCGAGGGCCAAGAGGTCGTGCCCGACGGCGTCGAGCGGCGGCAGCGGCTCGTCCTTTCCAGAGCGATGCGATACACGTCGGAGGCGCGGAGGTCGCGGCCGGGGGTCCTATCGTTCTCGATGAGCTGCAGGCACAGGCGGGGCGGGAGCTTCTCGCTGCGCCAGACAGTCTCGCACGAAGGGAACGCCAAGTCGATCTCGCCGAGCCAGACGAGCGGCCGGGCGTGGAGAAGGACGCTGGTGTAGGACTCGGCGCGGAAAATGGCGAAAGCGAGGCGGCGGCGGGTCTCGAGGCGCAGCCAGGCGTGGAGGCGGTCCTGGTCCGAGGCGACGGGGTTGCGGAAATCGGCGGCGCCGCGCTTGGCGTAGGCGTCGGAGAAGAGGTCCATGCGGCGGGCCTGCGCCGCGAGCAGGGCGCCGAGGTGCTGGGCGTAGGAGAAGGCGCGGGGCTGGCCAAAGTAGAGGGTGGCCATCTGGGTGGACACGCGGGCCTGGGCGAGCCAGACGAGGTCGCCGTCGGGACTGTCGAGCTCGAGGGGGCTCATGAGGCAGGTCCGCGCGCTGCCGTGCATCATGTTGCCGTAGGCGGCGGAGCCCGGGTCGTCGTCGTGGTACATGGCGCCGATGGTCGTGAGCACGAGGTAGAGGAGCGGGTGGAGTTGGTGGATGTCGAGCGTCTGCGGGCTGAAGAGCGGCCACAGGGGCTCGAAGTGCTGGACGAAGAGGTGCACGAAGTGGTCGAGCAGCGGGGTGTCGGCCGGCGCGGCGTCCGCGTGGATCTCGAAGGCTTCCTTGACCTTGTACGACATGGCGCGCCAGTGCGCTGCGTGGTTGGCCGTGGTGCCGGGTCGCTCCCCGCGGTAGCACGAGGCGAATCCGACCAATTCGTCTACGACTCGTATGCGGCCCGCGTGGCCTGCGTAGGAGGAGTCCGAGCGCCGTGAGGCGTCTTTGGGATAGGGTCCGCCGTTGTTACCGTTGTCGTCGTCGGCGTTGTTATTGGGAGGTAGCGCCTCGCCGATGTGGGCGTGGGTGTGCGGTGTCATGCCGGGACCGCCGGCCCCTGGCCCCTCGGAGTGGTCCACCCGGGTGTATACCTCGCCGTGGAGCCGCTGCGTGAGTAGGCGGCTGCGGCCCCGACCCGCCGCGCTGGCTGCTGGCATAATATGGGCCCGCGCCCCTGTCGGCGTGGTGGCCGGGAAATTCGGCCTCTAGGGGTACCTGTCCCCGGGCGGCGGCGCGTTGAGCAGGCCCGGACCTTGCAACGTGCCGAATATTAGCTCGTCGTAACTGCTGGGCAGGTACAGATTTTCGTGCAGCCAGGGCCAGAAGACGGGGTCGACGTGCTGGGGGTGCAGCTCGAGATCCATCGCGTCGAGGGCCTCCACGTTGTTCACGTTTACCATGGCGTGGCACTCCGTGGCCGGCAGGTTCGGGAGCGGCGGCTGATCTGCGGTGGGTAGTTGCGCCGAGAGAGGAGGCGTCGCGGCGCCATGGAGTTGCGGGGAGGGCCGGACTCGAGGGTGGGTAACTTCACTGCGGGTGCCCGGAGTGTCGTGTCGGAAGGAGCAGATATAGCGGGGTGGTCTGGGCCGGCGTCGTCGGGGGACGCGAGGAGGATGGAGCTGGAGGCTTCCGGGTTACCCTCGTAGTCGAAGCTTTGCCGAGAACAGTCCATGTCTTTCGGCCCCGTGCTGCTGTCGACCTCTCTATCTGCGGTCGGAAGCCGGGCGGGGAGGTGGCTGAGCCGGCGGGACGGGCCATCATATTCGCATGGCTGGTCGGCCTTGAAACAGGCTTCGCAGGGACTCGCGCCACTGCAGCGTATGCGAAGTTCGCGACATCGGTTGCACGCCGTGTGACAGCGCTTCCGGGGCTCCGGGTTCCCTTCTCCGGACCCGGCGGACTGGGCGGAGCCGCCGCCAGAAGCGGAGGGTGCGCGGGTGTGTAGCTTCAGGTGTCGGGAGAGCAAGTCCCGCCTGTAGAAGACGACGCCGCAGGTTTCGCAAATGTGCTGCTTCTGCTTCTGGTGGTTGAGGGCGTGGCGGGCCAAAGACGTACGACCTGCATATGTCTTGCCGCACACGTTGCACCGGTACATGGCCACTGGGTCCGTCGTTAACGTGGTGAAGAAGAAGGCTACCGGGGGAGCGTCCCCTAGAAAGGTTGCCTCGCAGGAAGCGGAGGTACGGGATGTGGAAGTGGATTTCGGATGAAGAATATAAGTGGAGATGGGAGAGGTGGTTTCAGTGCAGGAATGGGCTTTTGGGATGAGCTCTGGGCTGCCGGATCTGCGGGCGGAAGAATCCTTCCTTTCCTTTCTCCGTTGGATCCTAGCCCTTTGAACCGACGGGAATGGTTGTTGGAACGTAGATCCAAAACCTGGTCCACGATAGGGCTGTATCAAAGATTTTACAAGAGCAGCTGGATGGAAACAGGCATGTCTAACGTGAACCTTGGTCTGGGGTAACGTGAGTAGAGGGATGGATGGGACGAGTAGAGCGAGGCGAAACTGAAGAAAGTGGGAAGTGCCGCCACCGCACCGCATAGTATCGTGAGGCAACCCCGGTCGTTTGACCAAACTTCGTCTAACGCCTAACTCTCTCTCTCCATCTCTCTCTCTCTCTCAACCTGGGCGTTTTCGCTGGATCACGTTGCAGTATTGGCGGGGACTAGCAAAGGGCACTGTCCTCCACCGGGAAATAGGGGACCGCTTGCCAGGACACGACAAGAGCCGAGGCGGTCTCCTTTTGCTTGAGGGGAGGAACCGGGTAAAGTGGTTACCGCTAACCTACACTGGTGTTGGTGGCTGCACTAGCGTCCGCCGGCGTCTTTTCGAGATTGACGACGCTAGCTGCGGGAACGTCATCGGCATTCGTTCCCATGGCTAACCCTGCCAACGGTGGTGAATGGGCTCCCAGCTTGCTTTTCTGCTACAGGGTGGAAGGCAGCTATTATGCCTGTGTGTCAACGGGTATGTTTGGAGTATGCTCCAAAGTTGAAGTTGTGGAATCGATTCATGTCATTCAAATTTTGGGAGCTAAAACACTCCGGCGAGACTATTTCTTTTACACGTTAAAACACCAAAGAAACGATAGCTAGTATCCGTCTCCACCCCCATTTTCTGCCCATGTCGCCTCCTATTTGCTTGAAAGCTTAAAAGACAGGCGGTACGGGAGGGCCCCAAATGGCCAGCGCATCAGGTCCGGCCTGTACCGTGGACACCTCGGTCTTGGAGTTGACGAGATCGCCATCCGCGTAGTGTTCCTGTAGCAATATCGAATTGTTAGCTGCATTGTCTCTCGTTTGGGCTGTCCTTGTTGTCCTTGGTCATACCACAATAAACTTGCTCGTGTCGAACCAATAGTCAAACACTTGGCTTCCAAGAACGTGCTATACAATTTCCATCCGCGTTAGCTTCATACTCATCGGTTGATACACATCCCGTCTAGGATCCGACATACCCTGCCAACACCCCAGCACAGCTCGTGGCCCTGGCTCTCGAGGTACTGGTGCCCGAGCTGCTGGACATCAAAGTCGTGCACCTCAAAGGCAGAGTGCGCCACGGCCGGCTCCGCGCCGGGCTTGCACGGCTTGAAGAAGAAGGCGTGGTGGTCCGTGTACTCGAGATCACGGTCGATGTGGAAGAAGCAGCAGATGGGCTCCCCGTCCTTGTACACGACGTCGGAGGGCGCCAGCGCCAGGGTCTTGGTGTACCAGTCGTACATATCCTGGTACCGCCCCTCGGGGTACGTCACGCCGTAGTGGCCCCAGCGATGCACGGGAGCCGCTCCCTTCTTGAACCTGTGGAACTCGCCCTTGCGCGGCTTCGCGTCGCCGTAGTTGACCACCAGCCGGGGCTGCTCCGGCGTCTCCGCCTCCTTGGGCGTCTGTCCGTGTACCAGCAGCACATTGAACCCGATCGGGTCCGTGAGCGTCACCACCTCGCCGCCCCCGGGTCCATCGAGCTTCTCGATCGCGCTCGCGCCGGGTAGCGCCGCCGCTTTCTCGAGCTCCGCGCGGGTCTCCACCTCGTACGCGCCGCCGCCGAACCTGCTCCGCCCGTCCGTCGCCCTCCTGGCCACGTAGACAAGGGTTCCGTGCCGTAGCCCTTGAAAAAGATCTCGTCCTGCCTCTCCTCGGCGATGGCGAGGCCAAAGTCCTCGTAGAACTTGCGTATCTTGTCTAGGTTGCTGTGGTAGTAGATTACGTACGCGGTGCGCAGGATGCGGATGCGCTGATCTTCTGGTGAGAGGGGCATAGTGGGCGATGGGGGGGCTGTGAGGAGAAGGGATAGAGATACAAAGGGGATGAGGAGTACCGGATTCCGAGAATATGCAGCAAGGGTATGATGAAGAATATATCGAGGTTTTGAGGCGATGGTATCTTAATCTTTGAGGAGTAGACTTTGGAAATCCTTCTCTGTCTTCTCTTCTAATGCTTCCTTTCTGTATTTCCTCCTGTTTCGCAGACTCGAAATCCGTTCACTCTATAAACGCTTCGTCGGGTGCTTGTTACCGGCTATTGCGCATCTCGCACTCGTAGTTGTGCTAGATCGGTGCCCACGGGGAGATGCGGGAAGCCACTTTTACCGAGCCCTTAAACCATATACGGCAAAGGTGGCTCTCTGCCCTCTTTTACCCTATGACATGGCCGGGTTGGTATCTCCGATTCCCCCACTGCCCCTTATTTCTCTCCCTTTCCATGAAGCCCAATGTCTCCGATTGGCTCAATTCGGCCCCCGGGGAGCGTGAGCCACGGAACCGGGAAGGAGATTTGTACGCGCCGCCGAGTTCGCAGCCATAGCATCCCAGCTGTATTTATGTCTTTTTCTTTTTGCGTTATTACTCTCATTTCTTTTCTTCTGTACAATCTATCTGCATAAAGTATACTGAGTTTAATACGACATACGAGTTCTCGAACTCTTTTGAAGAACGCAAAAGCGACCTCCGCAAAGAAGAACCGAGACCAGAATCCCAACGTGAAGGATAACACGGCTATTCATAATGTCTTCCCCTCTTGTAGCTTGGGACCGTCTTGTGCGGTACGTTCCCGTGGGCGCCGACACCACCGTCCGCTACGGCCAGCCTATTCTCGAAAACGAGTCGGATGCCGGCTCCATCGCGCAGCTGGCACAAAGCGGAAAGTTGCAGGTCAAGGTCCTGGAAGGCGAGGACATCTTCTCTGCTAAGCCCACAGACAAGGTTGAGACCGTCGCGAGGTTGCTCGGCCCCATCGAGGCGTCCGCTGTGCCCATTATCCGGTGTATCGGCCTCAACTACAAGACTCACAGTAAGCAAAACCCCCCCGCCCTCTTTCTCTCCGTAATAAGAGTGCAGGAAAAGGACACTGTTTGAAGATTCAAAGACTTGGCTAACCACTGACGACAATTATAGTCCTTGAAACCGGCAGGCCACTACCCACGTGTCCCACCGTCTTCACCAAGCCCGGTCCTGCCGTCGCCGACCACGGCGAGGACATCCCCATCCCCAAAGTCGCGCAGGAGCAGTGCGACTACGAGGGCGAGCTCGTCGTCGTTATCGGCAAGGATTGCAAGAACGTGTCCGCCCAGAACGCCCTGCAATACGTCGTCGGCTACGCCGCGGGCAACGACGTGAGCGCCCGCGACTGGCAGCGCGAGCCCGGCAAGGCCGGTCCCGTGCCCCAGTGGACCTTTAGCAAGTCCTTTGACAAGTACGCGCCCCTCGGCCCCTGCATCGTCTCCACCGCCCTGCTGGGGGCGCCGAGGGCCTCGACCTCAAGACCTACGTCAACGGCGAGGTGCGCCAGAGCACCAACACGTCGGACCTGTGCTTCGGCGTCGCCAAGCTAGTGGAGTTTTGCAGCCAGGGCCAGACTCTGCAGAAGGGATCGCTCATCATGACGGGTACGCCTGGCGGCGTTGGCTTGTTCATGAAGCCCCCGCGTTCTTGAAGGATGGTGATTTGGTCGAGGTGGAGATTGAAAAGATTGGAAGGGTGAGCAATAAGATGAAGTTTGAGTAGACGCGTGCATGGATGTAAGGGGTGCTGCAGCATAGAAGGGAAGGGATATACACATCATACTAATAGAGTTACTTTTTCATTATCTCATCTACGGGATTCGAAATATTTCAAGGCTAGTAGCATTAACGCATCAAATGGATTATTCGCGAGCCATATGTCTTTACGTTTCCTTTTCTTCTTCTTGATGTCCTAATTGGCCTAGTTGGGTTCAATTGCGTGACAAGTAGAGAGGGTCACGTCCTGATGGCCGTTGGATAGCCAAAGTGAAGCCGATGCCCTTCGCTATGTCGATCTTCTTTGGAGCTAGGAAGTACTTGAAACAGAACAGGTCTATATTGGATCGAGTTTATGAAAAAGAAAGAGCAGCTAACCTAACTGTACTGGAACGTTTAACAAAGGAACACCACAAGGTGCTAGTGTATATCTCGATAGAACTCTCCCCCTCACTTCCTTAGACCCCATTCGAAGCCAACTCCACATTCTTGCCCAATATCGTACCCAAAACCTCAGCCAACTTGGCAGCTGGATCAGCCACCAAGTCCTGGCACCGCCAAGCCACGAAGTGATCCGGCCGCACGAGCACCGCACCCGTCTCGTTGACCCCGCGCACCTTGTACCAGTCATCGTAGCAGTCGATGTAGTCGCCGCGGAACCCGATGCAATACGCCGCGACCTGGACACCGCCCGCCCGGGACACCTGATCAGCCGCCTTCTTCCACGCGTCACCTCCCACGCCCGTTAGGAGGGTGAAGCGGTTTGCGCCCGCGAGATCGAGCGTGGAGACGCGGCGGGACTGGCCGTTGGCGGCGAGCCAGACGTGCGGTAGGTGGTAGCCCGGGTACGTGCTGAGTTTGACCTGGCGGAGGGGGTTAAGGTCGCCGAAATCAGGCGGGACGTCGCCGGCCTCGACTGCGGTGGCGGACCCGTCGGCGAGGTAAGCCTGGTTCATCTGGATCCCGAGGGATTGCACCTCGTCCTCGGTCGCGGCGAGGGCGTCCCGGAGATCCTGGCGTGCTTGCGCACCCTTGGGCGTGGCGGCCGCGAGGTCATCGCGAAACTGCTGGCGTGCAGCGGGGTCGGAGCCGACGAGGGCCCAGAGCCGGCGGTGGGCGAGCATGCCGTCGTTAGCGCGGCGCACGACACCATCGCCGACAGGCTTGCGCTCCGTCGTCAGGGAAGCGAGCAGGTCTGGCGTAGCCCAGCCCTTGAGCACGTAGGCGAGCTTCCACGCAAGGTTAAAAGCGTCCGAGATGCAGGTATTGCTGCCCAGCCCATTGATCGGTGGGTGGCGGTGCACGGCGTCGCCGATGCACAGCACGCGGCCCTCGTGGTAGCGGTCGGCGAACTGCTCGCGAATGGTCCACCGAAACGTGGACAGGATCTCGAGCTCCACCGTGTCGTCGCCGATGAGCTGGTGTAGCCGCTCGCGAATCACCTCGTGGGACTGGTCGATGGGGTTGAGCCCTTGCGCGCCGGGTGCATGGAGACGACGAACTCGTTCCACGGCCGCACCATGCGGAAGTTGCCGACCGCCGCCCACTCGGGCGCCGTGGAGTTGAGCACCCAGTTTAGGCTGCCCGACCGGTGCGAGAGGTACTTGGAGAGATCGCACCGCACGTGGACGTTGAAGGCGTCGCTGTGCGTCACGCCCGATACGGGGATGCCTAGTTTCTCAATCACGCGGCTGTTGGCGCCGTCCGCGCCGATGAGGTACTTGGCCGTGACGGTGTACGTTGGCGATGAGTCGGACGACCCGTCGGATGAGCTAGACGATGAGGAGGCATCATCTGTGCAGCCGCGGTCCCGCAGCGTGGCGGTGACGCGCTCCGCGTCCTGCGTAAAATCGACGAGCTCGGTGTAGAACCGGAACTCGGCGCCGAGCTTGGTAGCCTCCTCGACCAATACGGGCTCCATGAGGCTCTGCGGCAGGTCTGACATCTCGCACGGGCTGGCGGCCTCGTAGTCGCCTTTTGGGCGGGCTTGTTGCCCCACGCGTAGATGCGGCCGATTTCCTCGCCCGACAGACTTTCGAGCCACGACGTGTGTTGCATGTCTACACATATGGTTAGCCCAAAAATGAAATGAAAAGTATAATGGTGACTTATCTGTCTACGAGATAAGGGGTTGAAGGAAGAGAGAAGTGGCAGGGCCGAAACTTACGTTGCGCAGGACACGCGATACCGCTCATAGGACCCTCCAAGCCAGCGTCACGAAGGACTTCCATGGCTCTTTGATTGAAGATGTGGGCTCTAGGGGTGTTGGCGGTGCTGCGGTGCTTGGAGATGACCATGGCCTTGATGCCCATGCGGGCGAGGAGCAGGGCTGTGGTGGCGCCCGAGGGCCCGGCGCCCACGATGAGCACGGGCACGTCAAGGTTGAGCGAACCGGGCATGGTGATGGACGTTCTTGGCGGCCAGATGAATGAGGACTTGGAACAGAGAGGAGAAAAGGAGACGGCGAAGATGGAAGGCGGTAAGAGAGGGTATGTAGGTATCGATGGTGTACGAGAAAAGAACAGCGAAAGTGATCAAGATAATGAATCAGAGGGAGCCAGATTTTGCCTGCTGCATTAGAGATGCGTAACTAGTATAAGTCTAGTTGGAGCACCGGTGGGTTCCGTACATCAATAGACAAGATGAAAGAAAACGACCGGATCCTACATCCACCTTCTTTACTGGAGATGCACCCCAACTTCGGTGGTCGGAATATGGAGACTGTGGGCGACGGCAAATGAAGAGATCCATGGATGCCATACCACTTGCTCCAGGAGACTCGTACGAGTGGAGGTCGCTGTCCGGGAGGCCAAATCGAAATCATTAACATGGATGAAGAGCTGCCCCGTACCCCGTTGTTGGAGATGCGGCTCGGGAGGAGGTGGGGGCGTATACCACTTTACCCATCATCACGGATGCGGTGTGGGGGAAAAGGGTAAACGAGGGGACCCTAGTGTAGTGGATGTTGGAGATGGAGAAGGGATCTGGGGAAGAGGGAAGAGGGAAGAGGCGGCATCCACATTTTCCTTGTTTATTGGAGTTTGTGGAGACGAGAGGTGTGATCCGAAAGAAACAATGGTTGACCTGATGTTGATGGGAAAGTGGTCTCTTCTCCATGCACGTTCTTTTATGGGGTGCGCGGGGAGGGACAAGGTGGTGCGGAGATGGTGGCGAGATTTGATTTTCAGCCCAGGAAGAGGGTTGGAGGGTGGGACATGACATGGGGAATCCCTGTGGAATGTGGTTTGGTCCTACGAGCTATTTCCTGTCGTTGAAGATATGTCCATGTGGAGTATGTGATGCCGGGCCTTGGGTTTAGTATCTACTGAAGCAACCTCGTCCCCTTGAGCCTACATGCGTTTAGATTGTCGTAACCAGACAAGGGCAACTTTATGCTTGTCGATTCCGGATCGGTCTGCAATTGTCTCAAGGTTCATCCAACGTATTGCTTTCATGCCTTTTTCTTGCGGAGAAAACTTGCACACCATAGTGACTTGAGATATACAGTTGCTAATATTCAGATTTCGACATGTAAACGTTCATATATACAATATACAAGATGGCTCTCTCTTTCCCTCAAAAAGAACGCCCAGACTCATCGAGCTCCTACTCCTTGGACGGAAGCTCGCCATTGACGAGCATGGGCCAGTCTTCAGTGAAGAACACCAGTGATCCCGCACCAACAAAATTCTTGCCATCAGCGCCAAGCACGTTGACATACTCTGCGTCCGCAAGCGCAGCCTCAAGATCTTCCATTGACTTGAAGTAGATCTCCGCCACGCCAGCAAAGGCGTCCTCCTTGTTCATCTCGGACGAGCCCCGGAAGAGCTCCGGCTTCGCGTGGTACTGGGTATATCTCGTCACGCGGCCCCAGAACCCTCGACCTTTTGAGCCAGCGGCGCATGCGTGCCGGCCCAGTACTCGGAAAAGGCCGCTTGGCTCAGGCCATCCTTGGCCCGCAGGAAAGCCACGTACTTGACGCCCGCCCTAGGACCGTCCTTGACCACGCGCTCCTCGGTGTAGTCGTCGTGCTCGCGGCCCAGTCGAGAAAGGTTTCCTCGTCGGGCCGCACGTGGTTGGTGAAGTCGGGCTGGTCGAAGAAGTCGACGACGGCACCGCCCTCGTGCAGGTTTTGGAATGTCTGCGCGAACCCGTCCCACGTTGGGTTGGGGGCCACTTTGTGAGCGAGGGAGGCGGGCGCGTCGCACAGGTGGTTCTGGATGTAGGTGTGGTGGGCGCGGCGGAAGTCGGGGAGCGAGGCGAGCAGGCTGCCGTGTATGCCGTGCCAGTGCTCGTTGTACTGCTCCCTGGCGAGGTCGGGGCGGCGCTTGAGGAGTGTGAATCGGGCGGGAGGGTGAGAGGAGGTCATGATGCTGGGAATGAAGGGAAGGCGTGAGATTGGAGGTTTAGGGCCTGGCGTCTGCAAACGGGATGAGGAGATTGGAGAAGGTGGTGGATGAATGACAGTAAACGGAAGAGAAGAGGAAGAAAAGTCGAAAAGGAAGAGCAAGAAGAAGAGAGCGAAGAAAAGTCCGGCCTTGATTTTGTCTCCTTTGTGCGTTATTACTTTGAAGGATGCACCGAATTTCCGACGTGATCGATGCGATTGAAGCTTTGAGCATCAATTTTGGCTTCCTCGGCTCAAAGTAAAGATAGATGTATACCTAGTACGTGTAGCAGCTAGATCCCCAGACAATAGCTTCCCGCAGCCAAACACCACATTTCCCCGGCTGATGCTAGTAGATGCTTGAAGAAAAAAAAAGAAAAGAGAAACGGGGTGCTGCTCCAATTCTGGAGAGGCTAGTCCGTTCATAGACTTCATGGGGAAACTGGGGACTCAAGTGGACAGAGGAGACCCTTAGCGTAACCACTTTACCCATGAGCCGGAATTTTCTTGGCCATTCTCACCTTAAAAATCATGCCACCGTTTCCGGGGGAGCAGGATCACTAGGTATAGGTCCAGCCTTTGCCTTACGGGAATTGGGGGATTTGATAATTGGGAATGAGCTAAATCTCTGTAGCCTCCGGGAGACAGGTTGGCGGGTCATGCGTGGACACCACCAGGATGACCATGTGCCGGGATGTGTGACTGGTATGCCTCCATGTGTTGCATCAACGATACTCGCCCTGGTAGGTGGACTCTATACCGACATCCTTGCTTTTGGGTCGACGCTATGAGTGCCCTTGAGAGAGATAGAGCAGATAATTTCAGGGGCGGGGACAAATAGACGTGGACAAGACCTTACTTGAAATACATGTACCAATCGGTCTTGTTTGTTGACCCCGTAAATGAAGAAGTTTAGAGATATCTGAAGTATTGGTGATTAGGCGGAGAGCGCAAAGAAGGGTATTTACTGGCCAAATGGAACTCAAGGCAACGTATGGATACTGAAGAGCTTCATTGTGGGAATTAGGAATAGGCGCCAAGATGTATGGATTTCAAGTTGAACTAAATAAAGTCTGCGGCCATGTCCTTCTTGAATCTCACTCTGCTGTCTGCGCCCTCAACTCCTAAAGCTGTCCCATAACAACTGACTCAAGATGGCCCTCGAGAAAGAAGGGATAATGAAAAGAAAGGAAGCATCAAAACCAGAACCACTTTCCCCATATCTTAGTACACATAGCGGAACTGGGGGTTCTTCATATCCGTCACATCATCCTCAAACGCGTGCTCGAAGCCCTCAGCAGTACCCGCCTTGTCCCTCTTGGAGTTCTCCCAGACGCAGTACTGGCGGTATACCACGGTCAAAGCAATGGCGACGCAGCAGCAAGACATGACGGCGGTCCAACCGGGGTAGAACTGAGGCGAGTCCTTGGCCTTGAAGAGGAGAGGCGCGACAAAGTTTCCGAGGGTGTAGCCGATGAATAGACCGGACGAGGCGACGGATCGCTTCGTGTATCCTGCATTGTTGGCGGTGGCGAGACTGGAAAAGAAGCGAGTTAGTACATATATCCGTGCACGCGTAGTTTTAGAGATTGGCCTTGCTAAGAGGGAGTGCACACTTACCCCATAGTAACACCAAAGCTACCACCCCAGATGGGGAATAGGTAGCAAGCAAAAGAAGAGCACCCTTTTCAGCTCTGGGGAGCTTCCAGAGGAGGATAGACGCAATCATGGCAACGGTGTAACCGAGGATGACGATGTAGCAACGCATGTTCTTGTACTTGTACGCAATGTACGGAAGGAGAATGTTGACGATACCAGCCGAAAGACCGTACGGCATGTTGAGCAACATGGTGTTCAGCCTGTTGAATCCAAAACCATTGATGATGATGGGGATGAAGCTGGAGCCGGGGCCGTTGGGAATCATGTTCAGGAAGCCCATGGCGAAGAGAAGCCAGAACTTGACGTCCATGAGCAGCTCGTACACCTGCTCCTTCTTGAAGTGCGTGTTTCGCACACCCGAGTTGTTGGTCTGGAGGCGGGAGACGGCAATGTATCGCTCACGGTCGCTGAGTCCGCGGACACGGATCGGGTCCGGAGGAAGTAGAAGAAGAGGACAAAGGCCCAGATGACGGTGAGACCGCCGGCGAGGAGGAACATGTACTGCCACGCCTTGAGGGCGCCCGAGTTGATGTGGCCAAGGCCATAGTTGATCAGCGGGGAGATGATGGCGACGAATCCAGCTACGCGAAAGGGGAGAAGTGGTGTTAGCCGCCGCTGCCGCCAAATTGTTATGTTTGCTTTTGAACAAGTATGAAGAGAAGGTTGAGGCTGCAACTTACTAGCACTGTACCAGATACCCTGGCGCAAGGCCTGTTCCTTCTTGGTGTAAAAGGAGCCGACGGACAGCATAAAGATGGGCGAGACGCCGGACTCGAGAAAGCCGAGGAAGAAGCGCTGGATGTACACGGCGCGGAAGGTGAAGCAGCCCGCGCAGGCCATGAGGCAGCCGCCCCAGATGAAGACGATGGTGGACAGGACCCTCTCGACGGGGAACCTCTGTGCTAGGAGGGTGGCGGGGACGGCGCCGACGAGGAAGCCGAGGTAGAAGATGGACGCGGCGAACGAGTACCGGTTGCCAATGTCTAGACCCGCGTCTTCGCGGAAACCAAAGATGGCCTGGCGCACGAGAAAACAAAATCAGTTAGCTCATGGTATTTTTGGGGGAGGGGTGATGATTATCCCCGAAATCTCCAGAACGAGAAAGGAAAGGGAGCGGGAATAAAAAACTCACAGCCTGGCCGAGAATGGCCTTGTCGTAGAACTGGAGGCCGTACGAGACAAAGAGCAAGCTCAAGAGGCGGCGGTCAATCTTGCGCACCAGCTTCTTCTCCTCCTCGGCGCTCCACTCCGGGTCGCCGGTATATGCGGCTAGCACGCGCGTGGCCTCGTCGTTGTGGACGACGTCGACGACGGGCTTTTTCCCACAGTCGTCGATCATCTCGAGCTCCTGCTTGGAACCCGCGCCGTCGGCAGTCTTTTCTACTTCGGTCACGGAGCCCATGACGAAATGGGGGAGGGTTCAGGTTCGGGAAATAGAAAGAAGAAACTGTGGACAAGAAGAGATGATCAAACGATAAAGAAAGGGAACGAAGATTGGAGAGTGTGTGTTCTTGTGTCCACTCAGTCCTGGTCCTTTTGCCGCGAGAGGCCTTGATGAGAGCAAGAGTCGAGGATGGCGATTTTGTTTTTGGTCCCGGGCATTCAAGGTCTTCATATGCATTTTTCGCATCACCACGAGGTTGCCTTCTTTTTTCAACAAGATCTCCCCTCAATACTCAACATTGGCGTCTGGATAAGGATGTTTCGAACGTTCTGTTTTGCCTCTTGCTCTCTCTCGGTTTATTTTTTTCTCGCCTTCCCACCTTTGCCCTCTTACCCCAATGGGCTCGGTTGCCTGCCCCAGCTTTGACAAGGGGTTCTGGAAAAGTGGTAACGTTAGCACGGCGCTACTGCCGATAGCGCCAGGCAAGCTGCACCAGTCAATCGTTTTCTGGGGAAAGTCTGTGGGGACAGTTGGAGAAGGAGCGGGGATGTCATCTGGGAAAATCCCCACGATATCCAGACGCTAATCATGCCTGCGGAGCGAGATGGGAGAAAAACCACAAGACACCTTGAACAACCCCTCCCTTTCCGGGTCCCAGGTCTCTGGGTTCTCTACTACCAGTCCGGGGGTTGACAAGGGGTCGGAAAGGGAGGTAACGAGTGGTAAGAAAAGGCGGGGGAGGGAGGGGAGTAAGAGCTCCGGGGAGATTAACATGGAGCGTGGCATCGTGGCCCACGGATCTCGCTTCGCACCAGGATATAGACTACGAACTCCTCCAATGGGGGACATCTGCGACTTTGCGTGACAGTGTTCCAAGATTGGTTAAGTCAGGTTATGGCAGCGTGGATCGACCAGATCTAGATCGATGCTTCAAGAGCTAGCGTGCGTCTGGGCTTGCCCCCTTTGTATGCTCGCTCTCCCAGACCAGCTACACAAGCGGAACACGGATCGCTGACGCTGTGGGGATCCACGATGCCCCACGGGGAAAGCGAATCTCTACCTCGGCCAGCTCGGCACCCGTCATCCACTTGCATGGACCTCCGCCGACCCTCACGACGCGCCGGAAATGGTCGACGTAGCCAAGCCATGTCGTTGAGCTTCAACGGATGAAATTCTCCCTCATCCCCCTTTTTTTACCTCCCGGAAACGTCTCGACACCACTTCATCCTAGATACTCTTTTCAAGCACCCCTCCAACGATAACCTCGTCTCTTCAAAAGTGTTTGACCAGGATGGCGGAATACGAAAACCTCCCCGACTTCGACTCCCTCCCCGCGTCGAGGACATGCCCCAAGGTTGCGCCTGGGGTGTCTTCGACAAAAACGGGACCAAGGACCTCCTGGGCTGCATCAACCTTCTCACCCCCAGGTCGTCAAGGACGCCCTCGACGAAGCCCGCGACGGCGTGTCCATCTCCCTCAACTGGGACATGGCCGCCGTCAAGACCCCGGCTTCGGGCGCCGGGCCCTCCACCACCACATCATCGATTTCCAAGAGACCCCGCTCAAGGCGCACGGCTTCGACGACGAAATCACCTTTAACCCCCAGTCCGCCTCGCAGTGGGACAGCCTCGTGCACGTCGCCCACCAGCCTACCGGCCTCTCCTACAACGGCTGCAAGCCCACCAAGCAGGCCCTCCTCGACGGGGATGACGCATGCCTCCCGTCTCTGAACCACTGGCACGCACGGGGCGGACTTGTGGCCCGCGGCGTCCTCCTCGACTACCGCGCGTACGCCCACACCAAGGGCATCGCGTACGATTGCTTCTCCAACCACGGAATCTCGGTCCAGGATCTCGAGGCCGTGGCCGCGTTCCAGGGCACCACCTTTAAGCAAGGGGACGTGGTCATCATTCGCACGGGTTTCACTGAGGATCTTGGTGCCGCAGACGCGGATGAGCAGGTGCGCATGATGAATACTCACCAGGCCGTTGGTGTCAAGGGGAACAGGGAATCAGCCAAGTGGTTCTGGAATCACCACTTTGCCGCCGTAGCTGGCGATACAATTGCGTTTGAGGTTATGCCTCCCCTGCTTGAGGATGAAGGAGATAAACCCGGCGAGACGCGAGATCTAGGTGAGTATCGCATCGCAGTGCTATGGCCAGCCCATCCCCTGCCCCATACTCCCGGAGTATATATAGCCCGGCTAATGCTATGCAGTCCTCCACCAGTACTTCCTTTCCTTGTTCGGCCTGCCCATCGGCGAGCTCTGGGATCTCAAAGCCCTAGCAGAGCACTGCCAAAAGATTGGCCGCTATTCTTTCTTGCTAACCAGCGCCCCGTTGAACCTCCCAGCCTCCGTCGGCAGCCCGCCAAATGCCTTGGCCATATTTTAGGTGGCTCGTAGCGCGTGATGAAATGTTTATATCAAGGCGAAGGTGTACTGGTGGAAATTGACAATTGTTTGTGCAGTATATTTGTGTCCCAAAAAAGTGTTTAGCGTGACAATATGTAGTGTTTCCAGTGAATTATTTGCTCTCCGTATCCACCTAGCCTCCTTCCAAGGAGTCACGTCCGATTCGTATCTTTACATATATCGCGGGCTAGCCCGACTTATATCCCCGGGAGGTTGTCGGAAGGCCCCACCCGGAGCCGCCCGCGTAGAGGCGGAGGCCTTTTTATTGCCGCGCGGGAAGGAATAGGTCTAGCAATCCAAATCCCCATCTGGACCCGCTACCCCTTTCGATCCTCCAGGTACGAAGTAATTTGGAATTTAGTCAGCGGGGCAGGGAATCCTGCCATCACATGTCGCTTGAATCTCATCTTATTTCATAATCTTAGCCTCGGGGCGTTGGAACTCTGCGGCCTGAGCTCAGTGCTACCTTGACGCACACACGCGGTAGTTGTACCGTTGGGGCCACAAGATCAATGTCGGGCCGTTGATCTCGATATCCGCTGCAACCACGTGAGTGCCTTCAGTGGAAGGAGTCGACTGAGAAGCAACATACGAAGCTGCAGTCAGACGCAAAATGAGTGAATTTCTGGTGGGCACCTACCCGGTGAGACCTCTCTATAATTCATGGCAGTTAAGGACCCCGCAAGCTCCGACGTTACATATTGGACTGCCCAGAGCGGGGCCTTTGTCTCGATTCGGTATCCGATCCGGCTCGCGCCCGACCCTCTCTGCCTTTTACCTGGCCCTGGTAGGCGTTCCGAAGGTGCTCCGATGATCCTTCACGATGCTGAAATGTAACCTCTATGTCTTGTCCGCAACCCCAAAATGGAGGGGATCCATCGCCGACGTTAAAAGCGATCGAATGATACCGCGATGAGGATCCCACGAGAAACGCGCGCGGATAATGATTCGCCAAAGCGGGGGAAAACACGCGCAGCCGTTTGCAAAGCGACGAGACGAAAAAGGTGGATAAAAACGGACGCTCGCCTACTCACCAATGACTACCTTTGTCCTCTTTTTGCAGCAAGGGCTGAGGTCGATCACAACCGCAAGTATCCGTGGCCTAGAGATCACCCCTGAGTGTCAAGATGAAGTTTCTCTCCTGCGTCTCTCTTCTCGCCGCCCTCCTCGCGTCCGTCGAGGGCAGGGGCAGGGCGGGAGGAGACACCACTCACGAGTTCAGGCCTGCGACGCACAAGTTCAAGCCCTGCTCCCGCCCTAAGAAGCTCCCGGGAAGCCGCAAGCCGCTGATCCCCAAGAAGGAGGTCCACCTTGCCTACGACCCGGTCGAGGAAGGGGGCGAGGGCTCCATTGACATGACGCTCCTCATGAAAGAACCTGCTGTTGTTCTGGAGGACGTTGAAGATATTATCGGTACCATTTGCGGCAAGGGCTTCATCGACGTTTCTTTCTTGAGCAAGGATGCCTTTGACGAAGCCTTGGCGGATTGGATCGACAATGAGGCCCTCATCTTCATCACCAACCATCTGGGCAACTGTGACACGGAGCTCGAGCGCGGATTCTTCCTCGCCAGCGGATTGGAGCCCAACGCCGAGACGTTGTCCATTCGGGCCAACGCCGCGAAGAAAACTCTCGAGACCATCGCCGGTAAGGCCACTCACCCTCTCCCTTTCTTCTGTTCCAGTGAAGATCATTTCGGAAACCGAAGAATTGCGAGCTAACAATCAGTCGTTTAGCGGATCTGGAGATCAACTTTACCTCCATCCCCGGAGCCACGGTGGACAAGCGAGCCGTCATCGACCCCAGCCTTTCCATCACCATCTCCGAGGGCCTAGACCCCAACACTGTCCTTTACACCGACGGCACCTACTTCACCCTCACGGCCAACGAGGCCCAGTTCACCGCAACCGCCACCTTCTCCGGCTACCTCCACTACAACTTCCTTCTCTGGAGACTCGAGGCCTTGTATTTCGACATCGACGCCTCCTTCGACGCTTCCTCACCATCTCGGCCGACGTCCTCGCAGCATTCGCGGATACCTTTAAATACTCCCCAGGCAGCCTCTCCTACGACTTCGTCTCCGTTCCCGGCATCGTCAAGCTAGGGCCGGGACTAGACTTCGGAATCGGCTGTGATCTCGACGTCTCCGCCGCCGTCGGCGTCACGACCTCGGCGGGCGTGGGGATCCCCACGGCAACGTTCACCTCGATTTCCTGGATGGCACCAAGACCGGCACCTCGGGCTGGGAGCCCCAGTACCGCGCTTCCGCCAACATCACCGAGCGTGCCGAGGTCGGCGTGGACGTCTACGTGGATCTCACCGTCGAGCTGGCGTTTGAACTCCTCGGCGGCCTCGTGGACCTCTCCGCCGGCATCACGGCGACTCCCGGGTTCGACAACAAGTTCACCGTCGCCGCGTCCCAGGGCGCGGGCGTCGAAAGCCGCGAGGCTGGAGAGGCCGTGACCAAGAGGGATGTGGCCGTTGTTGGCCTCGAGACGCGCCAGGAGGTGGCGTGTGCCGAGACGAATGCCGTGCATCTTGTGACGGACTTTACTTCAAGGTGACGGCGTTTGCCACGCAGTGGTGGAGCCAGGAACTTTACAAGGTCGTGGTTCCGCTTTTGGATTACTGCTATGCGTGGTAAGATAATTTTTGTGTGGGCGAGCCAGTTCAAGACCTTCATCCTGTATGGAGTTGGTATGGCCACTAAGCCTACAAATATCGGATGAACAGGATTGGAACTTGAGGAATTATGAGATGGTCCATTAGTTGAGATTACTGTCCTTCATTTTATGGGGTGCCCTAGGCCCCTGACTACATAGTTCTATTGACACCATTTCTTTTGTAACCGTCTATCACCTCAACTCTTTAAGCCACAATTTTCGTTGTTATGAGGATGCGTTTAACAGCAAACAGCTCAATTTGACGCTGTACACTCGTAGCTCGGCAAGGTAGTAATCGGCCTCACGTCCTAGGCGGTGTTTCTTCACATATGCCAAAGCTGGTTTCACCGCTTTTGTTAGACAGCCTACGTTTTCTAGAAGCTGAGTCGAGACGAGTAACTTCTCATTTTAGTTGCTCAATACCTTGCGCGGCGAAAGATATAGGAGAGTGAGATTGGAAAGAGGAAAGAGGAAGTAGTTCTTAGAATTCAACCAAGCTATGCTAAGCTCCCTGCTCCCTGACAGCTGCAGTGATTGAAAGTAAAATGCATCCAAGCAAATCGCTAAATAAAAACAAAAGGCGCTGCTAGATGCGAGCTACTACTTCTATATACGTGAGTCCAACTAAGCCTCACTCTCCAACGAGTTAAAGCAACCTTTGGCTCTCCATTTGCCATTAGGCGCGGGTGGGGGTATCAATTAATAATAACGGATGCGTTAAGCCTCCTCCTCATCGACGTTTTGCTTCGCATCAGACTTGTACACAGCCTGAACAACCTCTCCGTTGGTCTGCACATCAGACTTGTAGGTCTTGAAGTCCCTGGCAGGGACGCCCTTCATAAACATCTCATCCAACTCTTCGTAGGTACGTCCAGCGGTTTCCGGAAGGTAGTACCACAAGAACACAAGCGACAGGATGGCCAGACCGCCAAAGATAAAGGCCAGCTTGGCACCGAGGTTGGCCTTGTCCGGGTTGAAGAGGTAGGGCAGGACGAAGCTCCACATCATGTTGAGGCCGTACTGGAGAGTCATGCCGATGGCGATGGTCTTGACTCGCAGGCGGGAAGTGGACACCTCGCATAGAACAGTGTACGCGGTGGCACCAATGGTGACGTTGTACCACCAGCAGTAGATGAGAATCATGGCCACGGTTCCCTTGATGGCGCCCGGGCTGCCGTCCACGGCGAGACCGCCCATGAGCCAGAGGATGATGTTGAGGACGAAGAGGCCCCAGAAAGAGAGGCTGCGTCGACCGAACCTGTCGACCAGGTACCAGGACATGACGTTTCCGACCAGGGAGATGACCTGCTGGACGATTTGGAGCTTGAAGCTCGTGGCGGTGCTGTACCCGGCCAGCTGCATATAGTAGGTGGAGTAGGAGGCGGCGAAGACGATGCCGGACAGGGACTGGATGCACAGCAAGCTGACCGAGATGATTGTGCGGCGCAGGTTCGACTTGCGGAAGCACTCGAGGTAGGTTGCGCCGTCGGTCTCGGCCTTGACCTGGTCGAGGGTTTGCTTGATGGCGGCGAGACGCTTTTGGCCCTCCTCGCCGGGGCTGCTGAGGCGCGCTAGGGCTTTCAGGGCCTTTTCTTCGCGACCCTTGGATACGAGCCACCAGGGGATCTGGTGGGAGGAACCACGTTAGAATTTATGCGCTGTTTGCGGTATTGACAAGTGGAGGAAATGATTTTTCTTTTCTTGACTTACTCAGGCATGAATGGCACAAACAAAGTAGCAATGACGGCAAATCCGTACTGCGCGCAGAAAACCGCACGGTAAGCCCAGCGGTTCTCGTACGTTCCCGTGTCGTTGACGATGAGCGCGACGACGAGGGGCCCTAGGGTATAGGCGAGACCCGTGACGCAGGTGAGCATGCCGCGGAGGGCGAGGGGCGCAACCTCGCCAATGTAGGACACGGTGACGGAAGCGAGAGCGCCGATGGCGAAGCCGTTGAGGAACTTTCCGCCGAAGAAGAGCTCGTTGGTGGTGGCGACGAACTCCATGGTGATGGCGCCGTAGGAGATGACGAGGCAGATGATGATGACGGCGCGGCGGCCGATCCAGTCGGCGACGGCACCGCATCCGAGAGCACCAATCATACCACTGTTCGAGATGGCGAGGATAGGTTAGTGATCCATTCTCATACTGCTACTGCTAGGTTATGTAGAGGGAAAGGGAAAATAGTAGTTTTAAAAACTTACGATGCGACGGGAGCGCCCTGGAAAGCGCTCTGCCAGTTGGCGTGTAGAACATAGCTACCCTCGTACTCGTAGCCGAAATCCTTGCGGAACTCGGGCACGCTGATAATGTTGCCGGCGGCCTGGTTCTCGAAAGACACGAGCAGGACGCACCAGACGGAGAAGAGGCACCAGGCAAAGGCCCAGGGATACCTCTTTATGGATTCGAACTTGCCGAGCTCGTGCTCCTCTTGGTTGGCGAGGTGGGCGAGGTTGTCGTTGTTGTCGTGGTGCTCGGCACCGACCTTTTCGATGGAAGGCCCTCTGGATGGCATGGTGAGAGAGTGTGTGTGAGGTCACCCTCTTCTTTTGGGAGAAGTAGAGAAGTATATGGAGAGAGGAAAATGGAGGAGAATGGTGTCTCGTGGATGAGGTGAATGATGATATCCTAAACTTCCGAGACAAGCTGTTGTGCCGCGCGGGAGATTATACGATTCTTATATGCCCCGGCAAGCAGGATAGTTTGAACCTCGGATATGGGTCGAGAAATTCCTCTCCCAAAAACGAAAACGATGCCGGTCGGTCGGATACGGGGGAGGGCCAAAACGAGCCAAAAGAGGACAATCGCACAAGTGGGTAATGCCTGACCCGCCTCGTGCGTGGAGACCCCACAGAGATGTTTGATGTCGAACCACTCGCGGAGATCTGGGGCCCCGGATTTCGCGATCAAAAACCCTCACGAGATGTCCACTGGAAAGGATGGGGGAAAAGTGTGGAGAGTAACACGGGGAGAGGAGAAACAAGGGGAAGGAAAAAAAAAGGGAGATCTTTGTGGAGGAAAATTGATTTGATCTGGCGAGAATACGGAGCCCACTTTTTCTTTTTGGGGTGTCTCGTTCGGAGCGCATCTTGGGTCGTGAGTTCGAGTGGGTTTCTTCGTCTTTTTCGGTCGTCCAGTGTTTAAAGTTGCCCGTCTCGGCGGGGATGTCCCCACACGAAGTTGAGCTTCGGGGCGAGGAGAAACGACATGTACATCGCGCTGCTGTTCGGCCCATCCGGGCGCGACCGAGAGACGCCACGCCACATTGCGTGGATCAATTACCTTTGGCTGCTGAGAAGTGGTGGGTCACCCGCCCATGAAAATTCCTTTGCCCGGCCCTTGATTTCCTCGGTTTTTCCCCTTGTCTTCCTGGCCAGGTACTATAGGTCTCTACGTCGATCGGTGCCCCCTTCCAGGGCCGTCTCCGACGCCGGTCCCAGTCGGGGTGATTGTCCTCCAAAACCACGTGGCTCACAGCTTTCACCCACCGAGACATTACTTGTGGGTGCCATCTTGGCAGGGCTGCGTTGGGGGAACAAGCTACTCCATCTGGCCTACCCGTTCCCTAGGAGCTTAGAGCTCCATTCGTTCGTAAGACCGAGCAACAAATGTACTTCAAGCCCCCGAGCCATCAACTCATCTTCTCTGGCTCCCGATCACACACGCGGCATTCGGCAGTACATGTATAGACTAGAAGACAAGGCAAGGGGCGGGAAAAAGAAACCTGGCGAGATCCTTGTTCCGCTACCGACAAGCGTGCATGACGAATCGGTTGTTCCTCGGCGCACGAGAACATTTCAAGACTTGTAGCTGAGGCGAGCGAGACGAGCGAGACGAGCAGCGACTGGCCAGGACCGGCGAAGAACAAGGCAAGCAGGGCAAGGGGGAGAAAGAAAAATTGGGTCGGCCGCGATGCCGTTTTGGGGACAGCTAGCGGCCGGCTAGACGCACGCTAAAGCATCGGCAGTGCCGTCTGATTTGCTTCATCGGAATATTCTAGGCTAAACCGCACACGAGGACAAGGGGACGATGGGCTTGGGGGTGACTAGCCCCGGTGGCTAAAGCTGCTGCTTTGGGAACGGGAACGGCCTCGGTTCCGATCGAGGGGTCCCTGGACATATAACACGCGATGCAAAGGCGTTCTCTGATCATCACATCTGACGTGGAGGCAGATATCCAGCCAAACGTTGAACCCCTACCAGCGACAAGGGCAAGCCCACTCCATATTCCAGAGATCACAGTTCAGGGGATCTCGACATCTTTGAGCAGGAAAAAAATTAGAGAAAGCCAAAAGAAAGAGCGAGAAAAATGGCGACGAGCGAAACCTCCAAGCTCCTCAGCTTCCCCTCGAAGCCGAGGGTGTTCATCGTCTCCGACATCTCCAACGAGCCGGATGATGCCGAATCCCTAGTCCGCTATCTCCTCTACTCTAATCAGTTCCAGACCGAGGGCCTGGTCGCCTGCACGTCCACGTGGATGAAGACCAAGGTGTGCCCCCAGGACATGCACAAAATCATCGACGCGTACGCCCAAGTGGAGGCGAACCTGAACCAGCATGCCCACCCAGACTTTCCCTACCCGTCGGCGAGCTATCTCAAGAGCATAATCAAGCCCGGTGCACCTGTAAGTGGAGCCTTTTTTTTCCGCTATCGGGGGGGACGTCGATAATCGGCCTACTGGTCCCCACCTCCGCCCCCGCCTTCCTTCCTCGCTCCCTTCCAATACCTATCCGCCTCACTTTCGCTAACCTGGTATACTTCGTTGTGGGAACAATAGGTATACGGTTTCCAAGCCGTCGGGGATGACATCCCCTCAGTGAAGGCGGCGAGCTCCTCCTGCAGAGCATCACCGCGCCCTCCAACGATCCCCTCTGGATCCTATGCTGGGGCGGCACCAACGTCCTCGCCTCCGTCCTGTACAAGCTCCGCGCCTCCCGCTCCAAGGAGGACCTCGCCGCCCTGACGGCCAAGCTCCGCGTGTACGCCATCTCCGACCAAGACGACACGGGCGCCTGGATCCGCAACACCTTTCCCGAGATCCTCTACATCGCCTCCGTCCACGGCTGGAACCACTACGGCATGGCGGCGTGGACGGGCATCTCGGGCGACAACTACTACGGCTTCGACCAAGGCGGACCCGACTTCTCCATGCTCACCAAGGAGTGGTTCAAAGAGCACGTCCAGATCGGGCCCCTCGGGTCCGCCTACCCCGATTACCTCTTCATCCCCGAAGGCGACACCCCCACCTTCCTCTACCTCGTCCAAAACGGCCTCGGCGTGCCCGAGAGGCCCGACTTCGGGTCCTGGGGCGGCCGGTACAAGAAGACCGACGTCAGCGGCGACGGCCTCGCCAGCAACCACCACTGCGATGCCGTCGACCACGTCGTCGGCCAGGACGGCCGCACCTACAAGTCCAACCACGCCACCATATGGCGCTGGCGCGACGCTTACCAGCGGGATTTCGCCGCCCGCATCCAGTGGACCCTCTCCCCCTCCCTCGCCGGCGTCAACCACCACCCCGTCGTCTCCGTCAACGGGTCCGCGGGCACCGCCCCCGTGTACGTGACCGCCGAAGCCGGCAGCACGTTGCGGTTCGACGCGTCCGCCACCTACGACCCGGACGGCGACGCCCTCACTTTTAAGTGGTGGCACTACCGCGAGCCCAGCGCGACGCAGTGGTGGGTGTCGGCCGAGGTTGCCGAGGTGCAGATCGACAAGGAGGATGCCGAGGGTAGGATCGTGAACATCACGCTTCCTGGCCCGGAGAAGTGCTGCGTTGACCTGCTGAGCAGGAAGGCGACCGCGGAGGGCCAGCTCCTCCATGTTATTCTCGAGGTGACTGATTCTGGGTCGCCGAGCCTGACGAGCTACAGGCGCATCATTATCCAGACGACGAATAAGGAGTTGAAGGGCGGGTCGGACAAGGAGGGTGAGGCGATTGGCGATGTCATGGCCCAGATGTAGGGCGGCAGAGATAGGGCATTGTAAAATTGAGTATAGCTGCCAACTGCTCCAGCAGTGAAATTGGCTTAGCAAGGAGGAAGAGGGCGGGTTCGTACTAGGGCCGACTGTGGGATATCGGGTTGTGTCATGAAACCATGAATGCTTCTACTATTCACGAAATTTTGTAACGTATCTGACAGAACGATAATTGTTCATGAACCCCATCAACCCATCTGCGCGAACGTGTGATTCAACCCTATTGAAAGACGAACCTCATATTACGAAGGGATCAGTTTCGTGAAATGCCGAGGTCATCGAGCTAACCTTGGTTGTCGTTGCCGCCGTCGGTTTCTCGAGTACCCCTGGCGCTCATCTGTGTCCGCAAGCCGCCGTCAATAATACCACAGCTCCGAGAGCGCTTCGGAGGAAACCCCAAATTAGCGGCAATGGTCATGGAAGGAGGGCCCACTTGGCGTCCTTCCATCAACCGCCGACCAGGGTGCTCCTGGTCGCCATCCGGCCTGGACGAATGCCTCGTTGGGACCAAGCTAATGTCGGCGCCGACCCAAAGAGACCCCCTTTCACTCTCAGCTTGCGAGCTCTTCCTTGTATTTGCTTTATAGTTCTAGAAAATTCCGGGAATACGGAGTAGCTTGCTCAGGTGCATATATGTATCGGCGGTCTGTCTTGCTCGAAATGGACAAAAACACGTCATTTCACATCACCCGCGTATGCTTCCCTGACGAACAAGGCCCTTGCGACGATACGGGTCCAAATGAACCCTCCTTGCATGATTACTAAGGTCAATAAATTAGACAATCTTCTGGGGAATCGGCTCTCTGGTGGAGATGAATTGGCAAGAGCAATAGACATACTCACGGCCCGATATAAAGCAGGAGCCCTCCTCCCCAACATTCCCGGATTGTACGAGCGAGGAAGGCTCCACCCTGAATTCATTCCTCGCTGACTGGGTAGAACGTAGAACGCGGTGGCAAGCGACCCTTAGAATGAATGTTCGCGTCCATCCCAATTGATCTCTTCTCTCATCCTCCCATCCTCTCATCCTCATGCCTAAACATAGTGATTACTTTAGCCGGGGCCGCGACGCTGCCGTTGTGCGAGCTGCCCCCTGAAGGCGTTTATTGGCCCGTCCAACCAACCGAAAGCTGGATATTGATTCCCACGCCTGGAGCACCCTGTGGGAAGATCAATAGCATCTCCCCGCTTGTTGGTGGGCAAAGCCGCCGAGCCGAACGATAGATTGCGATCCCAACCCCACTTTCCCAGGCCAGAACCTGGGGTTATAGACGATGGGAGCGGACCCCGTATATATGTTCTGACCGTGTACGGAGCACAGAGAAAAGCTTAGTTTTCCCTCTCCTGCTCAGGCATCTCGTCATCCCATTCTTTTAAGCTACGGGACCCTTACACTTGGTTCTACGCCCACACGCGCGACGATGCTTTCCAAATCCCTCGCGTTGGTAGCCAGCACCGCCGGCTACCTAGTATCGACGACTTCCGCCCAAACAACGACCACGCCCTTTTACACGGCCGTCTACACGACCTCGCTCGAGGCCACGCCCACTATCGATGTCCTCTGCGTCAGCCGCGAGACGTGGCTCGACACCGTACCCGTGAGCCTGGTGATGCCCCGCGAGGTGTCGGGATGGCCCGAGAACGGAGTCACCGTCGTCGGGGCCGCCGTCTCCAAGATCCCCGTGCAATGCGGAACCAAGACGATGACATGGACGACATCCCTGCCCATGAGCTGGACGCTGTCGGGTAATAGTCGCGGCGCCGCAGGAACGCGACGGCGACGAGTGAGTCATCACCCGCCGAGACAGCCGCCGAACCCACGGGGGCGGAGCAGCCGACCGACGCGACCGAGACAGAGCCAAGCGAGGCGGAGAGCAGCGAAACCCAGTCCTCGTCGTCGTCGTCGGCGGCCGAGGCGAGCGAGGCCCAAGTCACCGCCCAGGCCAACCCCGCCACGCTCACGTCGACGTACGTCGCCACGGGGTCCGAGGTTAGCACGCTGGTCAACGAAGTCGTGGGCACGTCGCGGCTGGAGTGGTACAGCACCTCCCGGGTCACGTTCGTGGAGGTGGTCGGGCCCGACTACCCGGCCACGATTGTGCGGACGGGCTACACGACGATTGAGTTTTCGCACAGCGCGCAGGATTTGCAGGTGGAGGAGTCCTCTTTTGAGGCTTCGAGCACGGGTTCGTTCTTGAGGACGACTACGATGGTGCAAGTGTCTGCGGAGCCTACGGAAGAGGCAGAGGAGTAAAAGGGGCGCTCTGCGATGGGCCCGTAGGGCAAGCGGTGACTCTAGCACGACTCTCTGCGTTCTTTGTCCTTTCTTAGCTTACTACGCTCAAAATATTACACCTTGTACATATTGCGCTGCATGACTGAGCTACGGTTGTCGTATATAGCAAATGCGTAAGATGGCGCTTCCTATTTTTATGCACTCGTGAGCAAACGCTCCTTGTTGTAAAGGTCAAATCCGCTGTATCCGGCTGTGCACACTCTCTTCCCCGGTAAACGCTGAGCTGAGGGCGACGACAAAAGTTCGCTCAATTTCAAAGTCTGAGCTTGTGAACTGCCGCTTTTGGTGCGTCTGTTGACCTTTGTCGCGTCTTCAGTTGAAGGATGCTGGTTGGCGATGACTTGATGTGTGCGCAGCCCAAGACAGGGTTGCCAGTCATGACACGCCGAAAGAGGGAAGTGGATGTGACGTGGGTTGATGCACAGGTTTTTGCGGGGGTGGGGATGAGGGTCGGACTCAATTGACGTTGCGTTGGGCCTGCCTGCACGACGTCGGGGATTTCTCTAGTGCGAGGTGGGCGATGAATAACCCGTGGGCCACCCTGCGATGCGATGCATTGTCGGACTTGTTAAAAATAATTCGTGAGGAAATGTAGGGAGCATGGGATGGAGAGGAAACCTGGTCTTGGTGTACCCCGAGTGCCCGAGTCTGACCCTTGCTCGGTCTCCGCCGTTGCTGACTTTCCCGAGCTACGAGCTAGGGCGCGCCATTATGCTGAAAAGAGACCAGACGATTATGTTTGTTTCCTCTTTTCTAATGCTCCCGCCGCCCCCAAATGTGGCAGTCGGCGGGTCTTACTCACGCCCCCTCCCCATCCTCCAGCGCAGGTGTGGTGTGCATTCCTGCAGACCCCATGCGCAGCAGCAACCTCGAGGATTTGGGAGACTTAGGGGAAAGCCCACCAAGCCCTCTTCCCTCCTTTTCAGTGTCGTATTATTGTCTCTTCGCTGATGCCGGCACTTGACCAAGGCTTAGATGAAGGGGAAGGCGCAAAGATCTATGAATACGACACTGCCACCAAAGCAGATACCTTGACGCTTTGCATGGCGCGAAGACGAGCAGTGAGCAGTGCCCGAGGGATGCCTAGATAGAAAAATAAGAGGAAAGAACAGGGAGAAAAAAAAAGAGCAAGGCAAAGGATTCTGATATTATAAAAAGTAAACCAAGCGCTCGTCCTTGAGGCGCTCATCCTTGGGTATCGATGCCAAGCATAATTGCTCCAACACCAGCCAAAAGGGTGCCGAGCACAGTAGTGTTAATATACGCATTTGATTAAAAAAGCCCCCAAACTCATCAATCTCCATGATGCACCTCAAAGTGCTGCTCGCATTAGCGGCAGCCGCCCTCTTCCCCCACCGCCGCCGCTCCCTCGACGACCAGCAGCAAGCCCTCCCCGCGCCCAGCCGCTGCACCAGCGCCACCTTTAGGACCGTCATCGCCCGGTACGGCGGCATCCTCGCCGCCGGCTCCCCTACTCCTCCAGCACCGAACCCTACCCGCCCGCCGCGCAAGTCCTCGCCCGCGCCCGCGAAGCCGGCGTCGACGACATCTGCGGCATCCGCGTCAACCTCACCGCCAGCGCCACCGACGGCAACGACGTCGCCTTCGAAATCTACCTCCCCAACCCGACCAAATGGAACCGTCGGTTCTTAACCGTCGGCAACGGCGGCTTCAACGGCGGCACCAGCCGCCTCGACATGCTCGCCCGCGCCGTGCACGGGTGGGCCGTCATGTCCACCAACACGGGCCACGAGGAGCAGGGCATGGGCTGGGGCGTGCGCGGGGACGAGGTGCAAAAGGACTGGGCGTGGCGCGCCATGAAGCAGTCCCTCCCCTTTGCCAAGGATATCGTCGCCGCCTACTACGGGGACGTCAAGACCGTGGCCAACTACTACTCGGGCTGCTCCACCGGTGGGAGGATGGGGATCCGCCAGGTGCAGGAAGACGCCGCGAGCTTCGACGGCATGCTCATCGGCGCGCCGGCCTGGAACGTCAAGTCCGCCATGCCCGTGCTCTCGCGCATCGGCTGGCTCGGCGACAAGTTTGGTCTCAGTGCCACGTTTGACCGCAACCTCTTTGTGCGCATCTCCGACCGCGTCCTGCGCGAGTGCAACGTCATCGGCTTCGACAAGACCGCCGACGACGGCGTCGTCCGCGACTCCGCCGCCTGCCTGGAACACTTTGTGACCTCTGGCATCAACGGCACCGTGTGGGACGGGCTCGACTGCACGGCCGGTAACCCGGAGTGCGTGTCCCTATCCCAGAGGGAGGCCTTCCTCACCATCGCCCAAGAGTTCAAGCGCCCGCCCCAGAACCAGACGTACGCCGGCGACGGGTTCGACATCACCGCCGCCCAAGACTTTGCCGTGTTCCTCCTGCAGCAGAGCCTCATGGGGTTCGATCAGGATTTCTCCCGCTACATGATTGGGCAGGAAATCATCTGGAACAACGACGCCAACGGCGCCCTTCTCATCGACAAGTCCAACGCCTGGGACGCCCGCATCCGCGCCAACGCCGATCCCGCCGTCCTCAAGACCTGGCCCGGCAAAGTCATCTTGTACACCGGCACGGCCGACGGCTACGTATCCTCCGAGGGCACGCGGCGCGCCCTCGCGGGGGCACGTCTAACCAAAACCTCAGGTTCTTCGAGATCCCCGGCATGCCGCATTGCGTGGACCTCGGGACCGGCGCGAAGCAACCTCCCTGGTACATTGGAGGCCCGGCCAACTACCTCGCCGCCCCGACCGGCTCGCGGTGGCACATGCCCAACAACACCGTCCCCCTCTCAACACCCCGGAATACGATGCCCTAAACGCCTTGACGGCGTGGGTCGAGGGCCGGAACCGGAACCCTCCGGCCCCGGCACCGGAGAAGCTCATCTCCACGGGGTTTGCCAACTGGCCCGATCTGAAAGTGACCAAGCAGCGACCGATTTGCGCGGCGCCTAAAAGGCAGGAGTGGGACGGGAAAGGTGATATAAATAAGAAGGAGAGTTGGTCCTGTGTTGCGTAGTGAGAAGTGGAAATGGAGTTCTTTTCTTTACACGTAGCACGCATAGGCAGATTTGCACCGGCTGTTTTTTTGTTTCCTTTTTCTGTCATCCTTTTTTAAATGGAACGAAAGCTCTCGAAATGTGGGCAGCATCGCATGGAGCGTGCGGGTCGATGGGACGATATCTCTGTAAATAAAATCAATTTTCTTATCACTCTTTATCAGTCATTCGCTGTCGTTCTCATTGTCTAGTGTCTTCCCGTCATATCATGATAGCCATCTATTGATACAAAATTCATTCTTTACTCTAGGATAATTGACTGCCCATTCGCGACCTCGACCAAATTAGGCCTTTCTTTCGATGGTATTTCTCCATCCGCCGCAACCTTCGCCTCCTCCTCCAGAGCCCAGTCCAGCGAGCGATACACATCATTCACCATCAGCAGCCGCATCATCACCCCCGAGTAAATCAGCTTCGACTCGTGCGTCGGCAGCCAATACCCCACACCCCCAGTCTTGCGCCACAGTTCCAGCCCGCCCAGCACGCCCCTCGTGCTTTGAAAGCCCAGCGTGTAGCTCTCCTTGAGAGCGTGCAGCATCGCCAGCGGCTTCCTCGCGGGCTCCGCGCTCAGGAATGCGTTGAGAGATCCGGCGCTCAATTGGATCCCGTGGGGTGACTGCAGGATGGTCTCGTGTACCACGGGGCTCTCCGGCCCGGGCTGCGCAGCATGCGTCCACGTGATGGCCAAGCTGTAGTTTAGCTCCGCGAGCCCCTCCACGTACAAGGGGGTAAACCACCGCGGTATGGGGCCGCCCGGATGTAACTCGGGCACATTCCAGCTCGTCGCCGTGGCGGGGAATATGTGCAGTGTATGGATGGCATCAAAGTGGCCAAAGGCTTGGATCTTGGCACTTGCTTTCTTTGAGGCGATGACCGGCGTGGCGGGGTCGAACATGCGGAGCGTGTTTTCGTGCAAATGGTCCGAATTCGTGTGCCCGATCATAATCGCATCAAGCAGGGGCGTTGAATCCGACGCCAGGCTTCCGGCGGCGCTTCGTTCAATGTCGCGGATCAATTCCTCGATCTTCTCCGCCGTCGAGATTGCCGCCGGCTCGGGACGATCGATGTGGATGACCCAAGCACCAAGCAAGGTCGTGGGTCCGGCGAGCCAAGGGTCGAGGACAACGTGATAGAAGACCTTGCCTGATTCCTGGCGCTCTGCCTCCGGGCGGGGAGTGACACGAGCCACGAGTTATCGCCGTTGAGCTGGGTGAGGATGGGTCGGGTCTCGGCCTTGGCCGCGGAGCGCCGCTCGAGGGCTTCGCGAAGTTGGTCTCTCTCCATCGTGAAAGAATAGCAATTGGTCTGTTTTCTTTCTCGAAAGCAGGGCGCGGCCTACATGTAGTCTCGGGAGAAAGGGCGGAGGGGCGTTTTAAATCCTCTTTATAACATGGGGCCTGGCGGCGGCCGCCGGGAGGAAGCCTTGGCATCCAGATATACCGCCAAAAGGGCAGCTACTTTGGGATCGGCGCGCTCCTGGGACAGCAAAGCAGTAATTGTACCTTGTGTGATTGGCCCGAGGATCATGGGTAAGCGTGCTGACATGAACTTGGGAACTTAGGATGGATGAGGCAGTGCATTGATGATCAGCGTTGTCTTGAGCCGTTGATACTGTGCTTCGTCGGCCAAGTCATCACACAGGTAAATAGGTGGTATGGCTTATACACAGATCTGGATCAACTGTCATGACAGGAGACCCACACGATACATTTGAAATACAATATCCGAACGCACTTTGCTTCCTAAATCGGCCAAGTGCAACATTTGCAAGCGACAGGGCTATTTCGACGTCGAATCTTCGACCGCACCTCGCATAGAATCCTATTGAGGATTCCGGCTAGTGAGGGTTTTTTCGTTCGTCGTTTAGGTAGAACATGCTTGTAAATGGGGGTATTGAGCTTAAAGATTTGAAGTTTTCCCCAAGTACTGGCTGTGTCGGTAACACACTGCCCAATTTGATCGTGAAGCAGTAAATGGTGATACTCTCCCACTGTCGGGTCAAAGGCATCTGCGAAACACATCAATCATGATACACGAAGCGGCAACCTACACCCCGATGGACGTGATGAAATGGGATCTGCTCCTTCTAATTCAACGGATGAGTATTCAGTGTCTCAATGGGTCTGCGACTAAAATGTGATCGAACTGTGATTAAGTAGATTAGGGTTTGTCTGCGGCTTAGCGGCGCCCTATTAACCGCAAAGGCTTGCGGGGAGCCATACATCGATCGAGTTTTCACTCGGGTCTTTTGAGTAACCGTTCTATAGATTGCGGGAGTGCAGACCTTCATTCTGTTTTATTGTAAGTGGCCCGGGTCAAGAGCTCGGATGCACAGCATATGCGGGGAAGTTATCACGGTGGATTACCCGGTCATCGCCTCTTCAGTAAAATTGCGGAGGCTGTCCCTTTATCTTTACCCAGACGAGCTTACCCTTGAATGATCCTTTTTTCGCCCCCAATCAAATATGCAATGACTGGTTACCATTGGCTTCTCTGAAAAGTGTTTCTCACTACTGGTCCCACGCCAATGCATGCACGCGCGACGGCACATCAGAGGCAAGCATGAGAAGAAGCAGGGGAGTCAAGGCGGGAGCGGGACTCTCCGTATAGCATTCACTCTGCCCACCCACGCCAAAAGAGCGGAGAAGAGGATGGAATGGGTGCGGTCAGCAATAAGCAAACGATATTGATTGTTCGCTTGATGCTTCGGGAACAGAGAAGCCGATACTGGTGGTTGCAAATTATATGCCAGGGCCATCTCTACGCGAAGGCGGGGGAGAGGGGGAAGCATGACCTTGGACTATAAAGAGTGCTAGCTTCCCATCGATCTCACGCTCTGACCCCGTTGAAGAGAGGCCGCAGAGCACCTAGCCCCTCCTTCGTACATCAAAACAATGAAGACCGCCCTCGCTGCCCTCGTCGTCGTCTTGGCTGCCGGAACGGCGGCCAGGCCCAACCAGCAAGGCCCCAAGCCTAGCTTCCTCGCGCCGCGCACCATCCACAAGAACTGGAACGCGCCTCGTGCCGACGACGGCGGTTTCCTCGCCGCTCGCGCAAACGCCTTATCCCCTCGAGAATTCAACGCATACCAGTCCTCGGAAGTGTCCCACGACCTCCTCAACACCGACAACGTGTTCAACCTCGACAAGCGCGCCACGTCCGGAAAATGGGAGAACTTGAACGGCAGCATGGCCTCGTACCCGAGCCCGGTATCCTGGGGCGGGAACCGCATGGACCTCTACTACATGGGGGTGACGGCTCGTGCCAGCACAAATACCAGGAGAACGGCAATTGGGGAAACTGGGAAGACTTGGGGGACGCTGGATGGTGCTCCGTCCACGTGCAGCTGGGGAGAGGGAAAATGGACGTGTACGTCAAGGGCACCGACGGTGGGTGCTGGCACAAGGGGTACCAGCAAGAAAAGGACGGCTGGGGGAGTGGGAGGATATGGGCGGCGATCTTAAATATGAACCGAGCTCCTGCTCGCGAGACGAGAGCTACATGGACATTTACGGGTCGGGTCATGACGGCCAATGCTGGCACAGGAAGTACGACGACAAGAACAACGGGTGGGGCGAGTGGGAGAGCTTGGGGGCTACCTCGATAGTCCTCCCAAAGCGGTGACCTGGGGTCCTGACCATATGAGCGTCGTGTGCAAGGGGGATGACGGTGGCGCTTGGCACAAGAAGTGGAGTGACGACGGGGGTGGGGAGACTGGGAGGACTTGGGCGGCACCGTCGACGGCGCGCCTGCGGCATGTGCCTGGAAGGGCCAGCTCAACGTCTACGTCAAGGGTGACGACGGCGCCTGCTGGCATAGGGAGTACAAGGGTGACAAATGGGGTAACTGGCAGAACCTCGGAGGGGAACTGAAATACCCTCCTGACGTGGTCGCGTACGACGACAAGATGGAGGTGTACATCACGGCCCCGGATGACGCACTGTATCGCAGGACGTGGGAGGACGACAAGTGGTCGGACGATTGGGAGTACATGGGTGGGAGCGTGGACTCCAAGCCGAACCCGATTGTGTGGGATAATGGGCAGGTTGATGTATATGGCAAGGAACGGACGGGGATGCAAGCGATGCTATGGCTGAGAGCGCTTGATATTGGGATGGTTTTGAACAGTGTATAGCCACTCTAATGCTACCTTTCAAGAGTAGTTCGGTTTCTATAATGGGATCCATGGAAATAAGAAGAAATCGTGCCTAAGCATCAAGCATCTAGTGGTATTTGCTGGCACTTCGTTGCAGTCCATGAAGTGAGCGGAGCGACAGGAAGCGGGCAATATCGTGTCGTGGATGTTGTACTTTTACCTTATAGCTCGTGATTGGGACGGCAACAGGTACATACGACCATAGCTCGTAGAATATTGAGGGTCCCGTCCGCTCCCCTGTACACAAGCTGCGAAGCGCCGGACTAGTAGTTGGGTCGGTGACGACCAGCGAATCCCCGGTGTTGTATGTCTTTTTTTTTAACGATTTCAATTTGATCCCCACTTCCTTGGCTTGGGACAGACTAAATACATCCACCATTGTATCGACGAGAGCGAGTCCTTGATGCATGGTGGTACCGTAGTGAAATAAAGTTGAATCCTACTTTCTCACATGTCCCCCGCTTCTTTGGACTCTGTTCACCCATGGTTCGCATATTTAGAACTACATGCTTGTTCCGACCTCGTTTCTACTTTTACAGAACCACCGCCGTCCTCGCCTGCCACCCAGATATTGGCTCGTGCTTAAGACTGGCAAGGCAACTCTACCACAGGAACAAGACTAAGAAACTAATGTCACTAAGAAACTTCAATTGATTGAAGACTCGGACGAGGGACCGGCCGGGTTATCTAAGTCTTCCGTTCATTCTGGAGGTCCATACGGCATATGGATTAGATCTACCCGGTATCAATTACACACACTTTCTTTGAATCAGACCCTATGTGGGATGCGTTCGATAATGGGGCAAGTCGCGGCGCTGGTACCTGCCACTCCAACTATAATTCTCGCAATCCTACACTTGCTACACATGTACACCAAGAAACTTTTCTGGCGTAGCACTCCGGATGGGTAACATAACCCCGTGGTACTAACTCCGGCCCCATTGAAGCACCGGAAGGTATGATCGTTTAATAGCGTGCTCAACACTCCCATTTATTACACCACCGAGGATAGGTTGGCCAACGAAACAAAATCCTCACTCATATATTGATTTGTTCTTCGCGTCATTTTCTTGACGTGGAACTTGAAGCATGTCGAAAGCCTGTCACGTGGGAAACACCTTGAGCCTAGGGGCCTCCGTGATGGTCAATTAGACGTAATTGATTCTGTCGATGCCTCGGCAGGACGAGGGCCGCTAGATCCGATGGGTGCTACCCCAGAATTTCCCCGCAAGGGAATCACACCTTCATATAATACTAGCTCCATAGCTACCGTTCCGCCAAAAGGATACCATCCTATTCAAGCTTCGTCAACTCCTTTCATTGCTAACATTTTTATTTGATTGCGACTACTATCTCAAAATGGCTGACAACGGGCACGATGACGACGGGAACCTGCCTTATTCTTCCTACGCCGTTTCTATATACCAGAATGGAATCATTGCAGGGCAACTTCCTGTTGTGACGACCGACCCGAATGGGCTGGAGGCGCAAGCCAAGGCAACCATGGATCGGGATTCATTCGGCTACGTTTTTGGCGGTGCTGGAGAAATGTCGACCATGGACGCGAATCGCCTGGCGTTCCGACAGTGGCGTATTGTGCCGCGCTATCTTAGACCAAACAGCCCACGAGACTTGAGTGTGAATCTCTTCGGTGTCAAATATGGTAGGTTGCCCCCAGGCTGTTATCATACTAGGGTTCTTGAAATCTTTGTCACGAACGGAGCGTTGATTAGGTCCCCCAGACTCGCCCGTCCTGATGGCGCCAGTCGGCGTCCAGGGCGTCTTCCACAAGGACAAGGAGACCGGACTGGCCGAGGCGTGCAGCGAGCTGCGCATCCCGTACATTCTCAGCACCGCCGCAACCTCCACGATCGAAGAAGTCGCCGAGGCCTGTGGCGACCAGCACCGGTGGTTCCAGCTGTACTGGCCCATGGACGACGAAATCACCGCCTCCATCCTTCAGCGCGCCAAAGCTAGCGGCTACAAAGCCCTCGTCGTGACGCTGGACACGCCCACCATGGCCTGGAGACCGACCGACCTAGATCGAGCTTATCTACCATTCATCACCGGTACCGGGTGCTCGGTAGCCTTCAGCGATCCGGTGTTCCGCAAAAAGTTCTCGGAGCAAAACGACGGGGATGCGGTGGAGGATAACCTGATTGCGGCGTCCCGCTACTGGATCAGTACCGCGTTTCCGGGAGACCACCACTCGTGGGAAGACTTGGCGCTACTCAAGAAACACTGGGACGGACCCATCATCCTGAAAGGTATACTGAGTGTCGATGACGCCAAGCTCGCCGTCGAACACGGCATGTCGGGCATCATCGTGAGCAACCACGGCGGGCGGCAGGTAGACGGCGCGGTGGCCTCGCTCGAAGTGCTACCCGAGATCGTCGCGGCAGTCGGTGACAAACTGACCGTCTTGTTCGACTCGGGAATCCGAACCGGGGCGGACATCATCAAGGCGTTGGCTCTGGGTGCCAAGGCGGTCTTGGTCGGGCGACCTGCCATTTACGGGCTGGGCATTGCTGGTAAAGAAGGGGCCCAGGCTGTGCTTGCGGGCTTGCTTGCAGACGTGGACCTTACCATGGCTATTTCGGGCTTTAAGACGATAGATGACCTGAGTCCTTCAATCTTACGAAAGGTGTCGTATGGCGGCGATGTGAGGTCAAATTTGTAAGTATGTCACAAGCGGGGGACGAATATAAACGGTAAGGAATATTGGGGTACTAGCTTTGTAGTATGAGACTATGCCACTTTGTAGGCAGGGTATATTATCATTACATACACATATACAAACCGCGCCAGGCGATAGGCGGCCGCCTTGGCTTTTCTTTTGGCCACACCACTCGTCATAACTTTCCTCCTAAATCTGCCGCGCTACTCGGAGGAATCAAGGTGTCCCGGGTGAACCGACGTCCAGGTTGACGTCAAAAGTCACAGCCGAGGGCTTCGCCTTGGACAAGGTCCCCGGGAAGCTCGCATCCTTGAGGGCGAGGTTCGCCTTGCCGAAATTATGCGCGGCCAGGATATCGCGAATGCCAGCGGGGAAGCCGTTCCAGCTGATGAGCGGCCCGCGGAACCACACGCCCTTGTGGTTCTCGATAGCATCGTCCGCAGCGTTGGCGAAGCGGAAGCAGTGCGTGGACGCGCCGTCCTTGTGGTACACGAGCTTGGGGTGCTCGCCGTCCCAGCGGACCTGCGACGCGGCCTTGATCTCGAAGTTGCCGTGCTGGCTCGCGCCCACGTACTCGGCCTTGCCGTTGCGGACCCACACGGCGATGTGCTCCCAGTCGTGCGTGTGGCCGACGTCGAGGAAGAACTGGATAGCCACGTCCTTTTCAAAGTAGTAGTCGTACAAGTAGACGCACCAGTCGCCGTTGCACCGCTGGCGCGCGTACACGTTGTTGTTGTCCAGGTCCGAGGCGTCGCGGCAGTCGCTCGACACGCTGACCCAGTTGTGCGGCAGGCCCTCGGCGACTTTTCCGTAGGCGTCGATGGCGGGCACGTTGTAGCACCCGTCGCGGTCGAAGTCGAGCGAGGGCTGCCAGCGGAGGTCGTTGGCCGTGGCGCGCTGGGGCAGCGCCGCCGGCGGGCCGATGGCGAGGGCCGACACGATTTGGTCCAGGTTCATGGACGTGGCGTTGTAGGGCGTCACGTTGTTCACGGCCTCGACGCTGGCCTTGTTCTCGGCCTGCGACCGCGCGCCCGGGCGGGCCATGGCGAGGGGCGCGACGGCGAGCAGGGCGGCCATGCCGCGGGATAGAAAGCGAGGGAGAACCATGGCGATGGGGGAAATAGAAGCGAGGTAGGGAAGGGAAAGCGGGGACGGGCCTATTTGTCTAAAAAGAAGGTGCGAGTCTTGAAGAGACTGTTCTTGATATTTGGCCCTGGATATTAATCGTGGTCCCGATCGATGCACACGCCCGTTCGGATAAACGAAGAAGGGTGGATGCAAGTCGCCGCCATTTCCATAGCTCTCTATATATATATATATATATACATCCACATCTTTATCATTTGATCTATAATTACAAGACCCATCCATGCGTTGCTTTTCGTCCAGTTGTGATAGGGGTAGTTCGGGGCACATGGATATTTCCGCCCACACGTTCCATCTCGAAGAAAAATCACCAGTCGCGCAGGATGGAAAAGATACTAGTTTCTCCAGGGGATTCAGGGGTGGTAACATGTTCCCATCAAATGGCATCCCCCGATGTTGCGCTGGGTCAGTTGAGATGCGCCGACCCCGACCACCACGGCCCAGTAACATGGCAGTAACGGGCAAATCCCCGAGCTTAATTTCCCACGCGGGGCTCAGGGTCGAGGTGCTTCCCCTCCGTAACTGGCCCATCCCGGAAACGCCCACACACGTGGAGAAGGGGAGGATGCTCCATCGATTGGTCACGAGCGCTGGTGTCTTTCATCACCCAAAGCAAGGAATTTTCGCTGCAGACCCCCTGCGATTGGCGGGGCCGCCGCAGGTACCCTTTGTGGGCTTTTTCTTTTCGTCGGGCACGCACGACATACAGCATAGGAGTGGTCCTCCTGATTAGGGAGGGGAACGGACTCAGTCGTGATGCCCGTCACTGGACCACGGGTGAGTCGCGCACAGAAACGAGCGCTGCAAGGGGAGAGGAAAGGGAATATCAGTGCCTCCTATTGCGTGCCGATACCCGTTTAGTCGCCACGCTACTTTTCCTCGATTAAGCAACCTTGGTTTTGGTGGTAAGGTGGCGATAAATTGGCCCTTTTCCCGCACCACCATCCTCACATCGCATCCCAAGCATATTCTCTTCCTTTGATTCTATAATACCATGTCGACATCCCAGTGCGGGGAACGATCTTGAACCCGTTCTTCCCCTCCACAGTCCCCAGCACCAGGTCCGAGCTTCGGGTGGATCACCCAGATTCAGAAAAGCGGGAATCCCGATGCGGTAATCGCGAATTAATTGCTTAACTCCTTCGCTCCCCTCACAGCAAGGAGCAAATACCACCTTCTTTGAAAGGCCGCTTCTATTCGGGCCATTGCGAGCCAGCAGCTGGGTGCCACAGGATCCTTTCGGCTAACCTTGAGGCATTTGAACGGACAGGCGAACAACCTAAAACTGACCGTCGTTTTATTCACGTGCTTTCGACGAGGCTTGCTAATTGTCGCCCAGAGAACTCTGCGAATGATTCCGAGAGGATCATCAAGGTATGGTTTGTGAGCGTAGGAATCATGTTGAGGGGAACGTTGCTCCCGCGCCTTGTTGATTTTTCTAGCCCAATGAGATCACCCGTAGCTTCCCACGGGGAGATTGTGACGATGCATCGCTGAGCCAGGGTTGAAGCCTCCCGCACAGATCACGATGGCCTCGGTTCATAGCAACCATGATCCCCTCGTCTCCTTTACCTGTTTAATAATTGAAATCGCGCAAACCCTTTGGTCAGTCTCGAAGCGCATTCACGCCGTGTTCCTCCCGTCCCTACAGCATTGAATTATCCTCTGGTGATCCTTGTTTCTTGCACGAGGGGATTTGGTTCGATGCACGACGATGAGAGCTCCTCCGCATACCTCAAGTGGCTTCACCGAGCACTATAAAAGGAAGCTCGAGGCGAATCCTAAATCAAAGATTGGCGGCAAAGGGGCCAGCTCCCGGTAGCCTTCCCGTACATTTATCATTTCTTTTCTTCGTCAGCTTGATGACAGGGTGATCGTTCTTAGGCGCAACTACACTCCAATACAATCTATGCAACGTTGGTCTGGCCTGCGGGAATGGCCGTGGGGGTTTGCCAGAAGTGGTTGAAGCGCAACAGGTGAGAAGGGCTGTTCGTCCGGCATGCGATGCATACATGAAGTAAGTAGAGCTATTGAGAGGTTGCTGTTGTATCAGTCTCTATATCGCGGCCTGATGCTATAACCTTTCTGAACTCGGCCCATGGAAAAAAGGGGCTCTCCACGGGACAGCAGTCCGCCCTGATAACATCTCGCTCAACCAGAGAGTTCACTCCAGCGCATCGCCGCAACCGATGAGCCGGCGCAGCAGGCATCACTATCTTATCACGAGGGTTACAAACAACCGGAGAGATTCCAAGAGAAAAATCAACCGCACCGACACAGCTGCTTGCTCAATCGCCAGTGCCCCTTGCAAAGGGGACGTTCGATGCTAATGCAGTTTGTGTGGACTGTTTGCCGAGTTGACGCGCCGCTTCAGCAAGCGCCTTCTCGAAGATGCCCCGCAGCTACGGTTGTGCATGCTCTCGGTCAACGGGTGGATGGATGCTCACCACTCAGCCAGAGAACTCACACTAGTCATGTGACGAGATAATCCGACCCGCAGGCTTGAATGAAATCGGTGTCTTGAGGTTAGGGTTAGGGGTAATCGAAACCGACCACGAGAATGATAGCTGGAATGAAGATTGTGCACCCTCCCCTTTACCGCGGTGCCGAAAAAGCAAGCTCTTTGGACGCTTCAGGTTCTTGCCGAGACTGACTAGCCCAATTTCGAAGATATCCGTGGATATCTCGACTACTACTCGCTCGAGCGTGCATCGGTGATTGATCAGCAGCTTCACTGAAGCGGAAAACCGAGCTAGCTCGCATCAAAACCGAGCTAGCTCACATCAATTAGTAAGAGAGTTGGGGAGGCCTCGGCAACTAAGCGGAGCTTGCTGTCCGGTCCATCGCAATTGCGTGAACAAACGTCATGGCCGCACGACGTCAGTATCTGGTTATAAATAGCTGAACGAGACGCCGGCCCTTTTCTATCGGGTGGGAAAGGCTAAAACAAGGCCCTAAGCGAGCTCGGGATCCTCAATCTTTGAAGCTAAGAATCCCAAGAGATATATCTTGTCACAATCCCAATATCTACCTCAGAACAAGAATATAGAGTGTGCGGACGAAAAGAGCAACCGCCCCGTGAAAACACACTCCTGATATACCGGCAAGATGGTGTCCAACAAGACCTTGATTTTCAACAAGATCCCCACGGGACCCCGTCGCAGGCGAACACCTCGTCATCGAGGACCGCCCCGTCAACGTGGACGAAGCGCCTCCCAAGGGCGGGGTCATCCTCAAGCAGCTCTACGCGTCCTTTGACCCGTACCTGCGCGGGAAAATGCGTGACCCCAAGATCAAGTCCTACTCCCCGCCTTCGAGATTGGCGAGCCCATCGTCAACTCCACCGTGTGCAAGGTGTTGAGGAGCGACGCCCCCGAGTACAAGGAGGGAGATATCGTCATCGGCTACCTCCCCATCGCCGAGTACGTCGTCACGAACCCGACGGACGGCAAGTTGCGCAAGGTTCACAACCCGCACAACCTGGATCTCGGCCTCTTCCTCGGCCCTCTCGGCATGCCCGGCCTCACGGCGTGGGCGGGTCTCCACCGGATCGGAAAGCCCAAGAAGGGCGAGACCATCTTCGTCAGCTCGGCCGCCGGCGCGGTCGGCCAGGTCGTGGGCCAGGTGGCCAAGAAGGAGGGTCTCAAGGTGATTGGGTCCGTCGGTTCTCAGGACAAGTTGGACTTCATCACCAAGGAGCTCGGCTTCGATGCTGGGTTCAACTACAAGGAGGAGAAGCCGCTGGACGCGCTCAACCGCCTCGCACCCGAGGGTATTGATATCTACTTTGAAAATGTCGGCGGCGACCACCTCGAGGCCGCGCTGACGGCCATGAACCGTGACGGCCGCATTCCCGTGTGTGGCATGGTAAGCGATGTTGAACCATCTTTCTTTTACTCGCTTTGCGAACCGGTTAGACTGACTCTCTTTTCTCAACGACAGATTGCTGAATACAATACCCCGCCGGAGAAGCGCAGCGGCATCAAGGGATTGTTCCAGCTCGTGACCAAGCAGATCCTCATGGAGGGTTTCCTCGTCGGCCGAGACGACTTTGGCCCTGCCTACTTCAAGGAGCACCAAGAAAAGGTGCAGGAGTGGCTCGCTGACGGGAGCTTCAAGGCCAAGACGCATGTGACCGAGGGTATCGATAACGCGGCGGAGGGCCTCGTGGGCATGTTGCAGGGAGAGAACTTTGGCAAGGCTGTAGTGAGGATTTAGTCAGGAGGAAAAAGAAAAAGAAAGTAGTTGAAGTGATCAAGGCGCATTCCTGTCCTCTAACAATGGCCAAGTCTGGTCTCGTCCCCCCACGATGATTGGAAATCTTGTCCTTCTTGCTTAGTGATGGCTTACATGAACGTTGCTGTTAACGTGATCGAGGTCATAACTGAAGATGATAGTGACCTGCCCAGTATGGCTTAAACCGTCCTCCGACGTATAGTCATCCTCTACGTCCGACAAAATATCTGTAGATCTTCGATGATTCCTGTCAAACCGCGCATCGTACTACAGCCCTTTCTTTGACGCGCCCCGCCATCCGGTCGCGCGGAAAGTAACAGGACTGGCGTGATCCACAGCTGGCGTCAACTTGCCAAGCGCACCCCGCCAACTCCCACGCGACACTATTCCCGATAGAGACTCAATCTCCATCAGGGGGCCGTGGGAGAAGGAAAGCCAATGCGGTGGAGAGAGTGGGCGGTTGTCGCAGACTGTTGAAGAAGGAGGGGAGAGAGCGGGGAGATACCAAAAACGCACCCTAAAGATTGCTGTCTGGAACATGATTCGCCGGGCTGCAAGCAAGAGAGTCCGTCCCCTGCCCTGGCCGCCGTTTACACATCGCCAAGACCGGGCCCGGACGTCGGACCCGATAAGATGTAAGATGGGTCGGGAACTTTGGTTTGCTGTGCCCACGGTAGGGCGGAGCTGGGTCCTTCTTTCTGCCCAAGTCTGTTGATCCTGAACATGATGGCTGCGGCGCTTATGCTGTCCCTTCCCGGAAAGGAAATTCAGCTGGCCGAGGCAAGGGAAAGCACGCCGACAATTCGGACTAGGCCCCCATTCTCACGGCAGTCGGTGTGCACATCCCATGACGTTATTGTGCAATTCATCTGGCCCCCTGGCATAAAACCACCTACCTAAATCGTCAAAGCCATCCATCCCACCTTCGACGCATCGGCCTTCCATGCGCGAGGGGGCAGTATTTCCCAGACTCTAGGGTCGCCGCGATGGGTAGTGTAATACGCTACCACCACATCAAGGCCCTAAGGCCCTCCTTCGACCGAAGCCTCAGCAAGGGGTAATAGGGCTTTTTTCGCTTGTGATGATGCACCGGAGATACCCAACCTCGGTTCTTCAACATCCGATAAAGCGTTGAGGCTACCTGGCAAGGCGCGCGTGCGCTTTGGCTTCTTGTTCGTATTGGGAGTGTCAGCGGCCCCGTTTCCCTCCGATTGGGTTGCGCCACCATTTCGTGATGTGTGGCTGCCCGAATCGAGATATTTCCCTGCTTCTTGCCTCTTGTTCTCCACATTTACCCGTTGCAGCGTCGTGAGGCATTGAAAAAGACGTTGCACGAAATACGGGGAACGGAGAAACATTCAGCCCTTTCACAATACGATACCGTGATGATGCAATGAACAACAAATCGCTCCGGCGCAATCGCCCCCCTCGTCCATTCTACCAGGGGAAAACAGAGTTGTTGGGAAAGAGGTGCTGCCAGGCACAGATCATTGGTAACCCGCGGAGGTGGTTTGCGATTGTGATTCTGGTGGTGGTGGTGGTGGTAGTGGTCATGATGGTGGTAGCAATGGTGGCGGCGGTCCTCACGCCAAGACGGGCGTGACAGAGGGCACGCATCAACAGAAGGTCCTTTGCAATGAAAGAACCCGAACAAGCTGGCGAATGAGGCGGTCGGAAGGATGGGATGCCCTCGAAAATTGGGGCACGAGCGGCTGCAATCTTCCGGCGCTTACGCCCCATCAGGAAGCTAGCTACGGCCAGGTGGTATCAACTACCGGCGGCAGCGTCGCATCGAGTTTTGGGATGTTCCCTGTCGCCAAAAGTCTAGCTTTGGGCGTTAGGCCTTTTATCCTATCTCGGTTCGATACGATCAGCAGAGTCGCAGCCTTTTCCGCCCCGGTTTCCACAAGAAGTGGAAACCTGGGAAAAGCGCACCAGAATGAAGGCGAAGAAGAAGAAGAAGCAGGAAAAAAGTTCCAAAAGAAACTCGGAGCCGGCCGTCGCAAAGACCCGAGCGCCTCTTACCCACCCCTTTCCCCTTCTCAACATTGAACCTTAGCGACGCGGGGATGGGGGTTTTCTGGATCTATGGATGCATTGAGGGCCCTTTCTGCCCCCACCTACACACCTCATTCTCTTTGACTCTCTCGCGACGTCGAGACCACCGCGCGCGAAAACAAAAGTTCGGGGTCCACTCTGCCCGCCCTCCTCCGCACTCGGGACGGGCACCGCCAAAAACACCACCGCCTAGGCTGGCTGGTTCTATCTGGCGCGAAATGCTACCCCGTTCCGCCAAGGCGCGCGCGCGGGGGGCACATGGAGACGCTGGGAGACAAAGGGTCCCGGAAACCCAGTAATGACCTCCAGTGTCAGTCCAGTCTTGGCGACCACGATGCGACTCTGGAATCTTTTGCGATATCGCGATGGGGCGGCACGCCTTCGCATTCCACGTATCAGACACAGAATCGAGGCACTCGTCCGCCTCACGACGAGAGATGGTTCTCGTGTATATTAAAGCGAGATGATCGCGGCATCAAGTTTATGAGTTTTTTTCTCTTCTCTTCATCTGCTCTGCATCCACCTCATCGCGGACACTTCTTGAATCTTCTTGAAACAACGATTCGTCGCCCCTTAACCAGGTTTCTCATTCCCTCGTTCCCGTCTATTCAAAATGGTCTCTTTCCGAAAGCTCGGTTTCCTCCTCGGCCTCGCCCCTTCGCTGCCGCCGGCCCCGTCCAGCAGCGCAGCGATGGGCTCAACGTCGAGGGCAAGTACATCGTCGTCCTCAAGCCCACCGTCTCTACTGAGGAGGCCGAGTCTCACTTGAGCTGGGTGAACGATGTGCACAAACGTAGCTTGGGACGCCGCGACCTGACCGGTGTCGAGTCCACCTACGACCTTCCCGGTTTCCACGGCTATGCCGGACAATTCGACGAGTCTACCCTCGAGGAGATCAAGAACAACCCCGACGTGAGTTACCTACCCACACCTCTTTCTTCTGCTTTTTCTTGTTCCCTTTCTCTTTTCAGCCTCACTAACACTTTCGATATCAGGTCCTTGAGGTCGAGGCCGACCAGATCTTCACCCTCTCCGCCACCGTCACCCAGTCGAGCGCCACCTGGGGCCTCGGCACCATCTCCAGCAGGAGCCGCGGCGCCTCCACCTACCGCTACGACGACTCCGCCGGTGCCGGCAGCTACGCCTACGTCGTCGACAGCGGCATCAACATTGCCCACACCGACTTCGGCGGCCGCGCCACCCGCGGCTTCAACGCCGCCGGCGGTACCTTTGAGGACACCTTCGGCCACGGCACCCACGTTGCCGGCACCATCGGCGGCCGCACCTACGGTGTCGCCAAGGCCGCCAACCTCATCGACGTCAAGGTCTTCATCGGCCGCGAGTCCACCACCTCCATCATCCTCAACGGATTCAACTGGGCCGTCAACGACATCGTAAGCAAGGGTCGCCAGAGGCGCGCCGTCATCAACATGTCCCTCGGCGGCGGCTTCTCTACCGCCTTCAACACCGCCGTCCGCTCCGCTTTCAACTCTGGTGTCCTCAGCGTCGTCGCTTCCGGTAACGAGAGCCAGCTTGCCTCCAACGTCTCCCCGCCTCCGCCGCCGAAGCCCTCACTGTCGGCGCCGTCAACTCCAACTGGGCCGAGGACACCTACTCCAACTATGGCGCTGCCGTCGACATCCTCGCCCCTGGTACCTCCGTTCTCTCCACCTACATTGGCTCCACCAGCGCCACTTCTACCCTCACCGGCACTTCCATGGCTACCCCTCACGTTGTCGGCCTTGCCCTCTACCTTGCCGTTCTTGAGAACATCAACACTCCCGCTGCCCTCAAGGCTCGCATCCTCGCCCTCGGCACTGCCAGCGTCACCAGCCGCAGGTCTGGCAGCCCCAACCTCATTGCCTACAACGGCATTGCCTAAGTGGCTCCTTGGAGGGATGCAGGGTTATCCACCTTTGAGCGTGTGGGTTCCTATCAGTTCCATACGCACCATGCCCGCCAGTCTCGTGTACGAAGGCGATATTGGCAGATTTGTTGGATATTTTCTTGGCTAGAGCAGTGTACAGGGCTCTTGTCGTAAGAAAATGGGTGTTATCATGTTAATCTAATAGTCTTACTACTTACTTCTATGAATGATCATTTTTCTTTGTCCTCAAATACTAGCTTTAGTAGTCCCGTGTGTAAAAGTGCGCAACTACTCGTGCTGACGGGGTGTCCTCGCGTTTGGTTAGCCTTGACACCCGGCTCGCCGAAGGTTCAGACAGGGCTGGCGACTGAATACCTCGTTTCTTCCTCAGTGTCTCAGCCGACATCTGCTTCTGACTTTATGTGTTTTCTAGCCCCCATCAAGCCAAGACATATATGTGCTACTAGTCATCACTTTTTGCCCTCGCCGCTATCAGAGCCAAGTTGTATAGACCAAGGGCGCTATTCACCTTCAACAAGCCAGCATTTTGGGAGCACCAATGTTTAGAGCAGAGCAAGAGAATGGTTTGAAGTAGGCCAACTCATGCAAGGACAGAAGCTGCACAGAATCCCTCGTGATCTTCAAAACGATATTGGAGTACGTTATCGATCGCAGCGATCTATCTAACATGGCAAATTCAAGATAAACCAAATTTTAGAGGGGAATCATTATATATATTCTCACTGAGTCGCTTTTGTCTCTCTTTTCCCAGCCCTCTATACTATATACAATTCGTTTTACGCGAACCAAGCCACACTAAGCGTGATGGCTTGGTGGCAAAACAGATGCGAGCTGGCTCCGCCCCGAAAGGTGACGAAGGAACCTTTAGAAGAAAGCGAAGAAGGAAAAACAATGCCATGGAATATCAAACAAGGAAAATAAGAAGAGTAACGGAATGCCAGCTGTTCGCGCTAACCGGCGAAGAACAGCCAAGCCCCGTTCAAAAAAGCCCTTGCACCGGACTGTTTTTCTACGTGCGCCAGCGGAAACCGGGATGCTTCCAGTCGAGGTCAGCGATCTCGGCGGGGCTCATGCCAGCAAGCTCCTCCTCGGCGTTGCGGCCATCACGCCTCTTGTTATCACGCTTCATCCAGAGCCAGGCGAGGGTGGCGATGATGAGGATAGCGCTGGCAGCGGCGAGGTTGAGACCGTTGCCGATGTGGTAATCGGGACCGTCCCAGCTAATGTAACTCCAAGTCGAGGCGAGACCACCAATGTTGCCCATCATGACCTATATGTTTGGTGATACGGTTAGAATTGGACGGGTAGTTAAGTTTGGAAGCTTGAGGTGTCTTGAAGGGAATGAGGGGACAACTAAAAAAGTTGGCATGGCAGGGGAGTAGACTTACATTGAAGCCGATGGCGCTGCTCCTGGCCGTGTCGCTAACGACGTTGGCGCTAATTTGGGCGTTGGACATGGGTCCAAGCACCATGGTCGAGCTAGCAATCAAAAGGTGGCGACGTAGCGCACGGTGGGAACCTTGGACGCTAAGAACATGATGTAACCAGTCATGACCACTATTGAAAGCGTTAGTGGCTGTTGATCAAAATTTTAAAAAGAAGCGGCAATGATGACCACACAGGGGAGGGTCTATCACCCTTCCGCAGCGCGTAGTCAGGGGCATGGAGAAATGGGGGAGTGATGTTGAGAAAACGTACTTGGAGAGGTGAGAGCAATCAACACCTGCCTCCTGTCGAGGTACCAACTGAGAGCGGGATAAGCCAAGACAAAGAAGGCACCAACGGCATAGGGAGGGACACTGTAGAGCTGCTGCTGAACAACGGTGAACTCGGGGTAGATGCTCCTGACGATGGTGGGGAGGAAGAAGGCGAGGCCCTGGACGGTGATGTTGTTGAAGAGGAAGATGGCGGCGATCTCAAGGGTGACGGGGTTAGTGATGCCGCTCCAGATCTTCTTGCGGTCGATGCCGTCAATGACCTCGGTGGCGCCGATACGCTCGGACTTGACGCGGGCGATGCACAGCTCCTTCTCCTCGGCGGTGAGCCAGCGAGCCGTCTCGGGGCGGTCGGTGAGGGTGACGAAGGAGATGAGGGACAGGCCAATGGTGATGATACCCTCGATGGCGAAGATCATGCGCCAGGCGTGGAGGCTGCCAAAGTTGTCGAGGGTGAGGATGGCGGAAGCGAGGAGGCCGCCGAACGCGCCGGCGAGGGGCGCCATGACCATGTACAGGGAGAGACGGAAAGTAGCTCGGCGCGCTGGTACCAGCGCGAGAGGTAGTAGGCGATACCGGGCAGCATACCGGCCTCGAAGATGCCGAGGAGGAAGCGGACACCGCAGATGGCGGCGCGGCTGTGCGTGAAGGCGGTGGCGACGGAGACAATACCGAAGAGGAGGGAGGTCAGGGGCAGGAACCAGCCGGGGCCCATCCACTTGCAGCACACGCTGGCGGGGATCTCGAAGATGATGTAGGAGATGTAGAAGATGGAGAGGATCATGTTGTAGTCGAACCCCTGGAGGTTGAGGTCCTTTTCCAGACCGGCCAGGCGGGCGTTGCCGATATTGGCGCGGTCGATGAAGCAGAAGAGGTAGAGAAAGGAGACGGTGGGGACGGTGTAGAGGTCGAGCTTCCAGCGGAGCTTCCTCACGGCAACGGGGTCGAATGTGACGAGGGGGTTGCCGTTTCTGCGCAGTGTTAGCAATATTTGTGAAGATGGGGAGCTCATGGGGTGTAACTCACTCATCGGTGGCAAGGTTGCCGTGGCCGGCAGCGGTATGAAGCTTTCCTTCGCCATCGCGCTCCGTCTTGATGCCTTGAGACTGGAGCTGCTGCTCGAGCTGTAGGTCCTGAGGTATCTCCTTCTCCGAGGAACCCATGATGGGCGGGAGCGCTGTAAAAGAACTACGAGTGAGATGCCGTAGACGGGCGAGGAGACTAGGTAGTTGTGAGTCGACCTTCGTCTTTTCTCCTTGCAACTAGTCTGTGAGTCTAGGTAGAGATGGTCGTCGTCGGCTGTGGAGGGAATTGGGGCTATACACGCAGATATCTAAACCAAGGGAGGGGAACGAAACGAGGGTGTCGGGGACATTCCAACTTAAATGGATGGTCTCCGCCTCGATGTCGGGTTTAGGAAACTATCTAAGCTCGTGGGCGGAAGTGGGACGTGGCGTTGGATCCAAACTGCCATGGCTACATCCAGACTCGGGGACTATACAACCCTCTTTTTCCCACGCCCTCCCGATCCTGGCCGGAAATCCCGAGGCAAAATGTCGTCAGTGCTGTCCCCTTCCTAACCCCCGGCCCGATGGCACCTCCACCCTCTCCCCGCGATGGAGGGGGAGAGGGCACTTGAGGTGTGGGTTACCCTGGCTGTGCAAGGGCCAGAGTGGGAAAGTCTCGATTAGCGCGCGCCGACATTTTTTGCTTTGTTGCTGGCTATTTGGTGATTGGCACCTGTTTTTTTCTTTCTTTTTTGGCCGGTCTTCTTCTGAATTGTTCTCACCTCTCGTAATCATTAGTGAGGGGTATCAGGTTTTGCGCCTAGCATCGAACAGGGCCTTTGGAATCCACCTGGCACATCTGTCGAAAAAGCTATCCCCTTGCTCCAATGTCCCTTCCCCTCACGCCTCCCCTCATTCTCCACACAACCTCGGCGTTGGCTTCTCACCTGGGGAAAGTCTCACGCCGAAGCTGCCTTGGAGTCGCCCTTGGAGTCGCCTTCCGCATGGGATAAAGAGTGGGGCCTACCCCACTTGGTCCAATCGTAATCATTTCAAAGAAAGCAAGTGCGTCCCTCGTCTGTTCTTGCCGCCCTTGTCCAACTGAAATTCGACAGAGGAAAAAAGCTTCAAGTGCTTGTAATTAGCCTCCTTTCCATGCCCCCACGGGCCTCCATCGGTCCCAAAGGACCGCCCATGTTTAAGCCAATCTCGTCATGTTGCATCTGCTCCACGGCCCCACCTGCTCCCTCTTGCCTCTCTTCGGCACCCAAAATCGGCAGACGCTAAACACCACGCGACGGGCGTGACATGACTCGAAGAACAAGACGCAGCTTCGCGATTGTGACCATTGTGGGAACGATGCCAGGAGCGAGACCATGGGCCCCTGCGGGTAAGCGGACTACGTTCGGGGAGGGAGTACGATTGGAGGAGAGAGAGTCGTGCGAAGCGGAATCAGCCCAACCCCTGGGGAGGGTGGGTTTATTATGGAGGAGAGGGGGGGAACGGACCCGGCAGCGGGCAGAGAGGAGCATGTTGGGAGCCTGGGGGAGTTGGGGTTTAAACGTTAAGCCGATGCAGCATACCCACAGCATCTGGGGGAAAAATCTTAACCCCACACAGCAACTCTGGGGATGGATTCATCTTGTTCAATGTTCCGGAGTTTCTTTGGACCTCGTGGCTGCTGTGGCTGCTGTGGCTCGTTTTCAATCACAATGGCTCGAGAGAAAAGCCGGTGAGCACTCCTCCGCCTTGGGGAACTGGGCCAAACCTGTCCAAGGCCTCGGGAACAGAACAAGGGAAAGAAGGCGACGCGAAAATAAAGTAATAATATGTTGGTGGCTCACTTGAAGCAGGCAAAAGAAGACGTCAAAGACAAGCTCTAGACGAAAAAAGGTATAAGACGAGATAAAATAAACATTCGAAAGGAAAAACGCCCATGATCAATATTTTAAGTACGCATCCCAAAGTGGCTGACCACTCTCACGATAAAGGATCGAAATGGGCAGCAGAAGTCCTATTAAAGGGTTCGTCTCTCTAATAATTAGCCCTCCCGCAGAGCGGCTAAGGATCCGGGGATCTGGGATGCGAATGTGGGTTTCGTGGAACATGGCTTATCCGGTCCTGCCCTCAGCCGGGTCAAATATAAAACCCCCAGCACCGCCCTCAGCTGTTGTCGGACGCGGGCGCACCTCTCTCGCCAAGCCCTCGCCCGTAATTCCATCCGTCCGATAAATTTTCCGTGGAAATTCCGGGGCTAGGCCGGCCTTTTGCACCGCTGTCGGCTAGCGCACCAAAGTTCGTTCCGCCAGCCAAGAGCCGAGGGGGTTACCCCAAATCTTGTGAGGAGCAAAAAAAATACACAAAGGAACTGGCAGAATTTTCGTTGGAGAAAGAAACGAAGCAGGGGCCAAGCTCAACTAAGCATTATCCCATGCAAAGCTAGTTAGTAAAGGTGTTGTCAAACAACGTAATACGGCTCGGAGATTATCGTCGAGGATAGAAATTGCCTATTACGGATGACCACTACGCGAAATCATGCGGCGAGAAATATATAAGATGTCATGTCTACCTCGGTATATTCGAAGGTGATCGACTTGAATCAGGCCAGTGCCTGCGTAGCCAGACAAGATCAAAATGTTTACTGCACGATGAGCAGCCGGATCTGGGAAAGTAATCTCCCCGATGACATGGGCGGCGAAGGGGAGCTTGGCCAGTATTTCCGTTTGCCTCCGGCAGTTTCGTCGGCATCAATGGCTTGACGCGGGTTGCATCGCTGTACCCGTAATACCTCGTGGCCTAGAGTTGGTTGCTCATCCACTCCACGCTGATCAGTGTGCCAAGGATGGCCAAGAAGCAGAAATTTCAGAAACCCAGAAAGAATACATGACGCAGCATAAAGATTGATGGAAACATAATGCATTCCTTGTCATCGGGCCTAGGCCACAGATCCGTTTATCTCCCCAGCACGGCGAGAGCTTATCAATTACTCGAAATGGAAATCTCGACAGCGCCAGGACCCGTTCACATCTTCCGAGCCACCTCCGAGTGCTCCACGGGAATCTCGGACAACGATCGCCCCACTTGCAGGCCTAACTAACTCGGTGGCTTGCTGGTGAGCGACCGACGGCGGGAGGAGGAGACTTTTCATCTTTTGCCCATGCCATGTGGGCCCTCTCCCCTGGTTTTGGCTTCGCGGAATCGACCTAACGACGTCTGTAACAAAGCACGATGATGGCACGCTCTTGGCGGCTCTGGCAGCTTTGCCCAATATCTGGCCCTCCCTAAGCCGAACTAGCTGACATGCGCCCGTGGAACTTTAGCCGTTCTAGTGCTTGCGATAACATCGCCCTGGTTAGCTCGCCTGCCCCCGTCAAGAAACTGCGCCAGCAGAAAGGGACGTGAGGAGGGTGGCGCTATATCCTTTCGTATGTAATAGATGTCTGGGCTTACAAAAGCTCCCCGAGTATGATAACTGCGCGGCTTCTGGTGCAATATTTTTGTGATTTTCATTTCTCTATCCTCCACTCCATTTCCTACCAGTACTACAGCTTTTATTTCCCCTTGGTCAGAGTTTTTTTCATCCATGGTGTGTGCGCTCCCAGTGAACGCAGCTTGCCCTCGAGGTGAGGTACTCTTCTGCCTACACATCTGCCGCGGATATTTCCATCGAAAAACGGGAGATGCGCATGAAATTAATGGCCCATATTCTGTTCCTTTAGTCCGTTTCCCGGTGCCTTTTCCGCTTTCTCAGTGACGGAAAGCAACTGGTGCGTGCGGCATCTCGCATGGGCATGCGGCTCTCACCCGGTGGTGCCACGCGACCGGCTTCCGCTGCAGGAATGCCGCTTGCGTAGCAGGGCTATCCATGCCAAACAGATAGGAATCGTGGCCTCAGCTCTGCGCGCCACGTGGTTTTTGTTCTCGAAGGTTTCCCGAGGCAATTACCCGCGGCACTTGTCAGGGTTGACAATCAAACCGGCAGTTACAACGTATTCATTAAGAGAGGAAAAGAAAGGACGCGTTTGTTTCATGTCGTATATTAAGACTGCGTCATCAGACCATCTATCGTACATTTTGCTCGCCTCGAGCAACATTTTTGCGCACTTTCGCACCACGGCATAGGCCATTCTTTTCGACCCGATTATTTCCTGTTCCTCCCTGTTCCCTGTCCCCCAATCATGTCCCACCTCAATAGGTACCAATATGGCCCTCGGGCGGCGGGGCCACCTTGAACCTGTACTCATCTCCGCGGTCCAAGTACACCACCCGATGGGCCATCTTCCCCTGCTCCACCTCCGCTTTAAATTCCTCCAGCGAGGACAGAAACACATCATAATCATCGTAGTGCACCGGGATCGTGACGTCCGGGTCGACGAGCCTCATGAGCTGCAACCCTTGCTTCGCGTCCATCGTGACCATGACCAGCGGGGCCGAGGGTCCCGGAATCGTCGTGCCGCCCAGGTGGATCAACATGAGGTCCACGCGCGCACCACCCAGCCACTCGGGGATCTTTTTCAAATCGTCCACGAAAAGCGTGTCCCCGGATATATACGCACGGTAGCCCGTCGCGATCTCGCTGTCGACCGGCGAGGGCACGCCATCCGAGTACCCGAGCTCGAGCATCCACCCGTTGGTGGGCGGCACCGCGTGGAGTAGGTCGTTGGCGATGGCGAGGGGCCGTCGGGCACGTGTTTCCCGGGCATCCCCGTGATTTTGACCACGGGCCGCTTCTGGCCCTCAGGCTGCGGCGCGAGCAGCACGGCGCTCTCGAAGAAGTCGAGCTCCGTCACGTTGCGGAACGGATCGTTCTTGTGCGTGGAGCGCCCGGTTAGACACCCCTTGGCGTGCGGGGTGGTGACGATGGGGAAATCGCGGTCGAGCGAGTCCTCGACGAGCTGGTCGAAGTGGTCGGCGTGGTAGTGCGAGAGCAGGATCACGTCGACGGGAGGCAGCTGGTCCAGGTTGACGGCTGGGTTCGTGACGCGCTGGGCCGTGACCCCGGGGCCCAGGTGGACGTGGTCGCCCGCGTGCAGGAAGTTGGGGTCCGTCAGGATGCGGAGACCATGCCACTCGATCACCGTCGTCGCCGTCCCGATGAAGATGACCCGCGCATTCTCGCCGCCGGCGGATGTCGGTGATGTCGATGACGACGATGATGCCGGTGCGACCTGGCTCTTCCTGACGGGGAAGTCGTCGAGCGGCGGGGTGTGGCGCTTGTCTGCCTTGAGGAGCGGGTGTCTGTTGGACGGGTCGAGCTGCAGATATTGCAGGGGCCGCTTGGTGGCCGAGTGTGCGTCTGGCGAGGATCCCATGGCTCTTTGTGTATATTTTCCTCTTCTATATTTGCTTCTTATTTGGATTGACTTGTGTATTATTTATGCATCTCTGGACTTGGTCCCAAAATTAGGCATGTGAGTTGAAACTTTAAAGTTCTCGTCAGGCTTCTAGCTTTCAATCGATGCGGCGCGCGATGTTTGGTTTGGTTTGGTGCTGGCTGTTGGCATGATCCTCGCAGCGGTCACCATGACATCATCGCGCAACGGCCGTCTTGTAGCGATTAACACGTACTTTTGCACATTTACTATTCACCACATTCCATAACGTACTTCGTATCAAAGACTAACTGTATAGATTTTATTGAGATCGGGAGTCAAATTAAGCTGCTACTTGCAGACACCTCAAGGAACGGTACCACCGGGAATATCCTTCGAAAGTGCTGGCCCAACTAGTCGTGTAGGCAGCGGCTTCGAAGTTGACCTCGCACGAAGGGGATGTTGATTTAGAGGAGAGGGTATTGACGGAGGACAAAATTGTTATTTAATAATTAATTGCCTGTATCAACTATCTGTAGCAGAGCAAGGCTTCGTGGCCACGCTCCTATCACGGCGTACTGGATCACCTCGTGGGGTACAGATTTGAGGCCAAGAATAAGATGAAGAGAAGGCAAGGACGGCGTGCTCTAGTCAAAGACAAACGAATTTCGCCATACAAGGAGCCTCAATTCGTTGTGATGGTTCGATACGTCTATGGGTCGTGCCGTCACTTAGCACTTTTCCCAATGAACGCGAACAACCATCCCCTTGGGGTCCCAAACTTTGCCCCTCACCCAGTCCAGGGTAATGATGTTGGGATTCGGGTACCTGGGGCACCAGTCCATGATGATCCCCTGGGCATAGTCCGCCACGTACGACCACTCCTGGTCATAAACGGCCGGAGAGTCCTTGTGCGGGTCGTAGCACACAAAGATGGCCGAGTTGTACGAGCAGCTGATGCGGCCGCACTCCTTCCTCCCCACCTCGAAGCGCGGCTTGTCGCGCGTGACCTTGCGCAAGTAGTTGATGCCATCTTGGATACGGCGCGCCGAGGTCCATCCCGTGCCCTCGTCGCCGCAGTCCTTGCGGGCTACCACTCGCTTTCGCCACCCTTGGTCGCCGCGGCGGGCGAGACCGGACTCCTCGTCGTCGGACAAGTCGAAGTCGGGGTTGATGGCGACGATCTGGCTCACTACTTCTTCGACGGTGCCGTTGAAGGTGTGGACTTCACCCCTGCGGCCATAGGCTCCGGTGAAGGAGAGTGGGACGATAGTGAAACCGTCGGAAGCGAAGTCGCTAGCAGGAGCGCGGGTGTCAATGGGAGTGGCAGCGGTCTATTGGGTATTTATTCAGATTAGTACTTGTACCTCTGACTCTTTGGGAGTAGATGAGGGTGTTGAATGGGGAGAAAGCTCGCAGGTCCAAGCTTGGACTGAGGAGCTACTTACCAGACCGACGAAGCCGACAAGGGCAGAAATCAAATGTGTAGAGAGACGCATGGTCACCGTCAAGTCAAGTTCAAGGCGTTTGGTGCTGAGTAGATGTTGGCTTCAAAGGAGAAAGTACCGGAATAATAGAGATGAAGACACTTACAGAGCGAGGCAGCGAGGCGAGGATCAAAAGAGTAAAGAGAGGGGAGAGAGACGACGTTTTTATAATTCACCAAAGGTTAGGGCAGAACTGGAGCAAGAAGATGTATTTTCATTGATACTCTATTTTCTCTTAGCCCTCTCTAGAATTCGTTTCAAGTGGTTACTACACTGATTAGGATGAAGAAAGGACTGGAGCAAGAGGACAAGGGTTGGCATGAAGAATTCTTGAGTAGCGACTTCCCAAAAGTTCGAGTCAAGCAAATTGGAAACCTGTGGCTTCACAGTCAAAGAGTCTTTTGCATAATCAAGGGAGGGTGTAGGACATTCCTCAAAGGCTGTTGAAGCAAGGGGTGAAAAGGACATGTTAAATATGCAAAGATAAAGAAAACTAGTAATATAGCCATTACACCACTACACTCGAGTGCCTTGTCCTACTCCGAATCCTGCCCTCGACTGGAATTTTCCGGTGCTCAACCAATTCGGCCCTTTGTATGGCCTGACCGTCCTCGTCGATCTCGACGACAGGCAGGCGCTTCGTATCCAGCTCCCAACGGCCTGCCCACTGCACGAATCGGAGGCCGATCCACCACACCACGCCAATTCCCGCGCTCGCCAGCCCAATCGTGGGGCCGGTCCACCACGCGAGGGCGCTGTTATCCCAATGGCTTGGCGGGGCAAACCCGGCGAAAAGCAGAAAGAGGAGAGTCACGGCCGCGATGAATACGGGCAGGGGATCCAGCGGCGGGGTCCACATGGTCTTGGACGGCCAGTCGCGTGATCGCTTTCCGCGGAAGTAGGGCTCGAGCTTGAGATACAGCAATCCGGCGGCGGTCAAGAAGCCGAATATACCCACGATGATGTAGGTGTAGAGGTAAGTAAGGAGTCTGTACGCTTCAGACACCTCGTTGGTTGATAGACTGGCCACGATGACGAGAACGACCTCGAAGAACCAGTGGAGGAATGTGGCGGGGATGGGTGTCTGTTCCCGGTGGTTGTCGAGGTTGGCAGCCGAATCGATCTGCGAGTGTCGACTCGTGGAAGAAGAAGATGACGAAGAAAGGCGAGAGAAGAGGGTATCGTTATTCGAGGAAAGGGCAAGAGACCAAGGGAAGATTCCCTCCTTGGCGATCTCCTGCTTGACTCGAGTGGCGGTAAAGGTCTGAGCCATCAAGTTTCCAAAGATGAAAAAGGCGAGGAGGGCCGAGACACCGCGAATCACGCTGTCTCCACTGGTCCCGGACAGCTTCTCAAAATACAAAAGCGCCATGTTCTGCGAAGGATTGAGCTTGCCGTTAAAGGGCACCATGCACAAGTAGCTCACATTGGTGAGAGGGTACAAAACTAAAACGGCCACCATGGCAATCATGGTGGCCTTGGCAAACGTCTTGTGCGGCTTCCTCACCTCGGACACCACGTAAAAGGGCTGCTCGAACCCGGTGTACGGGTACATGGCGAAGAAGAGCGCCCTCGAAATGTCCGCCACGCCTCCGCTCGCGCCGTCGCCCTTGTATTCCCACGAAATGTTGGCTTTGCACTGGTTGCCGTGAACGGTCCCGTAGGCGATGCCGAGGAAGGTGATGACGGTGACAAAGGTGATTTTGGTGACGGCGAAGATGTTGTTCAGCCCGAGGGTGTACGAGCGCGTGGCCACGTTGATGAGCGCGCAGACCGTGAGCACGGCGACGGCCCAGGCGATGACGGGGCCCTTTTCTACGGCACAGAGGCCGCTTTCGCTTTTTTCGCATGCCGGGTGGTCCATGATGACCCGTTGCATGTAGATCCCGAACTGGAGGGCGTTGCCTGCGAGGTTTCCGAAGATTGTGAATCCGATGCCGAAAATGCACGTCATGAGTCGTCGCGGTCGTTTGAATACGTATTCGAGCTAGAACACAAGCGCCGGGAACTGAGTGTTAGCTTCACGGGTCCATAGGAAGAGGCGGGGGAGGGGTTAAAAGAAGCTTATACGCACATAGTTCTTGTCCCCGCCATTCCTAGGCGCTGAGACTCTCTGCATGACACCGTTGCGGAAAATGTAGTGGAGAGGCACCGTGAGGGCGAACTCGATCCAAGTGGCGACCACGCATATGATTATCACTCCGCCGGCGAACCACAGAACAAGCGAGACGCCGGCGCTGCCCGTCAGATTAAGGACATTGATGGGCTGCGTGAAGATGCCGCTCGCGATGGTACGGTTGATGATGAGGCAGAACACGGTAAAGGGGCCGATGAGCTGTTTTCTCGTCGGCGCGACATCGAGGCGCTGGTGGGCGATTGTGGATCTTTAGTTAGAACAATTGCCGCATGCCTCTCTGTTCCCCGACTTGCAAGGTTTGCAGACCACACTGTAAGCTTACCTCTCGCTCCTTGTCATGTTGGTTTATCCTCTCTTGCAGCTGCTCGAGCGTGAGAGTCTGAAAATGGCTTTGCGCGACCTCCGACATGGCAGTTTCAACGGCTGCTCCGTATCTTCTCGTGCCACTACGCTCTCCGGGTCAAGGATCGACGGCGTCGGACGTGTCTCGACGTGTCACTTGTTGCGCCTCTGTCGTCAGATTTTGGGATAGTGAAAAGAGAATTTTACATCCAATTCATATCTGTCTTTCGTCCTGGAGCAAGGAAAAAAGAAACCACAAAAAAAAAGAAAACACCCCTCCACCAACAACCATGAGTCCTAGAATGCCCTTCCGACTACCTTTTCGTCTCTCTCCCACTCTTTCCTTCTCGTCCTTCCCCGCTCCGACCTGCACACACGCACGCCCGTCCTGGTGGCTTGCCACAGCCTTGCATCCTCGAGGGTGCTTCTTTGGCTTGGTACGCCACACGATTGCCGGATTGAGTGAAGCGCAGCCATGGCAGACCAGGGTCGGGACGGCAGAGCTGAAAAAACGGCCACCTTAATTGGACCTCGCCTGTCTCAATGCACCAGGGGCCGGTAAAAGCGGCGCCTCTGCTCGCCCTGTCTACGCTTTTGGCTCCGTGGTGATTGGATACACTGCCCCCTTCTGTGCTTCTGTGCCGTGGGCGAGATACGCTATTGCCTGCGAGCAGCGCCCCCGACATGACGGTGGTACGAGAAAGACGATGGTCTTGGCAAGTACCAGCCTCCGATGGGTTGGAGGGGCGGGTGGGTGTTGAGCGAAATCCCCAACGTCCTCAACCCCCGCTCCTGGAAGATCGTGACTATCAGTTTAGACACTCTGGCGCGGAGATCACTAGCTGGATATCCACATCGAGCCCTTCATTTCCATCGAAAAATCCCCCGCGGGTTCGAGGGCCACGCATCCTCTTCAAGCAAGTCATTCCGCAATGTCTTCGACTCCGTTCATTGCGGAGCTGGACATCGGAGTGCCCCCGAACCGCTTCCAACTCTCCTCGCCCACATCCTCCCTCGCCACCTCCCGTCGCGAAATCTTTGTCCGCTGGCAGCAATCCACCGAGGCCAGCCAAATCCTCTCCATCATCGAGGTCGTCCCGCCCGCGCCCTTTGAGTCTCCCACCGCCGGACCCAACGCCCCGGCCCGCGAGATTGAGCGCTTTCTCGACCTGAACCGCGATTTCGTCCTCCCGCTCTACGCCGTGCCCCGCAACACGAACCAGGATGAATGGAATATCGAGGTGGGCTACGGCCAGGGGACGTCGCGCATCGACTACCCGTTCCGAAGCAGGGAGGGCGCCGCCCGCTTCCAATCCTTGATCACGGGCTACGAACCTATCGCGCACTTTGACCGCCTCGGCTGCGTCGTCACGTATCAGCGCGGCTGGCAGATTCCCCGACCGCAGTTCGCTGGGTATGGAGAGATACAGCTCTGGCGCGAGCCCGAAGAAGGATTTGCGGCCGACGCTGCGTCGCCGAGGTCATCGGGATCGGGGCAGTCGACGATACGGGTGGGGGCACAGTCGATGGTGAGCACGGCGTCGGTGCTTAGCCCGTCCAACAGATCGACGATCCATACGAATGTGGAAAAGGGACGTTCTGTCCTTGTGACGCAGCGATTGCCCCCGCCGCTTTTGGTAGCGTTTCTCAATGATAGAGAGGATGCGGCGGCTTACACTATGCTCAAAATGGATGGCAAGTGACTCACCTCCACTCACCTCGATTCTTTACTTTATTTTCTTCAAACTATTTTTTAGGACTGGATGTCGACTAACTTTTGCATTTCCTTAGCTTCATATCTCGTCGCAACGGAATGCACCAGCGGGCGGGAAGAAGCCCTCCTCCGAATCGTAGACAAGAACGGCCCACTCTTCAAGGCCGAAAAGCACCTCCCGACCCAAGACAAAGTCTCCCTGAGCGCATGGAACCTCGCCGCCGTAGGTCGCCGCAGAGCCACCTCCGCCTTCAAGATCCTCGAGTGCACGCAGCTAGCGCTCAACTTTGGGAGCTGCAAGGACCCGGCCAACCTCGAGCAGCGCGCGTTCTTCCAGCGGCAGCTCCTCGTTCTGCAGTGCGAATACCGAGCGAAATGGGCAAACCAGTCGATCAACCAGAAGCAGGAGATGCAGGCGCAGGTCCGGGAGATGCGCGAGCCGGTCTCCATGAGGAAGGCGCTACGGTCTCTCTTGTCCCTGTCCCCGAGCATGCCGAGTCTGCCGGAGATCACGGCCGAGCCGTTTGTCGTGGACTTTGAAACCCGGGGGCGAGCGAGCTTGGTCCGAGCTCGCGATTTGCCCATCCGGCGGAGCTCGAGCCGACGCCCGTGAGGACCCGGATAGGCCCCCACATCACAGAATTCGCGGAAACCTTCACTGATGGAAATGCAAACCAAAGACACACTCATGCCGATTATATTACTAAAAAAGGGTTTACGAGATGCAGTCGCGCCCCGTCTCAAGGAATCTGCCACCAACTCTCATGCACATCCCTCAGATCCACTTTTACAGGGTCCACGATATACGGCGTGACATCAGCCTCCAAATCGCCCTCTTTCCTCGTGCTTCCCCTCCCAAGATACCAGAGGAACCGGTTTCCGCTCTCGTGAAGGTACTCATACTTGAAATCCTCCCACCGCGGCTCCCGCTGCAGCAGCGTGACGAGCGACGCGCTGCCGGGCCACAGGCCGTGGATCCTGGCCCCCGGCTTCCCGCCATTATACCACGAACTACACCCCTCGGACAGCACGGTGCGGGCGAAGAACGCATCGGAGTAGCGCACAAAGTCCTCGGCCGCCTCGACGAGGGGCTCCAGGGACCGGATGCCCTCGCGCGACGCTTTGCGTAAGATTTTGGCAAAGTACACCACTTGGTTCTCGACATTGTGGGGGACCGTCCCGGAGCGGCCGGAGCCGTTGGGCCCGTGGAGGAAGAGGAGGTTGGGGAAGCCGGGGGTGGCGGAACCGAGATAGGTGTAGGGAAAGCCGTGCTTACCGCCCGGTCGCCACGCGTCGGCGAGGGTTTCTCCGTGGGCGATGATGGGGAAGGGCGGCGCCATGTCGCCGTTGGCGCCCGTCGCGCAGTAAATGGCGTCTACTTCGCGGTGCACGCCGTCGACCGTCTCGATGCCGGTCTCTGTGAAGCGACGGATGGGCGTCTGGATGAAATCGGTGTTGTCGGCCGAGATGGCTTCGAGATACCCCGGACCGGGCGTTAATCTCCTGCAGTGGGGGAGAAGTCCGGGATGAGCTGGCCCACGAGGTCCGGCCTCGTCTTCTCCAGCCGGGAGTTCATCAAGTTGGTCATCCGCTCCCTGGCCTGGTCGTTCTTTTCCGATCCCTTCAACCAATCCTCGAATCCCCTGAAATACTGCGATTCCTTCTCCTTACGAAATGCGATGTACGTCTCGGGATCCGCGAACGAGTCCCGGAGTTCCTGCGAGATGGGGATCGGAGATGTAGAGGTTTCATGGCCGGCAAACGATGCGGCCACCCACGTCTTGTTTCGCGCGTAGTGGTCGAGACGGCCGACGCGCTTCTGGATATTGGCCACGACCTGCAGCCCGCTCGCGCCGTTTCCAATCACGGCCACGCGCTTCCCTGTGATATCATAGTTGGGATCCCAGTTGGAGGTGTGTCGCAGGAGGCCCTTGAAGTCAGACAGGCCGGGATAGTCGGGCAAGCGCCACTCGTTGAAGCGGCCGATGGCGTGGATGACGAAGTGGAATCCTTCTGTCCGGTCCGCGCCAGTCGTCAGGTCCTTCACTGTGAGGTTCCACAGGCCCTGGGAGGCATCCCATTCCTGTCTATTCACCTGGTGCGAAAGCTGCAAGTACTGGTAGACGTTGTACTTTTGGCCAGTCCTTGCCAGTAAGCGCGGATCTCGGCGCCCTGAGCGAATTCCTCGGACCACTGGGTGTTTGGATCAAACGTGGACTGGTAGACGTGAGCAGGCACATCACACCTGACGCCGGGGTAGATGTTCTCGAACCATGTGCCCCCTTTTTTGAAAGCCAAAGTTAGCACTTGTCTCTAAGCACACCAAATTGTGAGCCTTCGTCGGAAGACACGTACCACCTCCGAGTTCTTTTCAAAAATCGTGAGCTTGATCCCGGGCACTTTAGGTGGCAGGAGGATACCGGCGAGGACTCCAGAGAGGCCGGCACCGACAACGGCGACCCTCAGTTCTCGGGGTTCATCGGCGTATCGATCGACGAGCTCAAGCAATGGGCCGTCATATACAGACTCTACTTTAGCGGCAGGGAGGGGAGGCGTAGGCCTGATAGCTGGAACCGATGTAGTCGAATCCAGGGGCAGCAGAGGCTGGCTGTTTGAGAAGGACTCAATGGGTGCGGGTGCCGCAATGCCCTGTAACGCGAGCTCCGGCAAGCTCGACGCCCCGAGACCTTGGCTGATCTGGGCCGCGACAGGGACAGGGACCGGATCAAGGGTCTGGACGTGGCCCATTGTGGAATATTGATTTTCTTTTTCCCCTTTTTTCTTTTCGGTTTTTTCCTCCTGGCGGACAGGTCTCGTTTGCGCTCCGCTGATGGTAGTAATGGAGGGTGCAACAAGGAAGACTCGCACAACAAATATGTACTCGACACGTGGATCGGCCAGGCCTTTGCTCTCCCTGGTACGTCGGTACGTGGAGGTGAATCGGGGACGATAGTAATCGCGAAATTCAAGACCCCGGTCGATGGACTATATCCTCGGTTTTTGTTGTTCGTTGCGTAATTCGCCCTACTTCATGACACCCATGTTCTTTCCCAGGATCCAGTTTTCGAAAGAAAGGGGAGGGGGAAATAATTTTAAGCCACTAGCTCATGTTACTCACAATGACTCTCTGATCTGCCTCCCGGCGAAGTATAATCAATGTAGAGGACGTTTGTGCGAGCCCAAATCATTGGGTTCGGATGCCCATCTTGGCCCGTCGTCAGTTGCGGTGACAAGCACGCCATCCCCCACACTGAGATAGGAGCGGCGGCATCAACCCCGAAACCCGTCATCATGTACGGTGATCCACCCCCAACGCCGCGGATAGGCTAGACTTGGGGAGAACCGGGATCAAGTATAACGGTCGACATGCTGCGAGGATGCTATTTTTCGTCGAATCTATCAAGAAATGGATCCCCCAGAGGCCGGAGAGCAGCGTCGTAGTGAACGCGACTCGCCAGCTTTTGTCACATCAACCGTCCCTGCTATGGTGCCATCCAAGGTCTAACGTCCATGGACTTGGGCCCGAAGCGAGCGAGTTGAGCACCAAAAAGAAAAGAAAAAATTCTCCGCGTAATACCGTTCAGGGTGTCCTATCGAGAGCGCGCGTCGATTCGCCCACCCTTCCCCACCCTCCCCTGTCGCGAGCCGTGCATGTGGGCGACCGGGGGTGAGATGTGGGATGGACCTGGGTTTGGGAGATGATGTTGAGGTTTTCCGAGGAGCTGCAGAATGAGCGTTTCGTACAGATGGATTCTCGAGTAGGGCGGCAGGTATTAAATCGTCAAAAGAGCCCGCACCGGTGCGCACCTTTGCAATATCCCAAGTGCTGACGCCCATCTCTTTGGCTCTCTGTGATACTGGCAACCCCAAGGTTGCATTTAGTACATCTCAATTTCTACCGTTGATAACAAGAGCCTGCTCGTCAATCACCATGGTGTCCGAGACGAAGCGACAAAAGAAGTGGTACCAAATCCAGTGGTATGCGGACGTAGACACGCCTCAGGATCGCAAGCTCATCAACAAGCTCGATCTTTTGATTGTTCCCTACGCCGTCCTCTCCTACTGGGTCAAATATCTGGACCAGTCCAATCTCAGTGAGTTTCGTCGTGAGGGAGAGAAAATCGACATGGGAAACTAACACGCGGAAAATAGACAATGCCTATGTCGCGGGGCTGAAGGAGGATCTTGGATTCCAAGGCAATGAGTTGGTGCAGCTACAGACGTTCTACATCATCGGCGCCGTAACGGGCCAGATCCCCTTTATGTTTCTCTTCACCTATCTTCCCATGCACTGGACGATTCCATTCCTTGACATCGCCTGGGGTATCTTTACTCTGCTGCAGTACAGAGTAAACAGCTACGCCGAGTTGGCCGCTTACCGATTCCTGGTCGGTTGGTTCGAGGTCAGTTTGTCCCCATTATTGCTCCATGTCTTCATAGTACGTCCAGTATGCTAACCTGCGGATATGGAATGCAGGCTGCATTTTTCCCAGCGATGCATTATGTCTTTGGTAAGTACCCAGCCGCCCGGACATCAGGCGCCTCCGCAAAAGTCAAGCTTATGCTAACCCCCAATCAGGATCTTGGTATCGCGGCGACGAGATTGCCCGCCGAGGTGGCATCTTCTACGTCGGCCTCTCTCTCGGCACGCTCACCTCGGGCCTCATCCAGGCCGGCGCATCTGCTCGCCTCGACGGAGTCCACGGCCTCGCAGGCTGGCGATGGATGTACATCATCTGCGCCATCATCACCATCCCCATCGGCATCCTCGGCTACTTCGTCATCCCCGGCACCCCCGAGCACCCCAACCGCCTCGTCCTGCGCCAGGAAGACATCGACCGCGCGTCGGAACGGCTGAAGCGATCCGGCCACGTCTCGTACGGAAAGTTCAAGTTCCCCAATCTCTGGTCCATCGTCAAGAAGCCGCAGTTCTGGGCCATCATCCTCGTGGACGTTCTGTTCTGGAACGCCGGCGTGCACACCAGCGCCGGCACGTTTCTCCTCTGGATCAAGAGCCTGAAGAGATTCTCCCCGGCCCGCGTCAACGAGCTCGGCACTATCGCGCCGGCCCTCGGCATCTTTTACACCCTCTTCATCTGCTTCGCGTCCGACCTCGTCCTTGGACCGGCGTGGGCCATTACGCTCGCCCACGCCTGGAACATTGTCGGCCTCATCATTCTCACGATTTGGAAAGTGCCCGAAGCCGCGCTCTGGTTCGCCTTCTCGACCATCTATGCGTCGTACGCCATGTCGAGCGTCTTCCACGGCTGGGTCAACACGCAGCTCCGCGCCTCCTCCGGAGAGAGCGTTCACGCTCGTGCTCATCAACGCCATTTCGCAATCCAGTACCGCCTGGACGCCCTTGCTCGTATTCCGAACGGTGGAGGCGCCGAGGTTCCCCAAGGGGTTCCCATTTGCGCTGGCATGCGCGATTCTCTTGATCATTGCCACTCACGCGCTTCGGCTCTACATCCGGCACAGAGAGTAAGTCTATTTACCCTACCAGTATCTCGCTTCCTCCCATTTTTATCAAGCTCTCCTTCCCAACGGTGCTCTCCTTGCGCGAAACATATTGATTTCTAATATTTTCAAAATATAGTCCCGGTGTCGAGTTTACTACGGGAGTGCCTGAAGAGGAGTCAGATTCTGCCGAGCGAGCTGACGGTGGCGAGACGGCTCAGCCCAAATCACAGAGGGACAAGAAGGTGGACGATTCAAGCGAATAATGGCTTAGTATAGCTGTGGTTACCAATAGCCTAGTTATTCTGTGACCTCAATGTAGCCTGATCAACGTAGAAGTTACTCGTATCCATAAATTGATGTTGTAGTAATCATACGAACAATCCACCTCAGTCTTTCCATGCCGATCATTTCCAATCGTCTTCACCTACAGTTACCTGCAGTCGACCTTGCCTTACTTTTTCTATAACCTAATTTTGTTCCCGATAAAGTCCCAGCCCTGATCAGTAATTCTGATGGTGCCAGCGAGTCAAGAAGCTATCTTTCGACAGCTCGAAAGGATCATTAAACTCTGTCCGGCTTTCGCGGGTTTCGTCTCGGCAGTGGCACCATCGTGAAGCTAACTATCCTCCTAGCCCGGCGTCCGATTAATATTTCCGGCATCCGGTCTGGGCAACGCGAATTATCGACGGCGGTGGGCGTGGGTCGCAGGCAAGGCACGCGCCTTAGGACCGCTTTTGGGAGGTGTGGGGTACCACGGCCGTTGACGCCGTTGGGGGCGTTAGCTCCGATTGCACCGCGGGATCCCTGCTATTGCGCCACCACCATCTCGCGGGGTCGCTTGTGAAGGAGGGAGCGATAGTCAGATATTACGCCAAGAGAGGTGAAAAGTACTCCACCTTTTGCCGAGGAAAGCGAAGGCAACTCGGCCGTTAGGATACAATGGAGCTTGGTTTGATGGCATACTCTACTCGTATCTAATGCCTCGATAGCGTGGGGATGGTGCTACCCTCTTGACAGCGCACCTTTGGGGTAAGGTGGCGAGGTGAACAATGACCCATGCTCAACGCCCCGTTTGACCTCTTCCACTCACGCAGATACGCGCCCCTCTTTCCGGCTTTCCTCGAGGTCTTGGACAAGTACAATTCCGTTGCTTCGAGTACAGAAATAAGAAAATACAGAAAAGATGGCGATTGCCGGCCAACATTGCGCCATTCCCGTTGCCGATCACGCCAAGACGCGGATGGCTCCCGTTTGGCTGAAGAAAGTCTGCAGAGTGCACCGATAGACTGGATATGCGGCATCTTCGGTTCTCTCTCACGGGGAGATTAATGAAGGGACCCTTACGTGCTACGCACTAACCGGCACTTACACTACAAATCACAAATGCTCGTCATAGAGGGTCTCTTAGAAACATGAAGCCTGCGGATACTTGTTAGGCCGGCGCAGCGAGGAAATGTAACTTCCGTCGTCATTGCGACTCACTACCCTTTTGCCAAGTTTAGAATATTAATGCGCCTATCCGTCTACAGAGCCAGGGGAATGCACGCTCATCAATCATTGATGCCACCAAAAGCAAGCTACACCTGCCTCATTGTTTAGTAACCACCCAAACCATGGCGTCCGCACATGTCAACGGCCACTCCAACGGCACCGCGCCCAATGGCGCCCCAGAGGCAAAGAAGCAAATTCTGATCAATGCCTTTGACATGTCCACGATTGGGCACTTGTCTCCCGGGCAGTGGAAGGTGAGCACTCGTGCTTTTGAACAAAAATGCTTGCGCGGTCCCGGCCCCTCGTTGCTAACTCGGCCCGATAGAATCCAGCGGATAAGTCAGCGACGAAGCGGAAGCTTCAGTATTGGATCGACCTTGCGAAGCTGCTCGAGCGCGGTGGCATAAACGCGCTGTTCCTTGCGGACACCTATGGGGGCTACGACACCTACCAGGAAGCTTGGACAACTGCATCCGGAGAGCTGCCCAATGGCCGGTCACTGATCCCACCATTGTAAGAGAAGATCCAACCCATCACCAACGAGACCCTGATTCCTCAAAAGAAAGAAACCTATGCTGATGCAGGGAACGACAAAGCCAATCACCGCGATGGCTGCGGTGACGAAGAACCTGTCATTCGCTATTACGGCTTCGACGTCATTCGAGCCCCCATTCCTCCTAGCTAAGCGATTGTCAACTCTCGATCACTTGACTGGCGGTCGTATCGGGTGGAATATCGTAACGTCGTGGAAAAAGGCTGCCTTCAAGGCCATTGGGCTTGACACTCCTATTCCCCATGATGAGAGGTACGAGCAAGCCAACGAGTACCTAGAGGTCCTCTACAAGTAAGTATTTCCCCATTTTTATAGACCCCGTGTCACCAACGGAAAGCTTATAATTGCTGCGCATGGAAGGCTCTGGGAAGCCTCATGGGCAGACGACGCCGTATCGCCCGATCCCGCCAACGACAGCTACGCGGACCCGGACAAGATCCGCACCATCCACCACCACGGCAAATACTTTGACCTCGACACCCGACACATCGTCGACCCCTCCCCCAGCGCACCCCGTTCCTCTTCCAAGCCGGTACGTCCGCCGCCGGTTCGTCGTTTGCCGCCAGTCACGCCGAGGGCATTTTCGTATCCTCGCATTCGCCCAAGCTCTTGCGGCCCAAGGTCAAGGTCATCAGGGACGAAGCCGCCGCGTTGGGGCGAGATCCCAGCTCCATCAAGTTCTTCGCCACTTTCACGCCAATCGTGGGCCGGACGGACGAGGAAGCGCGGGAGAAGCACGAGGAGCTCAAAAGTACGCGTCCGTCGAGGGTGGGCTCGTTCTCGTGAGCGGGTGGACGGGCATCGACCTGTCCAAGATCCCGCTCGACAAGGAGATCACCGCCGACGATTCTCAGGAGGCGAACAAGGTCCGCAGCATCCTCGATGCCTTTACGACGGCGAGCGAGGAGGTGCCCAAGTGGACGCCGCGCGTGATTGCTCAGCGCGCTGCCATTGGGGGATTGGGCCCCGTGGCCGTGGGTAGTCCCGCGACGGTGGCGGATGAGATGGAGAGGTGGATTACGGAAGGTGATTTGGATGGCTTCAATGTTGGCTATGTGACTACCCCTGGTACTTTTGAGGACGTGGTCGATTTGCTCATTCCGGAACTGAGGAGGCGTGGGTTGTATCCGCAGCTGCCGGAAGATGGCGAGGAAGCGCTCACGGCGCGCGAAAAGGTGTATGGCAAGGGACAGGCTGGGTTGAGGGCGGACCACCCTGGGACACGGTACAAATATGCCGTGTATTCAGAGGACGCTACAGAGGAGCAATAAGGGGAGAGAATTTGAATAAATAGTCTAGTTCTGTATTGTCAATAAAAGATGACAGATTGAAATCATATTGCTAAGATAACATTATCTTTCATGGGTATATCCAAGCTTTCGCCGGCTCTCAGGCCTGTTGGGCTCTGTGCGACTCCTCGTCTGGTATGGAAATCAACAACTGTCTCATCTGTTAACAAAAACGCCGAGTAGTCACAACAATCAGTGTCGGGGATATAGTCTGACAGACTCTTCTTTTTCTCTCTTCTCTCTCTGAGGCTTCTGGAAACCACTCCTCATATATATCTCTGTACAAGTCGGCCTCTTCGACCTCATGATTGTAGCTCTGTAGCTATCTTCAGGACATCATAGGCTTGTGCTCGGTCATAACCACGAATGATACACTACTGCCCATGTCAAGATACCTGTAGGGAAAGTTCTTTTCAACAACTTGGATCTTGGGTGGTCCAAGTCGTCCGGAGCAGCTTGTAGCTGATAACACTAAATAGTTATGGGTGAATGTCGGCTAATTAGTTTTCCTCAACGCCATGTTGAATTTGCTCCCAAGTCGCACACCATAATTCGCACGTGTCCTCGATTGGCGCCTGCCTCACTCAAGAGCTCACTTTTCCCATCAACATCATCATCCAAAGAACATCAACAATTACATCCGAGCTCATCGAGCTTCATCGAGCTTCATCAGTAATTAACCACCCAAGACCATGGAGATCTCCACGTACATTTTCTGGGGAATTGCCCTCCTTCTCGTGTTCGCACCGGTGAGTATCTGCTCAGGGCTCACCTTGAAATCCTGTCTCACCCTGGTCATTCCGGGCTGATTAAAGCCCCCTTGCTTCAAAATCGCGATTACTGACATATTTTCCAAAAGCTTCTCTTCGTCGACCGTTCGCCCATCCCTGAATCCTCGGGCAACGTGCAAAGATCACGGCGTCGCCCGAGCTGGACACCCTCCTGGCCTCCAACACGTCCGTGATTGTCGACTTCTACGCGGACTGGTGCCCTCCGTGCCGCGCCATTGCTCCCGTCTTCTCTCAGCTGGCCGACGAGTACGCCGTCACGGGCCACGTCGCCTTTGCCAAGGTCAACGTCGACAACGTCAAAGACGTCGCGGCCAAGTATGGCGTGTCTGCCATGCCCACGTTTGTTGTCTTCCGCAACGGCAAGCCCGGGGGTGTCGCCGTGGATGGTCTGCAGGGGAGGACGTCTGTGAACACGGGCGCGGACGGCGCGGTGGAGAGGGTCTTGGGAGCGGATCGGGTTGCGCTGGAGGCTATCGTCAAAGCTGTGGCTAGCAAATAATGAAATAAAAGGGAAAGGTGTAAAGATGGAGATGACGGGGAACAAGGTAAACGGCCGATGGTCTCTACATTAAATGGTTTGATTATTGGAAATTTGAGCCGATAAAGTGATATATTGCATTATACCTGGCCCATAGCCCTCAATGTTATGTATGATGGACCGCATTGGTTACGCGTGAGTTGCACGACACAGAGCGCACATCCCTCCAACAATTTTATTTTGCTCACCAAGGATCTTGCCATGGATGCACCCCATATAGGAAACAAGCGTTGCAGGAGACAACTCCTTTATCTAAGCGGGGAGTTCTCATACGGCTCCAAATCAAGGATAACGCGGAGTGAGTCTCAGGCTTGTGAATTCTTTCATAATGTCGAACCTATCTTCCGTGGCAAAAAGAATTTCCTTGATGATGAAATGCATTGCAGTCTACTCTGGCCCTCACTGCGGAGCTATCGCTTGCTGGTATAAAGATTAAATGGAGAGGATTCTAAAATACTCGTACATGACTCATATCTTGACGTTTTCTGCACCGAGAAAGGTGCGTGTTGTAGATTCATTGCGCCGCTTGCACACGACACCAGCCAAAAACCCTGACGACAGGGTCATCACGATCCGCATTATGGCTGCACAACATCCGGAATCTCCCCAATGACCGCGTCAAATATCCTGTACCCCGTAAGTATACACGGCGACTTGTCCTGCTGCCGCTGCCAAATCTCCACGCACGCCTTGAGCGTCTCCAGAATCGTCTGCCGCGGGGGTATCGCCCCATCCGCCGCCTCCTCCGCCGCCGCGGACAGGGGCGCGTCCTTGCGCAGGACGTGAATGCACGCCGTCATGGCAGCCGAGACGAAATCCAGCATAAACACCCTCGACACCTCGGTGAAGCCGTTGCCGGCCTCCCACAGCCCGCGCTGGAGGACGAGGAGGGCGAGGCTGCACTCGAGCGAGGACCAGTAGCACACAGGGAAGTCGACGGGCGAAGAAGCGTGGTGGGCGAACTTGCGGTGCAGGACGAGGAGGACGCGCCGGAAAAAGATGTCGAGGGCGGTGCGGCGGAACCCGGAGGCGGCGGCGAGGACGGGGACCATGAGCTGTCGTACGGTGGCGTTGTAGTGTACGGCGGCTTCGTAGGTGAGCTGGTCGGCTTTGGCGTTGACCTGCACGGCGATGTCCATGATGACGGGGAAGGCGTTGTAGAGGGGGTCGTCGATGTGGGAGATTGAGGTGTCTAGTCCCTCTGGGTAGGAGAGGAGGTCTCCGCCGCCGCCGACGAGGTCGTCTCGTCGTAGGAGTGCCGGCATACCCGTGATGATGGCGATCTCCGCGTCTAGATAGACGATCGTGGCCCATAGCCTACGGCGGGCCAGGCGGTCCGCGCGCGACCGCTGGTCACCGCCATCGACATAGTCTTCCCACCCATGCTCCAGCTCGGGATTACGGTGAAGCCCGAGCATGACAGCCAAGCGGAGCATAAGGCCAACGAGGGACCAACAGGCGTCCACGGCCCAACAAGTAGCGTTGGCCACCTTCTTCGCCGTGACCATGAGGCAAAGGGTACGGATGGTGGCGAGGGTCGGACGAAACATGAAGGGGGTCTTCATGAGGCACGCCTCGGCCGCGAGGTAGTACTCGGCGCTGTGGGACTGCGTGCCGCGGACGGCGGAGCAGCCGAGCCCCAGTACAATCAGGTATTGTGCGAGCTGCACCAGCTCCTCCACCGACTTAGGCGGTGTAGAAGCATCAAAGGCAACCACCCCATGATCTGGGCTATCCACATCGAAGACGGGCTGCAGGGGTTCGAAGACGCGAAAGTAGCTGTCGACGTAGGCTTCGGCGGCGGAGGCGGGCGTCTTGGACAGCAGTTGCATCACAAGCTTGAGAGAGGCGAACTTGACGGCGCCGGGGCTGCCAAACGGGTAGTTGACGGGGAGGATGAGCTCGTAGGCGCAGTGGGGGTATTGGGGGATGAGCGAGTGCATAAATACGTTGAAGTCGAACGAGGTGAGCTCTTTGATCTGCGGAATAGGTTAGCGTCTTCGGCCCCGGGGGCCATAACAAAAAGGGTCTACGATTTGAAGCAGAGGTAATGAGCGAGAGTCGGAGTTCGAGACAAGCAGCTCAGAAAGTATGGGGAACACTTGTAGGGTACAAGGCGCGTGTTGTGGCGGGTCCTCGCCAAGCCGGGCCGGGGTGTGCAATGATTTCATGCAAGAGCAAAAAGGGGGTGTGTGGAAAGGGGGTGTGTAGAGAGAGAGAGAAAGATACAGAGAAAAGAATGAGAACATACCCGTTCCATCAAGATCCTCCAGTGGCTGGACCCCCGGTGTCTGTCATTGAAAGCCTGGAACACAGCATCAAAGCTCTCCGGCTCCGGGCTCGCCACGCGCTCGCCCTCCCCGTCGGCCCCGTCGTCATCGGGCCCCTTCTTGCGCGCGTAGGAGCACGAATCCCCAAACCGACTAGCGACGCATCGACCGCAGGGCAGCTGCTTATCGCACTTGACCTTCATCCGATGGCACCGCACGCACGAGAACCGCACCCTATTCCGGCGACGAACCTCTCGCGCGTCCCGCGCCCGCGCCCTATTCTCCACGGGCGCCGCCAAAACGCACCGGTCGACGGCGAGAGCGGACCCGTCGTCTCCGTCGTCAAAGCCGTCGTCGCCGAGCGGGGGCGTCGCCAGCGTCGTCACGCGCGCGGGGATCCAGCTCGAGAGGGAGGCGAGGTCAAAGGCCGCGGCGGAGGGGCTGCTGGACCGGCTGGAGCTGGACCGCGAAGGCCTGGCCTCGTCGGTGAAGGAGCAGGCCGAGTTGGTCTGTCTGCATTTGGAACAGGTGGGCCGCGCCCTGTCGCACCGCCTTTTGAGCCGACGACAGCGGTCACAGGCTGTCACCTTGCGGACGTAGGGCATCTTGGCGCAATTCGTTGCTTTGAAAGAACGAAAATGATACAGGAATAAATGGCGTGGCGCCTAGTCTATCAAATGATACACACGAGGTCTCCTGAACAGAACAAACGATAGAAATGGGGAGATTTCGTCGCTCGAGACGGCCAGTTGGAAGCCGACCGGTGATAGTCGGCGGGCGGGCGGAGATGGGGTACAAGCGCCTATATATCATGGATGTTGGCTGTTCGCGAGGCAAGGGTAAAAAGGACCAGAAAGGTACGAGAAAAGAAAATTGAGTCTTATCAGATTCAGGAGTCGGCAAGTCGCTGTCTCCAACGGCGACTTGGCGAGATGCTGGTCTGACTTCAAGGCTGGGGGAGGCGGCGGAAGGGAGGACGGGCAGGGGATTTTATGACCGATTATCACCGATGTCCGCCCAGGTACAGCCTGTACAGCACGTACAGCACGCACACCCGTCCATGAATATTTTCCCGACTTGCCCGGTTTCGGTAAAGCCGCATTCGGTGAGTGTTCCTTCGTCTTCAGCACAATCTAAGCCCACACCGCGCTCGCTTTCCGCTTCAATGGCTAGTACAAGCTGAAGATGGTGTCCCGATCCCGGGCCCTATACTCGTCTAACATCGGATAAGGAGGGCTCAGTGGGACAAAAATCGCTGGGTCCCTCTTTTTGGTTCCTAATCTGATCAAAATTATCTTTATCAATCAGCGGAACACGAGATCAAGCTCAGCCCTACTACCACCCCCGCCTCTCCGAGCTCCTCAAGACCAGCAGTCGGCCCGCTTTTCTTATTCTGAATAGCTCGGCAAAGCGGCGAGGAATTACGCCGCTCCGTGAGCACTTTTTGCGGACATCGGATGATGGTTTATTTTATTTTATTTTATTTTTTCGGTTCGTGTCTCCCTTTCTGCCAAGGCAACTTCTATCCCGTTCATACGACAGCAATGACCACGCACGCACCAGACGTCTTGCAGCATCTCGTTTCAGTGGGAGTGAGACGGCGAGTTTGCTGAAGCGGGTCCGAACTCGGCCCAACTGTCGCAGCGCGCATGGGACGCAACGTGTCAGGCGAAGTGGCCACAGCCAGGTCTTTTCTTCCATTGCTTGTTTTGTAGGCATATCTTACTTTTTATCCATTCATTATTTGATTTCTCATCTTTTTATCTCTGAACGTATAATTATATTGTTCACATGTCGTCACAAGACGCACCTTCAAAAGCCCAAAATAGAATTCGCTCGCTCAACCACCGCAACCGCCCCGGGAAGGGTCTCTCTACTAGCCAGCCTCTCCAATCCCATCGCGCCTCTTCCTTCCCCACCCTGAATAAAGTTAGGTCTCGGCCTATCTACGTGTTCGGACTCACCCTTGCCGCCGGGGAAGTCTGGCCCTGGAGTCCCATCGATAAAAGCTTGGCGCTGCCTGACAAGGTACTTTGCATTGATTTCCGTCGTGGGGCAAACCGGAATGTACAGGACGCTGGAGTCCGACTTGCCGGCGTGGACCTTGTCGACTGCGTGGATGCCTAGTGGTGCAGAGAGCACATTGTTAGCATGAAAAGCCTGGGTTTGGACGGATGACTGATCCAAGTGCTGCCGTGATGCGGACGAGATGTACTTACCATCGCAGTGCCACACAACAAAGTCGCCGGGCCTCACTTCCGGCACGTGCACCATGGTTCTCGAAAGTTGGAGGTGCGGGTGGAGGGCGTCGTTAAGCTCCTGTGCATGACTCGGCGTAGCGCCCTGAAGCTCGCTCGTCATCGCCTCACCACCCGTAAAAGCCCAATTCTCCGCCGCGAGGAAAGCCTCCGGTGCCAAATCCTCTGCAGGCCTCAGAGGCCGGAAAAAGGGCGGAGGAGCAGATATGCCGTCGACAGCTTCACGGCCGGGTTGACGAGGAGGGTGCCCTGCAGTGGGCCGCAGCTGCTCATGCTCAGCCAGCCCTGGAACATGCGAAACATGGAGCAGGCGCCCGCGCCGTTGTACAAGTCGCTCACGGCGTCAATGCGGGGCGCCGCGTCCCACGGGTCGTACGCCTCCCACTCCCCGGCGAAGATGCGGTCGTACACGCCGCCCAGTCCGTAGCCGGCGTGCTCCCACCGCTCGACGCTGCCGCCGTCGATGTGCGGCCCTAGCGCGAATGTGGCGTCGCCGGGCTGCCTGATGCGAAGGCGGTCGGCGTACGTGAGAGGTTGGGACAGGGAGACTTGCGCGTCTGGGGATGAGCTGTGCCAGAGGGATTGCATGAGGGTTCGCTGCGTGGCTAGGAGGTTGGGGTGCGAGCGGGCTTTGAGCTGTGGTTCTGACCAGTAGAGCTCGTATACTTGAGGGTCGTTTGGCGGGAACGCTGGTAGAGGAAATACGTTAGTTCGTCTAAGGGAAAAAAAAAAAAAAGACTGCGATGTTGGAGTTTTTGGGAACTACATTGTAGAGGGTGTTGAAGCGACCGAATGACGCTCACCTTTGGTGTGGGGTTCTTTTTGACGTATTCCTCGACCTCAAATTTATACAACCGCGCTTCAGCTTGCGGTATCACCCCCGAACAACGACCGCCCCACGTTTCTTGATTTCCGGTTTCAGCTTCTCAATCTCGAACTCGAGATTCTTAAACTCAACCGACGGGACGATGGCCGATTTCCACGTAGAGATAATCTCGTTCTCCTCCGCGAGCGCGTTGAGCAGTCGGTTCCAGCCGGCAATGACCTTGTCTTCCTTTCCCGCGACGAGGGACGTTTTCAGGTCCCGGAAACGGGTAGGCAAGGGTTCTCGTTTGGCGCCAGATAAGGACACGAACACGGAAGAAATGTCGCCCTCTTTTTCGCGGCCGGTTGCGCTTGGGCAGCTGTTAGCATCGTCCTGTGCGCTATCCGGGATATCGGGAGGCGGAGAGTCCCGCATTGGGCTCTCGTTGTAGCGACGAGCATGACTTGAGATGAGAAGGGTCCTCGTTGACCAAATTGTCTGACTTTTTCAAAGATCTAGATAGTTGCACACGCGTGGGAGCTGTCTCCATTCAGATATTTGTGTTGTCCAAGCATATCATACGGGCTCATATACCCTGATGTCTTGGATGGGTGCATGCTACACATCTTATAAACAAAAGCGAGGCGCCACTCCGGGTCACGAAATCTTCCATCTTGGGAATAAGCAGTATTCAGCTAGTCCAAAAATCCGGGAAGGCTCTTAGTCGACGGTCTTTTTGCGCCGACTAGATGGCGACTGACGTCGGGAAAGGCATTAGCAGTGAAAGAGACGGAAGCAGAAATTGCCTATTTGGGTATTGAAGTCTCAGGGTTGCCCGATGCCAATGGCGGCGAATTTCCGTTTAGGGAATTTCTTCTGTCCTTTTTTATTTTTTATTTTTTTCCTTCCTTTCCGCTTTTTCGGCTCTATTATTACTCTGCAAGCTCTTACGGAGGCCATAGAATGTCTTTACTATCGCAGCAACAATGTGCAAAGTTGGTGTGAGGAATTGCAAACCTCGACGCCATTCTCCAGCATGAATTTAGGTCTACAACACACCTATTTCTCTTAATCATGTCCGATTGTAACCCTCATAGGCTTTAGGCTAGAACTAGTACATGTGTGTCGCCAAGGTGTGTGAACAACGTTTACGACGTTGTGTGTGGCCTAGGGTATAAAACACGGAATAACGAGCCGGTCAACATCGAGACACGATCTATTCTCTATGGCCAAATGGCTAAGGCGTCCGACTGTTACTCAAGTAGCATACATCGGAAGATTCCAAGTTCGACCCTTGGTAGGGAAGTCCATCATTCCTTTTTTGGTTTGTTCAATTTTGCCGTCTTTGCCCGTTGTGGGCAAGACGGAATTTGTTTTTCCTTGGTTTTGTGTCAAAAATTCTCCGCTTTTGTGCGTCTTGGATGGGCCTTTGTCCCGCATTCTTATCCCTATTACGTAGGGCGAGGACTCTTTGCGCATCTTGACCTAAAGGTGCAAATCGCATTTCTAAGGAATAAACCTTGTGCCTCGCCATACCTTTCTTTCCAGTCTCTCGAGCTGTGGAATATGCAGTCCGTAAACTGCCTTGAAGTGGGGAAACCGGGGCGCCACGTATTCGGGCAGTGGGCGGAGACGAGGGGCGTTTCTAGCGTATCTTTGTCTTCTTCTTGAAAGTTATAAAAATCAAAATGGGGTATAATTAAGCTATGCATCATCCAATACTCGTGTTTATCCGTAACCTTCCCTGTCCCATTCTACACTCAATCAAGCAAACGGGTTCGGGAAGTAAGGGTACGTCGGATCGCCCAGCAGCGCATCCACAGCCCCGAGATCAAAATCCGGATCCAGGTACTCAAACAAGTCCACTCTCGTCAGACCCTCGGGAAAAGTTGGGTCAAACGCAGGCGTCGCCGGCATCTCGCGCGATTCCCCGCTTGCCGCCCCTCCCCGCCGCCATTACCATTACTGTTGCCGTGAACAACAGGGTTGGGGACTTGCTCCCGCCCCGTCGACGGGTCGAGCGGACGCGGCGTCGGCGTCTGCGCCGCCGAGTCCGCCGCCGCTTCTTGGCCCACCCTGTCAATCTCTTCCAGGAGCTTGTCGACCAGGCCGACGATGGCCAGCACGGGGCGGTAAATACCGCTGAAGCCGCGTATGATGCGGCAGTTGGTCTGCAGCTGGCGGTAGGACCTCCCGCGTAGCATGGGGACCTTGCTCGCGCGCAGCTCGCGGTAGGCGACGCGCAGCGAGAGCGAGAGGGCATAAGGGAGGAAAGTGACGCAGGGGAGTTGGTCGCCCATGTCCTCGACGATGGTGGTGATGCTCACGCTCGAGAGGCTCTGCTGCGCCGTGATGTACGAGGAGACGGCGAGGCGTGGGAAGGGGTGCCTTGCAGGCGATTATGATGACGGCGTGGTACAGGATCTCGAGGGTGGCTAGGGTGCGCGGAAAAATCAAACGCCCCCATATGTTAGCATCGCCAGAAAAACACGCGGCAGAACGAGCTAGTCTCTCAGCTGGGATGGGGTTCCCTCTTACCTAATAACCGTGTGTCTAGGGCCACGGCGCCCGACTTCTCGATGAGGTTCTCAAACGTCGGGAGCTCCTTGACGAGCTCATTCGGCAAGTCGATCGACCCGGGGCGGTACAACTCGATAGCGCGGTCCAGCAACTCTACAGTCTCGAGCAGGAGGCGGAACCCAGGCTCCTGCTGCGCGATGCAGGCGCGCAGGTCACGACCAAAGTCCCGCTCGTGCATCATGAGCGGCCGGCCATGGATGCACGCATTCATCTGGTCCATGGCCCACACGCAGCAGAAGAGCGTGGCGAGGTACCCCGGGTTCTCGCTCCGCGAGTCCGGGATCTGGAGCTGCAAACCAATGGTGAAGACGTGGCTGACGGCCAGCGAGGCCATCTCGATCGTGACCTGGCGATCCTCGAGTCCGTAGGTGTACAGCGCCAGGATCACGTACACGGGTATGATTTGCACGCGGTCCTTGACGAGCCCCGCGCCGAGGAGGCTACGCATCGCCCAGGAGAGCCGGAGGGAGAATTGCGCGTACGTGAGGGGTCGCTCGGGGTCGGCGTCCGGCCCTAGCGTGAGAAGGGCGCGCGCGTCGACGTGTGCGCCGGCGGCGAGGCACACGGCCTGTTTCGTGAGGACCTGTGCCACCGTCGATTCGGGCTTGTCCAGGGCCGCGAGGTCGAAGACGGGGAAGAGCCTGTGTACGTCGCGCAGGTAGATGGCTTTGAGTCCCTCGTAGTGGCGCGGCGAGGGGAGAGTGTGGAGGAGCTGCTCCAAGGCGGGGGAGAAAGGGATGCGCCGAGTAACGACTGGCCCGTGGCGGACCTGGAAGATGCGTCTGGGGGAAGCGTCGTCGGTCGTCATCCTCCGCGCCACCCATACCCCGATGGGATCCGACTGCGCGTAGCCAGTTCCGCTCGTCTTGTGGCTATCCGCGAGAAAGGTGCTCTCCGGGTTGAGGTTGCCGACGAAGCGGGCTTCGTCGTCCGGGCTGGAGTGGGAATCTACGGTGGAGGGAGCCTTGCGCTTTTGGTTTGCGGCGTTCCACCGCCGAGGCCGAGCCGCGACGTGCTTTGCCTCGTTTTGGGGGTGACTGCTTCGCTTATTATGGAGCTTTGAACAGAAGGGTTTGCCAAGGGCGACTTGGGGCCGTCTAGGTGCTCGCAGCGCTTCTGAGACCGACTAGTGGTCAGTTCAGGCCCATTCCGCCAAGAGCGGGCGAGTCCGGGAAGGGCGGTATAGACAGATACAAGTGGAATGAGATGGGGTCAGGGGTATGCGCTCAGGGTAGGGTGGGACAGCGGGAAGGGGAGGAAGTTGGGCGAACCTTGCGCTTCCGGCAAATGTTGCAAGCGTATTGGACATGCTTGCGGACTCGATGTTGATCCCCAACTGTAGTATTGATGAATTTCATCTTTGCGTGGTTGACCGGACTAGGCACGCCCGGTTGACGGATATCGGCTCACTCCAGACTAGGGGGTGTTGCTCTCGGCGTGTCGGGGCGTGTCAGTCGGAAGGTTGTCTTGTCCTTCCTTCTTTTTTTTTTTTCCTAGTTGAGGAAGTTTTGGATTGGGAGAAAGCAGGGATGCGGAGGTGCCGAAAGGAGGAAAGAATCCTCAAAGGCGGAGGATTGAAAATATTGCTCAACAAGGAAGATTTTCTTTTCCTCCTTTAGGAAAAGCGTAGAGAATGACGTGGGGTTGGCGGGGCCTTTAAGCGGACAGGCGGCGTTGCCGGTACTTCAACTTGGACACGTGATGCGCGGAGTCCGGAGCCGGGCAATGGGACACGCGCGGGTGCTTGGGTAAAGGTTTTGGCAATTGTTCAATATGGAGAAGGGGAATGCTTTTGAGGAGACGATACCAGTTGCCCGAAGGAGTATGAAGAGGCCCTGGCTCTACATGTACGTAAAGTGAGGACGCGAATGGCAGTTGAGGAAACGGAGCATGTTTGATGACTATAGACTTCAATGTTGATGTATACACTGGCCACATGCAGGGACCAAGTTCAGGCCATAGAATTGATATATACGCACACGGAGAACCTCAGAAAATTGCCCTTCGCAAACCCAGCCAAAGCACGTCCTGTCTATAACTTCGCACTCAGTGCCCGCGCCTTCTCATTTTCCCGCCGCCACATCTCCTTCCTCCTCTCATGACCCTCCAAAAACGCCCTAAACCACTCCCTCCGAAACGGCGGCAATTTCCGGCCCACACCCTCGGCGCCAGGCCCCGCCAGCGCCCGCAAAGTCTCAAAGTACTCCTCGAAATCCGGGAAAACGAGGGTGAACTTGACCCCGTCCCCGCGCGCCGCGATCCTCGCCTCCTCCCACGCGCGCTGCTCGTGCTCGGGCGGCAGCGTAGCCCGACCGGCCAGCACGCGGGCGGCGAGCACGGCCTGCCACTCGTACACCTTGAAGGTCAGGCCCGCGGCGACGGCCCCGACGAAGAAGAGCGTGGGGTCCGCGCGGTAGACGACGTGCTGGTACAGGCCCGGCACGCGGTTGTTTCGGACCTGCACGCTGGGTAAGAAAGGCAAGGTCCAGCTGTACCCCGTGCCGAAGATGACGTGGTCGACGTCGGCGACGGACGCGCCGTCGATAAAGTGTACGGTGCGGCCCTCGACGTGGGATATCGTCGGTCGCTTGCGGATGGCGGGGTGGTTGAAGGCTTCGTCGCCAAAGTAGCCGTTGGCCGTGTGCCCGATCACGACTGACTCGACGGGGTGTTTCGCAACACTCGTGAGGTCGAAGGAAATGTCGGCTGCTGAGACGGAGGCGCCGACGACAACAACGCGCTGTGCGATTAGATCGGTTAGCCGGGTTTGCTCCACGATATCCAGTATCCTTGTGTCAGAAAATAAACATACCTTTCCCTTGAACTGATCCCTTCCACGGTAGTGCTTGCTATGCAGCACACTACCTGGCCTCAGCCGATCAAACTGCTCCAACCCTTTGATGGTCGGGATATAAGGAACCGTATAGTGCCCACTCGCAACAACCACGGCGTCGAACCACTCAACCCACCAGTAGTCGCGCTCCTTACCCCCTTGCGCAGCGTGAGCTTCCACTCCCCGCCAACCTTTTCCGCGAGTTCCACGGTGGTGTCGTACGACACGAAATCCTCGTACCCCCTCCGCTGCACGAGGCCCTGGATATACCGCTGCATCACCGACCAGTGGCGAAACGGCGTGTCGGCCCCGTGCACCGCGATGGACCGCTGGCTGCGCTCCGCGGGGAGGGGCTCCTGCGAGAACTCCATGGGGATGCTGTGCACGTTGGTCTCGAGGTATGGGTAGATGGACGACTCGGCGAAACGCGGCTGCTCGACCTTGGGGGTCTGCGCCGGGAGCTGGGCGGGGATGGCGAGCGGCTTGTCGGCGGTGCGGGACGCGAGGTCCGATAGACTGGAGATGACGGGGGCCTGTCGACGTCCCCGATCCTGTTGGAGCACACGAGCTGTTAGCCGCGCCGCGCGCCGGAGCAACGAAGACGAAACCGTCATAGTAAGTGTACTATATGGAAACTCACCAGCAGCCTCCGGCAGTCTCTCGCCTCTCAAAGACGCGAATCACGTCAAACGTGCGTTCCTGCGCCAACGCATCCACCGTAATAGCTCCGGCAGGGCCTGCGCCGATGACGGCAACGCGCTTGATAGCCATCCTATCGATAGTGCCGGCCGACAGGGGTGAGTTAGAAGGAGTTGAGATGCCGTGAAAGTAGCTCTGCTTGTACTTTCAAGACCTCTTTGAAGCTCGATAGGTTATGAGCAGCCGTGGAAGGGGGAAGGTGGGAAGGTGGGAAACTGAGAGCTATGCTCGGGTGCCTGTTCACTAATCACCTCCGATGTCACTAATCCTTCCAGATCCAATGGAAGGGGAGAAAAAAATAATTCTCCAGAGCCACCAGGCTCACATAACCGGCACCAGTGGCCCGGCCTTGCTATATACCGAATCAAAGTAATCCCACTGTGTCTGTTGAGTAATCGATGCCGAAGAAGCTATCCGGTCCACAATGGTTCGCGAAAGCAACCCAAAAAGCACGGAATCGACCCATTGCCTCGGTATGATGGGGCAGAACCAACGCGTCAGAAAGAGGACGAGCTCTTCTACCCCAATTCGAGAGAATAAGACAGTTGCTTCCCCCACACATACACATGTACATATCATGGCCCCGGCCCCCAATAATTTTTTTTTCATCCTCCTTCTTCCTCATCGTTCGGCGTAAGGATGATTCTCCGGGTCTATTATTCGTCAATTGCAGTCCGAAAAGGCTTGGCTGGTGGGCGAGCGCTCGCCCGGCGCGATTGTGTGCGATCACGCAATCGCCGAACTACCGGGGTGAACTCCCAAGGCCCCACACCGCGAGAGAAAACTCGTGGCCGCACCCTAAACACCGCAACTCAAGCTAGCAAAGCACCCGCAAAAACATGGTCCTCCGTGAGACGGCCGAGTTATATCGGATCCGAACGCACCTAAAGATGGCATGCGCGTGGGAAAAAGTCTTACGAGACCATTATTGGACCTCCGCATATTCCAGACGCACGTTTTTGCAACATGACGGGGCCCCGTCCTACTAGATGCGCCTGCGTCGGAGTTTGGCCGGATAGAAAAAGGTTGAAAAGGGTTTTTGCAGCTACACTAGCACCGCGTAAAGAAGCCCCCGGCCCCTGTCCTTAGCTCGCCACATGCCGGCGCCAGTTAGCATTGACAGGAAACGAGGAACGCCAAGAAAGGTGTTATCTGTGGTGTTGCAAAAGCTCACCCAAATGGGGGTTAGTTAAGGTGCCTTTGGATGTATAGATGGGTTTTCCTTTGATGACGACCGCCCCGCTCTTCTCCGACTCCCAATGGAGCCCATCCTTCTACTCCTCGCCGCTGGAGTACGAAGCCTTGGTACCAATGGCAACCTGGCTATGGCAAAATGACACCATCGCTGAGGAAAACTTCGTATCCGACACGGCGGTACTAGCTTCCTCTCGGTACTCGTGCCTTGTAGCGGGGACTCTTTTGCTTTTCTATTTGACCCTACCTACAGCCTTCACAGCTAGATGCTTAGTTAGCTAGCTATCTCCTTCCCTCTCCCCTTTCGGCTTGTAACGTGCTTCGCCAAAATCTCTCCTCGTGAAGCAGATTGGATCTTCTATACCCGTAGTGAGATCATCCACCATGGCAGACGAGAACACAAGCAAAAAGTGGGAGGTGTCGACGAGAAGAACGCTGGCTACGATGCGTCTCGATCACAGTCTATCTCGGCCGAGGGGACTGACGTCGAGTGGCTGGACGAGGAGGAAAAGCGGGCGCGCCGAAAGTGAGTCTTGAACGACACCGTCCTGCCTACTGCGAAAGGATGCGTCTTGCTAACCCGTTTCCCGCCCCGGCAATCAGGGTCGATTCCACCGTCCTCCCGCTCCTATTCCTCGGCCTTCTCGTCTTCCAGCTCGACCGCATGAATCTCGCCAGCGCCCTGACGGACGGGTTCGCCAAGAACATCGGCATCGACCAAACGACCGTCAACCTGGGCAACCAGCTCATGTTCATGGGCATCGTCGTGTTCGAGATCCCGTGCAACATGGCGCTTCAAAGGTGGGTGTACACACGTCTACAACGCGCTAAGCACACGCCGCCTTTGCGCGTTTCACCCACGCATTTCTATATATATCTATCTTTCTTTTTGTTTCTCCGCGGAGATGCTGACTCTGGAGCCTCGTCTCACGCGCAGATTGGTCCCCGCAAATGGATACCCCTGCAAGTCTTCCTCTTCGGCCTAGTCGCCACGCTGCAGGTCCTCGTGCGCAACCGCACCGGCTTCCTCGTGGCGCGCCTCATGCTGGGGTTCGCCGAAGCCGGCTACATCCCCGGCGCCGCGTATACGCTGTCGACGTGGTACAAGAAGCGCGAGCTCGCCAAGCGCATCGCCGTCTTCTTCTTCGGCATGTTTGCCGGCAACGCGCTGAGCCCCATCCTGGCGTCGGGTATCTTGCAGCTGGGGGAAGAGGGGCTCAAGGGCTGGCAGTGGCTTTTCCTGAGTAGGTCCTTTGTGATTAAAAGTCCAAACTCAAGGTACTAACGGCACCACAACAAAACAGTCGAGGGCGTGTTCACCATCATCGTCAGCATCTCGCTTCTTTTCCTGCTCCCAGGCTCGCCCGACACGCCCAAGCCCCTTTTCAGCCGGGGCGGCATCCGGTTCACCGAGGACGACCAGCGGATCTTGCAGCAGCGCCTCGAGCGCGATGACAAGGAGAAGCGCTACGGCGCGCAGGGCATGAACATACCGCTCAGCGTCGTGTGGAAGACGGTGACGCACTACCGCCGCTGGCCTCACTTCGTGTCCACGTTTGCCGTGTTTTCCACCTGGAGCCCGCTCACGACTTACACCCCATCCATCATCATGTAAGATCTTGTTATTCTGCCACTCTTCTTGTTCGCTTCGTCTCCCCTCCTCTCTACCCCCTTCCGCGCCAGGGTCCGTGGTGATAGTTAGACGATCCCCCAATAACCTGCCCCCACTGCGTCGTCGCTAACAAAGTCGTTTTCCGCTCTCCAGGGCCCTCGGATTCGACCGCACCGCCGCCAACGCCCTCTCCGCCGTCGGCGCCTCGCTCGCGTTGGCCGTCGTCTTCTTCTTCGCCTACGTTAGTGATAGAACGAACAAACGTGGCTTCTCCGTGGTCGGCGCCCACACCTGCTACCTCATCGCCCTAGTGGTGGCCCGAAGCGTGCACCCCCATGTGGGCAAGTGGTCCCGTTGGGGCCTGTGGACCGCTGTGAATGCTTTTGCTGTCGGGTATCACCCGGTGCACAACTCGTGGGTGCAATTAAATTGTAGAGATCCCAGAGAACGGAGTATTAGTATAGCGTACGCGTATCCCTCTCCCTTTTCATGCTTCCATCTCCCCGCCTTAGACAGACGCGGGAATACGCTAACCCTCGTCTAGAATGTGGGTCATGTCCGCCATCAGCGGATTGATGGTTGGTACGCAGTACTTCCGGGGTTCGGACGTTCCATTGTAAGTTGAACTGGAGTCATCTTCCAGCCTCGTCCGCACAAAGGACATTGTTTTGAAACTAATTGCGTCCCGGACCGCTTCAGTTACCAAACCGGTCTGCGCACGTTGATCATCATGGTGTCCGTGGGCATGTTCTTTGCGTTACTGCAGATCGGTATCTACACAAATCACAACAAACGAGTGGCAAGCGGGAAATATAAAGCCAAGAATGGCGAGGAGCCAATGATATATGTGCCGTAATGGCCGTGGACGCGACGGATATCTGCAGTGTTACACAAGTGTGTTTGGGAGCCTGTACGTGCGATCGGGCGAGTTTGTCACGCTCCGCCAGATAATTGCCGTCCGGCCTCCCGCCTTCCGCAGCTGAGCGTGACCAACATTTCATTCAAAGCTGCAAAGAGTATGGAATGTGGAAATCAACTATCCATAAATTCATTCTTCTAGTAGTATACGCTCGAGTATAATTACATGGAACTAGTTGAATAGGGCTCACAGGGTCCAACTGTCCAAGTTTGAATGCAATGGATCTCTACCCCACCCCCAACGTATTTCTCGAACAAGAAACCAAACCCGCCTAAGGTGTGGTGAGGTTAGAAAGATTAAACCTCAACAGGTTCAATCCAAGTGAGCTGGATATCCCAAATCGCTAAAGTAGGTGTGAAGGCGGAAACAGCAGCATCGCGATTTAGACTGAAATAAAGCTTGGTGCCTGGTGTGTACTCCACGGAAAGTCTTTGTCGAATATTCCCCCAGTTTCACCGACTACTATTTCAGTCATAAGAGGTGAAGTACCCCACCTCACGGCGATAGTTCCATTTATAGGTTGAAACCCTAGATGTGAAAAAGACAGCAAAATCTCTTTAGTTCCCGCCTCAGCGCAGAACATCTCCTGAGCTAGTGACACCGAACCATAGGCTCCGGCCCTCGTTGGTATAATAACGAATCTCTGCTCGTCGTTAACAGCATAAGTGTATTCGAGGGAATTGTCGACTTCCCAGCCTTGTAGACCATTAGAAAAGTCCCCATTCACCAGAGGGAGGCATGCGGTGGGCACCGGGCTCTCGGTACTACTCGAGGAACTGGTCGACGGTTCTTCTGTCGCTGTAGATATCGTTGTAGGTGTGACAGATGACTGAACGCTTATTGTAGAGAAGCTTGCAGTTTCCGTTCCGTCAGACTGTGATTCCGAAGTTGTGCTCCGTCGATGAGAGGTAAAACTGTGGCTTGTCTTGGTTCGACTCCTTGTCCTGGTACTGGCTGTAGATCTGGAAGTCGAATGGCTGGGAAGCGGGTGTGGCTTTGGTGGGTGCGGCCCAGGATGAGGCTTGTCACCGTCATCGCCATCCTGGCTAGGCGGCGGGTGTGGCTTTGGTGGATGTGGCCCAGGACGAGGCTTGTCTCCGTCATTGCCATCCTCGCTGGGGGCGGGTGTGGCTTTGGTGGGTGTGGCCCAGGATGAGGCTTGTCTCCGTCATCGCTGTCGTCCTGATCGGCCGGTTTAGGGATGGGGTGGACCAAGGTGGGCAAGAACTGCCACTCCTCCCACTCCGCGACTCGTCCATGAGCCGGCTCGGCTACGGCCGCAAATGTGTCGAGGTAGACGATTCGACGCGCGCCCGCAGGTGATGCTTGGTAGCCTTCCAGCAGCCCACCGTTGCCCGCGCTGCCGTGTCCCAGACCAGCGCCAACTGCGGGCCCCAGGCCTTGAGGAACGGGGGCGGGGGCGGGGCAAATATGCTGTAGAACTTGGGGCCAGCTGTTGATGGTTGGAGCTACCGTGGCGACGACGGTAAAGGTGAGCATGTTCACGGTTGAGGTAGGAGGAGTGGGGGACAGACCGGGACGTCCGGAACGGGCAAGTCGGGGGCCGGCAGCCGAAAACGGCACCAGCAGGAGCAGCGAGAGTAAGGCAGGAATAGGCATGATGGCGAATTCAGAGGGAGATGACCGATACTGTTTAGCACTGATGAACAGGTGAACAAATCTATGTAAACTTGGCAAGAGGAAGTGGAGGATTTATAGCTTTCTTTCGAATGCTTCTTTTTGTTTACAGCACCTCGCCAGTCGCGCTGCCGCTGTCTACATCTCGATGTGGATTCGGAATTAATACGCGACAAGACTCAAAGTTTAGCAAAGTTGACACCTTTTGATTGCTCGGGCCATACAAGCCTTGAGGGCTTACTGGCGGTTACGTTTGTAGATGATCGCAAGGGTCGCCAGCGTAATCTACCTAGAAGAGGACCGCATCTCTTATTCACGCGACGCAGATGGCTATTCCGAAGAAGAGGATCGCCAGACCTCGGTGGAGTCAGGTCTTTTTCATTTTTAAGATGATGGCTCGAGAATATTTCATGGGTTCCATAAGCTCTCAGATCGAGATTTTGTAGGCCTTTCCCTGCTGCAAGTCGCCCAGCTGCGACCAAAACATTCTCATAGGGCTGGTTCATCCTTTGTCTCCGATCGCGCCTGTTTTGAACGGGCAGGGACTCTCCGTGATGGTGATGTGGCTGGAGACCAAGAGGTTGAGCAGACCATTTTCCTACAAGCCACCGACTCCCATCAGAGAGGGCTTGAGGAGAAAGCCGTATCAGGCTGGAGATGGATGATGGGAAGTCGGCAATTACTAGCCACACTTTGGCCAACGATCAACGCAGTGTGCAAGGACAGTCACTCGAGACAAAAGAACCGCTCGAAGACTCTCCGATTTCGATTCGTGAGACACGAAGCCAAACACATTCTCGTCCTTGCCATTCGTCCACGTCAATAGTCCTTGTCAAAGAATTTGACGGGCCTTGGAAATATCAAAACAAAAACATCATCCCAAGCGAGTCTACGTGTATTCCCTGCCCCCGTCCTTGTCAACGGGACTCTTGACACATTATCGGCAATTTTTGAGAGCAGAGTAGGAAAGGGAAGACCGAGGAAGAGAAGAGCGAAGATGTCCCGTTCCCTGGTGATAGGCCCAGATTCCACTTCGCAGACACAGTGGACGGAGCACACCTCCGGCATCGTCGAGCCGCTGCCCTTCAGCCGCAGCGAAGAGCGATATTGGTTAAGCGGTCATGCGCATCGTGCGTTTTTGTCCGTGCAGTGAACGGGGCCAACCAGACAGGGCTGATGCAGTCTTTAGTGCCAAAAGGTCGACTCATGATCCTGCAAGATTGGGGCCGTGAATGACAGATTCGCAACACACACATACACGGACATGCATGGACACACTTTGCCACTCTCTTTCGTCTCTCGCCTACACTTGTAGGCCGCAGTTAATAACAGGGAAACCCCCTTTTATCAAGATGATGGGGTGGCGAACTCGAGCCTAATCAGCTAAAAACCTCAAGTAGAATCCCTGCTACCCATCCAAGCCGCAAATCTCTCTCCCTTGCCCCAATCGTCGAGTGTAAAATCATGATTTCAAGGCCACCTTGCGATCCCAACAATCAATGTTCAATCCATTCAGGTATTAGTTGTCTCCTCCTCAGTCGGATAACAACCTCCACGTTCGAGGGGGTGGTTGGGCAATCGGCCTATCCGGGAGCTGCCCCTTGCCTGGTTTGCCTGGTTTTTCGCCGCCCTCCCCCATTTCGGATAGCTTCGCGACGCCCCCAAAAACCTTTTTTTTTTCCTTGCTGCTTGCTTGTCCTTACCATTTCTCCCCCTCTCCCTCTAAACCTGCATCATGCCCGATAATCTCTAGGAAAGCGGTGTGGCTCGTCAGGATTCGAGGGTTTTCGAGATCCGCCATCTTGGTCCTCGTCGCCTGTCGTCCAGTCAGCGCGATCCGCGGTGACATTCCGCGCGTGGCGCCCAATCCCCGCCCGCCAGCGTCATCCCCTCCGTTACGGCTGACGGCCCCTGATTACACTATAGGGAAATCGCGCCGTGATAGGGCGGTCTTGGCCCGAACAAGAGGGCTCAGCTCGCTTGTTAGCAAGTTTTTGTTTTGCATTATCGTCTTTTTATCTGGTCTCCCTTGTCTGATACCCCAACGCTAATCCTGCATCAAGGTGCAAGTGCCCCACGGCCGCTATGCGTTGGACTCTGCCCTACCGTGAACGGGCGTTGGGGATGGATATATAGGAGGGCCGTCGCCACCCTTGATGTCGACGGCTTGGCTGTGGGTTGAGCGGGTTCAAGAAAATCACGAAGGAAAAGACAAGGAAACCAGCCAGTTCGCTCCTCCACATTGCATCAGCAGCCGCCATCATCAACATGAAGACTCAAGCTCTCGTCGCCATCGCCGGCCTCCAGGCCGTCCTCGTTGCCGCCGACCCCAAATTCTTCTCCAAATGCAACACCAACGCGGACAAGTACTCGTGCGTAATCTTTCCCTTCTCTCTCAGATGCCCCACGCCGAGGCAATGGAAGAACATGTGGTTTAAAAGAAAGGAGATGCTGATATATCAAACAGGAGCTATGAGCTCTGCTCGACGCTGATGCACACCAGCGTGTCCAAGACGTGCGATCCCAAGACCGATTTCACCCGATGCGCCTGCGAGTTCGGCACCAGCATGGTTGCGTAAGTGCCCTGCCCTTTCTCTATGCCTCCCATTCGAAATTATCACTTCTCTCTCATAACAATGCTTCTCTCCATACCATTATGCCATTGCTAATCCAGTCGATACGTGAAACACTACAGGACCTGCCTGCCCATCATGTGCCCCTCCGACGTGGCCACTTCTTATCTCGGAAAGAGCTGCCGGCCGACAGGTGACGCTGGCGGTGACTCTGAAGAACCCGAGGAGACGGCATCTCCCGGCGGTTCCGGCACCGAGACCGACGCCCCGGCCCAGACTGGTGGCTCCGGCTCTGGCTCCGGGTCGGGCTCGGGATCGGGTTCCGGGTCGGGCGCGGGAGCGTTGTTTGTACCTGCCATGGCTGCTCTTGGCGGTGCTCTCGGTGGCCTTGCCATTTTCCTGTAAATATGTGGAGCATTTCTGGCGAAAGGGGGAGTTGGGTTAGTACCTGGAATGGGGGACGGTGGCTGTACATGTAGTCGCAGGTGGCGACCTTGGGTGTATAAACAATAAACGAGGTTTTTCTTCTTCTACTGCCTGCTTCCTGCGTGTGTTTGCTAAGTTGGCGACTCTGTACACAGACAAGCACACCATTGCCACATGTGGCTTGCTACTGCTCCGGCGCCCATGGCCAACAATGCAAGAGAACCACGCAATGTACTGTTCATTCTATTTACACTAGGACAAAATCCCCCTCTCCTTAGTGGCTATGGCTTTTCACGGTCAATTCATCCAGAGATCTCATTGGTATCCAGACCAGGTGCAGCCCGGCTCATGATTCAGTGCAGGCCGAGATCGGTCTAGTTGAAAAGGAAGAGGGTGCGTTGGCCGATCTCGTCATTTCGTCATCCAAGATACGAATCCTTTTGACCAGAACATATCCGGAAGTATCGACTTGTCTCATTTACATGGTGACTGCCCGGCGTGCTTGCAAGTGTTTCACGGCGGCGAGAACCCTGATGTCCCGCGCCAAAGCCACGCCCGGCTGACCCACCGCCATCAGGGTCCCTCCGATTCGTGACCTTGATGGGACAAGGCGCAAGCATCCAGGTATAAATGGATGAGAAACAAATGGGACAATTCCTTGAACTTGCAATACAGTCGTGTACGAAGCTTCTCGGACCCTAGTCTGATCCTCGGTGGGCTTGCTATTTGTTCCTTTCAAGTCTGTCTACTTCGACAACATTCCCACCCCAAAACGCACTCCCAAAAGTGAACACCCCAAAAGAATCAGAGCAATGGAATCCACTTACAGCCTTTCCGACAGCGAGACAACAGAGGACCTCACCGCCTTCACCGCCGACGAAGTCCTCGACGTCATCATCATCGGCGCCGGCCCCTGCGGCCTCGCCATCGCCGCCCGCCTCCACGAAGACACCCCCGCCGCCCTCTTCACCGACGAAGAGCACCGGCGCTACGTCTGGCTCCGGCGCCACGGCGCCAACGTAAGCCTCAAGAACGCCAAGACGGGCAAAGTATCCGCGGCGGCGAGCAGCGCCCAGAGAAGCGCGGACCGGACGTACCGCGCGGGCAGCTACGAGCGGGGGTCGGTCGCGGGGGTGGGGGCATGGCGGTGCTGGACGGGGAGGGCGCGGGGTGGATGGCGCGGTGGAACCGGCTGTTCGAGGCGTACGGCATCTCGCACCTGCGCAGCCCGATGCAGTGGCACGTGGACCCGGCGGATCGGGATTCGCTGCTGGCGTTTGCGCACGGGGCGCAGAGGCAGGATGAGTTGGTGGAGATCAAGGGGTGCGTGGGCAAGGAGATTAGCAAGCATAAGAAGAAGGCGAGGATGGGTGTGCGGCCGAGCTTGTAAGTGCCTTTTTTTGTTGTTTGTTCTCTCTGCGCCCTACCTCCAAAACGAGGGGGCAAAAGAAACGAGGCTAACTGTGTCCATGTCCTCGACAGCCAAGACGCACAGCAGAATCGGGACATCAACGAACGCGACCGAGCCGACTACTTCACCCCATCGCGCGAACTCTTCCGCGAACACTGCGAAGACGTATGCAACCGATACCGCCTCGACGAAAACCTCGTCCACCAAGAAACGGTCCTCGACATCACCTACGGCCCCGTGCGCGGCGTCTCCATCGACGACGAGCCCCTCTTTACCATCACCACCAACCAACGCACCTGGCGCGCCCGCACCGCCGTCCTCGCCGTCGGCCCCGCCAACAGCCCCACCATCCCCCGATCCCGGGCCTCCCTGACGGCGCGCGCGTCCCCACCCCGGCGGCCGGTTCCAGAGCTGCCACAGCTTCCACGTCGACCGCGTCCCGGACCCCGTGGTGCGCGCGCGCATCGCCGCCGGGGCGCGCACCAACGTGCTCGTCGTCGGAGGCGGGCTCACGGCGGCGCAGATCGCCGACCTCGCGGTGCGGCGCGGCGCGGCCAAGGTGTGGCTCTTCATGCGGGGGCCTTGCAAGGTCAAGGCGTTTGACGTGGACTTGTCCTGGATGGGCAAGTATCGTAATGCCGAGCACGCGCGGTTCTGGACGGCGGATTCGGACGCGGAGCGCTATAAGCTTTGCCGATGCGCGCGGGGGCGGTAGTATCACGAGCCGGTACCACGCTCGGCTGAAACGGCACATTGCCGCCGGCCGGTTGGAGCTTCGTACGTTCACCAAGGTGACTGAGGCGCATTTCGAAGACGAGGGCCCTGGCGGCGGGGGTACTGGACCGTGGCGACGGACCCGCCGCCCGGACCGGCGGGACTCCCGCGCATGGACTACGTGTACTTCGCGACGGGGATCCAGGCCGACTTCGAGACGCTCCCGTACCTCCAGTCGCTGATGGAATCGCACCCGATCCACGGCCACGGGGTTTACCGTGCATCAACGACAGGCTCATGTGGCGGGACGACGTGCCTCTGTACTTGGCGGGGCGGTTGGCCGCACTCCAGATCGGGCCGGCGTCCCCAACATTGGTGGCGCCAAGTTGGCGGCAGAAAGGATCGCGCTAGCGATGGATGATTTCATCGGAGAGGGAGGGGAGTCGTGGAGGGGGTCTCGGCGCTGGTGCGGGTGCGGGTGCGGGCGCGGGTGCGGGGATGCGCGGCATACGGCTCTTGGCCGATATGCCTCTGGGTTCGGGAGCAAGTACAGTTGCTTAGAGGAGGATCACCGCTAACCACGCCAAGTTATGAATTTGATAGTCGAACCCTCTGGTGCACGTTATTCCCATCCCCGGTTGTCCGGTACGCGCTGCAGTGCGCGTGCGTGCGTGCGTGCCCTCAGGTCAGCAAAAGGAAGCTCCCACATAATAATCTACACTTCGCACCGAGTTTTGCGATATTGGACCCAAGCTATTTTTCCCCAATAAACGCCGCCAATACGAAATGGATTCATGCAATCTAGACTCCTGCATGTGATATGTAGACCTCGTCAAGTGGCGGCCGACATGGGTTGCTCGGGCTTGCTTTGGGGTTTTGATTTGATGGTTCGCGACCCACGAAAACAGCAGAAACTTGGGAGCAACGGAAAAAATGGGCACACCATGTGGTCTCTCGCCGCCAGCAAGGATGAAGGGTGGAGATGGCGGGAGGCGTAACCTAATTTGGTAGCTGTGGTCATAATTATTATGATCGTTATTGCAGATGGTGGATGACGATGGATGATGCCACAGCATGCTCGCTTTCTCGCAGAAAAGGACAGTGAGGTCGGTCGTTGTCAGCGAGCTTGCTCCCTCTGCCTCGGTACATGTACCTCGGTAGGCAAAGCGATCCCAGTTCGAGACAACGATGGCTTCAAGGTCGGTCGCACTTGCCGCCGTTTTCCCATCGTCGGAGAAAGTGACGACATTCGTAAGCCTCCTTTTTCGGGTGTTCGTTTCTTCTTAAAATACATTTTTAACCAAAAAGACTGGTCGTAAAAATTTCCTTGTCTGCATGAAGGAACGGTGCGCGGCAATTCCAGAGTCGTGCACGTCCTCACTCCTCCCCTCCCTTCCCCTCCACGCCCAATCCGAGCCCTCCCCTCTTTCCCACCGGGGCCAGGCCCCAAAATTCATCCCAAACAGCGCTGCTCAGAACTCGGAGAGTACATTTGTTTCGAGGCGTCCCAGGCTGTCGGATCCATCGTCCTCGACACCGAGGCGACGGATCGCCGGTATTTGCCAACGGTCCAGTCCAGGTATAGCCCGCCTCTGTTGGATCTGGGTCCGAATCCGCCTCCTCCGAGTCCCAGTCCAGGCGGCTTCGGTCAGCCGATCTCATGGGCCCAACGGGCCTTTTGATCCTTTCTCCGCCTTCTCAATGTTAGACGAGTGCGAATCCTCCCTCTTTCCCTCCTCCGTCTTACCCCTCGTTCCTGCAAACATGATTTCCCACCGCCCACTTGACTAACCTTGATGCCATGGAATCCCGCATCCCACACCCCTCCCCCTCCCCTCCCCGCCTCGAATGGATGGCCAGCCAGGCCTAGACCACTCTGGATAGCTATGAAGGCCTTCTGACGACAACACATCCCACAGAGCTTGAGCTTTCCGCTCCTGTAACTCGTACCTCGTGCGGGAAGTAAAATAGCTAGAGCGTAGCCCTGCTATGCTTTCCTTTGCTGCGCTGGCTCCGCTTCTCCTTTTTCGTTGTAGCCAATGAAACTCACGAGAATGAATTTTTGGTGGCATCGGCTTCTGCAATAGTCGTTGGCCCGAAACTGTACCTACGACCAAGATGCAAGGAGCTGGCGCTGTCGCAATGCATCTCAAGTTTTCTGCCGAAAGGGCGCCATTTCCTCGACCATTTTCCTTATACATGTTACTTCATTTCCAATTTATTCTTTCCTCGCCTTCCTTTTTGTCGCTGCTTCTTTGAAGACATTTCGACGTTGCGTTGCATTTTGTCATCCCACCTCGTGGTCCTCCCGAATTTTGCCTTCGCCCCCTTCTTCAGTTCCTCCAGTCAGTTCCAAGTAACTGGGTCTCTTTCCCGACACTCCTTATAAACCACACACACACACACACACCACTCAATCCATTGATCCTTTACATTGAGCAATTGATCGCTTGGGGTGTGCAGCTTGTCCCTCCCCCTGGCAGAGTAGGCGCTAGTTCGAGGCGTACCCTCGCCCTTGACGCAGGCGTTCGAGAACGGGCCCCAGACACAAGACAAGACGAGACAAAACATTCACGTTGAACCCAAAAAAGCTCTCTGTCCCAAAACCCGGCACGTGGTTCGCCTTATCATCCTCGCTTCTAGGCGCCTTCAACTTTCCTTTGCCCCCTCCTCCATCCTCTCAATTGATCGCTTGCTGCGCGCACTTTTGGCGAACCCAGAAAATCCTCTTGGGCCAGGGTTTTTAACCAAGAGTCAGGAGACGGAGAGGGGGATCAAGGCACGGGCCTATCCTATCCTCCTACTTATGACTGCTAGCGCACCCTCCCACCTCCCTCCCTTCTCTTTTGTCAATGTGGTGGCGATCCCGGAAGCCCCGACCGTGATACTCTCTCCCCCATCAACTGATTTCTTTGCTTGTCGCTACCCCCACCTCCCCCTCATCTCCTCTCCCGCTTTAATACCCTCACCAGCGACGCCCATCGTGACAGTAGGGGAACACAAAACCGACAATCTGGAACGGAGAGACAAAAAAAAGGAACTGGGGAAAAGAAGAGACAACCCTCATGAGTCGTTGACCACCCTTCCCTTCTCCCCCTTTTTTGTTTCTGTTTTTTTCCTTTTTCTGGCAGCTCATTGCTAGCTTATCCCTTCTTCCAGCTATTTTTCTGGTCTTTTCTTTTTATTTCCCGGTTGGGACGGTCCCCACCTCCGTAAAACCCAACAAACCCCGACGCCGCAAACCCCGAAATTTCAATCTTCTTCTTTCCCCAGTTTTCCCATAGCTAGCCGGTTCACCACCAAAACGCGAGCGCTCCTCGAGCGGCATCGCGCCTCTCCAAAGAAAATCATGGCTGGCCCTCCATCCGAGAGCTCGAGCATAATACACCCCGATGTACGTCCCGCTAGAACTTGAAGAAGCCACCCCGCCTCGCCTGTGCCAAGCCCTTTCTCGCGTGGCAACCCTAACGTCCCCTTTAGTCGCACTTTTGTCGCATGAGCCTAGGCCTGTTAAGCGTGGTCAGCGCGTGCATAATCGCAGTTGCTAATCTTTGAATTTCCTTTGCCCCTCTTAGTCCCTCCGCGAAGATGAAGCCGATTCCACGTACGGAGCTGTAAGTGCTTCCTTTGCCTCTTCCGTGGATCCCGGCCGAGGCGACGGCCATCATCACCTGCGCAGCTCTTTGCTTGCTCCATGTTTACTTCGTGCTCTCTCCTGCCTTGACGCGGTATCGTGACAGGAATTCAATTTTCTGACATCTCGCTCCCTACGGCGGATCCATTGCCTCAGGGAAGCATATACAATGATTCAAAATCGCTCTCCTCCAGCATCCTTAGACACCGTATGGAGAACGGGCGTCGATATCATGCCTACAAGGAAGGCAGTGAGTACTTGATGAGACGCCTCGCTATAGGAATTTGTCGTTAACCTGTTGGTCCCGGGATCTAGCATACTATCTACCAAATGATGAGGTACGATCTTTGCGGAGCTGCTTGCTTACGAGTCTAAGACCCTATAACGCTGATCTCATCCGTGCACTCCATCTAGGACGAGAGTTTTCGACTAGGTTAGCATCTTTTTCTTTTTTAGAACCCTCCCATCACTCCGGAGAAATTGTGAGGCCAACTATCCAACTAACATATCCCGATTGCTACAAGGACTTCAACACCACACTTATACCCTGACCTACGATGGCGAGCTATACCTCTGCCCCGCTGGCAGGGACCAACCCGTATCCCGAGTCCTCGACTGCGGGACCGGGACAGGCCTATGGGCTATCGACTTTGGTGTGCCGGACCTCTCCCTGTGATCGCCATCGGATAACCCTGCGCCGTGATGTCACATTACTAACAGCTCGAACTAGCGGACGAGAACCCCGAGGCGACTGTAAGAGCACCCAGGCTTAATTCCCTTGCTTTAACCTTCGCCTACCTGCGCCAACCAACTTTCTAATCGTTTGCCCTAACCCGTTACTCAGGTCATCGGTGTTGACCTCAGTCCTACACAACCCCCTTTGTAAGCAGCCCCCTTGGCAGAAAGAAACTTGAGCGAAAAGAAAAAGACATCACATATCCTTATTGTAGGCTGCTGCTGATAAAAGTTCTCCTTGCCCACAGTGTCCCTCCAAACGTCAGTTTTTACGTCGACGACCTCGAAGAGAACTGGATCTATACCACACCATTCGACTTTGTCCACGCCCGTATGCTCACGGGCGCCCTCAAGAGTTGGCCGAGGCTCTTTGAGCAGAGCTACGAGTACGTCGCAAAACCCCACCCAAAGGAGTACCTACCTGTACCAAGAAAACACGGCCACTAAGGGCACAGAGGGATTTTCGGTACTCGATTTCCGAGAGACCCTTCTTCTAACCATTTCGAGTACATAGGAATTTGGTTCCCGGAGGCTGGCTGGAGGTCTCCGACATCACCCTCCCCGTACGCTGCGACGACGACACCTTCCGCGAGGATTCCGACCTGGCAAAGTGGTCCGGCCTGATGCTGGAGGCTTCGCACATCCTCGATAGCCCCCTCGACAGCGCGTACTCGTACCAAAAGCAGCTCCAAGACGCCGGTTTCATCAATGTCGTGGAGCGGAGATTCAAGTGGCCTCACAACCACTGGCCCAAGGCGAGAAAATACAAAGAGATTGGTACGTAAATTAAGCGTGCCTTGTGGGCTTGGCGCCTATATGATTATGCCACTTCTTCACGCTCATCTCTCAACTCTACCATTAGGAAAGTGGACGTGTGATAATGTAGGAGACGGCGTGTCTGGCCTCAGCTTGGCCCTGTTTACGAGAGGCCTGGGCTGGACGGCGGAAGACGTGGAGATCTTCCTCGCGGGAGTGAGGAAGGACATGAAAGACGTGCGCATGCATACCTACTACTGCGTGTACGTCACCGACTCCCCTTACCTCATCTTACTAGCCCCAGGAATTACCGAGCCTCGCACTCTCCATCGACTCCTGCTAACTAGAACTCTTTCCCTCCACCATTAGAATCACGGTGTATGGTCAAAAGCCCTACGATACAGATCCTCTTTCCCAGACAGAGACCGGCTCTTCGCCACCTCCGGAGCCCCAGCCCGACGAGTAACCTCGTTCTAGGTTGTGGGAGTGTTTACGGTCCGCCGATCTCATCATCGTTGACTGCCGCCTTCCATATTTCACGCATTTCATGTCTTTCTTTCGTTCATTTGTTTTTCTTGTGCACAGTATAGAGCGGGGTTCACTTTTTGCTTAGATGAAATATCATATCACGACACGCTTCATCGTAGCCAGGGTTGTGCGGAAACCCGGAATTATCAATTTGCTCCGTGTCTTCCTCTTTGCACCCACCCAGAGGTCATGGAGTCCCTCTTGTGTTCGCACGTTTTGTAATGATATATACTCCTAGCACGAGAACTGGAGAAGCCCATCTTGGTTAGCGTGATTTCCGCCACTGGGTAAAAGCACAGGTAGACTCACCACCGAAGGGCCGGGGACGACGTAACCATTCATATCGCCGCTATAGATCTGCATTACAAAATGTGTTAGTGGCATGAGGCGTGGCGAGTCGGAGCGAGGCATATCGCTTACATTGGCGGTGTAACCGGGGTCGGTGGCCTTGAACGCGCCGGGAATCGAGGCGGTCGGCGAGGGCTCTTTGCTTCCCCGTCAACGACGTTGAGCTGAGCACAGCTAACGTAGAACTGTAGGGGTTTTGAACAAGGTCTCCAGTCAGTTTCACTCTTTCTTTCCATTTACTTCGCCGAATATTGAACCGGAGGCATACCTGGGGCGGAGAGCCGGGGTTATGGATGCCCAGCGATTGGATTCGGAGCAGATACTCGCCGTCGGGAATGCACGTAGGGATATTCTGCGTGTACGAGACTAGACGGATATAAAGTTAGAAACGCATGATATGTATGGCCCCAGAGGGCCAGTAACTAGGGGAAGGGGAAGGGGCAGAGTTTATACTCTGAGGACTTACTCCTCATGGGCCAGCTACCGCCAGACGGGCCTGCGTTAGATGGCTCGTTAATGATCATGTCCCATACAAAGGCCGGCCGGGTTTCAACTGAAATTCTTACCCCAGTCGAAGATCTTGAACCACGCGCCACTACCGTCGTATTCTTCAACGGCGCCGGGCGCCTTGGACATGTACCTAACGCAGTTGTTAGCCTCAACCCTTCGCCGCAACCCCACCACTCCCCCTTCAACAAAAATCAATCAATCTTCCCTCCCACATACAGCGAAATAGGCCCCTGGTGATACACGGCGGTGTCGAGAGTAAAAGTGAACTCGGAGCCCGCCTTAATCGTAAGCGTCTCAGTGCCGTTGGCCACCCCACCGCCAACGTTGCACCTCAGGTCCGGCGAAGCCAGATCCGTCACGGGAGAGTTCTGCAGCCAATCCGGGTTCGAGTTGCGGCGAATGTACTTCCACGCGTCGTACTGGGTTCCGCCGGAGGAGAACTGCTGGAAAATGTAGTGGCCGGCCACGTTGTTGATGGCCACGGCGGAGGCCGCGAGCAAAAAGGCGATGGACCGCATGATCGTCGTCGAGTTTTCGTCGCGTCGGGCTTAGTTTTGTTGTCGTCTCAAGGCACGAAGAAAAGAAAAACCCCAAAAGAATGGCCGCAAACCTGAAGCGAAAACCGGGGTAGAGAGCGCGGACGAGAAGGCGGGAAAGAGCGGGTTCATGTGCGCGCGAGCAGGAGCAAGGTACGCGAAGAGTTTTTAACACTCCAGGAAACCGGCTTTCCTTGAGGGGGCGCCCTGGGGAAGCCAGCGCTCTCGACCTTGATCCGGGAGTCATGTGTCCGCGCGGAGAAAGAGCGTTGTTTGAATAGATTAACTCCAGATTAGAGAGGTGGTGGACGATGGCGAGCTATTGGCCCCGGAAACCGGCCCTACACCAGAAAACCAATATAAAAACACTCGGCATTTGGGCGTCTCGAGTGGCGGGGCAATTTATGAAGCGCAACGCAAAATCTTGGGGACGGGAGCCGAAATGAGTTTCGAATATCGAGGTCGGGAGCTGTGTCCGGGGAGGGCAAGCTGCAGTCATGGCTACTCGCTCGCCTCTCCATGCTGTCTTGGCCTAGGCGATGATGTGTCGTCGAAGGATGGGTGGCCTCCCAACCCGATTTCTCGAAATCTGTGTCTTTGTCGAAGTGGGATGAAGGTTCGCGAGGATTGATCGAAGGAGAAGAGTTGCAGACGTCGTGTTGCTAGTGATAAATCTATGCGCTCAATCTATGCGCTCGAATCAGCTTGCGCAGACGTGTTCTCCTTGGATCATTTGACGACAAAACATATCGTCGCCGGGGTACAGCTTTTTGTCGGGAGGGCCCTTAGCCGGTTATACCAGGTCCGAGTGCGTTCCAATACAATGGATCCATGGATCCATAGATGTGTAATTTTTTATTTTATTTTTGGTCTTGGTCTTCCCCAGATTTATCGAACATGGGTGTCCCCGTCCTTAAGGAGCCAGTCTACCAGCGTGCCTGAAACTAAAAAACCACGTTCTCTGCTACGCGGTCCAGTCGCACGACGCCGTCGCGACGGGGAGGCAGGACTCGGGGCCCGGCAATGCGCGCGAAGGAGCGGGGCCGGCGCTCTCCGAAGGAACATTGAAAAGCTCTGGCCCACGAACAACACTGCAAGCGTCGATCATTCGCATCCTTCCTGCTCCTTCGCGCAAAGGCACGAGGCAGCAAGAGCTCGCAAGACGTAGCAAAAGGAATTTGATGCTTATTATTTACCCCACTTGCGCGACCCCGAAGAATCCGGCAACCATCGCGAGACCGGCCTGCCCTGCTCGACAATAGCTCCTTTTATCAGTCCAAGGATCCAGCTTCTCCTGCACCCCGTACCCCCTTTTGCTGCCCCAGCTTATGCCCCCGACGTCGTCAGGGTCTGGCCTGATGTCTGCAGACCCCAACGCCGAGGATTTTTCAAGAGGATTTGAACAGGATTTGAACAGGAACAGACTGGGGAAAAGCGCTCCAGTCACATCGCAAACAGGGCAAGAAGAAAGAAAAAAAAGCTGATGAGTGTCCGGGTCACACAAACCACTAGCCCCAATGAATAGATTCGTTTAGTCCCCGGACCCCAGCACCAACCAATCCCCGGTGAAGCCATCTCCAAGCTTCGGAATTATCCCAAGACTCCACCTCTTCCCATAACCTTGGCAAAGCCGACATGGGCTCGTCGATGATTGCTCGTCGCCCTCCAACGCGTGCCCCGCCTGTCAAGTGTCAAATGGAAAACGCGGGAAACTGATAGCTCGGATGGGGCGACTTTTTTTTTTCTCTTCTCGATATTTTTTACACTTCCGTGACCAAGGAAGACGTCCACTTCGACACATGATTGGCGCGCATAGTTTGCCATGTGGATTTTAAGTGGACTCTGACTCTCCTTGGACGAGTTTCATACCCAACAATCCTCCACACTTACCATGAGATCATCCACCGAGCTGTGGGGCCCCAGCGATTCGGTGGATTTCGATTAGACGTCGAATTGGCTCTTTCGACGTCCGGAGGGCGGATCGGCACCTAGCCTCGGGCACCTCCCAGCGCTAACTCGACACGTTAGCGTGCATCATCCACTCATCGCGGCCGGACGGAGGCCGAGCGGGTGTTGGGTGGGTTGAGTATAAGACTCCACGATGTTCTCCAGATCGATCGAGGGAAAGGAAAAAAACCAAGCTCACTCCCACAAATCCCCCACAATTCAAGACATCGTCGCCCTTACTCAGCCTACCGGTTGACAGAGTGTTGTCGTGTCATGTTGTTTGACTGATATCCCCCTCCGCCCTTTTTCGCTTCCATCTCAAAAGACATCATCCAAGCAAGGAAAAACCCCAAGAGCTCGTGACAATGGACCGTCTCCCGGATTCAATGTCGCGAATCACCTCGAGAAGCGGCAGCTTCTCATCGCCATCAACTGCGTGGCCGCCCTCTCCATCTTCTTCTTCGGTTACGACCAGGGAATGATGGGTGGTGTGAACAATGCAAAGGACTACATTGACCTCATGGGCTTCGGCCACGTCGACCCCGACACCAAGGAGCCCGTCATCACCAACAGCTTGCTGCAGGGCGGTATCGTGTCCGTGTACTACCTCGGCACCCTCTTCGGCTGTCTGCACGGCGGCTGGATCGGTGACAAGATGGGCAGAATCAAGACCATTGCCATCGGCTCCGTCTGGGCCATTGTGGGTGCCGCCTTGCAGTGCAGTGCCCAGAACGCCAACTGGATGATTTGCTGTAAGTGGAGCCCTGTCACACCCTGAGAGTTAGCGAGAGATTGTACGAAAATGAGAGAAAATTTCCGTAACTAACCATTCGTTCAGCCCGCGCCGTCAACGGTATCGGCACCGGCATCCTCAACTCCATCATCCCCGTCTGGGCCACAGAAACCGCCGAGCACACCTCGCGCGGCCAATTCATCGCCATCGAGTTCACCCTCAACATCTTTGGCGTCGTCGTCGCCTACTGGCTCTCCTACGGCCTGTCCTACATCGACAACGGCGAGTCCGCCTTCCGCTGGCGCTTCCCCATCGCCTTCCAAATCATCCCCCTCATCGTGCTGGTCTCCATCGTCTGGTTCTTCCCCGAGTCCCCCGCTGGCTCGTCAAGGTCGGCCGCCACGACGAGGCCCGCTTCGTCCTGCGCCGCCTCCGCGGCAGCCAGGGCGAGGATCTCCAGCGCGCCGAGGCCGAGTACCAGGACATTGCCAACATCAGCGAGGTCGAGACGGCCGAGTCCAAGGCCAACTCCTACTTCCAAATGTTCTTCGGCATCGGCTCCGGCGAGCTGCACACCGGTCGCCGCGTGCAGCTCGTCATCTGGCTCCAGATTCTCCAGGAGTGGGTCGGCATCGCCGGTGTCACCGTGTACGCGCCCACCATTTTCCGCATCGCTGGCTTCGATACGGACAAGAGCCAGTGGATCAGCGGCTTGAACAACATCTTTTACATGTTCGCCACCCTCATCTGCGTCTTTACCCTCGACAAGATCGGCCGCCGCTGGACGCTCTACTGGGGTGCCGTTGGCCAGGGCATCTCCATGTTCTTGGCCGCCGCCTTCTCCAAGCTCGGCCAGGACGCCAGAGCCGCCGGCGACGACTCCAAAGCGAGCGCCTACGGTGCCGCTGCCGCCTCCTTCGTCTTCATCTTCACCTCCGTCTTCGGCGCTACGTGGCTCACCGTCCCCTGGCTGTACCCCGCCGAGATCTTCCCTCTCCACGTCCGCGCCAAGGGCAACGCGTGGGGTGTATTCGGATGGTCCATCGGCAACGGATGGCTCACTCTGCTGTGCCCCGTCATGTTCGCCAACATTGGCGAAAACACTCTCCACATCTTTGGCGCGTGCAACATCATCGCCATACCCATCGTCTGGGCCCTGTACCCCGAGAGCAACCAGCGAACGTTGGAAGAGATGGATTTGCTGTTCGCCGCTCCGACCCCTTGGGTGTGGGATGCCGAGAAGACCTTTGCGCGTCTCAAGGCCGAGAGGCCTCAGCTCGTCAACGCCGCCCACCACGGCCGCGCCGTCGTTGATGCGGAAAAGGGCATCATTGGGGGCGCGTCCGGTAAGTCTACCGGTGTGCCTTCCGATACTGTCAGCGGGAGCGCGAGAGATAGCGGCGAGGCCAATGTCGAAAACGCGTCTTAAACTCTAGCGAGTAACAATCTAGTTTAGCGAGAAGGCCAACTATATCATGGCTTATTAAGAAGGGGGAGGAGGTAGGGGGAGGAGGCCAGCGGTGCTGGTGTTCAAGGTTCAAGGGCTGGGGATGGTACCTTATAATGCGGGGGTGTTTTTACTTCAAGATGAATAGCGTGGTAGCCTGCCAAAGCCGCTCATATACTCAAAATTTCTTTTGTTTTCTTTCCACAGAAAAATAAGCAAATAGATTCTCATCTTGCTTCTCACCACACTTGTCGATAATTACTCGTGCTTGAAGATAAAAGCAACCCGTGAACCGCTGCAATTTCGGCAACACAAAACCTTTACGACTCAGCAGAGCCCGCCGACGACCCCTTCTCTCGCCCCTCCCACGTTGGCAATCGCACCTCATCCACTGGCATCGCGCCGTACTTGTATAAAAGGCCAGAAGCAAGGGGCAATGCATCGCTGTGGAGGGGCAGGGACCGGCCGTTGGTCCAAACAGAGTCATCGCCCCGTAAACGTTCTTAACGACTGGTATCCATCCAGTTCAAACCTAGTCATTCTTTTGCTGCGTCCATTGGTGATGTGGAGTTTCGATTCGCGGGCCGCCGCGACCCCATAATGAACGTCAAGATCCCAGAGGGAGATCATCGGTATTCTGAAAAGGGAAGGTCGGTGATGACCCCACAACGCTTGAGTGGACGAGATCGGCGTCACGCACACATGAGCTCCAACTAGCTGCAGAGGTGTCAACTTGCAGAGGTGTCAGTGTCGATGGATCCAGCCTTCGTCTCGCCGTAAATTTCTCCGCCGCTCTTTTCGAGCATGAGCCGCAAAGTGCCCAAGGTTGGCCCACGAGCATCTCATCTCTGTGAAGTGTCCTTGCTACTACATGTACACACTACACCACCTCGCCTTGTTGATTCCGCGTTGTCTGAAAAGAGTGCTCTTTTGAGTCACCTCTATACGACCCTGGCGTCTGAGCGCTTAGTTTGGGCCCTTAGGGCCTTAGGGCCAGATCGGCCGGCATTTGGGATCTAAAAAGATTGGCATCTGACAGCTGCAAGCCATCGTCTCCACCGAGGTCCAATCCCACTCGACGTTGGTGAACTCAATTCAACTCAATTCAACCCAGCCCAATAGCATCGACGGTTTTCTTTCCTCGTGCCCGGAAAGGAAAAAAAGAAAGAGGCACCAGAGCTCACCCCAGTCCCCAAAAGGCTTGCAAACCAGACCAACCTCTCTCGATTGCGCCCATCGCGTTGGCAAAAAGCAACATTCATCGGCTCGGTGTCGGGGTTAGGAAATATCCCCAGCACCCGTGGACCAGAGTGCGACCCCCAGGGCTTGGCGGGCTGGGTGTCCCTTCACTGGAAACGGAGAAAGCCCCGGTGGACGCCGCCCAAGGGCTCGATCGCCAGCGCGCTTGATTTCCATGTTCTTTTTACCCCGCGTTTTTTTCTTCATCGCCACCGCAAACTTCTGGACCAATCCCTCGAGCGTGTGAGCGGCTCCAAGCGTGACGATACTACACTGCAAACAAGGGAGGCGTCATTCAACAAGGTGTTTCCCCTCTCCCGCCCCCACCCACCGCCCTTCCCAGGCTTGCCAGGACAGGTCGGGACTGGTTCACTGACGTCCCCCAAAATGGAGATCTATGGCCGGCTACGGCCAAATTTGGGCGGGTGGGTGGTCTTCTCTGCGCTATTCGCTGATGCAATCCAGCTCAGGTATGGTAACGGGTAGGCCAGCCGCCCACCACCAATGGCAACGCGATGCGGACATGTATGCTATTTCGGGGTTGGTCTCAGATTAGGCAGTGTGGGTACAGGGCCTCTTTGGGCGTTTGTCTCCTCCGGTCCGTGGGTTATGCCAATGTAGACGACGTCGTCGTTACTTGGAATTTTGGCCCGTTGCTTTTTGTCGCTGCTGAGGTCGATCCCCCTTCGAGGTCTGACGATCTATAAGAACTGAGGTGTCCTCCGATATAAAGAGAAAAAAGCTTCTCGGTCGTCAGACACAAGTCAAGGTTCCAGTCAAGAAGTTTCGCGCCCATACACATATCCTCTCCAGCTAGCCATTCTTAGCCAATTTATTCATCATGAAGCTCCAGTCTCTCCTCGTCTGCGCTACCTCCGCCGCCGCCTTGGTGCTCCCCAGCGGTCCCGAGGGCGCCTACCTCCTCCAAGCGCCAGGATCTCACCACTGTCACTGACCAGCTCCTGTTCAGCGTCACTCTTCCCACCTTCACTGCCCGCCGCAATGCCAAGAACCCCTCCACCCTAGACTGGACCTCGGACGGCTGCACTTCCTCCCCCGACAACCCCTTGGCTTCCCGTTCGTCCCCGCCTGCAACCGCCACGACTTCGGATACCACAACTACCGCAACCAGGTTCGCTTCACTCAGAGCAACAGGCTCAAGATTGACAACAACTTCAAGACCGAGTAAGTTGATTTCCCCGATTTTTGCGCGGCGGGCGCATCCACCTTTAAGTGTTGATATGCACATGGCATAGTGGGGCTCATGGCTAACAAATCGGTGTGAATACAGCTTGTACTACCAGTGCGAGAGCGTGTCGTCTCTCACTCGGGGACTCTGCCGGGCCCTTGCAGATGTGTACTACTCTGCCGTCCGCGCCTTTGGTGGAGGCGACGCTACTCCTGGAAAGAGGGACGAGGACTTGGTTCAGGCGTACCAGGATGCCGTCGCTGTCTACGAGGAGCTTGTCGCTGAGGCGCGCGCTCGAGGAGATATCGCGTAAGGGCGCCCTCGGAATGTGTATATAGTGATGACTTGATGTATATTTTGGATTGGAATATAATGACCATGTTGGGTATGTTGTAAAGGCGTAGCGCTATATCAGTCTCCTTCCACTTGTGATTTTTACGTCTTCCACTAGTGAGATGGTACGTAGCTTTTACGAGATCAGTCAGTGGAAATTGTCATCATCGCGAGAGGGTTGAGATGTGCATTGGGGGCAAGTGAAGCGTGTGTATCGCAACCAACGCCATCAACGCATGAAGCACACTCAGACATCCAGCCCGTAACGCGATGTCTAGCAACAGGCGGGCAGACCGCACTTGCAAGTGCAGCTCTTTTGATAAATTTTTTATTATCTTTTAAGATGGCGTTGCGTGCGTGCACGGATGAGTCTTTCTTGAAGGGGAGAATGATTCGTTCATCTCTGCGAAGCGTAGAGACTGGTGTATTAGACCCCTCCCGGCCCGGGAATAGGATTGGTGACAAGATACATGGGCGTGGTTTGCCAACTCCACAAGCTGAAATGCTCGCCTGCGAGCAACCTCTTGTCTCGGCCAGACCCGGTCGGAGGAAGTAAAGTTTCAGCTCGGCCTGCAGCGGGGACACGGAGCTACCAAGACCGAACTGGAATCAATTGAGATCAGCTGCCCAAAAAATGAGCAAATTATGCGTGAATTAGCTTACATAACCTTTTGAATTTCTAATATCCATGGATCAATCGTCAACGAAGACGGACGGAGAGCGAAAAGCATCCATCCCCAGGCCACAAGTGAAGATCGAAATTTAAGCCAGACACGCCAAGGTCCCAGACATCCCCGAAAAAAGAGACCATGATTGTCGATGGGGAGAAACTCGCATGTGAGGCGTGTATTCGCGGCCACCGCACAGCCCAGTGCCAACATACTGGCAAGTAGAACCCTTTCTTCTCAAGCCACCCGTCTTACTTATCGGCCTTGGTCGTTGCTAATCCGCCCGCTTCTCCCCCGCTTCTCGACAGATCGCCCTCTTCAGCGAATCACCAAACGGGGCAGACCCGTCTCCCAATGCGGCCACTGTCGGACGCTCCGCAAATCAATTCTGTGCACACAAAGTGCGAGTGTCGCCTGAGATCCCAAGGTCGAAAACCTGGCCAGTCTCGCGCCGGTAAGTGAATGCCTTCCGCTAACCTTTCTTTTCTTTTTTTTTCTTTCTTTTTTGGTGAGAAATAGCAAAGGTGAACATAGTCAACGCAAACCTAATACGTGAGCCACATTATCTTTATTTAGAACAATGCTGCTGCTTCCAGAACCAGCCGTGCATATGCGCGTATAAGAATGACGGGGACGACAAAATGCCTGCATCTGCAGCGAGTCCCCTTCGCCACAACGCCCATCTCAAGCCTAAGCTAGCGGTGAAGCCGGAGGGCAGCGACCGCGCCAGCCCTCTAAGCACTCTATCGCCTTCTGGCATCGTCGGAAGCCCGCAGAGCTTTTACAGCACAGGGACGGCCGAGAGCCTGGCGACAGATGCTCAGGAGGCTGCTGTTCCACCAGGTCTGCGCCAACGCCGTTCCCCGATTTGGGCAATACTGTTCCCCAGACCACCCCGGATGCGTTTTCGTTCGACGAACAGGACTGGTCGAGCTTTTGGCCGTCATTATTCCCAGACTTTGTCAACGATACCTCGCATCTTGACTTGAATAGCTCATATGCCCCGGAGATTGCACACGGTATTCCTGGGCTTGAACCATTTGATGTGAGAGATCTATCCGGGTTCAATTTGGAGGTTCTCCATGACCAAACCGGTCAGGAACCGTCTGGCGCCTTGATAGCGGACCCGGGAGCAAGACTCGTACCGCAAGACTTCTCCCAGTACCCATCAGGTCAGCTATGACGAGATACCAAGTCGACGATTTTTTTCTACAGCGTCACCAACGCAGATTGAACGATTTTGGGAGGTGGAGGAAGTCCGCCACCCTTGCGTACTTCAAGCAATCCAATTCGAGAAAACTGTCACGCAAGGTCCTCCACTCAAACATCATCACTCGTCTGAGCCCAACTTGCCACGAGTCTGCGCGAGAGGTGTGTCTAGCTACAACGACATCGACGGTGCTTCCCGCTTGTCCGAAGGAAAAAGATAAGCATCCCGCCATATCCTCATGAATCAACCACGACATCCTTGATCCGCACAAACTCCGACCGCGCCCAGCCCAAATGCTCCTCAATCCTTCCGCGGAACTCGGAATCTCTCTCGTTCTCGAGAACAGTATTCTCATTTCGGATAATGTCCAGCGTCCCGCGAATCACCTCAACATGGGTACGGATGAGCTGCCGCACACCCTGACGCAGCTCCTCGCACACCTCGGTGCATTGTTTCCGGAACTCTGCCGACCAGGAGAGGAAGAGGTTCACATCCGAAAATCTGCCTTCCATGGTGTCCTTTCTCCGCTGGTCGCTACCTCCACCTATCCGTCAATTAGCACGTCGGTAAAGACGGCCCTCGCACGCGGGGATGTTTACAAAGGGGGAATTGCCTACCACTCTCATGTTGGGCACTTATATACGACCGCTCCATCAGCTTTCCAAATATTCCCGTACGAATGCCGCTCGTCCCGTCAGTTCTCAAGATCCTAAGAAGAAAGATGCAGTGTCAGCGCGTCTCCCCTCTATCAATCCCCAGATAGTCATGCGATCCCTACCGAAGTTGCGAACTGAAGTCTGTAAACACGTCTTCTAGCTCGGACAGCAGAATTCGCTGGCGGGAATCTATCCCTTCAAGAAATGTATCCGAATCCCAACCGGGAAACTCTTCGCTTTCTAATAGGGAAAGCTTGGTGATTAGTTCCGCACCCCAACAAAGCCGGTCAACGAGTAGACTTACCCAAGGAGACCGCGACATCTTCAAATTCCTCCTCTATCAAGGCGGTTATTTCGCCCATGCTGTCAGTAATCTCACTCTCAAACTTAGCCCAGTGCTGCTCCATATCGTCATTCATGGAGGCCATCGCTTCTTCATTCCAGTTGCGGGCCCCGACTTTGGCGGTACGATGGTTACCGAAATGCCTACAATATGCCGAATAGCTTGCTGCGTCTGGGTTAGTGGATGAAGGCAAAGTTCGTGAAGATCGGATTGGGGCAGGATATATATTACGATGGGACCACTAGGTAGTCGTTAGCCAGATTCAAAATGACAACCAAAGGGTCCTGGGTGCATGAAGGGCGCCATACCGTCCTCCACTCCCATGCAGCGTCGCTTGATCCTCTTACCCAGCGAGTAATGCTAGATGCTAAGAGAAAAAGATTTAGAATGCCACTCAATCACGCTTGCCAACCGGGGCGCCTTACAGGAGCGAAGTTGGTTGCTCAACTCCCGACTCGCGTCAGCTGCGATACGACTGGGAGTTGAGGAACGCCCCGTAAGGTTCTAATATACCTCCGTATCAGTCGGACCTTGAATCGCACTATTGAGTTGGGAATCGCGCGTTACCCGTGTCAGTCGAGCATCCAGATTGTTCAACGTCTCCCTGATGGCCTGCTTCTGCTCGGCAGCAAGGCTACCACCCCCGCCTGTACCCACAGACTCATCTCGCTCAGTAGAGCCGCGATTTCGTCCCGAATGTACTTGCTGGCAATCCTCCGTTGGCTTTCGCCTACGAGTGAGATGCAGTGTTTGCGAAGCCCCAAGATACCGCTCAAGGATAAGTATGGCAGGGCCTCTCCTTTCGGATCTTGCCGATGATCCCAGTAGTCCACGTTGCTCACGCAAAAGATGGCCAGGGAATGGCTGGGAACGTGTTCTCGATACTGGTCTTGGAGCTCGCGGTCCACCATCTGGTTCCGGTTCACGATGAGATATTGCTTTAATCTGCCGCGACGGTTAGGTAAACCCGCACAGACGGCAGAGAGAGAAAGAGGGGGATCTTTACGCAAATTCGTTCTGCTGTAAGCGTTTCCTGTGTTGCCGTTAGCTCTTTTTCTATGAATCAGCACAGCTCAACCACAATCCTTACTTTGTTTCCTTTAACCGCTGCCTCAGCCTCCATTGATCCTGGCGCTCTTCCGGGAACATCTCCTCGGGATCGAGATCTTCGTATGCCTGCAATCCGCTCTTGACGCTGCCAAGTATAACCTTCTCTCGGGAAACAGCATCAATTCTTTGCTGGATCTCTCGTGCCTTTTGGCCTCGCCAATCCCGCTTCGCCTCGTCGGCACGAATGTTCTGGTTCCCTAGTTAGCTGTGATTGTCATACGGGTGACACGAAACCGATTTATCCCTACGTCGGATTTTGTGCAGATGATGCCAATTTTGGATAACCTCGCTCTTTTCGCCAACGCTATAACTTCGGCGACACCAACATCGGTGATTGCTCTGCCAATGTCGCAAACGGCGAAGATCTCATCGCAATGCAACAGATACCTCTCAGTCACGTTGCGACGGGCTAAATTAAGATCACGAAGACCTGAGCAAAGGAGGCAACAATTAGCTCCAAACAACAGACACCCGAGGGGAAGTGAACCACTTTTGAAACTTGCCTGGAAGATCCACAAGAACTAGTCCTTTGCTGAGGATATGGGCTTTCAAGGATACGCTAACCGGAAGTCGCCACGTTAGCGAAACGCATCCATCTATTTGGCACCGGAGCCTCCAGTACCTTATCGTCTTGATCAGCGGCCAGTCACTGCTGCCGGAATGACCTGTCTGCTCTGATGTTAGGCTCGTCAAGAGGGTTGAGCAGTCTTCCTGCCGTAGTAGCGTTCTCGGGCCCGTATGATTGCGCGACCTGATATCTTGCGCGACAGCGACCATCTCACGTATAATCTCTTCCATGGGGGCGGCGACAAGATGTCTATGTTCCTGGAGCTTCCCTCGAAATAAGGCCTGAAACGTATGCATTGCTGTGGAGGCCCCATCCTCCGACGCGGCTCTATCGTCCGCATCGGCATCGCTCGCAATCGAATGAAATTCGCGATAGGACTGAAGAAGGTCCGTTAATTGCTGTTTGGTTTCTGCGGGGCTGAACCATTGGATGTCCACTACGAAGTCATCCTGATTATGATAGCGGAACTCTGTCGCAACGCATGTACATGCTCGTCCACTGTTACTCTGTAAGGGACTCAGTAAGCCATGAACTTTTGGTTCTTATCGGCGATACCTAGAAATGGTGATAAACCCTACCGTTCTTGCGAGCTTATCCGAATCAAGCAACGCGTTCAAGAGACTGCTTTTGCCTACAAGTGATAACGCTGGCGGTTAAATCTCTAACTGGTTGGGAGAATGTCAAGAAGGTTTCGTGGGCTTACCAACACCCGAGTCCCCAACAAAGGCAATCGTCCTAGTCGAGGGAGGCTCAAAACGGGATAAGCGATCAGCCTCAGTATGTAGTCGGTTGATGGTAGAATCAGGTTCTTGGTGTAGAGAGGAACTAGATAGCGCTCGTGCCATCTCTTTGGCGAGCTGCTTAGCGTCCAAAAACGCCTGTTGAAACCCGGCCTCGTAAAACGGATCAGACGGCATTTCCTCGTCTTTCAGGTCATGCATCTCTACGGCTGCGAGAGGCGCTGAGCGGGATCGACGTCTCCGCGACGAGGGGCTGGCACTCCCCGGCTCCAGCAGCAGAGGCGGCCTCTCTGGGGTATTTTCAACCTGTCGAATTGCCTCGGAGATGCCAGCCATGTCGAAACCAGGGCTGGCGAGTGTCAAGTCTTGGAGGGTTTCAGCAATATCGGTCCCTCGCTCGCCATCGCCATCGGGGTGGTTGCGAGGGGATGTGCTTCGACTCGGCGCAACGGTTGTTGGGGGTATACACCACAGAAGTGGAGGAGGTCGTTTGGCGCTCTCTCGGCGATTCATGACGCACCAGGGCGGTAGCGCCGTCATCAGCTTCAATCGAAGGAATCGGATCATCTGCGCCGGCGAGGATTCTTAGTTGTGCGAGAGGCGGAGATGATTGAGGACTCGAGGGCAAGGAGTCCGGGCGATAAGGCACCAGCCATAGGCCGCTTTCGCTTGCCCCTGTGTCTGTATCCGGGGTGAACTCTTCCGCTGCTGAGCTGGAGGGCTCTCGGGAGGGTATGTCCTGCGGATGGAAATGTCAGCAATAGGACACGATGCGAACTAGAGAGTCAGATTCACCATCTTCAAGATACTCGACAACCACACGAGTATGCTCTATCGTACTGATGGTAGGCCCTGAGAAACTGTGGCCTAGACGGCTTGTAAAGTCGAAGTAGGCCAGCAACATCAGGCAACAGACTCGAGATTCGTCTGGGTCCGCACCCGCCTTTAATCGAGTCCTCGGGTAGTGGCCTCTGCGAATAACCCCCACCTCTTTCCCCTCACATGCCCTGACTTTGATACATTGTTGGAACCAACTGCATAAATATTCTTCAGGTTTATTGGTCGATGGTTCCTAGCCGAGCACACCCAGAGGCTTGAGGCATGGCTTATTGACCAATTATGTAGCGTTGCGAACCGCGGCCTCGGGTCCGGCCTGGATGGCCTCCGTATTGAGCACCGCCTCTGCTGGCCGTGGCATTATGCACCCAGCCAACATGACACCCATTCTCACTTTGTAATCAGCCGTAGGAGCAGCTCTCTTTTTACAGTTTAAGTTCTTGTTGGATCTATAATTATCGCGTAGGGAAAATCGATCCGCCAGTTTCATGTGTAATCCTCATCATTCTTGGTTTAGCTTCGCAATTTTGGTTCTCGTCACCCTGTGACGCATTAAGATGAAGTGAGTGAAATCAGGCGCTGGGCGTCTATTAGCATTGTTCATTACATTACCTATAAACCCGAGCGTCCGGTGTCATGAAGGCATTTGGGGACACAACGAGAAGCGCTGCGCCACATAACCAAGCGCCAGCCCAGTTGGCCGCAATACGGATGTAACGTCAACACCTCCTACTTTCCGAGGTTCAAGCAACCCCGCAATCTTACCAATAGCCACGAATTCTTGCGTAAAGGAGTCCCCCGTGGCTGGAATAAAAACATCCTGCTTTGGACGATCTGCGCGGATGCGCGCATGTAATGTGAACGCGATATTGCGTCTGAGTGCAGCGGGAGGCGTGCGGCACCAGTTGCCAGATACGACTACACGATATAGCAAGATTAATGCTGAGCCTTGATATCCAAAGAAGGCGTTTCTAACCCCGTCTCGTCCGATATTTCAAGGCTGCAACAATCCTACCAGACAAACCACCGGAACCCTTTGACAAACAGAGAACTCCTCCGGTTACGGAAAGCCAGCCTAGAAAGATGGCTATTTGGATCTAGAAAGTCCAAATTCCCGCTCCTTAGAGGATTCCTACCCGTCGGCCGAAACTCGCCGGAGAGGGGCCGGGGCAGTCGGGTGAGGTGGTATCGCGATTCCATGGCACGTCACGCAAAGGGACCCGCCGTCGCTCCGAGATCGACGTGCTTTTGCAACCCGTCTCCACACCCCCGACGATAACAGGCGCGCATACCAGCCAACGGTAGAGAATCATCTCTAAAGAGTTGCATCACAAGTGCGCTTATACAAGTACCAGTCGGCTGCCGGGCGCCCGTGGGGCCGCGTCGCAGCACAACGCGCATGAGAGTGACGGCAATGGAAGCCTACAATGCTAAAAAGGGGGAGAAAAAGAGGAGACCGACAAAAGCTCCTGCCGCCCATGATCGCATGCGCCGTCCGGATTTCAAGGACTTGCTTAGACGGCGAAGAGGCCGGCCATGGGCGCGGATCGACTCTTGGCCCCACAAACGCAAGACGACCATTCAGGCTGGCCCAAAACTGAGGGGTAAATATCAGAGAAATGAATTAATTCAGGTTGGAATGGAGTCCTGGGCCGTATCAGATATATAGCCGGGATGCGGCTTCTGGCGCTCCAATTGAAAAAGACGAAGAAAAAAGTGCCCTCACTTGAGAGCCAACGCCGAGAAGCGCACAGCGTGGGTTCATGTTTTTTTCAAGAGCCCAGCTCCCGCTACATGTACTAAAAGGCGACGATGTCCCCCACCCTTCATAGGAACGGGCTGCGATAGAGGATTACCAGAGTCTAGCCAAGGAAGAAGAAGTCAAAAAGGACAAAGACAAAACGACCTTGCGCACCATGAATCGTCAACCGACGACCAGAAATAGATTGTGGCCCGCGCTGCTACGGCTCGTCCTCCTCTTAGGCCTCGCAACATGGACGATTGAAGCTCGGAGCCTTGCACCGCGCCAGGAGGATGATGTTCCTGCCGCGGACACCGCCGGGCGCGAGCGTGTCAGCATCAACCAGGGCTGGCGCTTCCGGCGCTTCACCGAAAACCCCGACAGCCTGGGCTACAGCACCATGAAACCCTGGATCATGCCCGCCGCCAACAACTTTGTCAAGGACGCCGCCCGCCACGCGCAGCGCCCCGCGAACCCACCCTCCAATGTCGAGTTTGCCCAAAGTTCCTTTGACGACGGGGCGTGGGACAGCCTCAACCTTCCCACGACTGGGCCATCAACGAGCCCTTCTACGAGGGTAACAATGTCCCCGTTGGAGGCAGCATGGGGCGCCTCCCCATTCACGGCGTCGGTTGGTACAGGCGCAAGATTGACCTAGCGGAGGGGACGAGGGGAAAGCCGTATACCTCGAGATCGACGGCGCCATGTCCTACGCCACGGTCTGGGTCAATGGGGTTCTCGTCGGCGGCTGGCCGTACGGATACGCTTCCTTCCGACTCGAGCTCACCTCCTTCCTCGAGCCGGGAGAGAACCAGCTCGCCATCCGGATTGACCAAGCGCTCGACTCCTCGCGGTGGTACCCCGGCGCGGGAATTTATCGCAACGTCTGGCTCACCAAAGTCCACACCACGCACGTGGGACAATTCGGCACCCGCCTCACCTCCCGCGAGGTCTCGTCGGGGTCCGCCATCGTCGACGTCGAAGTCCAGGTCGAAAACGCCGCCACGTCCGGTGGCGAGGTCGAAGTCCAGGTCACCACTGACCTCTACGAGATTGACGCCTCTACCGGTGAGGCAGGCGCCAGCGCCGGCCAGTTCCCCAACAGCACCGCCGTCGTTGCCGCGGGCAAGATTGTCTCCGCGAGCGGCTCCTTGACCTTGCAAGACCCCAAATTATGGGGACCGAAGCCTTCTCAGGAGCCGCACCTCTACCTTGCCGTCACGAGGCTGTACCTCGACGGCCAGGAGATCGACAGCTACGAAACAAAGTTCGGCATCCGCTCCCTCGAATACGACGGCGACGGACTCAAGGTCAACGGCGAGCGCGTGTACATCCAAGGCGTCTGCCAGCACCACGACCTGGGCTCCCTCGGCGCCGCGTTCAACATCCCCGCCGCGGAGAGGCAGCTCGAGATGCTCCAAGACATGGGATCCAACGCCATCAGAACATCCCACAACCCCCGCCCCGGAGCTGCTCGACCTCGCCGATCGCCTGGGGTTCCTCGTGCTCGACGAAATCTTCGATACCTGGGGCAGCCACAAGGTGCAAAACGATTTCCAGACCATTTTCGGCGACTGGTCCGAGCCCGACCTGCGCGCCTTCATCCGCCGCGACCGCAACCACCCGTCCATCTGGGCGTGGAGCTACGGAAACGAAGTCGCCGAGCAGCGCAGCAACAACGGCGCGTCCGCCGCCCAGAGGCTCCGCGACATTGTTCACGAGGAGGACGACACGAGAAAGACCACCATCGGCATGAACAACGCCGGGCCCGATACGCAGTTCACCTCCATCGTGGATCTGATTGGCCTCAACTACCAGGGAGAGGGGAAAGGGAACGGCGGCCCCACCTTTGAGAATTTCCGCGGCAAGTATCCGGACAAGATGATTTTCAGCACCGAAAGCTCTTCCGTGGTGAGCTCGCGCGGCACGTACCTATTCCCCGTCACGGGCGGAAACAACGCCATCGTCGGCCAGAACGGCGCCGGCGTCGACGCCCGCACGCAGCAAGTCAGCTCCTACGAGCTCTACGCCGTCGAGTGGGGCGCCTCCCCGACAAGGTCTTCTCGGCCCAGGACCGCTACCCCTACGTGGCCGGCGAGTTCGTGTGGACGGGGTGGGACTACATCGGCGAGCCGACGCCCTACGACTCCTCGCGCAGCAGCTACTTTGGAATCATCGACCTGGCGGGGTTCCCCAAGGATCGCTTCTACCTGTACCAGGCGCGCTGGAATCCCGAGGTCAAGATGGCGCACATCCTCCCGCACTGGAATTGGCCCGATCGCGTGGGCCAGGTGACCCCGGTCCACGTCTTTTCCTCGGGCGACGAAGCCGAGCTTTTCGTCAACGGCGTGTCGCAAGGCCGGAAGAAGAAGGAGGAGTTCACCTACCGGTTCCGATGGGACGACGTCAAGTACGAGGCGGGCGAAGTCCACGTCTTCACCTACAAGAATGGCGCGGCGTGGGCCAACGCCACCGTCAGCACGACCGAAAAGGCCGCCAAGCTGCAGCTCTCGACATACAAGGACAGGGACTCGATCCGTGCCGACGGCAGTGATCTCGTTTTTGTCAGCGTCGCCGTGGTGGACGACAAGGGCTACGTCGTCCCCGACGCCGAGCCATCCATCACCTTTTCCGTGCAAGGCCCCGGCGAAATCGTCACGACTGACAACGGCGACCCGACGGACATGGTTCCGTTCCCGTCGAAAGAGCGAAATGCCTTTAGGGGCCGCGCGCTAGCCATCGTTCGGGCCCAGAGCGAGGCATCGGAGACCATCACTCTGTCGGCAAGTGCCGATGGTCTTGAAGGAGCTGAGATAACCCTCACGGTAGCGTGAAGAGACCGGAGAAAATAGCTGGGGTTGACTGGGGGCAGTATTCGCTGCCTCATAGCATGTATATACTTCTTCATCGCAACAAGGTTCGCCGCCGGCCATCCTCCGAGACTCTGGCTAGGAAATTTCCCCACTTGTATTCGGCCTAGCGGGCATCGGGGTCGGGGTCGGGGTATCGGTAGTGTGGTCACGCCGCGGGCTCGTCCACATACTTGTTGTCACGCGAAACCCCACGTGCAGTATAGTGATCACTGACTCTGGAGCGAACACAAGCACGGAAAGGGGACGCGGATTTTCGTATTGATAAGCTACAATAATCTAGTACATATGCTCGTTCATTAGTCGCACGCGTTGGGTGGAAGAACGACCTAAAGGTTGCCTCGCGACTCGTGTCCCAAGAAGTGGGGTGAATGACGTGCTTAACAGAACCGGGACATTTCCACCTACAATCGCCCTTTGCCATAAGAACGGCCCCTCCCCTACAGCTTCTGTGTCGTTGATTATCAAAATAATTTGACAAATCGGAAGGACAAGCTAGGCACCCTCGCGTCTCATTCTCATGAGGAGCACTGTTGATTCTTACGGGGAGATATATGCAGGGTCGGAACGCTCCCCATATCACCGGGCCACTTCTTCCACGATGCACCTTGTCACGTCAACGCTACCTTTACAGACATCATCTTGAAATATACACTCCGGGAACGACGTGCATGAAGGAGCAGCGTAAATGGGGGCACTTGACGCCCCGCCCCCACAGGGTCCTGATCAATACGCCATTTTGGTAGGGGGCATCGCAATTACACCAGTCTCCCATGGGCCATTCTTTCTTCTTTCTTTTATAGTGAATATGACTTCTATTGAAACCTCCACCATCCGCCAAGTCGTGGTATGCTGGTCGACCATTACTGTAATAAATCCTTGGGGTGAACCTCTCCCTTTTGCCTGAGTGATCGTTCCATCAACCGGCCCCCTCCACCAACATGTCGAGCCAACCTCTCCTCGACTTGGACCCAAACGAAGGGCGAAGATCCTCCGTCTCGAGCGGCGCGGAGCGTCGACACTCGTACGACACTCTCTCCAAACCAGCCAAGTATGCCATTTCCGAGACGAGCGTAGGCTACGGCAGCGACGAAGAATTCTTAGGGTATGGTGGGACTCCCAATCCGTTCCTGCTCCCCGGGGCCTCCGAGCACTGGAGAGAGGTGTACGAAAAGTCGGAATATGAGTGTCGGCACGTATTCGATCCAGATATGACCTGGTCCCCGGCGGAGGAGAAGCGTATCATACAGAAACTCGACTGGCACGTCTGCCTTTGGGCCGTACGTTTTCTCCCCTTTTGGCACTTGAACACCCATGCCTAAACAGTACTTTGAAAAACTGACTCGCCTCGTTGTATCAAAAAAGTGTACCATGTTTTTCGCCCTTCAGGTCGATCGCGGGAACCTCACGCAAGCCGTATCGGATAACATGCTGGAGGATCTAGGGCTAAACACCAACGACTACAACTACGGTAACACGATTTTTCTCGCGTCCTTTCTCGTCGCGGAGCTTCCTCCCAACTCATATCCAAAGCCGTCGGACCTGACCGATGGATCCCGATCCAAATATGCCTATGGTCCGTCGTCGCCTCGTCCCAGTGCTTCCTCAGCGGGCGGACCACCTTTTTCGCCACCCGCTCCCTCCTCGGCCTCCTCGAGGGCGGGTTCATCGCCGACATCGTACTCTGGCTCAGCTACTTTTACACGTCGAGGAGCTCCCCATCCGGCTCAGCTATTTCTGGATGACGCTGTCCGTGACCGGAATCGCCACCTCCCTGCTGGCCTTTGCGCTGCTGCACATGCGCGGCATCAACGGGTGGGGCGGCTGGCGGTGGCTTTTCCTCATCGAGGGCCTCATCACGCTGAGCATCGGCCTCGCGTCCTTCTTCATGATGCCGGCCTCGGCGGTGGAGACCAAGACATGGTTTCGCCCGCGGGGGTGGTTCAACGACCGCGAGGAGCGCATCGTGGTCAATCGCGTGCTGCGCGACGACCCTTCCAAGGGAGACATGCACAATCGCGAGGCCATCACGCCCAAGCGGCTGTGGGAGACCATCAACGACTACGACCTCTGGCCTCTGTATGCCATAGGCCTCGTCGCTTACATACCGCATGGGCCCCCGTCCAAGTATCTCACCCTGACGCTGCGGTCCCTCGGGTTCAGCACGTTTAACACGAACCTGCTCACCATCCCCGTGAGCCTGTTCCACATGACGAACCTCTTTTTGGTAACGAGGTTATCGGAACGCCTCAACGAGCGCACGCTGGTGTCTATGCTCCAGCCGCTATGGACCCTGCCCTGCATCGCTGCGCTGTGTTGGTGGCCCGGTCTCGTCGACGACAAGTGGGGCACGTACGTGCTCATTGTCACGCTGCTCTCTTATCCCTACTGCCACGCGATCTTGGTGGCTTGGTGTTCCCGCAATTCCAACAACGTGGCGACGAGAACGGTGTCTGCGGCGCTGTACAACATGTCTGTCCAGCTGGGAAATGTGGTGGACTCGTTTATTTATCGGGATGATGACAAGCCCTACTACCGCCGAGGCAACTCGCAACTCTTGCTCGTCAACGTGGCCTCGATTGCCGTATTCTTGCTCACAAAGGCCTGTAAGTGGTCTCCCTCCCCTCTTTTACCGCTGATCGGAATCGTTGCTAAACTAAAACCAACCAGATTATGTATATCGCAATCGGCAGAGAGACATCATTTGGAATAGTATGACCCAAGAGGAAAGGGATGACTATGTGCGAAACACCAAAATTGTGGGAAGCAAGAGGCTAGATTTTAGATTCGCCCATTAGGCCAAACCAAGAGCAAAAAGAATCAGAGAATAGTTACGGGATTAATGAGTCACGTTAACGAGAAAATATAATTGGGTAAAACGGAGTTAAACCACGGTGGGTTACCGCTGGGGTAGACGCATTCATGGTGGTGATCAAATCTGTGGTATATGGTTCATCTATCCATTGATGTCTTCATGTTCTATCCTCAATCTGTGTTCTAGCGCGCATTGAGCAACTACTCTAATCACTACCTCCATTATAGGCAACACCCCAACTCTCCAAGAACCCATCCGTCCACGCTATTATCTCGCCCCTCACCGCCGGACCTCGCAGCTTCGCTTTGCACACCGTACCCTCTCCGTCGGGCAGAGGTTTAAACACCCAGATCCCGCGATCAACGTTCACCGGCACGTGCAACGCGCTGTAGATGCTGGCTCCCATAATCCCCAGCAAAATCATGTTCCCGAACACCATGGACACCCACGGTCGCTTTCCCCTCTGCCTCGTGTACACCAGGATGATGGCGTCGGCGATCTGCGCCACTAGAGAAACCGAAATGATGGCCACGGTCGCCACGAGCCACTTCTTTTGGTCCGTGCCCGGCAGCTTGATACAGTCGATGGTCCCGTCTCGTCCGGGCACGATGTGGTGAACTGCGCAGTCGGCAATCACGGAGCTTCCGTCCTGGAAGGCGGGAGAGCACCACTGCGCCTCCATCTCCTCGGCCGTCTTTGCATACCGGCCCCGCGAAGCCAAGACCGGTAAGCTGCAATGCGAGCAAGACGATCATCAAGACGAGAGCCAGGAGCGCGACCCAGGCCTTTCCCACCAAATCGTCCCCCTCGGCGGGGTGGAGACGTGGAGGGTTGATATCCGGACGGAGGAGCTCCGGGCGCCGGGCGCCTGGCTGAAACCACCCTCCGTCTTACTTGCCCTACGGTCGGTGACGGAGGACGGGTACGGATAACTGATGCGGTTTGCGGGTAGCCTCAGCGAATGTTTAAGGGAGCGCCAGAGTATGACGGCGCCGTTCTCCTGGATGATGAGGAAGGCGAGCTGCATCATGGCGCCAATGTCCAGGGTGATGGGCAGGGGCATCCACACCATGACCAAATCCGGCTTGAGTTGGGTCGTGTACGCCTGCACCGTGACGAAGATGCTGATGACCGCGAGCACGATGCTCAGGGCCTGGACTTTTGCCAGCGTCTGACTCTCATGATGGTGACGGGGAGGTGGATGATCAGCAGGACCAAGGTGTACGGCCAGGGGAGGAGGCTCCCTCCGTGGTAAGGCCGGATGTAAGTCGTCTTGCCGCAGTCTGTCGTGCTCCCGGTGACGTTGAAGTAGTTTAGGGAAGGGAGGTCTTGTTGGCAACCACGGGAATGGACTCATCTTGGGCAAGATTGGGGCAGTTCATGGTGTATATCGGTATATCACGAGCTTCGTTATCAGCTCGCAGGAGCAAAATACAATGCGCGAGGGGCAAACGAATACCTTTGAGCGAAGATTGGAATCAGATGGCCCGGATGGCAGGCACGCAGGTCTGGTTTTATCATTTTCAATCAATTGAGACAAAAGACAAGCCACACGCAGAGTGCTCGCGTGCCGACCATGCAAAGGCAGCTCAACTGCATATTCGCCTTGCCTCGCCTCCCGCTCTAAAAAAGAGAAAATGAAATTACCCCGCGCACCCCGACGAAACTTCCAGGTCAGCCCGTTCCCGGGACACATGTTTGTGCAACGACTTGGTGCTTTGGCGTGCGTTTGGTGCGTTTGGCGCGTTATCGTCGACCAAGTTTTTGTCCCCAGTACCGCTTCTTGCGGTGATGCCGCTGGGTCTCAATGCCTCGCCCGCCCAAATAAAACAAGGGAGCCGTGTGGCCGCAGCAGCGATTTATTGATTTTTTCTCCTTAGCTCCAGCGCCGAAAGGAGGGTGCTCATGATGCTGCGAGACCAGGCTGCAGGGGGGCAAGACTAAAGCTGGGCAAGTTGGGGCTGAGCGCACCACCCCAACAGGGATTGAGGGGACCCCGCCCATCCACACAGACGAACTCATTGGTTCAGAGGTGATTTCAGAGGTGATGCATGGTCAAAGACGGACCGCCCGCCAGCGAGCACAAAAGTGAGGCGGTGGACTAGCGAGCTAGGTGATTCGACTGGAAGTGTAGAAAAACACCCAGGACCGCTCGAAGCTGACCGTTGCGCACACTTTATGAGCCCCTTCATCGTCTTCTGCCTGAAAAGAGAGCTTAGCGCCTTTTCTTTCCCATCGCCCGAGCTCGAGAACAACCCGGAGCCGTCAATTACCTCGGTACCAGCGTCTAGATCCATCCACCTTCTCGGGAGGTTTCCTCCACAGCAAACGCGCGCGCAGGCAGGGGGCCGAAGCTTGTCTTGTCTGTCCTGTCCTTCCTACGCAAAGTGGAAGATCGGGCCAGGACGGGACATTGGAGCGTACATGTAGGCCGCATTGCACGCACGGACCACATTCACAGCTCTTCCCAAGCTTCCCAGATTCGGGAGGGAGCCATTCATCGCAGCCCAGCAAGAGAGTGATAATCACCCATAATAGTAATTACTACACTTTGGCAACCGACTATTAACTTCAACCGCGCAGAAAATGGCCCAAAGGTCGGTGGAGATAGGGAAGCCCGCTAACGATGAACCGCCCTCGTGTCTGCTCGCGAGGCATACTCGTGTCCCCGCAGTGTAGCTTCTTAAGTTGGTTGCTAGTCCCTCTTTTTGATTCCGCTCGCGTCCAAGAAAGTTTTCCCCAAAGGACGCTTGCTGCTCGTCGCGTCATCCAACGGTGGCATGGTTTGCGCGAACTTTGACGTCATGCCCACTTTCACCCCCGTCCTGAATTGAAGCTTTTCCTCATTGTCATGCCTGGCGAGCGAGATGACACGAAGATAAGAGCAGAAAAAGGCAAAAGTAGACGTAAATAAAAGGTTGGCCATCCTTGCAACAAGCCAGGGCCGATTGTCCTAGACGTAATTCTTACCTCCAAGTAAAATTCTTTTCGTTAACCCGGCCCATCCACGCCAGAATACATCACTTCGACAGCCACCATGTCCATCGCCGCCCTCCGAAAGTCCCAACAGGACGACCTCTCGAAGCTCGCGCAAGACCACCTCCAGCACGATCTCACGGAAGGTGACCGTCAAGTGCTGAACAAGGCCGCCACCAGGGTCGGCGCGCCCACCACTCTCGGCTCACTTGTCGGCGTGGGTCTCGGCGTCTTCTTCGCGTACAGGTTGCGCCGGGGCCGCGTCGACATGTTCAACGCCTTCCGCGCCGCGCAGAAGCCTACCCAGGTCATGTTTGCCGACGGACGTACAGGTATGTCGAAAAAAAAAGTGCACCTGGGTGCACCTGGGTGCTGGCCCGCCCTGCTCATCATCATCGCTAACGCCAATCGCAGAGGTCATCCCCGATATCAGCAGCATCATGCGGCCCACGAGACTCGGCGATGCCTTTACCTATTTCTTCTGCGGGCTAGGCGGTCTGTTCCTTGGCGGTGAGGCGGGTTTCCTGACGGGCACTTGGTCGGCGACCAGGACAATCCACAAGAACCCCGAGAGCGAGAAGCGAATCGAGACCGCTTATCGGAAATTCAAGGCAGACTGCCTCCGGAGGGAGGCCAAGCTGTTAGAGTCTGGGGCTCCGGTGGCCTTTGCTTAGTCTCGTAGCCCATCGTGGTGAAATAATAATTTAATAAACTCGACCCGTCCGCAAAAATGGGTTGAAATTCAAAGCGTGAATAGGTCCCTTGATTCGTACAACTGACGTGATGCTATCCTGAGGATGTGAATGCATGGGGTTCCTTCGGGATACACGTATTGTCATGCGCGAATGTGCCATATAGTCGTACGAAAAAGCAAGCTCAGGCACAAAGAGCCCCCCGCCGCAATCCATTATCTCTTCAAGTCACGAGCTGTGCGAGCCCAACCAAAAGTAACGACGGAACGGTCTGGCAATCCCGGAGTAACTACGACTCTTGGCACCGAAGGGTCCCCCAAACCTGGTTGCATCGTGCCGTGCGGATCCGAGGCTCTAGAACACGAGAAATCGCAATAAAACCGCATCAACGTCTGAGTCCCGAGTGAAGAATTCCCTCGGTATTAGGGGAGGGTAAAGGGGTGGAGCTGGCATCTCTATCTGGAACTCTCCACCCGATCTTTCCCAAGCTGCTAGCCGACGTGGGGTGCTTGTCCCCTAATAATCCATCACTCAGTGTTCATCCCCAAGCCTCCCTCCCCCAAAAGTGAAACTGCATCTATCCAGGGCTGGCCAGGCACGGACCATTGATCGCATTGCATGAAAGATCCGTTCAATTAATCACATTATCAGATGGCACCGCCGAGAAAAGGGTTACCGAGGCTCGTATCTCGTCGATGGAATGTCGACCACAGAGTTGAGTCTCGCAGTCGCTCCATTGGGCTTTGGAAGCATTGCAAAAGTTCGTCTGCTCGGGGATAGCAACTGATGTGTGCATCGCGATAAGAAAAAAAGGCGCCCTGGTGGACCACTTCTCAGCCATCGCTGTCACACTGCAGCCGCCGCCAAAAATCCCAGGCGCATCGAATCATATCAATCTCTACATCAATTGAAGATCAATTGCTACCTTCCCACCACGACGAATCGCGCTCAGCAGCCACACTTCGCCCTACCAGCACACAATCTTGCCTGCGATTCCGGCCACCCGTGACTGTCTCTCCCCGCTCTCGCCCTCTCGGCAGTCTTCTCCGCATCACCAGCACCTGCAATGGTGGGTCTCCTCCCCCAGGAACCTTTTTCCCCCTTGGCAAAGACAGCGCGACGACAGAAAAGAAGGCGGAAGCATGGGCAAATTGTGTAGCAATCATCGTGCACTGATCATCTCCTCGATATCCCCAATTGGTCGAGTCCCGTGCTGTCCGCCGCTGGCGACATGGTCATTCCAGGAACGAAAGTCCCTAGTAGCGGCACTTCAATTTCCCGCCCAGGCTCGAGCAGGGTCTCCCGCCGCCAATCAAGGGGAGACCTGCAGCGCGGAAACCACCTCACGTTTTAAGCTCCATCGCCGATCTCCGCCCATTCACTCTCAGCACCCGAGCCCGAAGGGGGCCACAGCCCACGGTGCAACCTTCTCTTAACGACTAGCGCCGCCGCGGACCTTTGGGATCTTTTTTGTTTTTTCTTTCTTTTCTTCTCTATTCGCGAACCGGGACGCCGAATTCCTTGCTTATCTGCGTTATCTAAGACCTGGAGCATGGGCAAAGCAGGCATGCTGCCGCGGTAGTGTCACGCCTTGGCAAAGCGAAACCAGCGAAGGGTGCTATGTGATGCAGGCATGATGGCTACAACCAGCCAAGATTACCCCAGAGTTGGGTCCTTGCTTCCACCATCGTGGAAGCTTGGACATGTATAAAAGGACCGGGCAGGGCATATCATGGCCTCCTTTTCTTTTTGATCGATGCGCCCACCGTTCACTCGTTAGGATCATTTCCCGTCTTTGCCTGCAACAGCCCATCCCTCGGTAACAGCACTCGTCCACCTCCGTCCTCCGGTCTCATTCTTTTTCACAATGTTGTTCAAGAACCTATTTGTCGCCGCCTGCTCCGTGGCCGTTGGTGTCTCGGCCAGCGTCGCCCAGGTGAAGAAGGGCGCCTTCGGGTGCGGCACCGCCGAGCCCGATGCGGAGCACATCGGCATGGCCAAGGTCTTCGCGGCCCAGGAAGCGAGGGTTTCCGGCAACCTGACCGCCCGCGCGACGATCAACGTTGGCGTCTACTTCCACGTGGTTGCCTCCGGAACGACCGTCGCCAACGGTTACCTCACTGTAAGAGACAAGATCATCGCTCCACTCATCCTGGTGCAGAAAACCTAACACCCACTTCAGGACAAGATGCTTTCCGACCAGCTTGCCGTGCTGAACAAGGACTTTGCTCCCCACGGCGTCGCCTTCAACCTGCTCGGCACGGACAGGACGGTCAACTCGGGCTGGGCGCAGGACAGCAGCGAGCTCACCATGAAGCGGTCTCTCCGCAAGGGAACCTACAAGGACCTCAACGTCTACTTCCAGGTCACCCTTACCGAAGACTCCCTCGGCTATGCCTACCTCCCCACCTCCGTCACCAGCGGCAGCACCGCCTTCTACCGGGATGGCGTTTCCCTGAACGCCCAGACCGTCCCCGGCGGTTCCCTGACGGGCTACAACCTTGGCAAGACCGCAACCCACGAGGTTGGTCACTGGATGGGTCTCTACCACACTTTCCAGGGCGGCTGCACCGGCAACGGTGACTTTGTTGCCGATACCCCTGCCCAGGCCACCTTCAGCACGGGCTGCCCCATTGGTCGTGACTCGTGCCCCAGCCAGCCCGGCCTTGACCCCATCCATAACTACATGGACTACTCCGCCGAGTAAGTGTACCTCATGGACTTGACTTCATTTTATCCCTTAGTTCGACTTCTAACCATTTCCTCATTTCGTGTAGCTCTTGCTATGAGGAATTCACTGCCGGTCAGGAGACCCGCATGTACAGCTTCTGGAACACCTACAGGGCTTAAGTGGCCTTATTGAAGGGACTCTCAGCGTGGAGAACGGAGGCATTGTAAAATCTGCCTGTGGCTCGGGCTGTTGATTCTTTAGATCGTGATGTTTTGCGGCTAATTGTGGCTGCAAGAAGGGCTATCTACGGCTCTGAAGAGAGCGTAGGGCCCGACTTCTGGGCGGAAAGGGGGGCAGCAAGGGTTTTCACCCGCGCTATATTTATTTGTTAATACGTGTATCTACGATTCATATGTTTATATAAGACTATTTATGTTACAAACAACTCGGTGACTCAATATGATAGTGATGTATCCTGGCGCCCTGGTGTTGGTTTGTTTAGAAACCTGCTGCCTATATACGAGCGGTCGCTAATCCAACGTCTTCGCATGAGTGGGTGATAACAACATTGAACTTGATCTCTATCCGCTTATGGCATGTCTATTGTCGTTGTTGAGTTACCATTGCCACAGTAGGCACTAGAAAGCCGTTCCACCTATATGGGTCTTACCCTTCGAAAGGAGGCATGTCAGTTTGCTTGCCCCGTACTTTCGAGTAACACAAGCGGTAGGATCTAAAGGTTACCAACTATTGCGATTGGCGTGCACCACAGTGGGAGGCCTATCACTTTCTGGCTCACGAAAATCCAACCAAAGCTTGGCCGAAGACTCATCGTTAGTAGCGTGCCAATGGTTGTCGCATGGTTCTGTCTTTAGGCGTCCTTCCTACGATGCAACAGCTCGATATCTCTTTGAGGGTAGAGACACTACATGTAGATGATACAATTACACATCCCGTTACACAAAGGTTACTTACGGACAAGAGTGCAGCAAGAACACCGTCTCCTCGTACCCAACTCTTGTCACCTGCGTCATAGCTCAAGCTGACTCGCTCACCACCCAGCTGCTTCACCTATTCCCACTTTTCAGGGTCTCCAGATGCCGATGGGTCAAAACGGAGTCAATTCACAATAGACCAACTTTTAAAGAAGGGAACCCACCAAAATGGCTAAGCAATCTTCGTCAAGTGGAATGGGTCCACGAAATAATAGGACGCTAATGAGGGCCGTCGGCTTTGTGCTGTCGGTTTGCGTTGCAGCCAGGCACAGCAGCGAAAGACCAAAAAAATGACAAGCGGTGACGTCACGCATGCCAAATGTTCCGACTGGACACGGTTTTGTGGGGCGACGAGTCCAATTGAGCCACCATTCGATCAATTGATGCCGGGCTCACCCCACTTTGGTGCTGTCTTCCAGGGAGCGAGCGTGTCTTGCAGGCGGACCCGGCGATGAACCTGCTCTCCGGACCAAGGCGTCATCCAAGCGTCACGTCAGATGTGCCTTAGCCAGTTTGGCAGCTCGAATTGAGCAGGGCCCGAGGTAGCTTCGAGAGACTTGGGAAAGCTTTAAAATGTATTTTATTGCCCATCCACTAGTGTTCCTGTCCTCTACTGTTCTTCATCCCTTCAATTAATTAACATTTACCAATCCTCCTCCTCGCCCTTTCCACCCCCTTCGCTTGGTCACCTATTTTTTTCAAACTTATCTACCTCTCGATCACCACTACACGCCGCCATGTTCGCGAACCAAGCCGTACGCAATGCGCGTGCCCCCGCCACCAGGGTCGCCGGCCGCGTCCGCACCTGCAAACCCCGCCAGGTGCGATTCCAGTCTTCCACCTCGTCCAGCACCGCTGCCAAGGGTAGCTCGCACTTCGCGGCCGGCGCGGCCGGTGGTGTCGCCGCGGGCGCCGCCCTCTACGGAATCTACCTCATGACCCCCGCGGGAGGATGCAGAGCGCCATCAACAAGGGCGCGCGGGAGGCCTCGGCGAAATACCAAGAGGCGTCGAAGAAGCTGCAAAAGACGACGGCGGACGGGGACCAGGCGATCAAATTCATCAAGGAATACTGCTACTCGTACCTCGGCTGGATCCCCGGCGCGCGCCCCTTCATCGACTCCGCCTTCGAGGACATTGACCAGCTCCGCAAGGACCACGGTGACGAGGTGAACCAGATCGTCAGCGATGCCTATAAGCAGTTCCAGACCGTCTCCAAGGGAGGCTTGAGCATGGAGAGCGCGTCCGAGGCCGTCAAGATCCTCACCGACGTCTCCAAGAAGCTCGCCGACCTGGCGGGTGACGCCTTCTCCGACGTCCTCGACAATCATCCCGACGCCAAGGAAAAGCTCGGCGGCGGCGTCGACCAGCTGAAGAAGATGAGCGCAGAGTACGGCCCGGAGGCCAAGGAGCAGGTCGACAAGACGTTTAAGCAGGTCAAGGAGATTGTCGGGGGCGGCTTCACCGCGGCCAACCTCGACAAGGCTCGAAAGGTGCTGGAAGAAAAGGTGGAAGCGATGAAGAAGCTGGGCGACGATTCGTGGAACAAGGCCATGGAGCAGGCCAAGCCCCTTCTCGAGAAGAATGAAAAGGTCAAGTCGCTCATCGAGGACAACGTCGAGGCGCTGAAGCAGGGCAACGCAAAGGAGCTTTTCGAAAAGGCCAAGTCCGCCGTCGATTCCGACAACCTCGGCAACCTCGAAGACTACGTCAAGAAGGCCGTCGAGAAGACCAAGTCCAAGGGCTCCAAGGTGTCCGAGGGTCTGGGCCTTGACCAGTACTTCAAGCTGCTGCCCAGCGGCGGAGACGTCTTGTCCAAGGTGAACCAGCTGAAGGAGGTTGCCGAAAAGCACAAGGACGAAGGCGAGAAGCTGTTGAAGGAAACTATGGAAGAAGTGAAGCAGGTCCTAGAGAAGAAATCTGCCAAGGCTCAGGAGATTGTCGACAAGGCGAAGAAGGAGGCTAAATAAGTTTTTTCTTTCCCCTTTGTATGCATATCCGGCGGCATCTAGCATTGTATTTGTATAATCGTTTGTACTAAAATGGACCATGATTTACACGATATACCGCCCCACTGAGAATATGTACCCATGCTAGATTGACGCGCCATTTTTAATTACTGGGGGATTTTGACCACAATGCGACCGACAATTGAGCCCGTCTTCAGCTTCTCAAAAATGTCAGGGATATCCTCGAAATTGGCCACCTCGACAGCTGGCTTGATCTCCCCGTCACAGCATGGCCGAGGAGATCGCGCATCTGTTGCTCGGTACCGGTGGCGACCCCGGCGACGGTGAGGCCTAGGCAAGGTTAGCACCGCTTGAATATGTGAAAACGGGAGTGTTATAGTGGTATACTTACTTCGGGCAGAACATAAAGACGCGGACAAGGGTATCTCATAATCATTCCGGGGCAGTCCAATGGTCAGAATGGCTCCCATATTCCTCACCACGCGCGGCGCCACGGCAAACGCCTCCTCGGAAGCAGGCACCACCAGCGCCGCGGCCGCACCTTCGCCCTCCGTGATGGCCTTGACCCTTTCCTCGACATTCTCCTCCCTATAGTCCACAAAGTGGTCCGCGCCGCTCTCCAGGGAAAGTTTCCGTTTGGCCTCCCCGAATCCACGGCGATAACTCGGAGTTTGGCGAGGCGGCGCGCGATCTGGACCCCCAAATGACCTAATCCACCACCGGCCCCCAGCACAACGACCCAATCACCTGCCTCCAAATCACGGAGCTTGGAGACGGCGCCCGCCATGGTGAGCCCCGCGCAGAGCAGGGGCGCGGCAGTCTCGCTCGGCAAATCGGCAGGGATGGGCGTCACGTAGCGCGCGTCGGCCACGACGTACTGCTGGAGCGTGCCCGCGACGTGGCGGCCCGTGTTGATCTGGTTCGGGCAGTTGTTTTCGAAGCCCTTGCGGCAGATGGCGCATTCGCCGCAGGCGCTGTAGACCCATTTGACCCCGACTCTTTGGTGAAGGAAATCGTCTTGGACGCCGGGGCCGAGCTTGACGACGGTGCCGACGCCCTCGTGGCCGACGACTGTTTGATACGGGCCATAACCGTAGAGTGCCCGTAGCTCGGAGCCACTGTGAAACGAGAGAAAAAGATGCACTTGCATTAGATTGATTACAAACACGCCGGATCTCGGAGCCTATGTAAACGTACCAGATGCCTGTATATTCCAGTTTGACCAATATTTCATTTGGTCCCGGCTCGCTTATCGGGACATCCTTATGGATCCTGATGATGGCCTGCGGACCGGGATTTTCAATCAACGCGGCTTGCTGTACACGAGGGTTTGACATTTTGCGCAACGACGGTAAGTTTTAACGCGGACTAGAAACTAAGGGATGTTGGCCTCTACATGTGTGTGGTGACAAAAGTTATACTATTATACTTTTGGGGGAGAAGGATTTGGAGCAGGTTCGGCTTGTGGTTCGGCAACTGGGGCCCGCGTGTGTGACAACAGCGGACCATTGGTACAATGGATGCACACAGCATTGAATGACACAGTGGACATTGATAGGTAACTAGCCCAGCGCTAGAGCGCATCGATGGATCTGAAGGAATGGAGCACGTATATTCCAGCGACTACCAAACGAAGACCCCAAGGCAACCCCGGATACACTTTGATACACTCAACCCTCTCCTAGCAATTTCAGTTCTTTGCAAGACAGGCACGATGGGACATGAACGAAGCTGAGAGCTCGTTGGAAGATATTTAGTGGGGGCAAAATTAACTCCAATTGGGTATACAGCTGGAACGGAAAGAGGAAAGAAAGAATTACAAGTTAATGTGAATTAGAATTCGCGCTTCTCAACTCGGACCCAGAAATTTTCAATTGCCCAGATTCCCTAGAGTGGTGTTAGTGGCAAAATCTTATGTTCCCGGTTACGGCTGGTTCTCGGATAGAACGTCAATTCACTCACAAAGTTGGTGATGTCCGCAGGCTTGTGCGGATTCGCGATGGAAAAGTCGAATCGTCGTAGAAGCTACATTGGCCACTGTCAATATACACGGCACACACGGTTTTGCGAGTTGGAGGGTGTGCTTGCTGCTTACCTCGACGAAGATCTTGTTGAATTCCATCAAAGCGACGGGCCTTCCGATGCACTGATATTTGCCATAGTGGAAGACGAGGTCGACCGTGCTGCTCATCACGGCCAGCCTCTCCTTGTCCGGTTCCTCGATCCAGCGCTCGGGACGGAAGATTTCCGCGTCTTCCCCAAAGGTTTTCTTGGATCTGTGGATGCCGAGCGGCGAGGAGCCGATCTGGGTCCCGCCCGGAACGAAAAACCCGTGGATGGTGTCCCCCTCGGGAGGCACCTGCTTGAAAAATGGCCCAGACGCCGGGGGTTCAGACGTAGGGTCTCCTTGACGACAGCTTGGAGATAGGGCAGCTCTTTTCCTTCCGAGTTCTTGATCGGTGTCGATATCTTGCCGGACGCGATGCCGTCGTCAATCTCTTTCTGAAGTCTGCGGTAGGCTCTCGGTGTCGTGAGGAGGTAGAGAAGCACCATTCGAATGGTCGTGGCGGAAGTGTCGCTCCCCGCCATTACCTGCAAGAGGGCCTCGCCCGAGGCCTCTTCCTGGGTCAATCCATGGCGGATGAATGAGCCCAACATGTCGAATTGATTCTCAGCGCCCGGCTGAAACCGAGCTGCCACTGCCTTGTTTGTTACACTGGCGAAGACGAGAGTTAGCAAAGGATCTCTCAGAAAATGTAGCCACCACGGACTACTCGCTGCTCTGCGTACCCGATGAAAGCGCCGAAGCCGAACTTGTCACTAGCCTGGGGAAACAAGCCTCGAAAGGGGCCCGAGTGCAGCAAATCTGCCAGCCAATACTGATGACACAGGACAATCATGAAGGGAATGAACCCCTTGGTGATCTTGATATAGTCGTACACATCGTCGTCTTTTTCCAGAAAACCAAATGCTTCGCCAAAAGCGAGGTCGCTGATGACGTCGAGCGTGAAGAACTGGCCCTTCTGACCCATGTCCATCGGCCGATAAGTACCGTCGCGAGATATGTATTTCGTTTCGATAAGCTCCATAAGCTTGGCGATCTGCAAGTCGATTGTGCTTTCCATCGACAGATTCTCTTTTCCAGAGTACTAGGACGATTCCGACGCTTCCTTAGCCTATGGCCCGGATTTCAAAGTGGGGGTAAAAAATAGGACAAGACCTACACCAGCAGCCATTTTCGAACGCAGATCGCGGTGCTTTTCCTCATCTCTCATGGAAAACAGATTATCTCGTGCGGGATCCAGTTTCTGCACCCCGTGCCCTAGAAAAATCGATTAGACCCTAGGTCCCAACTCGCGAAATATCGCGCCCGTCCTGAGGCACTCACATGGGCCCCGTATATATGGGGATCGGACGGCCATCATCCTTCGAATGATTTCGGGATCGTCTGTGATTAGGTCATTTGGTCCCACGCGGACGAGGGAGCCTACATGTAGCCACCATTGTCAGTGTCGAGCTGCTTTGGTGTGACAGGTCGGCTCGGGCTCACCGTAAGTATCGGTCGACTGCTTGTAAACGTAGGGGGCTACACCATCAAGGGTCGCCTTCATGATCCAATAACTCGAGATGCCCGCCCAAAAGGGACCTGGGATATGCGACAAGCGGTACCATCGATAGGCGACGTGGAGAGAACGGAGAGCTATGAGGGAGCCGAGGAACGTGCCAAGTGCCGTGAGTTTGGACACTCCCAAGCGACGCAGACGATGCTGCTTCCCCGAGGGCCGAAATGATCGACTGAAGCTGGTTATACATCTTTTTCCGATTGCGGTCGCTGCCTCCATTCAGCAGCTCGCGAAGGGACAAGAAAAGGGTCTTGAAAAGACGGAGTGCGTGGGCTGAATCGCTTTAAGAGGTAAAGCTAGAGAGGGGGGCAGACTTGGAGAGGTGGTGTCTTTGGCCCACGTCCATGGGCCAGCCATGACCATTCGAGCACGGCGATTGGGCCACCGCCACCCCCTTGTCGACCGGGGAGCACGGATAGGGACTTTTCGCCAAGATGAGGCACATGAAGAATTGGGACCAGAGCATGGGGTGTGTCGGGCGCGGGCCAATTTTCCTCCACGTGCTGAAATATCAGCGGCGGTAGACCGACGTGTACCCTATAAACTCCCCATCCCCTTCGTAGTGCGCTATCGTTAGAGTACCAGTCCTGATAGTCCCCGGGGATCAAGTTCCCCGTGGGAATTCTCATCAGTCATATCTTCTGCGCCATTTTTTTCGGGCCAGTGATCTTCGCTTGGCTGTCCATCGCTCGACGCCCCCAAATAACCTAATCCCCAGGATCCAGGGCGAAGCCTGTTTAGATTTCGCGCTAGTCGCACGCCATTCAGTACGCTACAGATAAGCTCGCGCGGGACAGCGAAACCGTTGCTGGCTTCTCCCCGGCTAGGGAGAATTTTAACCTCAGCGTACAGATACAAGTACGAGGCAAATTCCAGGCTGCGTTCGTTCGCGCAACACCATTGGATTTGGCCAAGCTTTCGAAGGATTAATTTGAAGTGGAGAGCTCCCATTTAAGCCTCTACTTGAAGGAGCGGGATGTATCCGCGTCACCGGGTTAGCCAGCTGGGGTTAGCACAGGATTCTGATTGATCCCTCTGCTTGAGTGGTGGAGGGTAGAAGGAGCACAAGTGGCCTGATGCAGAGTGGCTGGCCCACGAATTCTTGTTCGCCAGCGCCACAATACCCCAGCCATCCCCTTCAAAAAAAAGGCCTCAGCGGCCAGCATCGCGAAATCTGGTTACGCTTCTCAGGGAACCCGGACGCTGCAGATGAACTATTAGCACGTTCTAGACTACCACGTTCTTGACTAGTACCCTCGTCATCGGAGAAAGGGTCGGTCGGATCGATCTATTTCTTTTTCTCACCTCTCAAAACTCGTCGTCGCCGCCATGCTACCGATTTTCTCCGGCGCGGCGCTGGCCTTCCTCGGCCTCGCTCCCCAGACCCTCCTTGATCAGGTTTTCTCGCTTCTTCCCACGAGCCTGGTCCAGCGCTCCGGGCTGACAAGCCTCCATGATTTTCAAACACCGCTGACTATTCTGTTTGGCCTCGGATTGATCAGAGTGGCGAACAGGGCGGCCAGCGCTGCGCGCTCAACAATTGGCGTCTGACGGGCCACCCGGGCTGGGAATGGGAGAAGGAGGTCGCCGTGGTGACTGGCGGCTGCAGCGGTATCGGCAAAGAGGTTGTCCTTGGCCTTGTCGCAAACGGCGTGCGCGTCGCCATCCTCGATGTGCAGCCGCTTCCCAAAGACCTCGAGGCAATTGATGCAGTGCACTACTGGGCCTGCGACATCTCGTCGCCGGCTGCCGTAAAGGCCGCGGCCGATGAAATTCGATCCACGCTCGGCAACCCGTCTATTCTCATCAACAACGCAGGCATGGCATTCAAGGACACGATCCTGGATGCCTCGCCCGATCGCATCCAGAAGATCGTCTCCGTGAACCTCGTCGCCCTCTGGTGGACCACGCGCGAGTTCTTGCCCGCCATGATCACCGCGAACAAGGGCCACATATTCACCGTTGCGAGCATGGCCTCGTACGTCGCGATGCCCATGTCCGCCCACTACGCGGCCACCAAGTCCGGCGCCCTGTCCTTCCACGAAGCGCTCCGGAGCGAGATCAAGCATATGTACAAGGCGCCGGGCGTGCTGACCACGGCCGTGCACCCCATGTGGGTCAAGACCGACATGACGGCGCCCCATGCGGAGGATATCGAGAGGCATCATGGCCCCATGATGATGGCCTCGGACATTGCGAACCCTATCGTGAAACAGGTGCTGGACCGCCGTGGTGGGCACCTTCTTATCCCGGGGTCTGGAGGGTTGGCTTCCGGTTTCCGAGGGTTTCCCAGCTGGTTGCAGGAAGCGATTCTGGACAGAATCGGGAAAAATACGGCGGCCTTCAAAGGCTCATAGCAGACTGCGCCACCAAACAACTGATCGGCTGCGAGAAAGACCACGCTACCCAGTGGCCGACCGTCCCTCGACAGCGGTCGAGGGGGCGCCTTCCATACGCCGCAGGCCGTTTCCCTGCTCTATTGCATTGATGCATCGAGGCCCGCGTCAGTTGTATGGCAGAGCAAAGGTTACGGTCAACGCGCTGTCTGGGAAACGGCACAACACTGAAAGTAAGAGGTTGGGCCTTATCCCCTGTTTTGTGCCGCGCGAGAACGACGGAGTAAACCAGTGTTGACTCCAGAGAGTCAAAGGCACGGCGATTTGTTACGATATCAGGATACGGTGCATAACCCTAGAGATAGCCATAGATCCCCTTCAACTCAATATTTCCAATTCATTACTTCTCTTCAGGCTTTTGTCCATAAACGAGTGTCCTAGGTCGAGTTAGTTCCGCTTGCGAGGTCAGGTCAGATTGCCGATGGAGGGCTATTCAACTAACACTTCAAAATACGGGTGGGACCGCTGATCCCGAAGAGCCTGCTGCATCTGTGAGATCAAAAGCTGGCATTCTTCATACCGCCAGCCCAGGACTTGCGTCAAGATGAGGAGTGAAAACCCTTCAAGCCCTTCCTCCACGAAATGGAGCACAAGAAATCCAATTTGCTTGAGCGTCGGGTCCCGACAGCAGGCACCCATGGGGAGCCTGAATTTACGCTCAACACCGTCCACGAACCCTGCTTTGGCCATGGTGTCTCCCATCCGGGAGCCGATGCCAATCTTGAGCGTCTTGCCCATTCTTTCCCCAGCATCCAAGAAAATCTGATTCCACCGGTTAAAGACGTGGTTGGGGTCATTTGCGATTTCCTCCACGTCCGTATGCGTGCGGATATCGAATTCCTGATCCTCAAACCAACCTCTGGGCTTCAAGTGGTGGAATATCTTCTTGTATAGAACGGACCAGTCGTCGATACTACCGTACATGTCCCGTACATGGATGTAGTCAAAAGGTCCTTTGGCCAGGTCCATGGGAGCTAAACGTCGTCGACTTGGAACTCGCAATTGGGAGGAATAAAGGACGGTTGGATGGGCGATATATCTGTGCCAATCGCCTTTGCCTCCGGATATTGGTCGGCAAAGTCACTAAGCGCACGCGCTGTTAGTCCCGACGTACTCGACGGCTCACATACATGGCCCATATGCCTGTTCCCGTCCCAACATCCAAAACCTTCCGAGAATGGGTTATTGATTAGTTGCGGCGTTGACCTCTTGAGTGTAAAGCAAGGTACTTAACCTGGGGGTTGGCTCCTATAGGCGCCAGGAACAGCTTGTTGTCATGATACATGAGCAAGTAATGGTGACTACAAGTTTAGTCAGAGGCAAGAAGACATATTGACTCCAGAGGTAGTGCAACGGGGGCGGGGAGATAGAAAAATTGGTGCTTCATACGTCAAATCTAGACCTTCATTCAGTCGTCGTTCATCACTCGGGCCCCTAAGAGTGACCGTTAATTTAAAACATATGCAATCTACCTTTCGCGCCGAAAACCGCGACTGAGGGGGTGGTTTGTTTCCCACTCCTCTTTATGTAGTCTTGCCATTGAACGAAAAAAGGACTTTTGTCTGTGAATGTGCCCCGAGTTGAGGGCGCCTACCAGTACTTAGTCGTTTTAGAATTGCCCTCAGTACGGCCATGGATGTCTCGGTAATCGCGGATGGTGCTGGTCAACGATGCTGCAGAGCCAGGACCATGCCTAGATGTATAGTCCCGTCAGATCAAATCTCTGGTACCGGCTACGGGGACGTGCCGGTGCGATTTACCCGAGAACCGAGCCGCCTTCGTTGTCTGTGTTGTTGAAATCCGGGTCCTGCGATTGCCAATCGATATTGACCGTCAACCTCGTACGAGAGTCGAGCCTGGGTGAGATTGCCGAGCGTGTACGCAAGGACTTACAGCGGCAATTGGCGCCGACACTGTCGCTGTCTCGTTTCGTCGCAACGACTCCTGGCCCGTCATTTCCAAGTCAAGGGTTTAAGGTGGTATTTTCCTTTTTACTTCCTCTTCCTCTGTATTGTGTTCTTGTCATTCCATGTGCACTAGTCGAGAGTTGAGGAGAGTGCTAAACCGCACAAAGATCTTAATCCAATAGCATAGGGAATGGACCGAGGGTATACACGACCAGCGAGTCTAGGTTGGCCGACTTTGGTCCCTCCCGCCATATGGTGATCCCCGCTTACCGTGCTCGCGCTGCCAACTTGCGAAGAGTGACGGAAGCGCAGCGCGGAAGGCAGAAAGGCAAGCACGCAGCGTGAAGAGGGAGCTGCATTATGCGGTTGTTAGGTCTGTCCAGGCTAGAAATTTCTCTTATTGGACACGACGCCCACCAAACCCCGCGGAGGAGTGATTTGGCATGCGCAAAGAGGATGTAAGATTTGATGAGACTGCAAAAGAGCATACGATGCACACTGTCACCGTCATTCTCCGTTGACTACATGTACCGTGGGCTTGGTTGTACGTGTGGGAGAGACTTCGACCTACGAATAGACCACTGGGCCCACACTATCAGGTGCGCGACACTCTTTGTCAGTCTACGAGTGCAGCATCATAGCCCGGACAATAGTTGGGTAAGAATCATCCAGGCCGTAACAGAAGAAATGGAAACAGAAAACCGTAGTGAGGTGGAAATGGCTCGTTGCAATTGAATATTTTAAGAGGCCAGATCTTTTCCAAGTCACATCATCATCGTCCGCCAATGGGGTTAACTCCCCGATTGATGTAATTCGGCCGCGATCGTCGGCCTATCGTCCTCGTATGAAACCACGCGCTCCACTGAGAGTGACAGCTAGGGCGAGGGAAGAGCAATAGGATGAGAGACTAGCTAAACAAGGCACACCTTGGCGACAGTGGCCGGGAGATTTGAATGTCAATGGCGATGTGCATCGCGATTCAATCTAGATTTTGCCTCGAATAAAAACCTAGGCCTTCTTTGCTACTGCCGTCGGCCGCAGACTTGGCTACTTGTGCTGAAAGTCGGGGGCCCGCTTCTGAAGAAACGCATTTTGGCCTTCCTTGAAATCCGCAAATCCAAAGGTAGCATAGTAGAGCGATTTTTCCGCCGTCATCCCAGCATCAAGGTGGCTATTCTCAACTAATCATTTTGTCAGCACTTACAGATCAACAACACCCCCCTCTCTCCCACCTCGCGCCTAACCGAAACAGGAAGATGTGATTGAACACGCAAAAGTCGAGATATCAAGGGGACAAAGCAGAGTAGAGGTAGGTCGGGGGCGAGTTACCTGTGAGGACGGCCTGCTTGGCAATTTTCACAATGGGCCCCGAGTTACGAGCAATTTGCTCCGCAAGCTTAGTAGCGGCGGGGAGCACATCCTGACGAGGAAGAGCTTTGTTCACGACGCCGAGCCGTTCAAACTCGGCTCCGGTAATGGGATTACCGGTAAGGATGAACTCCATGGCCTAACGGTATTGTCAGCGCCAGTAATAACGGGATAAAATCAATGTCGTTTCACGTCTGGGATGGTCCAACCCAAGACGAGGCGTAATTTCATCCATCTTCAGTAGATTGCAGCTCGTTTTGCTTGTGGACTTTTGCTCACCTTGTGTTTGCCCAGCGCGCGGGCCAGCCGTTGGGTGCCCCCGGCTCCGGGAATCGTGCCAATCTTGATCTCGGGGAGACCAAATGTTGCATCTTCGGCCGCATAGATCATGTCGCACTATGGATGAGCACGATTGCATCAGTGGACAAAAGTCACGGTCAAGAGGCCGATAGGGTCTTTGGGGGTTCATTGTTACCGCAAGGGCGATCTCACACCCTCCGAGCTAAAAAGAGATAGATCAATACGACGGTCAGGATCAACAGCCTTCGGTTTAGGGAGAGAAGGGCGGGGGCGCTGGTGGAGACTCGGAGATTGGGCAAGAGTGACATACTGCGAAGCCGACAACGGCGGCGATGACGGGCTTGGAAAATCGAGCAAAGGCATCGGTCAGATCTTTGAGGAAGGCCCGTTGGTGCGCATCGGCGGTGGTGATCTGAACTAGCTCATTCAGATCCATTCCGGCTGCGCGACGGGAAGACGGGAGGTTAGATTAGCTCGAACAGGCACGGGGCCGCCGTATTGGTCTATCGGGGCAATGGAGTGACATGAAGGATTTCTCCGAGCGGGGGCGCCCTTTCCCCGCAAGACGCTTGCTTTTTTGCACTCTTTTGTTTGGAAGCGAACTCGATGACAGCCATCTGGCATTGCTAGATTGAAGAGAACGGGGAGGGGAGGAGAAGGGGGTGGAAGGGCATACCGCAAAAAGGCCCGTCGGGAGCGCCGGTAATGATGACGGCTCGGATAGTGTCTTCGACGTCGAGGTGTGCGAGAGTGGCGACCATTTCCTGTATCATGGCCTGAGAGAATGCATTGCGTTTGGCAGGCCGGTGGAGGACGACCAGGGCAACGCCTGTGGAAGGGTCGAGTGTAACCTTGAGGTTCTGCAGAGCATCCATGTTAGGAAATTAGGACCGGATCGGGCCAACTCGTGGAAATGCTTTTCTGTAGGTTGCAATGCCTGTCGATAGTGTTTGGGGAAGGGGGACAAGTTGGATGTTTAAGTGGCCGTTGCGGGAGTTGTAGCAGGAGTCCATTTCGGCTGGTGGTAGTCGAGAAATTGGGCTCCAGGCAAAGGCGTGCATCACATGCGGAGGCGCGGATGACAGTGGCTGGCTCTGTGTGGTGGAAATCGGCCTCTGTATGTCCGGCGAGCCCATCCAAGTGGATTGAACGGATCCTGGTTCGACTCAACCACGGACCACTGCACGCGGGGCCTGCCCCTGAGGTGCCACACAGCACCTGCGCGGACTAGTCCCAAGTGGAAATTCATGGCTCGCCTCCGCGGTCGGTCCACTGATCGTTCTTGTTGCAGCGGATGTGACGAGCCAAGAAAACACAAACTCGTACAGCGTATTGAAGTTGCAATGTCTCCCTTCGTGCTATAAGCTAACTAATAGACAACGCGATGCGGAATAATTGTAAAGAGTGAAGAAGCGGGGAAACCAGAACAATTCGGGTGAGCGCGGCCGATGGGATAAGGATGATGGTAATGAGTGGTGATGTTGATGATGATGATGATGGTGCCACATATTGATTGGGAAGGAGGGCAAGGGAGGGGACAGGGGGCGCGGTTACTCTTTCCCCTCTTCCGGGCTGTCCCTGCGATTCTTAATTCTTGGGCCGCTGACGAGATGCTCAATGAGAACCAAGTCCCCTTCCCTTTCCCCTCCCAGGCAGCCCGGCCGAGGTGGCAGCGCAGGGAAAGTCGGGCTCGGCAGTCGGCCTGTGACGTGGGTGACTTGTAGCCAGTAAAATGTCGACTTCCGCCCCTCCCCCTTCCTGGAGATGCAAGGGCCCTGCCGGTGCAAGCACTTTGTCAAGTTGATCCCCTTTTTTCTCTTTCTTGTTCTTTGTCTTCTTCACCCCAGGGCCCCCGATCGGTTCCTCCTACCTCTTTGTCCGAGAAAAGGCAGGATCTTCGCGCAAAACTCGTGGGACCAGGTTTGCCGCCGTTGAATAAGGCTGAATTTGAAGACCGCAGCCATGCCAGTTGGGAGGAGGAAACACATCCACCTAGGCGAAATTCCGGCCACGCGCTGATTTGGCGAGTTATGCGAAAAGGGTACGGGGAGGTGGGTTACACGAACCCGTGCCGCTACCTGCACATCACACCCGAGCAGAGAGGCCTTGTCGCCGTCGATTGAAGCATTGCGAACGTGAAGAAGATGATGGCCTTGATACAAAGGTACAGAGGTATGCCAGGAGGAGAATAATAGCACAAAGTCACTCGTGTCCACGGCAGGCCCATCATTGTCGGGCGGAAACCGATCTCGCTCCGTGGTCGAATGCGCTCACGGAGATGAGCTAGCTAGCAGATGGACCGAACGGGGAGATGGCAATACTACAAGGAGATGTCGAGAGGGAAAACTCACCAAGGTGGCAGCCAGACCACGGACAAACCTCACGGCACGGCGATCCTGAGACCCGCTAGTTCCTCAATCGAAGGGTACGTCGCACTGGACGGCGCCGAAAGGATCTGCTCGAGGGCGATCTCACAAGGCTTCATTTCGGCCGAGACAACGCTCAAAGAAGCAAGGCAAAACCGGGAAAACTAGACATGGAACAAAAGTTCCAGGTTCAAGGCGGAAGGAGGATGGCGGCTGCCACCTAACCCCACATTCTTGAATTTCAGTGCCCTCAAAAGTAATACGAAGCATAGTGGTGGAATGTGCTCAATATGAGGCGACGAGTAAAGTAATCCCTTATCAATCACCAAACGTGGGTTGTACTCGGGCGTTGGTATCAGAAAGGGGTGAAGCAGAAGCGGGCATTGGCCTTGTATCGGGAGTGCAAAGCGAAAAAAAAAAAAAAGGTGCCTGCGCATAATAATACATGGAACAGCTAATACATATCCATTGAAGACAAATGCTGGAGAACGCCACATTTAGGGGACCATACTTATTACGCTTTACCCCCAGGACGTGGCCAGCTTTCTGGTTCGGACAGCGCCACTGATATTAACGGCTTTTCCTTGTCTTCCTCTCTTTCTGGTTAGGGAGTTAATGAACAGAGCGTTAGTTTGGGCATTTTGCCTCGACGAAGCTTCAAGTTTGGCGGGAGGAATTGAAGATATGGGTCCACTGACCGGGATTGGGTGGTGGGTGGGAGAGTGGTCAATTAACAAAAGTCTGGTTCCGGCAATCTCGGGCCAGATTTATTGACATCGGAGTTGCGGGACCACCAATGGCGTAGTATCAAACCCTTTATCGAGCGTTCCATCGCAGTTGGCGAAAAAGCCCAGACCTCGGTATGCTCGTGTCTGGAAAAGCCTTGCGTACCATTCGACGCAGGGGACGTCGGGCATTGGCTCGACTATCGCACAAGAACGGCAGTAGACGATACAATACAAGATGGGCGTATCATTTTTTTCCCTTTTGTTTGTTTCTGTGTGGAGTGGAACGTGCAGCCTTGGTTACGATGTTCTCGTCCCACTGGGTTTCCCCAAGCCCGCTGGAGGGGCGTGTTGGCAAGCCGGCGCACAAAGGGCATAGAGGTGAAGATTTCGCCGGTATGGCGGGTCTTTCGCGGGGGGCGTGCAGCCCTGCCCCATGGTCGACCGCGCCAGAGACGACGGTGGCCTCCTCCCCTGAGCCATAGATGGGCTTATGATGGGAGCGTGGTGTGTGGGGACGCAGCGTCGCCTCCAACATATATATCTATATATACAGAGCTCGCTGGACCAGACTCGACCGCGAAGCGTGGTAGGAAACGGTGCTTGGAGGCTTCTCTCTCGCCCACTCACCACTTTCTCCCCCGCACCAACCGACCCGACTCAACCTTGGCGTGTGCTGATTATGCGCCCATATCTTCGCCATGGATTCCCCGACCGCTTCTTCGTTTTGTAACTTGGAGTCCCTGCCGCCCTCACAGCAAGACCTCTTCAACAGGTTCAGCCGTGGCGAGAGTGTTCCCATCCCCTTCCAGATAGTTCACCATGCCTTCGAGGCCGTCGCGTCGGCACACCCCGCCGTCGTTGCCCTCCGGCAGAGCGATGGAGCGACCCTAACGTACGGAGAGCTCGACAGCAGAGCGAACCGCTTGGCCAACGAGCTCAGAGACTCGTATGGGTTTACGAGAGGAGATCGCGCCGTGCTAGTGTACTCGATGCATAGAAATGGTGGTCTTCATCCTGGCAGTACTCAAGGCGGGCGGTCAATATATTCCGTTGGACGGCGGCATCATCCCAGAAGAACAACTCGCTTACACCCTCTCAGACTCCGAGGCCCGTGTCGTCCTCCTCCTTCCACAGTTCCAGCCCAAGGTTCAGCGGAGCATGGTCAAGAGCGCGCGGACCGGGGTGGCGATGATCGCGCTTGATAGAGATAGCCGCCTGTGGGAGGCGGGAAACCCGGCCCGGCCCAATGTAGACGTTAGCCCGGATGACGGCGTGTATGTGATTTACACGTCGGGAACAACCGGACGACCCAAGGGTGTGGACGTACGGCACCGCGGTGTCACTAATACGTTACTAGCTGAGCCATCAAGGCTTGGCATCGGTGTCGGCTCTCAGGTTGCCCAGCAGCTCAATGTCGGGTTCGATATGGGTAAGTCATGGTCCCCTCCTCAGAGGCCTCTTCCATAAATGCACGTCACGCAGCGCGCACGCATCTAACGTCTCCTTCCAGGCGCCTGGGAAATCCTCGGCACCATGATGAACGGCGGAACCCTTCATATTCGCGGAAGCGGCGACAAACTCTGGAGGGAGTGCCTCCAGAGGGTGGACACGGTGATTGGTACGCCCTCGGTAATCCTGAAGCAGATGGTGCGGCGCGAGGACTTCCCCAACATCAAGACGATTGCGGTCGGCGGAGAACCCTGCCCGCTGGCGCTCGCCGAAAAGTGGGCGCCGCACGTCAACTTTTGGAACGTGTGCGGGCCTACCGAGGTGAGTATCCTCAACACGGCACACCTCCACAGCGTCGGCAAGACCTTGTCGATAGGCAAACCGAACCCCAACACAAACGTGTACATTCTCGACGAGAACGAGAATCCGACCCCGATAGGAGAGCCCGGGGTCATGTGGGTTGGAGGGCCCGGGGTATCCCGAGGCTATCTGAACCTAGCCGATCTCACGGCATCACGCTACAAACACGACAAGTTCGCCGAGGATGGGTACGTGTAGTCCGCATCGCTTCCTTGTTACCTGAAGAGCCCGCCACTAACATTACCCCCACGCATAATAGGCGAATGATGTTTAACACGGGCGATCTTGCGCGCTGGCTCGAAGACGGCAGCCTCGAGCCTCTCGGCCGGCAGGATGACCAAGTCAAGATCCTCGGCTTCCGCGTCGAGCTGGACGGCGTCTCGAGAGCTATCGAGAAGTGCAAGACCGTGACCAAGGCGTGCGCGCTCAGCATCGATGACGAGCTCTGGGGGTTTTACTCCGCACCGGAGCCCGTGGACGAAGATATCCTCAAGGCGACGGTAGGCCAGAGCCTGCCGTACTACGCCACGCCCAAAATCTGGCGCCATCTCCCGGTCATACACCTCACCGCCAACGGAAAGGTGGATAAGGCGGCACTGCGGGAGACGGCAGCCCGGGGATCGCAGCTGATCCGCAGCCGCGCCAGCTCCCCCACCCTGATGACGAGGAACTCCCAGCCCTTCTCCATGTTCTCGGCGACGGGCGAGATTCACTCCGTCTGCACACTCGTCGGCTCGAGCAGCGACAGCAGCAAGGAGCAGGATACTTCCCCAGACTACGTCCTCCCCGGGAAGAATGGTTTCCGCGGGTGGAGATGGCTCCGTCACCGCGGCATGTCGGCTTACCGCAAGCTATTCGGCGTCATTTTCCTGACGAACCTAGCCGTCTTCATCTGCCTCTTGTGGCAGAGCCGGACCAATCGCTTCATCCTCCCGCTCCCGGACCTGGCGACCGTCGTGGCCGCCAACCTCTTGGGTGCCGTGATCCTCCGCCAGGACTACGTGGTCAACCTCATCTTCTGGACCTGCTGCAGGGTCCCGACGTGGTTCCCGCTGTGGCTGCGGAGGCATTTTGCCAGGGTATACCACAACGGCGGCGTGCACTCGGGTTGCGCCGTGTCGGCGTCCATCTGGTGGGTTATCTTCACCGCGGCCGCCACGCGGAGCTACTTTGGAAAGACACGCCGTTTTCGCTCGACCTCGTCACCCTCGTCTTGACGTATATTATTATGCTGCTTCTGCTCTCCATCCTCCTCATGGCCTTCCCCGCAATTCGGCTCAAGATGCACGATCAGTTCGAGTGGACGCACCGTTTCGCGGGCTGGACCGCGCTCGGCCTGGTGTGGGCGCACGTCGTCCTCTCGGCCAACTCGGCGTCCACGCCGGAGAAGCCCTTGGCCAAGACCCTTGCCGCGACGCCTGCCATCTACATGGTGGCCGTTACCACGCTGAGCATCGCGCTTCCGTGGATGCGTCTGCGCCGCGTCAAAGTTGTCCCGGAGCCGCTATCCAGCCACGCTGTCCGTCTACATTTCGACTTTTACACGCCTCCTCCGTGCACCTCTCGGGGATACGCATCACCGATAGGCCGTTGGTGGAGTGGCACGCCTTTGCAGCCATCCCGGAGCCCGACGGCAAAGGATTCAGCATCGTGGTCTCCAAGGCTGGAGACTGGACCAAGAAGATTATCCAAAACCCACCCACCTCCATCTGACGCGCGGGCACCCGGTCTCGGGTGTGCTGGCAATCGCGCCGCTGTTCAAGAAAATTGTGCTCGTCGCGACCGGGTCCGGAATCGGGCCGTGTATCCCCGTCATCGTGGAGCGTCGGGTGCCCGTTCGGATCCTCTGGAGCACAAGGAACCCGCTCAAGACGTACGGGCAAAGATTATCGACACGATTCTTGCGGCAGACCCCGACGCCCTCATTTGGGATACAGATGTCCGGGGACGGCCCGATCTCGTGAACTTGGCCTATCCGCTTTACAGGGAGAGCAATGCCGAATGCGTTTGCATCATCTCCAATGGCCCGGCGACGAGCAGGTTCGTTTACCGAATGGAAAGCCGAGGAATTCCGGCCTTTGGGCCTATTTGGGACTCGTAAGAAGACCTTATTACAACAGTGGGGAGGACGATCCCGTTACGGTAAACCTGTATACCTTTGGCCGGATCATGTAAATTCTTTTACGACAGCTCTACAGTGGCAGAGCAAGTGGTGACTGCCAACCACGCTGCCTTTGCTCGGTTTCTACTATTACATATGACATGTTCTGGGAGGACGGTACCATCCATGAATGCCCCGCTTACACTTAATATTCGCAGGCGGCAGTGGTAATGAATGATGCGGATACGACACGATATAGCCTCTGCGCAAGGTATTTATTCTAGTCTGTAGCTCTTGTATATAGTGCTTATTGGATATGAAAACATTGAAGTCTCCAAGTGGCCTTGTTTTGGCCCGACAATGAATTTGACGCTTTCTACTACCTCAGTACCAAAAGACTGCTCAGCTCGTACAGCCGTGACTTTTCTTCTGTTGGGTCTAGATCGCCAGGGTGGTGCATCCAGCCCCGAGGATTCATAGGTCGTGGCTGTTCGGAACGCAATTCAATGGATCATCCTCCAATCTAGACCTAGACGCAGCTCTCCCTCAACGCCACGACCTTGTTCCGAGCCGGGCGAAAGAAGCAAGGTTTGAAGCCCCGTAAAATGCAGTAGAAAGTAATAAAGAAAAGTGAAAAGTAAAAAAAAAGAAAAAGCAACATAGAAGCGAGAGGGCGGAAAGGTATTGCTCAACGTTCCTTTACCATGTCCGTGGCGGCAGCACACAAGCGTTGCCTGCCCCGTGCCGAGGCGACTGGCGGGGCATCACCTCCGCTCAGGGCGAAGAGCGCTATCATAGTATTCACCAGGGCGAATTGAGGCTTATATCCTTGCACACAGAATCGGGGAACCGTAGTCGAGTTAATAGAGTGCAACGGCCAAGCTGTAGTGTACAGCGGGCCGACACCAGCGCCACGACGTCCCCGGCATCTAGTGGTAGCGGCTTTTTTCCCCTTCTCCGTCCCTTGACTAATAGCATCAATTTGACCAACCCCTGGGAGTCGGTGAAGGGCAAGAGAGCAACTGGACCATGCGTCTACTGCAGCGTGGGGTGGGGTAGGAATGGTTTCAACGTCGCACCGGGCTTAACCAGCTGCTGTATTGTGCATCGCCGAGCACAGGGTTCAAACGCCGTTTAACTACACTACATGGGGTATGACGGGGGCTGAGGTCCAAGGGAAAGCGAGCACCACGCCTTCCACATGCCTGCTTGAGCCATTGCTCGTTTTTTTGTCTTGTCTTCATCTTCTCGCAAACCAATGCTTGTTCTTTTATCCGAACATTGGACTCTCTTTACGAGCGGCAGCCACCTCTCCTGTGTTACACCTAGAGGACCGGGAAATCTCGACCCTGCTCCCCGCGCTCAGCGGATGATGGACAGGGTTCAAACTGGAGAAGGGTTTGTTGCTTTTTTGCTTCCTGCTGAATCCCTTTCGGCCAGCTCACCTGAACACCTGAAGGAAGGGGCATGGGGAGCCTGGACGTGATAGCGAGGCTGTGGATTACGCGGCGAAAATGAAAGTCCGAGGCGAATGTGAGAGTTGATTGCCAGGCACCCTTTTTTATTTTTTGCCGACTCTTTTTCTTTGTTTTCAGAACCCCCGGCTCAACGAGGTGTTGCGCTTCGTGAAGAGCTGTGAGGTGCACACGGGCTTGCGCACCTCGCAGGTGGGGAATATGCAAACGCCACAGCATCCCCTTGGGCTGCGATTGGCTACGACGTGGTCCCCGCGAAGGGGAGAAAAAGAAAAGAAAAAAAAACTCTGCGATCTCCATGTTCAAGGGTGATGGGCTTTTCTGCAAGTTGACCTGTCAAATGCCGATTTGACCGCCAAAATCCCGATCCCAGGAGCCAAACGCAGGCGTCTCTGCCACGTGATTCGCTATGCTAGCTTCAACTCAGCCGTTGTCGGGATTGTGCACAAGGAACAGCGCGCGCCCGCCCCATGTGGACCTGGATGTATAGTGGAGCGTAGTGCAGTGCGATAGTGTTCTTCCGGCGCGAGCACTTGAGAGTTTTCGCCAAGGGTCCGGGGCGCTGGAAACTTTTACAGTCTAGACCTCAGTGGGGCATCGTCTGGTCTTCCGTCGAGTGCGCGACTCTCTCGAATCTTTAGTATTAAAAGAGACTGGGTCGGAACTTCGCAAGATTGCTCCGTCATCGATCCATATCCCCCCCGCTTTCGCTCCAACCCTCCTCCTCCGGACTTAATCTTCCCAAAACTCTTCGTCCCCTCGAAGAAAGCCGATGCGCTGCGCATAGGCGAACGGATACGTCCTCTGCACCATCATGCTTTTGCAGGGCGAGGTATGCTTTGACAAACCCACCGTTCCAGGGCCGCCTCCCGCGGTCGAAAGCTCCGAGCGAGCGCGCCAGCGTGAGATCTCCGGGTAAGTTTCGTCCATGCCCTCGGCGTGAGAGAGCCCGAGGGCAACTTTTTTGTTCGTGTGTGTGTTCATCCCGGCGGCGGCGCGGCGGTGTTTCCGTCTCACTTTTGGCCCCGGACCTGCTCTCCCACCGGACCCCCACTCACTCCCCCTCTTAGAAGCGGGCGGCGCTGATCCCAGCCTCTTCTAGCTATCTTTCTGCGGCCTCCTTCCCCTCGATATCACCTCTGCCGTTCTGCCCGAAAACCCCATCGTCAACGACGATGCCACCCTCAACGCCCTCGTCCAACTCGGGGCGCTGCGCCTCGACACCGATCGGTCGTTCCTCTCGCTGATCGACCGAGAGCACCAGTACATCATTGCCGAGATGACGCGGTCCAACTGCCTCGACAACCCGGGCCCCGCGGACAACGGCGACAGGGTCTATCTGGGCGTTTGCAAGCTCGAGGCCTGCTGGGGGTGTGCCCCACCACCATGAAGGCCTTCATGGACGAGACCGGCGAATGGATCCGCACAGGCCCCAATATCATCGCCAACCGGACACGCTACATCATTCACGACTTTCGCGCCGATCCCCTCTACGTCGATAGGCCATACGTCGCATCCTATCCGCACATGGTCAGCTACCTCGAAGTCCCGCTCATCTCGCCCCTCGGCTACGTCCTGGGCAGCTACTGCGTCGTGGATAACAAAGCCCGCGATTTCGACAACGAAGAGTCGGTCGGCGTGCTCAACGAAATCGCCGCCGTCATCATGAACCACCTCGACCTGATCAAGACGAGGCAGAACCGCCATCGGGCCGAGAAGGTCATGGGCGGCATGACCACGTTCATCCAGGAAGCAACACCCTCGTCCCAGCCCGAAATTGTCCTGGACCCGTTTGGCCTTGCGGACCACTCCCCACCAGAAGCGCCGCTTCCATGGACCCCCGCGAGCCCTCTTTCCCTCCCCAGCCCCATCCGTCCCCCGCTGCAACGGTACAATTCAATCGATATGGTGATGTCGGATGGTTTCGCGCCTTCCCTCGGCGGCGCAAGCTCCTGCTCACCCAGCGATTCCTCCGCCTCCCCGCTCGGCGGACCTACCGCGCCCAGCACCCACCCCACCACGCCGCGCGAAGAGATCCCCGAGGTCGCCGCCGAGCTCTACGCGAGCACCCCGGCAGCCTTGAAAGCCGCCGTCGACAACGCCAACGCCAGCGCCGCCTTCACCAGCTCTTCCAACATCAAGTCTGTCTTTTTCCGCGCCGCCACCACGATCCGAAAGAGCATGGACATGGATGGGCTCGCCTTCGTCGACGCCGTCCCCAGTGCGCGTACGGAAGCCAACGACGTAAGCGTATGCGAGGCGCGCGGTGAATCGTTTTGCCCAACCATCGTGCAGTGTGCCGCGGACAAGGACGGCGCCGTGAATCTGCGCCAGACCCAGATACCCCTCCACGAATTAACTCTGCAAAAGTTCATCCTGCGTTTCCCACGCGGCCACGTCTTCTCCGCCGACGAGTTTGGCCCCATTGACGAAAGCTACGGCCTCGGAAAGCGGTACCCAGGAAACACGACGGCTGCGGAAGGTGGCACGATTGTAGACGACGACGTGGCTGCCCTGTTCCAGGCATTCCCGGCCGCTCGCTTCATCGTCTTCCTCCCCTCTGGCATTTCCAGCGCGAATGCTGGTACGCCGCCGCTCTCGGCTGGGTGGCCGACCCCGCCAAGGTCATCGACGTCGCCGACATCAACCTCGTCGCCGCCTTTTGCAACTCGGTCATGGGCGAGGTCTCCCGCCTCGAGACGGTGGCGGTGAGCTACGCCAAGTCCAACTTTGTCTCGTCCATCAGCCACGAGCTGCGAAGCCCCCTGCACGGCATCATGACCAGCAGCGAGCTACTGCGCGAGAACATACCGGACAAGTCCTTCCTCTCCACGCTCGACATGCTCGATTCCTGCGGCAAGACGCTGCTCGACACGTTTGACAATCTCCTTGACCATGCCATCATGATCAACGAGGGGAAACGAGCAAAGACTTTCCTCTCCAACTCGCGCGAAGTCGACCTCGCCGGCCTGGTGGAGGAGGTCGTGGACGCCGTGAGTATCAGCCGGCTGCCGAAGCCGGACGGCATCTCCTCCTCGTACCCGGAGAATAACTACACGTCGGACGAAACCCGCCAAAGGACGCCCGAGCAGCAGCCTCTCGTCACGTTGGAGGTACGGGGGCGAGAAAACTGGAACCTACGGCTCAACGTCGGCGTTTGGAAGCGCATCGTAATGAACATCTTTGGCAATGCCTTCAAGTACACAACCTCGGGCCGCATCGACGTCACTTTATACATGACGCAAGAGAAGGATAAGTCTGGCAAGATGAGCGACCACATCTGCTTCACCGTCGAGGACACGGGGTGTGGCATGACGTCCGACTACGTGAAATACCGGCTTTACACGCCTTTTTCACAAGAAGATGAGCATTCTCCCGGCATGGGGCTGGGATTGAGCATCGTCCAGCAGCTCGTGACGGTGAATGGCGGTAAGATCAACATAACAAGTTCCCGAGGCCACGGGACCTTGGTCAAGGTGGTTGTTCCCGTCAGCCAGGACTTCGCCGACGATCCGCCACCGCCACCGCAGGGCCTGGTAGCCACGGGGTGCAGCCCATATCAAAAATTTCAAAGCTTGACGAGTCCGCTTCGCGGCCGCACCGTCTGCATCATAACCCCCGAGGCCTACGCAGCGCTTACGGGATCATGCCTAGATCCTAGCCCCGACATCCAAGCCCGGTCGGCTCTCATCGAAAGAGCCTTAAGCATCAACGCCGGTACCGCCTTGGGCATGACGGTACTAATTGCGCCTTCGTCTGGCTCCGTGCCGAACGCCGACGTATACGTGCTCGATTCCCTCACGGCGAAAGCCACACCGACCCCACTCACCAACGCCGTTCACACAATTCTCGACACGATATCGCGGCCCTTGGTCCTGCTCTATCCTAGCACTACCTCCCCGCCACCCAGCATCCAACACGCGACCCCATGCCTATACCTCCAGGGCCCAATCGGGCCAATAAAGCTGTCTTCCACCATCTTGGCGGCTTTCAACATGGCACAGATCGGAGAGGCTAGCCATCAACGAAAGCCCCCTCCCAAGAAGCTTTCCAGGGTTGCTAAGCTCCGCCAAACAACCGGCGGCACCGTTGCCTCCGGCAGCAGCCCACAAACCCAAACCCGAAACTCAAGAAGCGAAGATTTGCGTGCAGGCAAGCAGCCCCAGCACCCCAAGATCGCATAGATTGCTACTTGTCGATGACAACCCCATCAATATGAGACTTCTCACGACGGTCGTACGCAGGAGAAATCACGCCTTCGCCACAGCGTGCAACGGTGTAGACGCCGTTCAGAAGTACAAGGCTGCACTAAACGAGGAAAAGCAGTTTAACATCGTATTCATGGACATGTCAATGCCTGTCATGGACGGTTTCGAGGCCACGCGAGAGATTAGGCAGCTGGAGGCCACCGCTGGCGTACCGGAATCCAAGATCGTCGCCCTCACTGGATTGAGCAGCGAGCTGAGCCGGAACCGAGCCTTCGTCAGCGGCTGCGACCTGTTTCTTACAAAGCCTGTGCGGCTTGATAAGCTGCGTAGTTTGCTTGACGAGTGGCTAGCGGAGCCTGAACTCGGGGTGAAGCCGGATTTAGCGCCGGAGCCCGCGAGCTCCTGTGTCTAGAGGGTGGATCGGATTTGGGTGTTTTGTTTTTGTTTTTCTTTTTCTGGGAATATGCGCAGGGACTAGAAATTGGGCGTCTTGGGTTTATATATGTAAGGACTGGAAATAGCGTGGGATTTGGACTTTTAGTTTGAATACCAGCCTCTCTGCATTCTTTATTCTTTCGTTGGACTTTTCTTAATCAGATATCATCGATGGTTACGATAGGGGTGGCCAAAGCTAAGAACACGGGCTTGCCGATGGCAACTTCAAATTGATCCACTCGATTACTTGATTAAACACCAATTTAATGGCATTGATACACAGATGGTGAAACTCGATAGAGATATAGACTGGGACGCAAGGTGCCGTAGCGGATCTGTCGCTCGCCACCGTGATCCTGCTTAGTCGGGGCCCAGTTGTCAAATTTGCCACCATTGCTAGGTATTATTATTTCTAGTCTTCTCTCAATACGTCCATGGATGTACGTAGAGAGGAAACAATCACAAGGCAGGCTAATGTGCCGGCTCTGACTCACGCCGCACACATATTCCCACACCCGACGGCGATCCTCTACTTGTGGATCCAGTAACGACTGCGTCGCGATTCTTCGGCCGGCTGCAGTGCGTTCGAAGGCAAATCAACACGAAAGTTACAATATACGTAGTTTTTGATGCTAGAATAAGCTCTAATAGGACAGGAGCCTCGTGTACGCTCTGGAAATCCCCCAATGCTGTAGTCTATATAATTGTTTCTTATCGTGATTCGTAAATTTCATCCCCTAAACACCCTCCAAGAACTACTCGTACCGCGAGTATAGTTCTTTAATCCCTCATGGAACAATAATTCAGTCCAACTTTTAGTGATGTTCCTTGATGTGGCTTGCCAAAAGCCCGTCATCGTATCGTAAATGTCAGCGTTGCTCTCATTATGTCCCACGCCCCGAATGATCTCGAGCTCCGCTTTGATGCCAAGAGCGTCCCAAGATTCGTGTAGGCTTTTCACCGTATCGAGGCGGTTCACTTCCCGCGGCTCCTGGACCTCGTCACCTAGCATTCGTTCGAGCCACCTCCAATAGGCTGGGTTACCATGAAGCACCCTATCTCTATTTCCAACGACTAACTGAATCGGAACCTCTTTTACCTTCCCCATGTCAACATCTGTGCCAAAGATGGATTTGAAATCGGATATGCCATCGGGCCAAGACTGCAGATCGTCCAGAAACGTCACACTTCCCGGAGCCCCGATGCTCACCGCTGCCAATCGATCTGGGTGAAGATAGAGGAAGCGATGGGCAAACTGGCCTCCGGCGGAGTATCCCATCAGGTATACCTTATCGATATCGATAGCGGGCCATCGATACCCTACTTCTCCCAAGATGGAGAGAAGGACGAGGTCGGAACGGAAAAAGTCGGAGTACATTTCCTTGAAGGAACCAATATCGTTCGGCCCTTCGATTCCTGCCGGGAACACGGGTGTGAGTATGGCGCATCCGTGCTTTCGTGCAAACGATGGGAGTTGGTGGTCGTTTAAGTAGCGTGTCGTGGTCCGGCCGATGCCGTGGATGTCGACGAGGAGAGGTAATTTCGGAATGCTGCTATCGTTCGCTGCGCGGGTTCGTAATGCCGTTCAGGGACATACATGGCGTACAAGAATCGTTGGTCTGCTTGTAAGACCGACATCGGGAATGTCCCAACCAGCGAAACCGAGCTCAGGTAGCCCTTGGGAACATTGTTGGTTGTCAATGCCTTCTTCATTCCGGTAGGGATAGAGCCCAGTGCAGCTGCTAGGGCCACGAGAAGCGCCGTGGCGAACAAGAAGCGCATTTTGACTACCTAGTGCTCCTGTGCGGTAGTGCCAATGGGTCGTAGAAAAATGTCTCAGTAGAAAGAATCCTGGCGGTCAGAATTTGTTTGGGGTGCATGCGGCAGCAAAATGGTGGCCTGCATCGGCATCCTTATAACATCCGAAGCAATAGTTAGCCCACATAGGAAAAGACGAGATCGTTCTCAGCGAGAAGGGGTAATAGAGGCGGGTTTAGGCGAGTTAGAATCGGTCACGTACTGATAATGATTAGTGCGGTTCCGGAACCAGGTGATGAGCATCACACCCAAGAAAGACAGTAGATTTTAGTATCGGAGCGATCTGTATTCTCGGACTAAGCTGTCTAGAGAGAAGGCTAGAGTATTTATTCACAGAGGTGAACACAAGTGTGTTAACGACGTGAGTCGACACGCAACGGCAGTGTGAACCGGACACAGGCAATTGCGCGGCTCAAGTCGTAAACCACGTGTATGGTGATGTAAGGATAGATTCTTTGGATGGTCCCGCACCTTAAAAAGCAGCATGATCAGACCGACCCAAGAGAAACAAGCAAATTCGCAAGCTGACAACACAGTTTTCTAGAGAACCACATGACACAAGTGGAACAAAACAAGGCATATGAAGGGGATGCTTATTCCCTTCTCCTCCGTCTGCTACGGTTTCTTGCGCCCCTGATTGGTGTATGTTCTTGATGTAATACGTACTGTCGCCGCAGGCCGCCGATATGACGGCAGGGGAGGGCAAAGTCCTTCATCAACCGTCACAGGATCGGCTAGCTTATAACTAGAATGCTTCCACACGTCGAACCGACTAGTTAAAGCTTAACCCTTCATTCGACAGCCAGCAATGACTTATTCGGCCGGACTTTTTCTCCCTCGGGCTCGAAACCGGGATTTGTGATCATATTTGACGTGGCATCCTTCGGAAATACGCCAATTGATATAGGGATCGGTGATCGGCTTCTAGCTATTCTACAACAACTGATTTATCGTTGTCGTCAGAAAAATACCCAAGGATCTCGATTTTGAGAGCCAGCGTGATAGGTGGTCTCTTTTGAGCCCAAAGGAAGAGAATAATGTTCAAAAGGCAAGATGGAAGACGTCCTTCCCCTTTTCGGATTTCCCCAACGCAGATGGATGAATCGCGCTCACATGACATAACCTAAGACCATCGTGACGCGGTTTCGAATGCGAGCGGTTGCGCTTACATTCGAGGATGATGGAGTTACGACGCGTCACACAAATAATCCCAAAACCTAAAAGTCTACCGTGGTTGCGTGGCTGAGAACGTCTTGTCGCAGAGTGTCTTTGTCGAGGAATCTCTGGTAGGGGGCTTTGGACGAATCGATTGAGCGATTATGCGGTATAAAAATTCATCGCGCATAATTGCTTAGCTCCCGACCCTTTATGGCCGAACCGACATCGAGTAGAGCCAGAGGCGCGATGCCTCGAATACGAGTGGGATCTGGTGACAGTTGTTCCAGCACATTTACCGGCCTACATGTCAATTCTAATCGGCAGTCAGAGTCGCAAAATACACTGTGAAATATTTTAAAAGGTTTTGTCGTGCTATTTTGTCGTGGTGCGAAGCGGCACGGCAATCGGACGAGTTGGCTGTCACCTGGCCGAACCCCGCTCGTCGGCTTCATCTCTCGGTAGACTCCCGAGCAAAGGGCGGAGGTAGCCGACGACTCGCTTTGAGGCAACGCTGGCATTTTTTTATTGATGGCATTTCACCGAGTGAGGTCCACGACAGCAAATTAATCTCGGAGAAGCAATGAGAAGCCGTGTAAAGGAATCTTGCTAAAACTACCTTGGTACAAGTACAAGTTGTGAGGGCCCCGCAAGTGAAGAAGAGGAGAGTCTCAAGGCTTCTCACCAAGGCATATCAAGTACGTGAACTTCATCAACTCCCCTTGCCCCGCGCTCGGAATCCCACCCTGGAACTCTCCGGGACGTGCCTCTACTATTTTCACATGGTCCCACGCCACTTCTACTCGGACGTTCGTGAACCCTGCTTCTTCCATGAGGCTCGCCATCCAATCGCGCGGGATGCCGTGGCGCTCTACCCCTTCCATCTTGGACTCGGGATGAAATTTTCTAGCCTCGGGGCCAAAGTCTTCGAAATCCGTCAGGGCGACGACGCCTCCTTTCTTAAGACACCCAAACATTGTCTTTAGAACCGACTGTAGGTCCGTAATGTGATGTAAGACAAGGTGTGAGGTGATCAGATCGTACTTGAGCCTCGGGCCGTCGGGATCAGCTAAGTCAATCGGTGGAAGCCGTTTGTCCTCCGGGTCTTCGAGTAAAACTTCTAGCGGGATGACATTTGTAGGGGAGCCCTGCCTCTCCAATTTGGAGGACAGTACCTCGATCATCCCCCGCGGAGTCCACGGCAACGAGCCGGTTCGCAGAAGGTGCAACTTCCAGGCTCAGCAGTCCAGTACCGCAGCCGACTTCGAGAACATCGGGCTTCCTGGAGGCGCTATCACTGAATAGAGACGGCAAATAGCGTTGGATGGCTTTCCACGCTTCAAGGCTCATTTCGTGGACAAACGGATTGCTATCCCATGCCGTGGCCTCGGCATTGAAGCGGTCGTTTCCAATGCCGGTGTTTGAGGTCATGGCGTTCTCGAGCAGCCGCAGTCGGTATCGTTCTCGGGGTTTCAAGGCGGCACTGATCGCTTGTTATCTGATTGTGAGGTTTCGAGATCGAGGGGATTGGGCTGGTAAGAGAGATTATGTCACGCTGCGCGGCCGGGCCGAGGAGTGGAGGAAGATATTATGCTGGGACAAAGGATCTAGTGTTGTACCGGGGACCTAAAGACTGTCAGTCACCCCGATTAAAGAATATCACAGAAAGAATACCATATCAATGAATTGAAGGTCGAGGGCGAGGGTCGCGAATGACAATATTTCTACCAGAGAAACCTAAGTGGAACCTAGAGGATGCTCATTGATTTCGCGTGGGTGGCTGTCTCAGCAAAGGTGGATGCCTTTTGGGTTCCACGCTATATTAATATATTAAGTGTCTGCATCCGCGATGCCTCCTAAATCTAAAATGGACTCACACCTCTGAACAGACCTTGTGGTTCACAGCGGAGGACTTTCCGTCTGGGAATGGCAGGTCCATCCATCCGCTGCGCTTAATGACATGTCTTGGCTGGAGGGTTTATACCCCATGCTCCCATTGATGGCATGGGCCGTTGCTCATGATGTTACCAAAATACGAGGTTCCTTCCCCATAAAGGACTCTTCCGGAGCCGCATTGAGGTGTATCTACCATCATAAGATTGCACCAATACCCAGATACGTAGAGAGTTCCCACGCAGCTGGGGCCCGCCTCCTGGCACCTGACGCAGCATTCATACGGGGTGTAGCCTTCGGATCCGTCAAAATTGATATCCGAAAAGGAGAACCTATCGGGGTATCGGAGACCTGAGCCGCCGTATATGTTACGAGCGTTGCAGGCTTCATATACTGGCCGAGCAGCCGGTACCACAGTTGTGTAGGACACTGAACGAGCGAAATGGAAGATTAGTACGGACACCAAACTGAATAAGGTCGCAGTGTATAAGGGGAGAGTACAGGGAGAAACCAAGGCATAACTTACCAGGAATGGTAGTGGTGGAGGTTGTAGTATGAGTTTCTGTTGTCGTGAGCGTGGTAGATACAATCACGGTCACTGTTGACGAGCTGCCACCGGAAGGATATTTAGTCACAGTCGTCGAGGACGTAATTACAGCGGTGGTTGTTTTGGTCTGCTGAGGAGCAGTCGTCGTGTATGGAGTCGTGGTGTAAACTGTTTTGGTGACCGTTCGAGTAACCACGGATAAGCAATTGACGGCGACTTGGAAAGGGGGCCGAATGAACTGCCGATCACCGGAGTTGACCTGGAGCGTACTGGCATCTCGTCGGTGAACCGCCGGCTTGCTCTGTTCATGTCTACGTGCTCTGATCAACGGTGACGCCCCGTTATCGGGCATGGGCACAACGGGGGTAAATCCGGCCGGGGTTGGCACCGTCGAGGTTGACGTAGAAGTTGTCGTAACAGTACTAAGCTCGGTAGATACCACCGTGATGGTACCGCCATCCGCCGTCTCGTAGAAGGTGCCTGTGGTTATTGTTAGCCAAGCGAGGGGTAACGCCGACTACCATCGGCACTAGTCACGGCCGTTACGGCCAACTTACTGGTAATCGTAGTTGACTGAGCCGGCTGCTTGAGGTGTTCGTCACAGTCTTCGTCGAGACCTTGGTCGAGGTGGTGGTCGTTGTCGTCGTCCTCGGGGTCGGATACACCGTGATGGTCTGGATCTTGGGGACCCGCTCGGTGTGCGTCACCGTAGTATATCGAGTCGACGTCTTGGTCGTCACCGTCTTGACCGATTTCGTCGAGTATCGCGTGCTGCAAGTGACGTCTCCATTTTGGCCTTGTCCAAGCGCTTGGGCGGCAAGAGCGAGGAAGAAGACTGGAACCTTGAAGGAGACCATTGTGAATTCGGCTCGCTGGCAACTTGGGCCCTCTTTGAGTTTGCGGTAAACGAGGCTTGAAAAGACCGCAAAGGGGGTGGAGGGAGCGTATGGGTACCGAGGAGGCAAGTTAGAGTCTATTTATTATATTTATATCTCAATCCCAAAGGTGGTTGGCCCTTGGCCCCCAAGCAATTCCTTCTCTTGCGTTTGAACCCGAATGACAGCGAGAAAACAGTCATATCTGCCGAATGCCAGAACCATGCATGAAAACACGACTCCCAAGAATGTGTGAGAAACAGGGGGAATGGAAGAGACTTTGTGGCTCTGAGAAATGTACTTGTCAACTCCTAGTATCGCGATGAGGTAGACAGGTCAAGCAGCTGTAGTTGGCAGAGTTCCATCGCATTTCGAGAGCCCGGATTGGGCGCGATAAGCCCCTGGCTGACCACCGAAAAATGAATACGACGGTGGTTCAGCCCATTGATTGGATGGAAGCGGCAGGGGCGCTGAATTCGGAAAATAAGCTTAATCCTTCCCACGAGACTGGGAGTTGAAATATTGCCTGGGTTAATTTCTCGTCAACGGTGTAATACAATGCCGGTACCTCTTCCTTTCGACAAGAACCTCTTCGTTGCCAACACTGCTAGGAGAAGAGGGTTGCTAGAACCATGTACAACTACCTGCACCGAAGCATCCTTCCGCGTCCCCCCATTTTCAACAATTCCGACTGAAGGAGGGGGGCCAAGGTGAACAGCGCACACTCGTATCCCGGGAGAGTGTGCGCACGTTGTCCAGCATACCCCATCCTCCAACGGCCTGCCCTAGCGCATGGGCGGTAGCATTCGGCTTGTTCACCAATAAAGACTACGTCTTCCTCGTTCAACCGCCAGTTGATAACGCCTGCTCCGAAGGATTCGCGCTGCATGGACCATTGGTCATACGATCGTGGACCACTGCGCCTCGCGAAGTCCATGGTTGCCCCTTTAACGGCCTCAGCAGCACACACTTAATTTGGCCGTTTGCTTTTTGACTTGGCTGGTACCCGGCCGGTCGTGGTCATCGGGCAGCACTCACCATAACAATGCCGCGTCGCGATGCCCGTGGGCCTTGATCAAGCGCTTCAATAGGTCGTTTCGGTGAAGGGTGTTACTTCCTTTTGACAAACGCAACCGACCCAGTGCTTTGGGGCATGCTAGCCTATATACCACGATAGCAAGCTGTAAATCCTTTCCTGTAACAGAATGTAGCACTGCATATTAGGCCGAGTCGTTCTCTTTCAGCGGGCTTCGAGGCGCCTAAACAAGCACCCCTGAAGGGATGGGACGAAGAAGGGCACCACGGGCACTTGGTGGTGAAGTAGATTTCTTCGGCAGGAATCTAGTATGTTTCGATTGCGAAGATATCGTGCCGTCTAATCAGACTAAGGATGGGCATGGAGAGCCAAATTTCTACACCATGCGGTCGGGAAACAACAAACTGATCTCTTCACATCGGGACAAATCTCACGATAAATCGTGACCAAAAATCCGTATAAGTCTATCTAGCCAGTGAAATCAAAGTACAAGTCTATGGACGCTATCAACTGAGGCAAAAATGTGGTGAAATTTGTGACAAATTAGGCGGGGTATCAACAAAAAACATAAACAAAGCGTGGTCAACTTGGAGGTATCAGCCCGAGTCATTTCCCGAGCCCATGCGCGGTTTTACCCATCATTTCGCGGGTTTCAACTATCGCTCTTCTTCCCCTTCTTCACTCGCTTTATGGCTGCAGCAGTAAGCTCTTGTCGATCCAGCAACGCGACAACATCTTTCTTTCTCGTTTTCCGGTCGCCAATGCTAATCAGTAAACCCGCTGTGATATTGCAGGTGATGCTGACACAAAGAATGGTAGTTGTAATGGCCATTGGCCTCGTGCGGTAGTCGATACCCCATGTGCATGCTCCAAGCGAGATTTGTAGGCACGAGTGAAAGTCGAGGAGGACAACAATCGCGACAAGGTAGCTCAGGGGAAGGCATAATGTGTAGATGTCTCCTGGGACTTATAGAAGCTGTGCGACTTGGACAGCTTCTTTTGGTGATGACAAAGGCTATGAAGCTGCTTGGGCGAGAGAGCCAGTGCTTCCCGCTCGTAGTCCATGTTGCCACCCTCGGAAATCTTTCCACTTTCCAAATCATCTTGAGGATCGTCCTGAGGCGGCGGTATCATTGTGGGTGGGCTGTCGGGATTCTGAGGGAGGTTGCTCATCGACTTTTGTGCCTGGACCATGGTGGCCCCTTGCTCAGAAGTACGTTCTGCGCCTTGTTCGAGGGGCTGTGCTATGGCCTCCGTCTCAGGGTCCTGACGCTTGTTCTTTTTCTTCACGATGCGACTGTAGCGAACGACATACACCAGGTGATACGTATCGATGGCTCGAAGCGGCGCCATGCCGTCGCCGACGATGGCGAAGAGCGCGACGAGGACACTATCAATGACGTGGATGGCGTATAATTGCTCGTCGCCGACGTAAATCCAGCCGATGAGGAAGAGCACCCAGGCCAAGCCAAACAGCGTGATAAGGACGGCATACAGCGTGACGAAGAAGCCCAGGGGTGTTCGAACGTATTGGCCGAACCCCTTTAACCCCCGTTTGAAGCGCGATCGCCGAGAGTGCAGCATGTGGCGCACCCGATCCTCCAATTCCATCTTTTCCTCTTCCGTCCACCCGTCCAGGGTTGTTCCGTGGGGAGAGCAGCATAGTGCGAGTCGGTAAGGCGTGACGAGATTGAGCTCACACGTTCGACGGCTGGCCGCTGGCCTGTCTCAGGCCCTTGCTCCTCTTCTTCCGCCACGGGCTCTTGCCCTTGCCGTCGATCGCCTTTGGCTTGCAGCCCTCGCTCGTAGTCGGAGAGAATATATGTCGGCCGTCGATTGATTAAACCGCCAAGGTCGGGAACGAAGAGCGAATTCTGGACGTTTGTCAAGGTTGACAATGTTTGAATCTCGGGATCTAGATTCCGGCAAGATTAGCACAATAATATCTGGTATTTCTTTATCCGAGTGGGTAGACAAACCGAAAACATCGAGCCAATCCACAAGACGGGCATCGTACTCCTCAACATCTCTTCCGCCTGCTGGGGCCTTGCTAGGACCCTGCACAGCAGCATTCTGGCCTGGGTGGAAAAGTTTGCTTAGGGTCCTCGCGCCCCGAAGCCTCCGAATGGGCTCTTGGGCATTAGTCCCTGCTTGCGCGTTGTCTTCCTGTCCTTGCGGTCGATGCGTAATGGGAAACGAGTTCGATGACAAGGTATGGCCCAGCTCCGAAAGACTCGGTCGCCGGCCTTCTTCGGTGAGGCGGGGCAAGGGAATCGGTGCACGATCGGTGGCGTGTGGCGGTGGAGGAAAGACCCCTGTCCCCCAATTATTCCGCCGAGGTTCGGAGACACTTCGTGGGCGCCCGTGCGAGCCATCGTCCACTAGTCCGGCGCTCGTCGCTTGTGACACGCCCAATGGACTCGGCGAAGCAATATGACGGAGGCGGCGAAGGCGGATGCTGGGGACGCGTTGTATTTGTCGGCCATCCTCGGTTTGTAGAGAAGTCGGCCGTGAGGCGTTGGAGGGTACGGTCGAGAGGCGCGGGGCAAAGGTCGCTAGGGGCGGCCGGGTTGGGGGAGGTTCGTTATTCAATGCAGTCACATTCGTGTCTTCCGACGACGGTGACGGCGCTTCAAATGGCACAGGAGGCGAAGAAGGTCGCAGATTCGGTGGCGATGGCAGTCGAGGTGTGTGCTCGGGTTGCTCGTGGCCGTTCTGATGGTACGGTTCCATCTTCCGCTCCGGAGGTGTGATCTCGTGGTAACTCGCCTCACAACAACAGCAAGGCAGAGGAGAAGGCTGGCGCTTTGTTCTTGAAATACGCCGAAAACTTTTAGGAAAACTCTCAAAACTTTGGCAGTCCACTTAAGAAAACAAACAAACAAACTAGTATGAAAGCCCGAAAAAGGGCGGCGGCGAAATCAAGTTTAGTCAGATCCCCAATTACCACGGCCGCGACGTGTCGCCGATGACGTCAAGTGAATGAGTCGCCGTGACGGTGACGGCGGCCCAGACTAAAAGTGGGGCAGTGGCATAATCCCGTTTCCGTGCGACAGCGCACTACCCGTTAACCAACATCTCAAACACATTGATCAACCACATTACGCCCATGTCCACACACGCAAGACACGCTATGAAAGAGATGAGCTAATCCTTGCCGGCTCGCTAAGCCGCCCCATATCTCTATCAAGTCATAGCCGGTATGTTATCTTCCTATTTACCCATCCTTGGCACGCTCGCACCCGAACTGTCTGTTCAAAAATGGCCAAACCCATCCCATAACCCGACGAGAAGGCAAAGCGAGGTCCAGAGACAAAACAACACAAAGACCGCCCACCCGAGAATATCGCTCCGCGGGACTAATGTTGCGATCGTCAAAATCTTATCTTTTTGCGATGGTGTTAGCTCAGGATGCAGCCATTCCCTTTCAAAAGCAGTCACCACATTATACATGAGCTCGAGCCCATCGAGGCCAAATCCCAAAAGGATCGACTGCAATAATGCCTGCGAGTTGACATAGCATGTCCATATGTCGAGGCTGCCATGTTTCTTCGGCAATGGCAAATGGCTGACTTGGTAATTTTCAAACTGGGACACTGCCGTGAGAATATCCAGTGCTTTCTTGCCGAAGACTCTCCCATATCCAAGCGCTGTTTATGGTGGCACAGCTTCAAAGTTGTCGAACGTTGATGTCGAACGTTCCAAATCTGCAGTCCCAACGCTTGAGGACCAGGTGCAGCGTACACCAATAGGGTCTGCGATGTCCTGAATGGGAGTGCCATAGTCGTTGGAATACTGGTAAAGAAGCCTGTTCACCGCTTCCTCGATCATAGATTGATTGGACCCCTGCATTGAAAAGAATGTACGATTGAGTGTAAGAGTGTTGTTTTCGAGAAAATAAGGACTTCCCATGCCCCTAACCGTGGGGCCAATCGAATGATTGAAACCTATCGATCCATAGGACCCTAACGTTTTCTCATATAACCCCTGTATATTCAGCTGCCAGAGCGCCTGCTCAAAACCCCCACAGGGGGTCGGCCTGCGGATGATCGTATACGTCAAGAAATAGAGACCTAGGGTCTCCAAGCTTGATTCCTATCTCGGAATAGGACCAGATGTTATGCTCCGACGAATCCGTGCCGCTACTGAAAAGTGTTATCTCGGCGCCTCGCGGCGTGTCAAGAACCACATTGGGTTTCCGGGTGGACCAAAAGTCCCCGGAAGATGAATAAGATTTGAATGTCGCGGCAGATCTTTCGCTTAGAATCGTAAACTCGGAGACATCCTTGACGATGGAACAGCTGTAGTTGAGTTGGAGGCCCCACGCCCTGCCCGATACGGGCGTTTTAGATTGTGGTGCTAGGAACATGCTAGGGATAGAAGACTGCAGTGGCAGTGAGTTTGGGAACGTCGAGAGGTCTGGGTGGCCAGCCCGGTTGAAGTTTGGCGCCGTGTATAAAATACCAAACCCTGGCAGGACTGGATTGAGTCCGGCCTTCCAGGCAGGAAATGCCGCGTTGGCCGTGTCAGTGAACTTGTAGAAGTTCGTTTCGTTTGCCCCGATAACCGTTGCGTGCCCCTCTCTGCCTTGACGTATCCGTCGCTGAGCTCAAAGACAAGACCTGACAGCGGAAACGCGCAATACGGCAAGAACTCTATCAGGAATAGAAGCCATCGTTTACGATCGTTCCAGAGACGTTGGGCGATCCGGACGATGGACGATGCCCTCGGAGCCGAGGCGCTGTTGCCCCAAGAGGCGAAAACAATTGTTTGCCAGGATTTTGATTCAGGCATGCCACGTTTGATGCCTCGAAGTCCATACCCAGTCAATGACAGAGCAAAGATATTGATAATGAACCACGAGTAGAATATCAAAGACCCTGACAAATCTCTATACTTCAAACCAGCGTCATAATGTTGCTTCAAGATGTAGAGCCAGATGACGCCATACCAGGTCGTGATCGATGACGGAACGAGTATCAAGATAGTCGCCGCACTGCCCTATTAAACCTCGAGAGTGCTCTTTGGCTTTTTGACGCCTGCGATTAACGTTAGAGAAAGGCGGATGCTTCTCTCCATCAGAATTATTTTCCAGGGGAAGAAGTTCGTGCAGAGAGCCATCGACAGTTGGAGGCGACATTGGAAAGCGAAGAGGAAGACTTGTTGAGCGACACTATCTGCGCACGTTAGGCGTCCAAGAAGACTAAATGAAGAAGATTCTGGTAATGCGGAACGTAGTGCGACGTAGTGATATTGGTAGTTACCATAAAGGAGACCACGCGATCTGAGAAGAATGAAAGAGGAAGGGCTGGCCCATCGCGCTATTTACAATCCGCTTCCACGGAGCCCAGCCTACCGGCAACGATGATCGCCCAAGGCGAGCCAAGTTACAGAGCACGCCAAATTCCAAGATTGTGCTAAATTGGATGAGTTTTGCTCGTCGCCTGCCTTGTGTTACCTCCCTTTTCGTATGAAGCCTGGTGGCGGTGGCTATCGCTGCGGCCATCGAGACAGCCCGTTCAATATCCGACGCGGGGATCGCAGAAGGGCAGAGCCTTCGGTCCCTGTCTGTGACCTTTCACCGATCTCGTTGCGCCGAGCCTTGGGCTAGGGGCTAACATGCTTAGCTCTTCTCTTCTTTCCTTCTTTCTTTATTTCAAAGAATCCCTCCTGTCCGCCACGCACTTGTCCGCTCGGAGGCACGCTATCTTTTGTTTCGTATGATGAATCCGAAAAAGCCACTGACCTGTGACGGGGCGGATACGGGCCAAAATACGCGCCGATGGCTCAGCTATGGATGCGAACGTGTGCCCTCCTTCCGCCCCAAGCTGAAATGCCGCCTTGCTCTGTCTGCAGTGATAACCCCGCGAAGCCAGACTTTATTTTTAGACCAGGCTTCACTTTGGTGCATGAGGAGCTGAGACTATCCCCGAATCCTGTAGACAGAAGAGGGCAGCAAAATAACAACTTTTCTTGTTCTTGTGTAAAGACTTACGGGATATGGGTTGAGTTGAGCTAATGCTACTGGCGACATGAAATTTCAAGTAAAGGTCTTTGCTACGAGTCAGTGTGACTGCAATCTAGGTGTGACGAATCTGTCGACTCTTGCGGGTACTTTCCTGGTCGGCGCTCGCTATGCTAAAATTACTTTCATGTGATGTACTCTATTCATCATTCATCGTTCTATTAGTACCTTTCGATGTTACTGCTCCTGCGCCCTCTGTCGTGCCGGTACTGGCTTCCCCACTCTGTTCTACCTCACTCCCCACCAATCGCCTCCCACTTCCATCTTCTGTGAACCTACGCACTCATTTACAGGCTGCCGTTTGACCTTCCACTTCACTAGAAATGGCGCACGAGAGATAGAGTTATCGACTCTGAAAAGGACAGTTATTGAATCCGCTAGTTCCAGAATTCGAGTCTAGCCTTAGCCTCCTCACTAACATTTCAAAGGTCACCTGCTCAGTTACTCATGGATCTGTTTTCATGTTTTCAGAATTGCCGAATTTATTAATCCCCTTAAAAGAACTAGTTCTAGTACTCAAAACTAGCTATGTAATCGTTCCAGACGATAGCTTGAAGAGCACCATTCGGAGACGTACGCCTCTACAGCGGGGAGTGAACGGGTTGTGCCGTCTCGCCTCCAATTTACTCTTTGCCCGATAGATACCTTAGTCGTGGCTATTTTGGGCACAGAGATGTTGGTACCTAGTAGCCAATGGCACGGGGACCGTATTCGCTTCGGGGGCTGTAGCCTTCCTGAGAGTTGTAGCTGCTCCGCGAGCTATAGGCGCTCGGCGGAGCACGAGATTGATGGGAGCTATATGTGCTAGAGGGAGCACGAGATTCGTGGGAGCTGTACGTAGATCGAGGACCATGGCCAGCTTGAGGGTTGTAGACGCTTCGGGACTCGTAGGAGTCCTGGGGGTTGTGGGCTCCCTGGGTGACGTAGTCGCTTTGGGGGCTAGGAGCCTCGAGGGCAGCAAAGGCGCTTCGGGAGCCGTGAGAGCCGCGCGAGTTGTAGGCATACTGGGAGAACTCGTCAAGGAAGTCCTTCCACCTCGAGCTCATGGGATGCACCTCATCGAGCTGATTGTTCCGGAAGAGCAGAATGGACCCGGGGGCGGGGACCCCGCCGCTGAAACCAACAAACTGTCTGGCGCTCTCGAGATCGATCTCGGCGAAGGAGAGGACCGGGTACTCATTGGACACGCTGTTGAATATGTTGCGGTCTGTGGCGTCCCCTTCGTACCTAGCCATGGAGGCCTTGAGAACCACGAAGGGTTTGGAATTGACGAAGTTCTGGAGATCGTTGGTGGTGTTAAGGGGCTGAACGCGAGACATGGTGAAGAGAGGATGTGGAGGATTATGCTTTCGTTGAAGAAGTGTGGAGGGTGAAGAAACAGGTTGGGATCTTTGGTATGTGCGTGCTATTGTTTGACTTGAGAGATGGCTCTGGAGAAGTAAAAAGCTAGAAGACGAAGTGCAGGAGAGGCATGAATTGATATACAATTTTGACGCGCGTGTAAAATGCCCGATGCCGCCCGATGTTGGGTAACACGCTCAGCGCCTGAAGCTCGCGTTTGGGCGCTGGTGCCAGGGCGAAAATAGGGCGAGATTCTATGCCTCTATGATTGGCGCCGGCGCTGACCTGCCGGGACTGTGAGGCGAGGTGGAGCCGCCGACTGAGCCAACCACGTTGCTGCGACTAAGCTGTCATTCAATCTAGCCCCTGACCTCCACTGCAGATTCTAGCGACACAATAGGATACTCTGGATGAATGGTCAAAAGAGTTTGTCAAAACGGCTGATTGCCTGATTCCCAATATTGACGTGTCATCGGGACACAGATTTACTGGCTTGAGGCCTAACCAGATGTCTCAGCGGAATAAATGTCAGGACACGTAATTGGGGAAGATTGAAAGATTCAGCTTGATCAATTGTCTGGTTGGTCTGCTGATGCCCCACACTCTCATAATCAGCGGACACTGACCAAGATGCCTCAAGTCCAAGTCAGGTGCGTTAAGGCATCGACAGCTAGTAGGACATGCGTTGGAGAAAGCTTGTCCAGTTGTGGCCTTAGGGGATGGGAATGAAGGGTACCTAAGTTTTCCGCAGTCAATCATACCCGATGCGGAGCTCAATGGTCACAAGTCTTAAACAGGGTGGACGGATATGCTGTAAAGACGCTAGGACGACAGTCAGGTAGGGTCTAGTAGGACATGGTCAGGCCGCTGTCTAACTCCGGTCGTTGAGTCAGCCTAAGCATCAACGTTATAGGTTGAAGTCTTCTGGGACTTCACCATAGTTAGTTCCTATCCAGGAGGAGGTAGACTCGTGGCAGAGGATGGCTTCCAAGATTGTTCGCCGTAAATTGAAGAATGATCTTGCCCTCTTGTCCTAGGGAATTGGGGGCACTAGCCCGTCGGTACCCAAGAAGCCCTTTGGCGAAACCGTGTTGTAGGAATGGGGACATTAAGGTAGAGGATGTAAGAATATACTTTACTGTCATCTCCCAAATACATAGAGATGCTAGAGTATACGACTTAGCTGTGGAGTGAATCTACATGTACTTTATAAGTGCTGATACAGATTTCAATGTGGTGGCATCGATTGTTTCTATCTGAGGGGCTGAGGATACCATTTTGTCATATATCCAGCCGGCAATTCTCCGGTTCTCGATCCGCGAAGCACTACTCAAGAGGGACTAGTGCGGCCCGTACCGGCTCCACTGCGCCGCGTGATGGTGGTATCGGGTTCTATTGACCCGAGCTGGCTTCCGATACTCGGTGACCTGCTCATGTTCTCATGTATTTAAGGGGTAGGTCGAGCACCCATTCTGGCCAGGACCACCTGACACACAAGGAACTTGACCCACGTAGTGATAATCGTGGGATACTCATCTTGGTATGATGGCGGAACCTATCATCCTCGACGTGCGCTTTGAGCATTATCGGCCATCGTTCACGCTCGGTGTCACAGAGGCCCGCCCCCGCATCTCCTGGCGCTACGAAAACGTGGACGCCGAGTTTGAACAAGAAGAGTACGAGATTGAGCTAAGCCAGCTACAAGGTTCCAAAACCACGATACTGAGCTCAACTTCGATCTTCTCTGCAGAGTCACATCTTGTACCATGGCCAAGCGAAACGTCGATGGTGTCAAGAGATAGATATTCGGTTCGGGTGCGGGCACGCCAGGCGGGCAAATCGGCATTCCTCGGATGGAGCGAGCCATCTGTCATCGAAGCTGGACTACTTCAGAGAGCGGACTGGACGTGTCAAATGATCTCGGCTCCTTGGTCTGAGGATGAACCAGACAAGTCCCATCCAGAAGACCTGTTCAGGAAGGAATTCTCCATTCACGACTCTCGGGAAATCATATCGGCTCGGCTTTATGTAACGGCACATGGCCTATATGAGGCGGAGATCAACGGAACAAGAGTGGGTGATTATTTCCTCGCTCCCGGCTGGACTCAATACCACAACCAACTCCAGTACCAGACGTACGATGCTACACACCTCTTGCCAACGGGACAGGATAAACATTGTTTAGGTCTGAGGCTCGTGGAGGGTTGGTACAAGGGCAGAATCGGGTTTGACGGAGGCAAGTGCAATATTTGGGGCACGCGAACGGCGGTTTTTGCCCAGCTCGAAATTCAATACGGCGATGGATCGACCGAAGTCATCGGCACGGATGCCAGTTGGTCGGTATCACGAGGCCCTATTCGACAGGCTGAGATTTACGACGGTGAACTCTACGACTCGACAGCCGAGATTCAGGGTTGGTCTGTTCCAGGGACTAGATTGCAATGGGAAGATGCGGTGGCTATCCCTGGCCCCCCAATACGGTTCAGCTTACCGCGGGGCTCAAGGAGCCGGCTCGACGCATCAATACCCTGCGCCCACGAAACAAAATCATCACACCATCAAAGAAGATTCTTCTCGATTTCGGCCAGAACCTAGTTGGCTACGTTCGAATAAAGGGCGTGAATGGACCTCGTGGACACCGGGTCATCTTAAAACACGCCGAGGTGCTTGAAGGCGGTGAACTCGGTACACGGCCGCTCCGCCTTTGCAAGGCCCAGGATGTGTTTGTCCTGGGAGGCGATGAGGAGCGATCTGAATGTTACGAACCGCGATTCACGTTTCACGGATTCAGATACGTGCAGATTGATGGGTGGTTAGAGGAAGACACCCTAATCGACAACGTTGAGGCGGTTGTTTGTCACACCGATATGGAAGAGACCGGGACGTTTAGCTGCTCGGACCCAAGGCTTGAGAGGCTTTACTCCAATACAAAATGGAGCATGAAAGGCAATTTTCTCTCCATCCCGACTGACTGCCCCCAGAGAGATGAGCGTCTTGGCTGGACAGGAGATGTTGCTCTGTTCGCTCCTGCGGCGACCTCCTTCTACCGATGCTCCGGGATATTGAGGGATTGGCTGAGAGATCTAGCATTTGAGCAGCAAATTCAGGGAGGCATCCCCCAATGGTGTGCCCAAACGTTATACAGGATCACTTTTTTGGGGCCACCCCTGCCGGCAGCCATCTGGCACGACGCTGTAATCTTGGTGCCGTGGGCCCTATGGCAAGAGACCGGCGATTGCACCATTCTCAAAGAGCATTTCGCCTCCATGGAATCCTGGATTGACTCAATACCGCGCAGTAAAAGCGGCCAAGGACACTTATGGGACCCGAAGAACTTCCAGTTGGGCGTAGGTTGTCTCAGCTCCCGCCGTCTACGGGCGCATTCTCTAACAAAGCTTACTAGGACTGGCTTGACCCGACTGCGCCACCAGAGCAGCCATTTATTTCTGTGACCGACCGCGTGCTGGCTGCAAATGCCTTTCTTGTTCAGTCACTCGATCTTATGGCCAACATTGCAGAGGCGGTCGGGCGAGGTGAGGACTCGAGAAAGTATCGAAGCGGTGCCGCAAGTGCTCGAGATGAATTCCGAAATCAGTACGTCACCCCAGACGGTTGGGTAGTATCGGACTCACAAACTGCGTACTCGTTGGCCATTTGTTTTGATATTCTTACCTCTCCTCACGAAATTTCTCAAGCCGGCAATCGCCTGGAGGAAATTGTTCGATCCAACTCATACAAAATCGGCACCGGATTCGCGGGGACGCCATACGTTTGCGAAGCTCTTGCCCGAACCGGACATATCGACGCGGCTTACAAAATGCTTTTGAACGAACAGTGCCCGTCCTGGCTCTATCCAATCTCTATGGGCGCCACTACGATCTGGGAGCGTTGGGATAGCATGAGGCCAGACGGATCTATTAACCCCGGGGACATGACGTCCTTTAATCATTACGCATTTGGCGCCATCTCAAAATTCTTAGTGGAGAGACTTGCCGGCTTACAATCTTTGAGTCCCGGCTGGAAAGCGTCTAGATTCGAACCGAATCTAGGCGGTGGATTCTTGTCGGGACGGGCGACCCACAAAACGCCGTATGGCATCGTTTCGGGGTCCTGGGCTGTGAATGCTAGCGAAGGACCAGATGCCCAGCCCCGACTCGTCCTCAATGTAGAAGTTCCACCCACCACGACGATGGAGGTAGTATTACCACAGGAGCACGGAAGCAGGGTTGAAAAGGTTGGCTGTGGGAAATGGACATTCACAGTAGAGATTAGCCAAGATGATATCGATCCCCGGAAGGAGCCCCCACTTGAATTCCCTGGAATATTATAGCCGCTCTTCCGTCAACTTAACGATAACAGCATATACGCGGCTCCCATTTGGAACCTTAGGATTTCCACCTCTTTTCTCAGGACTAGGCAAATCATCGAGTTCAACTGGGAAAATATGCGCAAATACGCACGCATATAGCGTATACACACAAATCTCAACTTGGGTAGGCGCAGGTCATCTCGTATCCAGTGGCGATTGAGTCGCGAGTCTCGGACCGAAGAGACGGTTGTGTATGACTGACAGTTGGAACCGTAATATACTTCTATGCGGCAGCGCTCGCATAGTCCCCTGTACCCCAAACCTTCTCCTTCCTTCGTCTACGTCAGACTCTCCGTCCTCGGGCAATCCTTGGGCTGGCCGAAATCCCAATTCAAACCATGAGTCCACAATACCGCTTTCGCGCAGTTGCATCATTTTGCAGTCTTGCGGCATCAGGCCCGCTGCTCTGTTGTACCATCATTTCAAAGACGCCATACAACTAGGCTCTGGCCCAGAAATTTGTCGCCCGATTATGGCCCTGCCTATGTTAATCTTATCTTCACTTCAACACGGCTTGGTTGGGATCACGAGTGAATTTCTGAGAATCATGTTACTTTTAGAGACGGGTCTTGATCTCCCAAATAACATCTTGCAATTTATGTGCATAGGTATAGATCTTGGCTGTGCTCCACTACGTGGCTCTAGCGTTAACGCCATATATGGTTCGGTAAACATTGGCACTGCACCTGAGAGAAGACCGTTCGTGATTGGTCACGCCTTGGAAGGTGCGCGTCCATTCTCATCTCCGACCCTGGCTATGAGAAATCCCAATAGAACTCTACATGTCATTTGTGCAGTTGAGGGTGGCTTGATCCGTGAGGCATTTTGGGAGGCCTGGGGTTGGAAGCAGGAGGGTGACTTCAAGACCCAAGGCCTATGCGGTCCATTTACATTTGGAAGCTTCAATGACAGTATGACCAACGTGATACAGACCATGTCTCCCCTTAGTGGCAGTACGCGATGCAAAGAAAAACAAGAACGTGAAAAAAGGAAGGAAATTCATTGAGTCTATCGAATCTAAATCTAAAATGCTAGGTTATTTTCATGGCGTCTTCTTGTAAAGATGATGCGTTAGGTATCTGTATGCCTCTCAAGGGTTGCCTTCGCCTTTTATAAGAACTAGGTTGCTCTTGCTGGCCGCATTATGCTTGCAAACATCCTTTCCTCTAAACGCCAATTCGAAGAAGGAGTAGAGCTCTACAAAGCTGTAAGCAAGAATGGTTGGCAGCATCAAGATCCAATGCAGAAGGCCTCTTGTAACTCCTCGAAGGCCCTTGTTATAATTGTTTGTGCTGTCGCCAGGCACAGGTAGGTTCCATCGGACGATAATGGTGACAATGAGTAAAAACGTGTATTGTGTGCCTAGGAAAATGAAGCAAATGGTGGAAAAAGAGAGTCGTTAATGAAGAGTCGGTCATGCTCGGCAGCAACCATGTTCAGGAGCTGAATGATGACGGGGAAAACACGGAGAAGATGGAGCTAGCGCAGAGGACGAGGCCATAGTAGATGAAAAAGCGACTGGCCCAGCTGATGGATAGGTAGAGGCTAGGCATTCGGTAGGTCTTGACAATGAAGTAGTGAAAAACTTCGCCAGCGCCGATGGTCCATCTGCGGACCTGAAGGGCCCATTCACGGATTTCATCGAGGTAGTTGGCACCAGAGGTCGGGCCGTTGATGGAAATGAGATTCAAAGGTCGGATGCGGATTTCCCGTCGTGTGTTGATGGTATAGCGAATCAGAGCAATGATATCCTCCATCTGGTAGGCCGGGTGGGTAAAGGCGCCTTCCTCTAACAACCTCACACTAAGGGAGTAGTGAGACATGGGGTTGATGTTCCAAGGAATCAGAACACCCATGAAGAAAAAGGTACGCAAGACACCGGTAATGTCGACGAAGAAGGGCATGGAGTCGCGCTTGTAGAGGATAATGGATTGCCAGATGGAGGAATGACGGTCGGCATAGTCCAGCTTGCAGTACTCGGTTTCCAGCTCCATCATATATTCGGGATCGAACACGGCGTCGCAGTCGCAGTTGGTGAAGATGTGTTCATACTTCTCGTAGTTATACTCAATGTCCTGACGGAGGATCTCCAGGCCTTGGCGACAGGCATAGTTCATGTTGGAGCACTTGCCGCTGATCTCCCCAGGAATGCCTGAGGGGTGGAAGGTGACTATGAGACGGAGGAACTTGCCCTCATACTTGGCGTAGACTTCATCGCGTTTAGCTTCCTTGTCAGGTGTGCGGCATTCCATGCCAATAATGACGGAGACGCGGGATTTGGCATCCCTCTGCTGCACGAGAGAGTCCAAGGTGGTTTGTAGTACACTCATGGGTTCCTTGTACAAGGTCATGGCAACTATGTGACGGATGGTTGAGTGCTCGTTGGCGGTGTCATCAGCAGATTCAACATCTCGGACCTCGGTGGTCTTGAGCTTATTTCGTCGATTGATGGCGAGCGTTCGGCGTATGGCGCAAATAGTGGCGACCAGCCAGACGAGTTGAAAAAGACCGATGATGATTATGAAAACGATGTTGGTTGCTTGATTGACATAGGGTATAAGAGGCATCCATATGGGGAATAAAAGAAAGATGAAAATTATTAGAAGAAATAGAAGATTCCAGCGGACATAACGATTAGCTGCCTCGAGCTTGGCAGCGTTGATGCCACTGTCCAGGCTTTCGAGAGACGACGATGACGACGACGGTGGTACTGATGAAGGCATGACGACGGAATTTCTGTCACAAAACTTGGAAGGAAATTCTCTAATAAGTGAAAACGAGCGTATGGGTCATGACAACACCTTTAATGGAGCATTCAAATAGAAATTGACTTGAATGAAGACTACAGTTCCCGTGAGAAGTTTGGAGGGCGTTTTCATGATGATTTATACGAATCAGGATCCTTCACGGACCCCTCCCTTTCCAAATACCAAGGCCTAGCATGAAGATAAGCGAACATGGCATCATGGATCTAAGGCGGAGGATTTGTTAGTCGATGCCCGTGCGAATACACGTCAACATAATCGAAAATGAGGTAAAACGCCGCTACGCTGAAGCTATCGCAAGGATAAAACGACGAATCGGCCAACATAGACCTGCTGCATCCTCGCTTGATGTTAGATAGGGATCCTGTCACATATTGAAGCCAAGTAAGGCTAGTGAGCGGCTGGGTTTCCAAAGTGTGTAAATAAAGGTATGGAAGGATTCCGAAAAGGGAGTAGCATGTGTCGAGGCACAGGGAGAAGACTTCTTCGCCCCAATAACGGGCGCGAGACCTTGGATGACGACTCCGCAAAGCGTGGACGTGCCGCCCTGCGCCCCATAATTCAGCTGGCTAACAGTCAATAGATGGACAAAAGAAGAAAGCTAGATGTTTGGCTAATTCTAGTCTCCTGTTTAAATTATTGGACTCTCGATGATTCCGGTACCGCAGACTCGGACCTCAGGGGACAAGCTTATTCTTAAGAGGCAGCCGTAGGAGAGGTCGCTCCGAGTCCGACTCACTGGTAATACTTGTGGCCTCCCAGAGCGTTCGGTCACGTGGCTAAGAACGCAGAGGACTTGGGCGAGCGACTTGTGCTGAAACGCTGATTGAATGTACTACACGAAAAACACGTCGACCTTGGCAGACCCAAGAGTGAGACAGATCCCAGAACACAAATCGGCATGAGCTCAGCCCAGCAACGGTAGTAGCCTGCTAATTTGGAATACCTCGCATTCGCGAGCCTGTTTGTCTCACAGCGCCACATAAATTAGAATTCTCACAAAAATTGAAAACAAACGCAAGAGACAGGGCAATCAAGGGGCAGGGGCATCTCTAAATAGTGAAGGTTTTTTACCCTCGTTTTTGAGAGTGTGGTCGGGATAAACGTGCCGAGCGGGTGGGCCCTTGGATGACAAGGGCTTCGGAGCCAACTGTTGTGGCAGGGGTGTTCCCAGCTGGTGGGCGGTAAGGCAGCCAGAGACGCCATGAAGATATTGTGCTGGCTGAAGAGGGGTATAGGGGCTTTGTCTTCTTGAAGCGCGCTTTCGCCCTCAAGAAAAGGGGCACTGGTGAAAAGTTGTCCTCCACTAATAATATTATGAAGAGGGAAGAGTAAACCAGAGCGTGAATAAGGGCTAAACTCGACGAGGAATGCAGTTGACTCGCAGCACCGCCGCACGTACCACGTCGGTTAGGCACGCTGTTAGTCATCATCAACGGCGTGCGAATTTTTCGTCCACGTTTCTTTTTAATCTTAATCTTAATACTTCGTACTTTACTCCTGCAGCCCAATCCTCCCACCAACACCCCTTTTCTAATATCCATTTCCGCTAGTGCGGAACGGTCAAAGTCAAGGTTAGATGGCGCGCGGCGGTCAACATAGGAGCTCCATGGCGGCCAATCATAAACGGGAGGTCGAATCAAAGGCAGGGGTTTAGAGCTAGAGACGAACGCACAACTGAACCAGACTTGTGAGGTGAATACCGGAGAAGCGGCGGGCATAAAAGTTTCATATCCGGATCTGACATATAAGGGGATTGGCCAACTGGTTAGCATTAGCCAAGTGGCAACTGCTTGGCAAGGTGGAAAGCCAAGAACGGACTCGCAGACGACGAAGTAGCTTGGCGGACCGCCAAGAGCCGATAGTCAGGCGAGCATAGACTGGCCTGCTTCGTGTACTGCTATGGTGTGGAAAGACTAGTCTAGAAAGATCAAAGGGGAGGGGCATCCCTCTCAGGAGGGATGCCTAAGACCGGATCACCCTCGTGTCGGATAAGTCTACGTTGAACCCCCATAGCTTGGTGCTATTATCAGAAAGTAAACACACCTGCGACTGTAAACTTGTCAAAATATATGGTACACGTGATAATACCTATGGCAGTGTGTAGCCGACACTAGAATATCCATCTTTTGGACCCATAATAGCTACCGACTGGACTGGGTGGGACTATTCCTCCTCACTGTCGCCCCTTTGTCTTGACACAATGGCAGCCTACTTGAGGTCTACCCCCGACGTACTCGATGGTTGCTCCTCCAGTTTGTTCCGGTCGACAAACCGTATTACCTTTTGTCCAGTGCTGCTTCTAACAAACTCTGTCTGATCCTTCAATAGCCGAAGTTTGAAGTAGCCACGGTTCTCATCCAAGACATAGAAGAACTTGTCGATTGCCTCGGCGAGCTCGTCATCCGTCATCTTCTCTCCCAGAGAGGACTCTTTGGAACGGAAGACGCGAACCTCCAGAGTAGGGGTTATCACTTGCTCTTCGCCCAAGATGAGCTGCCACTGCATAATCCCCATCCCTGCTGTCTGCATGAACTCGGACACCTTGCCAAATTCAAAGTACATAGCGTACCACTTGAAGCTAAAACGTCGATCACGGCCGTAAAGGCGCAAGACTTTGAAATATTGAGCATCTTCATCGGCAAGCGTGGCAGTGGCAGCCTGCGAAAGCGTGTGAAGTGAGCCAATATCACCGGTCACGTACCTGACCAATGGGTTCCTTAGGCGATCCAATGATGTCTGGATAATGATGCCCGGAGTCCCATCGGGAAGCCGCTCCTCGCCGGCAACATTTTTGGCCTGGTCTCCATCGTGCTCCAGCACAGATCGTGGCATGATCTCAATAATCGTTGATCGTGTATCGAAGATGAAATCACTTGCATCAGGTGGGCACGACCCGGTAAGGTATGAGTTTCCAACCGCCCAGGGTCCAGCTTCAGAACTGCCCAGGATAGAAAATATCTTGACCTCGGGACCAAGCACAGATGGGATATAAGCGCGCTGTTCCACTGTCAAAGGTTCGGAAGTGTAGATGATCTTGTCGATGCAGATAAGTTGGCGCTTCTCGGGCGGAAGAGTGGAAATATAGTGAACCATCCGGATGATCTGGCTGCCGTCACCAGTCAAGAGATTGATGCGATAGGCAAGAAGCGCTTCGGCCACATCGGCTGGTGCCATGTTGTTTCCCGCGCTGAGGGTAGAGACGCCTGCATTCTCAAGCATCTCGCATGTGAGATCTAGAGAACTGTGGTGTATTTTAAATTCTGCTTAGCTGCAATTCAATGCAAACGAGAAGGGGTACGACAAAATACAAGTTAAGAAACACGATAAACAAACAGAGTTGTAAGGTAATATGACCGGCATAGTTGATAACAAGATCAACATTGAACTTACCGGTAAAAGTCACCAGAGGCGTGAGTCGATAACGCCCAATCACGCGGCTCGACTAGACCACAGGCCTTGATAAACGCTCCCATGCGGGCTCTATGCCTGCGGTTCTCCCAGGCATCCGTTGCGAACAGCATTGGCACACCGCCGGAGCCGCCTCCTGTTATGCTTAAGTAACAGCCCTGGCGCCATGTATTTTCCGGCTTTGTGTCACATGAGAGACGCTCAATGGTCGTGTACCTATGGGTATAACATACGAACGTTAGACTTGCACGATATATGGTTATGAAACCCTATGTATCTCTGAAGCTGAGGCAGAGTATAGGGGAGAGAAGGGAGATTGAGAGGTGTGTATCAATGCCTCAAGCCCCTACAATTGTTTTTGGTGGCGAGCGGGAGTCGCTGCAGTTGTTGACTCGCCAGTTCGAGGTCATCCTGGGTCGACTCGACAATTTCCTTGACTTGTTGGGGAGCAGGCGGGTACACGATCTCTAACGCGTAGAAGGGATGGATCCGCGTAACTTTCAGGATAGTACTCAGCGAGAAAGGTTTATTTTCCCTCTGGTCGTGAGATTTCTGGTTGTAAGACTTGACTAAGACCATTGTGAAGTATAACGGTGGAGTTGGGGACAAGAACTTAGAATGCTACTAGACGTGCTCGGACAAGAAAATGACATCAAGTATTTCCATAAGTTGGGGAGGGGAAAGACCCCAAGGGACATATAAACCGGAAGGGAGAGGAGTGGGACAAAAAGTGATGGCGGGGACTGGGGCGGCGTGCAGGGTGACGGTGGGATAGGCGAGAATAAATGCGGCATTACTCGGCGACATGTCTCTGCCCTATTATGTGATATGCCATGCTGGGAACCTTTCAGCTTAGCTGCAATACCAACCTTCTTGGTGGGTCTCGGATAAAGGGATCGCCGATAATACGTCTTTAATTTGCGATAGGTTCACGGGGAGGGCGCATGCTAGTCTGGGCCCCGGATCTTTCGTTTATGCTCTCCTCTTCGTTTTCTACCTCTTATTCGTTTTTCCTCCATCACTGGCTTGAAGATCGATCAGGTCCATAACAACGAGTGCTTTGCCTCTACGCTCCGGATGATGTGGTACTCTGCGTGGCCATGGCCGGTGCATATTTATTCATATAAAAGCTGCGTATTGCACATGGTATGAAGGAGGAAGAACCGCAGGATTCACTCACAGGATCCCGTTCTCTATAATACTCACCCGGAATGTCAGGCAACAACCGCGTCGAAGCTGCCATTCAGCGGCACTTGGATGGTCTCCTGGATATGCCGTCAGATCCCCGATCTGACATGGCATTCATCGTAGGGGACTTGAACAATGTGTTGATTCAACATCAGCGCTGGTCACACGCTTTGCCGCGGGTCAAACCTTTCTACGGTACGGTAGGCACAGGACAGATTGAATGCTTAACATCCGACTAACAGATCTCCCAGCCGTTAAATGCAACAACGATGTTGCGTTTCTCGGTGTGCTCGCCAAACTAGGCCTAGGCTTCGATTGTGCATCACTTGGAGAGATCAAGCTCGTGCTTGGTCTCGGGGTTGAACCATCTCGCATTATTTACGGTCACCCATGCAAGACAGTTTCGGCCTTGCGCTATGCAGCGACTCGTGGAGTATCGTTGACTACATTTGATAACTTGGACGAACTCGAGAAGGTGGCCAGCACATGCCCAGAGATGGGTCTTTTGCTACGCATCTATGCGCATGACGAAACTGCCCGTATCAGTCTGGCGAAGAAGTTTGGTGCTCCGCTGGATACGACTGGTGAGCTGCTGCAGAGGGCGAGGGATCTTGGTCTCGAGGTCCAGGGCGTCAGTTTCCACGTTGGTAGGGGATCCTCCGCTGTTTCTTGGCTTCGTGTCCATTCGCTAAAACGTCATAACTCTTGCATTTAGGTACTGGAGCATCCGACCCCAAGGCATATATTGCGGCTGTGAGACACTCGAAGCAGGTCTTCGACTTGGGCCAACAATTCGGCTTCAACATGTGTATTCTGGACGTGGGCGGCGGATTTCAAGATGAAAATCTCGAGACCATTGCACCCCGTCTGGAACGGGCCATTGACGCGGAGTTTCCCGACCGCGCGGTTCAGGTTGTCGCAGAGCCTGGCCGCTTTTATGCCCGCAGCTTTTACACGATGGTCTGCAAGGTTATTTCCCGGCGTACGCACGTTTCCACCAGTCAACCTTCCCGTGAGCAAAAACAGCACCATTCTTCATCAGCCAAGGTGGATATGCTTTATCAGAGCGACGGCGTCTATGGGTGTTTCATGAATGCACTCTGTGAAGGCGAAATATATCAGCCCACGGTGATCCGCGCTTACACCGGCGGACCTAGGACAGCTAGAAACAATGGCACCCACCTCTATTCCATTTGGGGTCCTAGTTGCGACTCCCTCGACTGCATCAACGAGCAAACGTACCTGGATTGCGAGGTGAGGGTCGGCGACTGGCTCAAGTATAACAACATGGGCGGTAAGCACAAACGGCCTTGCCTGTTTTCTTCTTCTTTTTCTTTCTTCCTTTTCCAACGGCGAAATACGCCATCGTTCAAGTTAACTAATAATTCGCTGTCCGTGGAAAAGCATATACTACCGCTTGCTCCACAACCTTCAACGGATTTTCGAACCAGTATGAAATCATCTACGTGGCACCAGAGATATCTTTGAATGCGTATCTGCCATCACCGCCGCAGGAGGAGGAAGCGGAGCCTATGATGGCGGCTCTGGAGTTCCAGCCCCTGGAACTCGCCGAGCTTCGGCAGGCGGGGAAGTAGAACCCAAGAATTTCTTTGGCCAAGTTTAAAATAAAAGATCCACTTCCGATTCGCCCTTGTCCGCGCTTGTGGTAATCACAAGTCCGTTAATAACCCTGGGGCTGGCAGTGGCTGGCTGTACGGAAATCCTTTGAAAAGAAGCAAAAGTTTCATTACATCATTCATGTATTCTTGTCGTAGATCATGCGCCTGGAGCTTAGGTGCGGAAGGCGCTAATTCCCAAAGATTCTCCTCTGGTTAAGCTAGACTAGGGTCTCCTGTGGTCGGAGTGGCTGGCTGTTGCTCTAGTGCCCGAGCTAGATTACGACTTGGGCCGATCGGAATACTCCCGTTCAGGTTAGTATTATTGCATGTTACGCTTTAGTAAGATGTTGAATCTGTAGATCTGATATTGAGTGAAACCAAATTCTGCGTAGACATTACGGCGATTCCCGCATAACGCCTTTTGAGAGTTCTAGAACGAGGCCAAGTAAGAAAGAATCGTTATGCGCCTCTAAAATGGAATTAAACAGATCCTGTTGAAAACTCCACCCCGTCCCATCTCACTCTTCTCAAGTGTCGCTCGGGATCATTGACGTGATTCCTTGCATGTAGCCATCTACGGTTATCCATAACCACGATTGAACCTCTAGGTAAAACCTCAGGTGTCAAGTTTAGCTTGGCTTGTCTCACTTGAGAGCCCGCAAGGACTTTCCGAAACTCCTCCAAAGCGGCAGCGGCCCGCGCCGTCAGCGGCGCCATAATATCCTCCCTAAATCGAAGTAAGGCAGGCGAAGCCTTGGGTGTACCACTGGCGCTGCTTCCACCCACAAGTAAGCTGCTGATGATAGACGTCTTGGTAGGAGACTGTATAAATTCGGGGGAACTGTAATCCGAAATTCTGGTCTTGTGAGCGCTTCCCTCCCCGAATCTGACAGAAGCTTGATGGCGTGATCGACATTGAGCACAGAAAGCGTCCCTCCCCGCAACGGTCGTGCTGAAGGACTTGCAAAGCAAAATACCGTGGCGGGCAATCTTCGTAGCTGCAGTCAGTGTGCCAGGGAAGTCTGCCATTGTTTCAGAGCGAGCACGATGGTTGTTGCTCTGGAAGGTGGTCTCATTGGGCCGGACGTCCCAGAACCAGCCTTTGGATGCGCTGTGATTTACTGGAAGCCCATGACGATGATTTAGATGAAGGTTTTGGATGAGGTTGCTGAGATATTGGCTGCTATCGTCGTCAAACCCAAGGCTTATCTTGAGGATGCCCTTGTTTGAGAGGATTGAGTGTACCTCGTTTATATGACGAGGTTGTTTGGCGATAGAAAGAAATGGTGCTGCTATTTGTGGCACATTGGATTTTCCTAGTTTGGCAAGCAGTATCGAGCTTTCTAGTTAGCCACGCTTGATGATGTTGATGGTGGTCACTGAGCAGTGCGGGGGTGTAGAGTATGGGAAGGAACATACTTACCGGCCGCAAGGCTGGTCAACACTTTTGTCTCTATCGAATGTGTCAGGACGCGTTGCATTGTGAGGCACGTGTGGATTGTGGGATACTAGTTAACTCGTGATATACAGCAGTGGGATGAGATGGAGAGTTTTCGACGATTCCACGCTGATTGATCACGGTCAGTGTTGGCCTGGGCAAACTTATAGCTATTATGTGATAACGGATATGTGATGGTAAAATTGTCTGTCGCTTTTAAGGGTGTCTTGCATTCAACGGCAACCTGCTAAATCTCGTTTATTTAGAGCAATTGCAGCAAAGCACCCCTAGAATCACAGTAAGATTGAAAAAAAAAAAAGAAAAAAAAACTCTAGCTCAAAAAGGGGAGATTATCTGATCCTTGCTATGGCTTGGGACCCGAGGCGCAAGTTTCCTCATAGGGCCCTCGGGATGAAGATCCCCTACTGGTCTCGGCGGGGAAGATGCACCTGCACTTTCTCATCACAATAACTGCAAACAGCATGGCGTGCTCGGCCCTACCCGAACGCGCATATGCATAGTTGGGTAGCAGTGTGGGTAATCCTATGAACGAGTCGTGTGTGGACATGAGAAAGGAATCATACCGTAGCGATAGCACGTACTTGCGAGAATATGACGGTGCGAGGCAATCTCGCCATCGTGTATATGCGGTGTCCTGGGTTAGTTATCGTGGCCGGCCGCTGGGTTGCAGGCTCTCGCATCTCAACGACAATGTGGGCATCATTCGGAATAAGCAATCTCGATCTTAGAGAGAACCCCCACGTCTTTGCGTTAGAATAGTTACTACAAGTACATTCAGCTCCCCACAGGACGCGCTGGCGTCGTTGAAACCTGGTTCGAAGCTTGGGGCAAGGCTAGTAGAGCAAGGCGCATATACGGGTAGCTTACCTGCTAGTCTAATAGATACTATATAACGAGCTGAGTCATTTCCCTCTTGCTCTCTCCGTGGCGAGTAGCTTGCCAGCGGGAGCCAAGGCTATCCGTGGTGTTTTACATTAGACTTGGACCCGACCGGATTCCTGATTGCAGCTGAAATGCCGGACATGAAACGCAAGAGTCAAATTATGATAAACTACTTTCTCTTTGAACTACTGGAGACCAAAAGCAAACATGAGCGCTCTTGGTTCGCCCATCATTCCCGCGCGTGTCTTAAAATTGCATTCTGGCACCCTCCAGCCGTCGACACACACAAAGGAGGCTGTTCTAGGCACTAGAAAACATTGGCGTGGCGGACACAGTCCAATGACCACCTGTGCTGACAGCGCAGACCCGGCTAGGACCATACCTCCAAATGCCAAGTCCGATCAGTTCCCCGTCCATCAAGTGGAACGTGCCGACTAGTGGCTGCCACTCTCGACCGGAGGGCCCCGCGCTAAGGCTGTACAGGCGTTGATTGACCAGGCGCTGGATGACCCATGTGCTTCCGGTACCATGGGTACCCAGAGCACAATCCAGACCGGGATTGGCGAGGCGCTGCTCGATGTGTTCTAGGAAATGATCGGCGGCCATCTCATCTCCGAAGCGGATACCGTCTCCCTTTCCGCTGCGAATGGGCTTGAGAAGATAGTCGTTTATGAGATGGGGATTATTCCGACAGCGTCTCAAGAGATCTGCCATCTCAGGCGAACCGGGAAGAATCGTCTCCACGATTCCCTTTTGAAGCGTCGCAGCCTGGCTCGCAGTCAGGACGCCACGTCCCACTAGCCTGGGGAGCTCCTGTCGAACGATACCAAGCATTCTCTTATCGTGCACGAGGAGAATAGTACGCATGTCGTTGAGGCAACGAAGAGAGACGAGGCGCAGCATGATTTCTGACATGGCGTGAAGCTCATGCTGGTGAAGCTCGAGCGCCACTTGATGGATTTCCTCCACTGGTTCGTCATCGTCGGAGAGGAGAAGCGTACCCAAGGTGCGTTTGTGGTCGCGAGATTCGTGGCCCGACGTTGGAGCTACTTTCAAGCAGCAGAGCTTGAATCCCAGCGGGCTCTCAGAATCCGCAACGACACGTAAATCTGCGGGCGAGATCAAGCGCGGCCTTTGCCCCAGAACGCGCCGCAGGTGGTCTGTTAACATGAAGATGTCGTTCCCTGCTTCGACTCCCTTGAGAAGATGCACAGGTTTGGTGAGGTCAAAGAAGCCGTGCCCTCCCTGGTATAGCTAAACTCTCGAGGGAAGAAAAGAGAAATGAGTCAGTTGGGCTGCAACCACATTCTGCTCAAACGAGGGCAGGAACTTCATACCTTGTCTACGCTCGCGGATGTGGTGAGTCCTATATTGCTCAGGCCCAAATCATGCCAAGCCTGATAACCATAAGCTGCATGATAGAGCCCATTGAAAGCAAAACGGGCATTGATTTCAGTGATGCAAAAGGACTCCTTTGGGAGGGTAGAACCGTTAGAGCGGTCGTCCTCCACTAGAAAATCTGGCCTCCATGCACCGCGGCACTGGCGGAAGTGGGGGATTAAACGAGGAGTTTCCTCGTCAATCCACTACATAAAATTTGACGGTTAGTGTTCGATATTCAATTCTTCTGCTGACAGGCCACGGATCGGGTCTACTTGCCTTGAGCAATGCCTCTTCCCTCTTGCCTAAAGGCATCCTCTCTGGGAAATTAGTCTCCGGGTCCGACCACCACCTCTCGACGATATCTGTAATCGCGAGAACAAGGGCATCGCTTAACTGAGCAAGCTGCGTTTGGTGATGATGGGACACGAGGATAGGCCGTGCAGAAGTCAAGTCATAGTTGTTCTTTGGCCAGGCTTCGGGCGGGCATTGCCGGAGCAAGCTGGAGACGTATAAGTCCTGTACTCTTGATGGATCGACGACTGCTGCAGCCGACTTAACAGGAGGACTGTCTCCGTCAGTTACTCGCTGCCGGATCCCGACATGTATCTGGTGTAGGAGCTGGGGCGCCGTCAAGCTCACGGTAACCATTTTCAACAACAAAGAAGTTCGCAGTGTAAACGGATAAAAAACGTTGCCGCGAAAGAGCGTCTGTAAACGGGGGTATGTGATGGGATTGCCTTAGAGCCCACAATAACATGCAGCTCGTGATCTATTACGCCCCAACCGGGAGACACACGCGGCGGCTATTTAAAGAGAGAGACCGAGACCGTGTTTGTACACAGTAGCGTAACTCATTGTGTAAATGGCTCATGCTGATTTGATCTATTTCCTGGCCGAGGTCGAGACGGGTACCCGATTGACGAGGTTGGCGTGCTCGGGGATTATCGAGGTCTCGAATCTTAGTTCGGAATGTGGCGTGCGCGGCCCGGCCCATGCATCCCAGCCAGCCACCAGTACGGCTGCTCCCGTGAAATGTACGTGCGGGCAGGTGGGCATGCCTTTATCGAGCACCGGGAGCGAGCGAGAGCATGACTCCTACCGTTACGGATTAAGACAGAGCTGCTTTTTTCTCACCAGTCGATCTCTTTACGCGGCCCCAGCTGAGTCCGGCTCCAGGGGTATTATGGCGAGAGTCAGTGTGGTTGGGCGTGGCGGGTGCTGCCTCGCAGGGCTGGCGGTGATCTCCACAGGAACTAGGCTTAAATTGGAGGATAGGATGGTAGCAGGGTGCGTTAGGTACTTTGCCTTCCATCTCAGCAACCCCTCTTATATTTTGTTTTTTTGTTCATGAGATCGTCTATTGTAGCTAGGAAGATCAACGGTGAGTGACGTGTTTTAGTACGAGGGTCGATCGCTATTTACGTCCCTTCGTGAGCTCTTTGCCTGTCTTGAGGAGGAACACGTCGCTTGATGAACATGTAAAGCAAAAGAGGAAGGCGGAGGCGGCAATGAAAATGGAAGGAGGTAAGGGGAAATGTGGAAATGTGGAGAAGCCTAAAAGAAAGTGCGACGCTGCAGGCGTTCAACGCGCCGTTGCTTGCTGCTTCATCTTCCCCACCCTTCCACCTCATTTCATCATTTTCCTTCCCCTCAGCCTAGGTCCAGGGGTAGCATCCTTCTTCTTCTTCGTCTTCTTCTTCTTCTTTGAGCTCGCATTTTCTACCGAGGTATCTAATACGCAATTGCCGCATCCGGGTCGAGGAGGTAGGCCCTTTTCTCTTGCATCCTAACTTGCAGTGAGTGGAGAATCCCCTGCCTCTAGGCCCAATTGCACGCCTTCGGTCGTGAATCGTACATATCCCTGCGCCCCTCCGTTGAAGCATTCGATTTGGTAATAACATCATCGTCCAGATCCTGACACAAAAGAAACTACTGACGTAGAAGCTGCAGTCGCTCTTTTTGCTGTCGTTCAATCTCACCATGACACGTCAAAGGTCCCGCTCTCACGGGGACGGCGATGATGAGACCGCAACCGAGACAACCCCGTTCCTCCACCGCGACAAGAACGGGAGAAGCAACGACACGGAATCACCGACAGTACGTGCTGACGATGATATCCAAAGCGGACACGGAGGTTCTGGTGTGGGCAAAAGCTACGGAACCGGCAGGGAGCAGCAGGACGGGCGACCGCCGGGCAAGCCGCTGCCCAAATTCCAGATTCTGCTGCTGTCGTATGCGCGCATGATGGAGCCCATCGCCTTTTTCTCCATCTTCCCCTTCCTTGCCAAAATGGTGGAGCGCAACGGGAAGCTACCCGAGTCAGACGTGGGCTTTTATAGCGGCCTCATCGAATCACTCTTCTCCGCGACGCAAATGGCCGTGCTGCTGTTCTGGGCTCGCCTCGCAGATCGCATTGGCCGAAAGCCCGTCCTGCTCATCAGCCTCGTCGGTATGGCCATCGGGCCCGGGCTCTTCTGCCTCTCCACAACTATCTGGGAAATGATCTTGTATCGCTGCTTAGCTGGCATCTTCTCTGGATCGTCGCTCATCATCCGCACCATGATTGCCGAGCTCAGCACGCGGGAGACGCAGGCCCAGGCCTACAGTTGGTTCTCTGTCAGCTCTAACCTTGGCATCTTCTTTGGCCTTATTATCGGCGGTGTGTTGGCGAATCCCAAGGAGCAATACCCGCGATGGTTCGCCGACAGTGTCTTTTTGACACCTACCCCTACGCCTTGGCCGGTTTCGTCATCGCTGCCATCGGCGCCACAGGCGCCGTGACCACCGCCCTGTTCCTCGAAGAAACTCTCACCGCCCAGGGTCGCGTCAAAGATTCCAGCGCCACAGCTACCGAGGAGGTCCCCGTGGCTACGCCTACCTTGTGGGAAGCCCTCAAGGCACCTGGCGTTGCGGTAGCGCTGTGGGTCTACTCGCACACCATGCTCCTTGCCTATATCTTTACCGCCGTATTTCCCATTGCTCTCTACACGCCTGTAAAACTTGGCGGTTTTGGCTGGGGCTCCAAACCTTCGATGATCTCCCTCGTCATGGCCGTCGAAGGTGCTAGCCAGACCCTCTGGCTGCTCCTCGCCTTCCCCTCCCTCCAGCGTCGGCTTGGGACAAAGATCGTGATGCGATGGTGCGCCATTGCTTACCCATTCACCTTCCTAGGGTACATCCTCCTGAACTACCTCCTCCGCACTGGCAGCCCTGTCTCTATGGCCTGGTTCTGGTCCATTGGAGCAGTCATTACCATTCTCGGTCCGGGCGTTTCCATGACATTTACGGGCGTGCAGCTCGCCCTGAACGATTCCGCTCCTAATCCTCTCTTCCTTGGCACTCTCAATGCCATCGCACTGATTGTCTCGAGCGGCATACGCACCCTTGCACCAGGCGCGTCGACCGCCCTTTACGCGGTCGGTGTGAGGAACCAAATTCTTGACGGTCAGTTAATCTGGATCGTCCTGAGCGTCCTGAGTGCAGCGTACATAATTTGCTGTGAACGACTCCCCGACGATGCTCCGCCTCGACGCGCGGAGAGAAGCGGATCATCCTAGCAAGACGGACAAGCACGAAGTATCCACGCCCGAGAAAGAGGAAAGCTACATATGCCCTTCTATTAGCCGAGCAATGGTAACATAACCGGCCACCACGTAACGAAGATCGTTGTCGGCATTTTGTACCGGATGAGGCCACTTTGAAATGTGCTAGTGAGGGTCTATCTGCCTTTGGACACGATTCAGCTATGGCTGTGCGCATTTGTAAACTGCCTACCTCCAGCTGAACCACCTTGACTGTCGTAGTAGCTAAGGGCGTTATGATCCCTGCGCTCACCTCCCCCTAGAGACGAGTAGTATAATTCAGATGAAATATAAAATGCGGGTTATTATTTGACGTACAGTAAAGGACTGGATAAGATTTCGTTAAAAAGTTAGTCTGTAGGAGCGAAAATGCATAGGATAGGTAGCATTGACATATAGGCAAGTGAGTAGTTCGGATTCTCGCCCTTGCCCCTGCCTCTGCCTCCTTTTATATACCGGAAGGGAGCGAGCAATGTCGGTATGTATTGGAGCGCGGTCAATTATCAGAGCTTCCACTGAGCTATTGCATTAGGATAGCTAGCCTCTTTCAATGACTGTACATGTATTATTAGTTAGAGAGCTTGCGACGACTTGAAATAGGTAGTTGTTATAACAATCGCATATTGACTCTACCTGATGTATGCTACCCTTATGTCATTTGGAAAGTCGGTAAGTAAGACGGTGTTTCATAATGATAATCGGTGTTAGATAGAGAAGTGTTTAGTGTAATAAAAGCTACGGTTTAGAGGGGTAAAAGATTATGCTACCCGTTTGCCCTCACAATTCTCGAGGATAATCTTGACTTGGACGACGGCTGTTACACTCCCGCCCGCTTGCTTCGGCCAAGGCTACGTGGACAGGCTCGCCCAGCAGGGCTTCGTCATCAAGTCTAAAGTTCTACAAGACTAGGATACCAGCTGTTATAGTGATATCCAACGTCACGCGTCGGAATCAAGGGGCCAAAATAAGGCAAAATCTTAACTTGAGGTATCGTTTAGTATTAAGGATTGAAAGCCTAGGTAATAGGCGCCCTTGATCAGTTGCCGTTCTTTCAGTCGCGGACATGAATTGAAGATGGAAATTAGCTACCTGTAAAGTTCACTTCGCCGAACTTCGATCGAGACCTATAGATGTAGTGAGTAGGCACCACCGGCTCAGCCCAAATCAGAGGCCCAGCGCAATGATCCTTGAGAGTATATTAGGCGATCTTCACGTGCGGCCGCCACCACATCGACGGGCTGTTCTCCTAGATTTTGCCGAAATGCCGCCAACCCGCCCGTGCCGACAAAGCGAGCGCCTACTGATGGGTAGGCCACGTCTTCGTGTAACTCGCAGTCGAGTGCTTCTATATTAATGGCCAGAGGCAGCACCATGGGGCGCGGCCCCAGACTCAATCTGCACGAGTTAGGAGTGCCCAAACAATCTAAACATTGAACCTCATCTATGCATGTCAGATCCTTAGCGAACAACCTTCCGATACCTACTAGCCAGCGTCCTTTGGAACTGGTATAGGCAGCGGGGTGATGGCGGACGTAATTGCGATGCTGGAGTTAGGAATGGAGAGGATGCTATTTGCCTAAAGAGTCCTTCGCTCGGATGATTCCGCCACATGAACACTCCTGCAACTTACAACCACCTAGCTTAATATCGTGGAATCCAACGCAATAAGTCGGAGATCCTGCAGGCTAACACGCGATATCACGGCGCGGGGCTACACCCGCGGCAGATATGGGGTGGTGTTTATAGGGTGCTTTAGGGTGAAGACGTAGCGGATGGGTTCGGCGAGTATATAATCAACATACTTCCCCCAAACGCCGATACTGGATAGAGATAGAATTGATAGCAAGTCTATATATCGCTTCCGATACACCTATCCTTTTGCCTTTATCCAAGACTCGACACTAGCTGCAACAATGCTTCGTTTCCAGCAACTCCTTATAGTTGCGGCCTTTTTGAAATGGCCATTGCAACCCCAACTCCGGCTACACCTGCGGGCATTTTAGCAAAGAGGGAAGAGGGCTTTGTCTTCGTGGACTGCGGAAACTATTCCGCAGCGAATGTAAGTATTAACAAACGCTATGATAAAGAATAATACTCGCCGAACCTTATTTAGACCGCCAATAATCGACCTAACTATAGAAAAAATGTTACTAATTAAGGACTATATAGTACTGCCCGAACGCAGATAAGTGCGAGGCTAACCCTGGCCCGGGGACACCTGTCTCCCTATCCCGGCTGGGCAGTACGACTGGGCCTCTGGCTCGCTCGACTGCTCTTTCCCAGGCTCCCACGGAACCCTGGCATGGAGGTTACATTCCGATGCTGCTGACTGGCCGGAAGGCAGCGCCGTAGGGTATGTAGAACAACTTCTCGTACCTCTCTCATGGACAAGGTGCAGCCACCATTTTTGTTTACAGCAACTGACCTTTACTATAGTGAGGCGGACAATGGATTCCGCGAGTTCCGAGTTTATAGGGATAATGGACGGGTTATTTATGTTGATGGAAACGGAAACGAATGCCGGAGCCTCTACTATCTGGTCCCAGAATAGTTGATATAAAAGTCGCGAAAATCCGGTACCATTTTTAATTCTTCTTGCAGATATGATAGTTTCAGTTCTATATATTTATCATTGCGCTTTTATCGCGCAGACTTCTGATTATATGAAGCAGGCAGGCTATACCTGCCTAGTATAGAATTATCTTAAATTCAAACTGTTCAAGTACGTTGAGTGGATTAACAATGGTCTAGGCATTTGATATTGATATTATATAAACACTCGCTGAAGAATAGGAAGCCATTTGTTCTCATGATTAACCTCACCAAATCCTTCAGCTAGCCCTTAGGGGTTCGTCTAAAGCAGCGCCTAGCCTAATACCACTAAATTTCCAACTAGAAAATCAAGGCTTCAACTAGTCTAGTCTAGTGATATATTAGAAGTATGAGGTACTCGGCATGAAATAGAGAAATTAAAATAAGAAAATTACCTATAATAGATTTAAGTAAATTAAGAAACTTGTATTTATAATAGTACCATGTTTAGTATTCTTAGTCTTAAATTTCTTACTTGTACCTCATAATCCTTACTAAGAAAAATATAGATCGAAAAGAATAGAAGCCATGAAGAAAAACGATGAAGGCGAGGTTCAAATCTCCCGAATTGCTTACTGGAGTGAGAGTTTTCTCTAGATTGAACCTACTCTGCTGCCTTATGTTGCTTAGACACCTTGACTACGCCCTAATTCTAGTTTATCGTAAGAGTATCAACCGCTCGCCTTCCCTAACAGGAATTTTAAGACGAGATTATCATGAATATATCAAATGCATCCCTACGGTAGGATCGTATCACCTTGTGCCGCTTCACCAGTAGTATTTCCCGAAGTGGTCGCGGTCCAATGTCAAGAGCTAAAAAACAGCTAGCAAGACGTGATCAAAATACGAAGCCCCGATCTTACACTGAGCACCATCATGGTGGATATTAGGCGTAGCTAGTGTTTCACTCGCTGGGGCCCCAGTGGTGCCCTCGGCTTGCCCCCTCAAGGGCTGGTTGCTAAGTATTATATGCAGGGTATGAACTTCTGACGGTCCGACTTGAAGAGATTATCTAGGCTCCCTTGTTGCGTGAAAATGTGGAACTCTGAGTTGTGGAGCCGTCCTGGCTTGGAACCTATTATTGCCAAAGCCGGTTAGCTCGCACTCTGCTTGACCTACGAGGACATATAACCTGATAGTTGGCTGGCTGAAAATAGGAATCATTTGGAACGGACGAATCATTTCCACGACACCCCTACTTGAAGGGTAGCCTTGAGGAGACTGCATATATATCCTCTTTCTTAGGCACGAATTTGCTTTCTCTCTCAACAGCGCGAATGGGGCAATCACTAACTTCAATGATAAAATCATTTCATGGGGTTGGCAACGTGGAGGCCTGCGTTAAGGAGGCGATGAATGCGCTCCTCGAGCTCGGACGGGACCGAAGCAAACCGGCACGGGCAGAAGCAACGTCTAATACTGCCAACATCGGTATGCCCATCAATCAACTGCGCGTACAACATCAGCTAATTATTATTGATACCAGCTCCGGGACAGAGGGTATCATTGAAGGTATCAAGGATTCTATGGGCGGCCGTATCTCGGATCTGATGTTAGATGGGCATGTAAAACATATCACTTAATGGAACTTGGGGCCGGGACGGGTTGAAACATGCTTTTATCAATGAGGAAGTGAAATACTTTTAAGTTTAATGTATATATCAACAGAAAACTAAAATGTGACCGATAATATCCGTGGTGTGCTCAATGTTGTTTAGGATCATGCTCTAGCCAAGCGTGAAAACCTACACCTATGCACTCATTGCGACAGAGATAAGGACTCTCCCTCGCATTGATATCGATATCTACTAGCTCGTGATATTCACGCTCTTATGTCAATGACATTCGGAAGATCTCTGCCGATAAGGAAAAGTCCATCTACAATGTGATTTGGCGGCATGGACTGAGGCCAGGGCTAATAGTGGCGGGACAAAGAATAAAAGACAGACTAGCGGTGACTGCGATGGCGTTCTTGATGGCCGCCTGGTGCCTGAAGCGCAGGAGCGAGTACGATCTCTTTTTGTTCCCAGTGTATAGGACGCAAATATGAAAAGAAGAGGGCTTCTCGTTAGCGATGTGCCGGACGCCGCTCGACATCCTTGACGTTGCTTGGTCGAGGCTGTTGACCGCGGTTAACACGGGGTCATATGCGACTGTGAGCACACTATAGGCGATTGAGATCTATATCAGGGATGAGAGGATTTAGAAAGCACTGGCCCGTCTCTAACAAGACTCTGGTAGAGGGCATGAAACCAGGTCTATAAATTGATTATGTTATCGTAGTTTTCCGTCAAGATCAGTCCGGCTAGCGTGTTTAGTACTCTCCTAACATTATATCGGCTAAAGCATTCGGACCTGCTGATACCAAAGGCTGGGGTGGTTCTACTAACGACAGCAGGAAGACATCCCGAATAGCGCAGTAAGGCGGCCATAACCCCGATGTATCCCGGAGAGACCGGCTAGTTATTGAATATCTAACAAGTATACTACGAATGGCGAAGTGTCTCGTATCATAGCATATTATATTACCCCCACGCTGGCGATTACACGCCTAGCTATATGAAGATTAGATCGATTTTATATAGGAAGATGAAGGGTAATTAATATGACGTGAGGATGTGAAATAACAGTAAATTATATAGTTCCTCGGGTTTGAAGGTATTTAGTACACCCTAATAGCAACTCTGCGACTCGTTCTAGGGTAACTTTTCAATATTATCAATAATCTGAGCATGCGCCTCCTGTCTGCGCTCCTGAAAGTACCTTGCCGAGATCCTGTTTTCGAACATCCAGTCTACCTCGGCGATGCTAAGCCCCTTAGTCTCTGGAACAATCCAATATGCGCCAACGAGATAGACGCTAGCCAGCGCTGCATATATGAAGCCAGTCTTCGCGCCGAGGTTTGCCGAATCGACATTATAAAGATAGGGCGTAATGAAGGAGAAGATCCACTGGAATATGGCGTTTGAAAACACGGCGATCGACTGAGTCTTAGCTCGCAAGCGGTAGGACGATATCTCAGACACTAGCGTCCAACCCATAGCGATGAGGGTCACGACACCCCATGCGATGAGCAGATTCATAATAACGGCAATACCCCACACAGGACCAAATCCGCGGACATAGTATAGACCTCCGATGATAAAGAGACCGGCCGCAGAAACGAGCGGGCCGGAAAGGAATAACAACCGGCGCCCGACACTATCAAGCACTGTCCAGCTTGCTATCACTAAGAGAATAGACACTGCGAACCCGCCGATACCAACATCGAACACATGCTCGATCGGGAGGCCGGCGATAAATAGGAAATAGATGTTTTGAGTTAGAAGCTGCGCGCCGCAAATGTTGAGACCAGAGATGATGAAGACTGCGGTTAATGTTCGTCTCAAGTCGGCGCGCTTGAAACAGTCCAGGTAGCTGCCGGCTGAGACTTCTTGCCCCGCATTTTCGTGACGGATTATCTCAATCAAGTGTGCCAAACGTGCATCTACCGAGTTGTCGATTCCATATAGGGTCGCGATGGACTGTTTTGCCTCGGAAATACGGCCTTTGTTTATCAGATAAACCGGGGATCTGTCTGCATTTTAGTTTAAGTTAATAAAATTGGCCAGGAGCTTGAAGCTTCTTACTCTGGGACGAAGGGAAAGACTGCCGCAATGATGGCTGCCAAGGGCCATTGGATGGCAAATGCGATTCTAAACGCCTGGGGCCGGAGGTCGGGAACGAGCGCCCTAATAATCCCCAAGCCGAGCATCTGCATGCATGTCTGGAATAAGATCAATGAGGACTGAATAATTCCTCGTAGACGGGCAGATGAAATCTAAGTAAACACCCAGTAATTAGTGCGATGTCTTCTTCTGTCAGATATGCTGTTTGAAACTTAGCGTGACCGTACCTCTGAAGCCCAGGAAGTTGCTACTGCGAAAAGGGCACCGATTGCAAAACCATTGAGCATTTTCCCCGCCAACAGTAAGCCGCGGCTATTGGAGAAATATTGTACGGTAACACCAGCGACAGAGAAGACTGCCATCGCTACCATGGTCCACTTGCGACCGAATCGATCCATGACTGTGCCGATCGAGAATCCACCGATTGCCTGTGCAAAGCCACCCATTGCTGTCCAAAGCGACGTCCATAGAGACGGGAGGTAGGTCTGTCCTTCGGGAGTAACAGACCCGAAATATAATGTGAAAGCTGGCATTGCAATCGATGCGCCGTTGATGATACCATCATACCCAAAGCATGCCCCGACAACGAACGCGGCAGAGGCTAATTTCAGACAGTTAGTGACTAATAAGAACCCCTCGGATCTCGAAAAAGAAAACAATATTCCTACCGTAAAACAGAATGCGGCTGTGAGCCTTAGCAGCCTGCCACAATGATAGGCCACTTTCAGATTCGATCAATTGTAGGCCTGCGTCGATTTCCTCTACGGCGACACCTTCCCGATGCTGCGTATGAGCCTTAAGCTCGAGATCCTGATTCATAGTGTGAGCGCCTCTAGTATAGAGATAACAGGAAAATATAAAAGGTATCAGATAATATAGTTTATAAAGGTTGTCGTGCTTAAGCTGCTACTATCTGGTATCTCGTCCTGCTTCTGCAGTTCCTTAAGTGGTATTTATGCTTTATTCTGTCCCACTCGCTCTAGAGTTCCCCAGACCCCACTGTCCGTAAGCCGCGTGAACCCCACCCTACATTTCTCTCCCATCCGGTTGCCAATTTACCCCAGGGATAAGTGGTGGTGGACTATGGAGCCACATAAGCCCCAGACTAACAATCGCTAGTGTCGGTGGCCAGGGCTGATATGCGCGCCTATCAGACGCCGAAAGCGAGCCGGAGTCCCCACTTTTAAAAACCGCCGCCTCGGGATGTGGTCCGGAGCGTGGTCCGGAGTGAGGGCAGGATACGGGTTAACAGTAGGCCATTCTAAACCTTACAGTGTGGTCCCGAAGTGTGGGATAGGGTAGGATAGACATATGGTAAGTCAGTCAGCTAGAAAGCGATAGTAAATGTATGAAAATGCCGAATCCACAACAATATTCCATGCGGCATAAACTAGCGTGCCTGAAGAGAAGGCGCGTGCCTTCTTCAAAATTGCCAAGTGCGCCGAGTATAAAACTTGGTCGTCTCCCCCAACTTACCTTATGCCATCTTATCTCATCACAAACATCGCTATCACAATAACAAAATGCGTTTAGATCTACAACCCGAGAGGGTTTCATTACCTTGCAACCATAGCACAGTGCAGGACCAGCTGAAGCAGTTGTCTTTACAGGAAAAGTTTCGCTCCTAGCTGGCTCTGGCTTTGCTACGACCACAGCTATTCCGCGTTTGGGGATACCATCTTTAAGGGTAAGCGCCCTCGCCGGCCTTTTGCGCCACGTAACATCATCCAAATGAAAAATATATGTTATTAATCAAGCCGCCTTCTCTAGCTTGCCGAAGGCGTCAATGGTGTCAAGGATGCTCTGGCCATTGATTCTGGTGACAGCGTGGCAGATATTCTAGCAGGCGCTGGGCCCAAGACGGTCTGCTTCCTAGTACCTCGTGCTTCGGGGCCACGTGGAACCCGGATCTCATGCAACAGCTTGGTGAAGCCCTCGGCAGCCAGGCTAGGGCCAAGGATGTCGCTACTATAATGGGTCCTGGCGTGAATCTGCATAGAGATCCCAGATGCGGGAGAAACTTTGAGTATTTTAGTGAGGATCCGTTTTTGACTGGCCGTTTAGCTGGTGCTATGATCAACGGGATTCAGCGCCAGGGGATCGGCGCCTGCGCGAAACATTTCGTGGGGAACGACGCAGAAGATTACAGAAGGTTGTACAATGTCGTAGACCCCACACGAGGTAAGGCACTGCGAGAGCTGTACCTTGCGGCATTCCAGGAGGTACTCGCGCATTCTAATCCCGTGGCTATCATGACTTCGTGAGTAGAAGCTTCTTACCTACCACTAGCCACAGTACACGTTTGCAACTGACATATCAGGGTCCAGATATAACCAGGTAGAGGGCTATTATACCTCGGAAACACCTATGATTGCGGATATCATACGTGGGGAGTGGAAATACGACGGGGCCGTCCAATCGGATTGGTTTGGGACCGTCTCCACCGTTCCATCAATTCTAGCGGGGCAGGATCTTGAAATGCCTGGTCCCTCTATCTTCCGTGGCACTCATCTCCTTACAGCTGTCGAAAAAGGCCTCGTACCCCAAGAGGAAATTGATAAGAGGGCCACAAAAATGCTAGAGTGGATTAACAAAGTGACTAGCCCAAGCCTACACGCCCCTCTACAGGATGAAGCTTCAGTGGCCATCGCAAGGCAGGCTGCAGTTGAAGGCATTGTTCTCCTGAAGAACGAGAAAAACACGCTGCCTTTATCTCCGACCAGGACTCCAAAGCTTGCTGTTATAGGGTTACCTGCCGTTGACCCTCCCGTGGGTGGTGGTGGTAGCTCTTTAGCGCCTCCTCAATACGTTCGAAATGCGTTAGATGCAATCAGGGTTCTCCACGGCGATGTTGCATTAGTGCAATATGCTCCAGGTGTTCGATGCACTAAGCTTATGCCCTTGATGGAGTCGGAGTTAATTTCGATTCAAGGTGGAAAAAAGGGATTTTTGTGAGGTACTTCAACGACAGCCTTCCCGATACCCCGACGTTCGAAGAGCACCAAACGGTAGCCCGTGTAACGATGTTAGGCCGTCTCAAGCCTGGGCTTGACGAGATTGGAGGCTTTCGCTACGAAATTAGCACTACCCTTATTCCCCAGTCCTCGGGAGAGCATGTTATCGGTGTCCGGTCAACGGGTGCCTATAGCGTATTCGTAGACGAGAGCGAAGTAAGACAAATCACATCTTATGACGCTGCCTAGCTATATAATCAATTGAAGCTAACGATATCTAATACAGGTTCTATCCGTCCCCTCACCAGACTGTAACGCAGAAACATATCTCTTCACGCCTTCTAAGCTAGAGAGAGGATTCAAGTATAAAATGAAAGCCGGACAGCCCTACTCAATCAGAGTTGTGGCGCGATGCTGGAGGTCGACTAAGGAAAAGAAGAATGAGCCAAGCCCCCACTTCACCGACCTTTGCTTTGCCTACGAAGATACTGATGAAGAATCTATCGTGGCCGCGGCATCCGTCGCGAGAGAATGCGATGTAACGATTGTGTTTGCTGGAAGGGGGCCAGAGCATGAAGGCGAAGGATCTGATATGGAGGATATCAACCTCCCTGGTAGACAAACCGAGCTGATCAAGGCGGTTTCAGCCGAGAGCAAGAAAACCATCCTAGTACTTCACAGCGGCGGCCCACTCGACATTTCACCCTTCGTCGACTCCGTTGATTCTATCATACATGCGCATTACCTTGGGCAGGAAGGAGGATTGGCGCTCGCGGATATCATTTACGGCCAGGTTAGCCCTAGCGGTAAGCTGTCTACGACTTGGCCGATAAGTTTAGATGAGGTCAACACAACCGATAACTTCCCAGCTTCTATTGACCGAGACGGCAAAGCAACTATTATCCTAGAAGAGGGTATTGAAGTTGGCTATCGACGTAAGACTGACGGCGTGCGGCCCCGCTACACTTTTGGCTTTGGGTTATCCTACACTCAGTTCGGATACTCGGATGTTACTATTGAGCCCCAGCAGCTGAACGATGTGAACGAAAACACAGAAATAACTGTGACTGTTAAAGTCACTAATCTAGGACTCACAGCCGGTGCGGATGTTGTTCAGGTATATATACAACCTGATAACAGTGGAATTGGGGAATCAAAAGTCCTCCGTGGATTCTCTAAAGTTTTCCTTCAGCCTACCGCTTCATCAACGCAGACTATTAAAATGAACGCCCGCCGAGCACTTAGCCGCTGGGACCCGAGCTCTGAAACTTGGCGTCTACGCAAAGGGTTACATACAGTCACTATTGGACTCGCCGGAGTTTTAGAGGGTTCTATAACAACGGAAAGCGAGGTTGAGTGGCTTGGCCTTTAAGGTGGCATTTTAGAAGTGGACTTTCCATGTACACCTTCCGGGGTTATGGCCATTATCACCGATTCTAGTTTACAACGTGGATATATGTTATCAATATATATCACTGAAAATATTTTCCTGAGGACTGTAACAGTTTCGTTCATAGTCATCGCGCTATACATTAGTACCTATCATCTGTCCGTTCCGGTTCTCTACTTATGAACTATGAGTATGTAGACTCTTGATAGGGCCAGAGAAAAACTAGAGAGGAAGACATACGAAGATAATATAGCTATGGTGATATGCCTTCTCTTAATAACGGAAGCAGCCAGTTCTGTCCTGTCATTACGGTCCCATTGGTTCCACTACGCAAGTGTTAGTCCACCTGTGTGGACTGAGGTGTTTCTTAGAGACAATGTGATGAACAAGAATGGCGGGAATTTTATATTTGACTAATGATGTTCCGACTCTATCGGCGCTCACGTTTTGACTAGCGGAGTTGGATGCCCTAGCACATCATCTTTGTTCAACCCGGGTTGATGTGGACATAGTAGCGTTGGTGCTGATCAATCGGCGTCACATTGGGTGTTGCCCAAATACACCAGTGGCAAAGGGTAGCGGCCTTGAGCGCCGGCCCATTTCCAACGTCGCCTGTAGTGTTAGGCAATGATAGAAATAGAGGGAATTGAGATAGAAGGACGGCATTCAATTGGTTCTATCCGATGCAAAGGTGTGCTTGCCGCCGGCTGCTGGCGATGCTGGCGCCAAGTCCCATGGCGGGAATTTGGGGAATGGCCCCGACTGACGTGGGAGGTTGTTGCAGCCGGCTATTTTCCCTTGGATTCAACCTGGTGGGTCTCTGTGGGGTTTCGATGCTCCTTGAACGACTTAGGTGCGTGGATAGAAAAATTGCTCAACGGCTACATCTGGTCGTGCCCTTGGCCAAACCCGCCTCTCTCCTCGGCACATGCATAATACGCACACACCCCATCCGCCGATTTGCCCACCGCTTGATCTCCCACCCCATCGTTCTCGGTTTTCGTTCGCTAAAATAATTTGATCCCCCTTTGATACAGTGCCAATCTGCAAGATTTGTGATCGCTTAGATTGAGAACCATCGCTTCTAACCCCCTTCGCGTCAGCATCATTTATTAGTGGATGTTTTGCATCTTATGTTAAACTGAATCTTGGTAAGCTTCTTCGGGGCTCAATTTAGAGACTCACACGCTTACCCATCTAGCATGATCAATCTCCTTGATAGATGGCCGATCTGTCCGTAGCCAGCGCTCGGCATCGGCCGTATCGCCGATATCAAATACCGTAGAGGCCTGTTTCTACCAATGCCCATCATCATATGGCCTCCTTGATAGTCCGGCCAGAGACCGGCGAAAAATGGTCTTCGCTACGCTGGGTGCTTGGGAAATTTGTCAGATGTGACAGCCAAGCTATACTATTTCTTGGAACTCTGCCGCAGTTCATTCGCATATGAGCCAAGAGGGCCGCCAAGGTGGGAAAATGCAAATGCGGACAGGATGCTCGGCGCCAACCCCACAACGTAGGCTTAGTTGCCCGTAGAAGCCCGGAGCGCCGGTTCGCGATGTTACCGTCATGTCTTAGTCCGTGATTTTACCCTTCTTAGCATTCGGGCTTGTTACCTATGCCCAGCGATTCAGGGATGTAAACCCGTCTTGGAACTGGGTCAGGAGATGGTAAGTTGACTCCTGGTGATCCATATTCCGACTCCTTTTGCGCTTTATCCTTTGATTCCCAGAGAATATCCGATGTCTCCTGCTCTCCCTCTCTCACATGGGGCTCGTTGCGTTGGTATCGAGGGGTATATTAAGGCCTTGGGCCCCCGCCCCCGTTTGACTTCCCATTTGATCTACAGACTGCGACCAGTATAACAGTTCTGCTGAACCCTCACACTTCATATTTAGAAATGGTGTTTGGCATGTTCAAAACCCCTGCGGGGAACAATGTCGAGACTGCGCAGGAGGAGGCTCCAAAGTTTGAGAGGGTAGTATGGTACCGCGAGCCGGGCCTTCGCGCACTTTACTGGCATGCATTTATCCTCTGCGTTTCGTCCGCATCAACTGGATATGACGGGTAAGGTCCTATCGTTCTTCCACCACTCACTAGACCCTCCCGAGCCTAAGGGCTGATAGCTATGTGCTGACACCGGAGCGTTACCTCGATCACTAGAATGTTTTTCAACTCTGTTCAGAATTTTGATAGCTGGACTGGGTTCTTCAACAACCCTCAGGGCGCCCGGCTAGGCCTCCTCGGTGCATCATATCAGATCGCGTCGGTCATCTCTATCCCCATTGTGCCTTACATCACAGATAACTTTGGCCGGAAGCCATCAATCGCGTTGGGCTTTGTCATTATGACCATTGGCGGAATTCTCCAAGGCGCATCCCAAAACTTTGGCGGTAGGTGATCGTCGGGAAATGTGGAGTGAAGAAGCCATATAGTTCCGGCGTGCCCACGGCTAACTCGCATATTGTCCAACAGCCTTTGTAGGTGGCCGTATCCTGCTTGGTTTTGGGAACTCGTTTGCCCAAATTGCCTCCCCTATGTTGCTCACGGAAATCTGCCATCCTCAACACCGCGCTCGTATGACCACGGTCTATAACTGTCTGTGGAATGCTGGGGCGTTCATCGTCGCTTGGACGGCCTTTGGCACGGATTTTATCGGGAATGAATGGTCCTGGCGCATACCCGCCATTCTTCAAGGAGCGCCCTCCTTCTTTCAGCTCATCTTTCTTTGGTGTATGTTTGTCCACCCGAATGCTAAGGACTACCTTCTAACTTTAACTCTTACGCATAGGGATTCCCGAGTCCCCTCGTTTCCTTATCGCTAAGGATCGTTGTGACGAAGCCCTGAATATCCTTGCAAAGTATCACGCGAACGGTGACACCCAAAATGCCACCGTCCAGTATGAGTTCAAGGAAATCCGCGACACCATCAAACTCGAACAGAAGGCGAACAATAGCTCTCGATATGTGGACTTCTTCAAAACAAAGGGAAACAGATACCGTCTCATGATTCTGATCTCTCTCGGTTTCTTCTCACAATGGTCCGGCAACGCTATCGTCTCTAACTATAGCCGTGTTCTATACCAGGCTGTTGGTATCGACGACTCCACTTCGAGGCTTGGTTTATCCGCTGGCCAAACATCTATGTCTTGCATTGTTTCCCTAGCCTTTGCTATGATGGTTGATAGATGGGGACGCCGGCCTATCTTTTTGCTCGCTACTGGTGGCATGTGGATGACATTAATTTTCTGGACCCTGTGTTTTGGACTTTACGAGGTTCACGGCAAGGCAGGTGCCGATATTGGTGTCATCTTCTTTATATGGCTCTTCAGCTTCTTCTATGCTACAGCTTGGTCCGGACTGCTCGTCGCGTATGCTATTGAGATTCTGCCATACTCTCTGCGTGGCAAGGGTCTCATGATACTCAATGTCTGCATCCAGGCAGCACTTGCTCTGAATAACCAGGCAAATCCAGTCGCATTTGAATTTTGGGAGGGTGAGACCTGGAAGCTCTACGTCATCTACGTCGTAAGTCTACACATCTATGCTCTTCTTTCTCCTCTTACACATGGAACTAACTATCATAGGCTTGGGTCTTCCTTGAACTTCTCTTTGTATACTTCAAATACGTGGAAACTAAGGGTCCTACGCTTGAGGAGATTGTTAAGATCATCGATGGTCCGGATGCTCAAGTTGCCGAAATTGATCTCGGTAACGTGAATGACGATAGGGCTAGTGAGAAGGAAGCGTCGGCCACTATTGGCCATAAGGAGTAGGGCTATGTTTAGGCCCTAATCAAAGCTGTCTAGGGTCTCAAAGCTTATCAGATCCTGCAAGGGAAGCCGGTAGCGCATAGGACCATATATGTAATACCGAGGTACAGGCGTAAAGATTAACTTGATAGGATCGAAACATTATTTTTACTATCAACGAGGCCTATACCTACAAGCAATTAGACGTGGCTAGATTTACTAAGCTAAATGGTATCGGTAGTATTTCTACGAATTAGCGAATCGTGCGAGCATATCTAGGATAATAGGAACGAGTGATAGAATTACTAAATTCATTCGGAGGCGAACGGCGGTGTACTAAGCAATGGTATTTAGATGTCCATGCTAGTTATATTTCAAGGTAATTAAACAGACTCATGAGACCTAAAGTATATAAGGGTTCAGGTTGCGACGGTACGCGCTCCCTTAACTGGCTATGTGGATATCTTACCAGGTAATCTAGGAATATTTTACTATCTAATATGGGAGATTTACGGTAATATAGAGACCGAAATTAAGGTTAGAAAACCTACGCGTCACTCTGACCAAAAGCTCAGTTTGAAATACGAGGGTTATAAGCAAGCCTCTCGAGCAGAAAACAAGTCCTAAGATATTGATATCAGGGAAATGTAGCTATTGATATGGAGTATAATATACATCTTAGTGTTATGATATAAGCGCTTCTCTTCTTAGGTTAGCGCTCGCTACCAGACTAGGGAGGGATGTGTTCATATCGTGGCAAAAATAACTATAATCTCCTCTACTCTATAGCATTTTTGCTTGCGTGCTTCAGTACGATTAGATAATAAGGTCAGGGAACGACATATAAGCGACAGCTTTCCTAAGAGTCTGAGAATCCGGTGCTACTATGACGCATCTATACTTAGTGCTGTTTAGATATCGCTTTGAGAAAGCATTTTTCGATGCCGTAGCGATATACCATTTTTAGGAGAAGGGCTTAGAAGAAGTATATTTTTCAAAAGCTCTATCGCTATTTACATCGCGTTCATGATCTCCAAATCCCGTCCCGCTTCTGGCAAGTTTGGCCTGTTGAACGTAGGACACCGCCTATGTTATAGATATGACCCCTCTCCTCTCTAGTGCGGAGTGCTCGAGTCAGACTGCCGACATAGTCATCGCTTTGCTGGAACGCTATATACAGCCCGTCCGCAGACGAGACTCGACAAGTGATAGCGCCGAACCTGAAGCCACGTATTCTGACCTTATACGAAGGGTGATAAGTCGTCCGCTTCGCAATCGTGGAACAACGAGCATGAGTCGTTCAGCAACGCCAGATAGAGACCCCTGACATATGACACGAGCTTACAGTGGGGCACGGAAATAAAAATCAATTCTTGATAAAGCTCTAAGGCTAGAAATTGGTGGTTTTTCCGCATCTCACTGCTAAGTGAATAGGGCACTAAACCCCTCACTTTAGCATCTACTATAAGCCTTGATTTTATTATAATAGACCGCTTAGACCCTAGGCGACTATTATATTTAGATTTCCAATTTAGATTTATAGTCTAATAGGCTAGTAGAGGAGAAAAGGCTCCGTAGAATATAGCTTTAAGAGTAATAGCCTGGTATATGCCCTGTCACCTATAATAACCCTCTACTAGGCTATGAATCAGATAAGGCTAGCGGATAACTTAACCCCTCAGAAAGCAATACTTTAACTCTAATTCAGAGATATGGTGAATAGATCCTTCGAATCCTACTGAAAGCCACAATCATGAGGGCAAGCACGCCTCCCCGCTTCCATTCTCGTATTTCCAGGTTACCCCGCTATGGACCTTGATCCTTGGCTGCCTTGGTTGGCCACGAGAGGTTGCGCGACCCCGTGGTACCTCAGCTGAAAGCCTCCTCTCTGTCAGGTAGCCTGATGGATCCCTCAGCCTGGCCGCCATCACGGAGACCGGTGAAGGTGACATGACTTTTGCTTTTATATTTAAACAGCTCTTTGCCGCAAGTATAGTGCCCCATCGTTTCATTACCACAGCAGCATCTTCACTCTCTATTTACCATAACTTAACTATTCAACCTACTAATCCCTCGTGGTTTCAACTTGATCAAATATGGCATATCTGAAAAGGTCGTGCCTGAAGATCGTCTGGAGGTGGGTTAAGGCGCACCTCTTTTTCATCCTTTATACGCTATCTTGTATAGCTTTCATTCTGTCCCTCACTTTTTACTTGGACGGCAAACCATTTCAAATCGGTAGTCGAACTCTAGACGCGCCAAATACACTTGCCCTATATCAAACGGAGGCATCCTTCATATTAGCGTTTACATCAACTATCATCCGTTTCCTTTACACCTGTTGGTGCGGCACGATGTCTTGGCGTATTATATATATTCTCTTATCAAAGAGAGGTATGACGCTCAAAGAACTCTGCTATGTCGCCAAGGACTGGCCACCTTTTATACAACATCAGTTTCAGAAGCAGCGCAGACTGTCACTTGCGTTCTTCTTTATTGTGGTATTGGCTCTACCTGCACAACTCCTGTCCAATCCCCTCATGTCAGCTTCGGTGGGTTGGACCCCGGTCACCCAACCAAGCGAAATTGGTACGAATGTTTCCTTCTCGAGGCCAGGGAGTCTGCCGCTTGGAATTTATTCAACCGTTTCGTGGACGAGCGATCGAATTTGATCTTACGAAGTGCTGGCCTAGCCACAGCTGCTCCAGCCGCGATGTTTGACAAAGCTAGTTCACCGATGCTAAGATTGTTTCCATCATCCGCCCAAATTCCGGTGAACTCAACCTTGACCGAAATTTTGTTTCCAGCGCTGCTCGTCTATGCCCTCGACTGGGTTAATTCAACACTGCCGAATGAAATAGAAAATGCCATCACAAACGAGTTTACCGGTGTCCTCAATATAACCCGCGATAGTAGCATGATCACTAAACCCGTGCGCGGTAACACGGCGCTCCTGAAAACGAGTCCATGGGCCCCGGCCCGGATTAAGGATAAAAAGCCACAAATCCCAGTATATGAATTCCCAGACCCGGAAATCTTTTTGGAGAACGATATATTGCGGTATTTGTCGAGCGTCTAGAATGGGTACATAAAGATACAGAGTGCCCTTTAACATCCAGTTATTTTGGCACGCTACCTGAAGCAAGGATCATTTCTAATTCATGGTCACTTGGTGACACGCGCTACGCTATTGATTGTTACGCTGTTGCTAAGATAACCTTTAGAGCTGGCAGTAGCATGTATAGCAACTCTACAGTTATCGCGGATGGTGTAGCGGAAGCATCCCTGACATCGCAAGCAGACCAGGAGATACTAGGAGATCCCCTCACCACAACTATTTTCGACGCAATGCCAGAGGTCATGGCAAATATCGCCATGATGAACGCGACTAATGCGACACTTTGGGGAAACATCGATGGTTACGTTCAGGGCATGGTCATGCTTTCTTATCAAGTGACGTGGAATGCGATGGTCGAAACATTTTACACGCACATTCGAGAAGAGGCTACGGCATACCCGCCGAGATATCTCATCTCTATCAAGGTTCAAAGGGGAGCATTAGTTGGTTGGGCAATCGTGGTTCTTGCCGTTATTATCCCTGGGCTCGTCTTTCTTCTTATTGAGATCCATATCACGCTAAACGACGATGCGCCGGTCCTTGTGGAAGACTCCACTATAGCTGCCTTGAGACTTGATGTTTCCGATATTTGTCAAGACATCCCGAGCCTCTGCAAATCGACTAAGCTCTCAGGCACTGATAAGATGGCTGGACTAAGGTTCAGGAAGGTTCCTGAAGAACAGAGTCACACCTATCAACAGGCTATCTGGTGTCGATTTCGCAGACTAGAAAAGGTGTTGCCGGCGAAGAAAGACGAGGTCTTAGATATCAATGAGGGCCACGAGGAGTATAGAGGCTATATGAGATGCGAAGGCCGTGAGGGGTACGAGGAATAACACGTTTATTAATAGTAGGTTAGAATTAAACGAAGGTTTAATCCCACTCTAAGATAAATTTATCTTCATTTATACTCTTAGTTAAAGATCAGCTATAGGTGAGGCTCTTTATCACCTCCTCTAGCGACGCTACCCCCATTTATATCTCCTAGGTATATACCTTATAGGAACCTTTAGGGCTAGGTGAATTACTTGTATATTATTTATATATACTATTCACTAATTCTTCTCTAGTTTAATAAGCTAGCAGGGGATAAGTGAGCTAACTAGCATAGTCTATCGTCTTACTTCAAGGTGTATACTTAGGGGTGAAATTTTCATTTATCGACGACGGCCTCACGAATAAGGGACCCTACCCCTACCCTATAATAAGGCACTTCTAATAACCCCAGGTATAACCTATACAATTAAACTCGATCGATTACGGATATATGTGTTTGAAATTAATGAGCGTATAGTAAGGTAATATTTCCATCCCATCGTAGATTCGGTGCTGGGAAGCTTAGCTTTCTTAAGGGTTGCCTACCCATATTTCGCCAAGGCTCCCCCACCCCTGTATAACTGACTGATTTATGACGTTGTCGTGTCGAGTGGGTCCGCTATCCCTGCATGTTTGAAATGAACTTTTCGAAGGATCATTAGGCAGAATCAAGGCGGATTAGCGTAGCCCTGACGTAAAGTACGTCTTATGCTCAACATCTCTGGCTAACTCGCGGCGCAGTCGTGTAAATAAGTACGAGCGATTACTTCGTACTCGAGTGATCAACGGTAAGCACCGCCTGAAACAGGTGCATGTGCTAAGCCCTTTTACTGCGCCCCCTTAGTGACCTCCGGCTTAAATACATCCTCAACCCGCAAGAGACCAACTAGAGCGGACATGTCAAAAACCCCTAATCGAAGAGGTTCAATATAAAATATTCCACGGCGACAGAGTCAAAGGCGCGTCGACAAAAACGACTATACAAATGCTGCCTCTATTGAACACAACATATATATCTATGGTACCCGAAGATATCATAGGCCCCCGAAGTTGATCCTCCTTGGCGATTAGGTTACAGGTGCAGCACTTCACTCTTCTACAATCAGGCCTTCACAATGAGCTCGGAGTCGTTATGCACATCGCGCTCGCGATGGAGATCCCTCAATTTCGTGCCGAAACGATTTCTCCGCTCCTTAGTCGCCTGCCTCTCCGTTAGCACTATCCTCGTGGTTAACCTCTGTTGGCAACGGGTTCGTTATGATGAGCCTTCGGTTAGACCTCACCCCTTCATCGATGGCAATATCATTCACCAGATCCCGTCACCATACCCGCTACAGCCATTTCCCTACTCTCCGATAGAGACGCCTCACGAAGACGAATCAATCTCAAAACCGTGGCTGGCCGCGGTAATGAGTGCCGCCCACGACGTACAGCGACGGATGATAATTCGGTCGACTTGGATGCGTTTATACCGCGATATACCCTTCGATAAGCGATTTGTGGTTTCAAACCCGGGTCCAAACTGGATCGACATAGTGGCCATGGAAAACCGCACTTTCGGAGACATGATTATTCTTGATCATTTGCACGAGGATCACGTTACCGCGAACACGGTCAAGACGCTTGAGCTATATAAGTGGCTTATCGCCAATAATAGAAGATACAAATTCGTATCCAAGGTAGACACAGACCTTTGGCTTAATGCGCGCGAATTCTGGGATAGGTTTCTAGTCCCTAGGCTCTTTGATACAACAGATCTCGCCGAAACAGCAGCGCACTCGACTATAATTGGGCAGCTATATTATAAGGACGGTCTCACATTTCCACATGGAGCATTTTACACAGTAACATGGGATGTTTTGGAATTACTAGTGGAGCTTCAGAACGAGTTTCACATAATAGCCCCGAAGACATGGCAATTGGCTTGCTTATACTTAAGGGAAACGTGTTATCAACTTTATCAACTTTAGGGGTGAGGAGAAGTTTGATTACGCGGACGGTGATGCGCGCGGGGATGGAACAGCATGGGCGAGAAGAAACACCTGGCACGAAGGCAGCAAGCATGCATTATATGGGGAAATAATCATTGCAGTGCACCAATTGAAAGAGAACGACTTATGGTTTAAGGTGGCAAAGTGTTTTGACGAAGCTGGAGTGAAGAAAGCTCCACCTATATCAGGATCCTTAAAAGTTCCAGGCATTTTGATACTATGGCATGACTTTTGGCATGCTATTGGAGTAGATGGGCCATTTCGACCAAGAGTTGAGAGAATACCGAGCGGTTCCTGGAGCCAGCAGAATGGTAGTTGGATAGTTGATGGCGTCTGGAATATCGGTAAATCAAAGACAGGTTATATAGTATCCTAACATGTGTCGAGTAGTAAATAGCGATCTTATAGTAGAAGTATAATAATAGCCCTCGTGAGATCCCTCGTCTGATAGACCCTACTAATCGTCTAGTAAGTAAGGCTATATAATTAATCGCCTGCGAATCATCGACGAAGGATAGGGAGCGATTAGGACCGTACCGAGGTTGCGTGACGGTAAAGGATCAGCTCCCTTCCCCAAGCCTTCGTCGCAACCAAGACAACTCCTACCTCTCTCAGAGGCTCGAACCTAGAAGGAGAAGTAAAAGCTCAACAGGTATAAGAGCTTATACCTTTTATAAGTGTTATATGATCTGTCTAGAAAGTTATGAAAGGTGATACGTGAGACTCGCTATAAATCTAGAAGAACCACGCGAAGGTTTATCATATCAGAAGCTATGATACTAGTAGTTTGTAGGCTGAACTATAGTCTACTACTACTAGTTCCCTTTTCTATAGTAGCTTTAAACACCCTTGGGTGCAGGACGACGCTGTTTGCCCTCTCCGCCCATACAAAAATCATGGCAAAACATGCCCTCTACCCTAGTAAAACAGCCCCTTGCTCGGTTTACCATGGGCCCACTCTTTGCCTCCTTCTCTTCCCTATTGGCGCATGCGGTTGACCTGTGCTCATCCCTGGCAGTCTACTACGACAGTAGAAGCTTGCAATCGTAATACATACCCACACTATGATGTTTTGCCAGGGGTCTTTCAGTTTGCCATTCTTCGCTCGCTGTTCTGCCAGGGGTCTTTAGGTCTGCCTATTGTCATAGCGCCTGATGACATCACCACAGCAGCTGACATCACCACAGCACCCGCTGACTAAGCTATAGTGGCTGATATCGCCACAGCACTCGCTGACTAAGCTATAGTGGCTGATATCGCCACAGCACTCGCTGACTAACCTATAGTGGCTGGCATCGCCATAGCGCCCACTAATATCGGCCACTAACATCACTATAGCGCCCGCTAACTATCGCCCACTAGTATCAACATAGCGCCCAGTGATATCACTAAAGCTCTATCACCTATAGGCTAGTAACTACTAACTAGCAAGGTCACCCCAACCCTAGTATTTACACTATACTTAGGGTTAGGGTTTACATCTAGAACTATAGTTAGGTTTTCACTAGGGTTAGGGTTACTAGTAGTCACCCTAGTAGTCACCCTAGTAGTCACCCTGATAGCATTGCAATCCCTGCCATGAGCCATGGGGCCCATGGTTTGCGCAGCGCCATTGGCTGCGCGCGGCTCCACAGTGCTCCGCAATGCTCCGCTTCATAGTGCGAATGCCGTTTTCCTCTCTCATAGTCATCAGCCATGAGAGCCCTGGTGCGCGCCATGGCAAATGTCAATTGATCGCAGCCATCGCCCATCACTCCATCAATTATTAGAGGCATCGCCCATCTCCCATCGCCATCGCAGCCATCGCCCATCGCTCCATCAATTATTAGAGGCATCGCCCATCGCTACATCAATTGATATAGCCATCGCCCATCGCTGCATCTCGCTGCATCAATTGATTTGGCCGTCGCCGCCATCGCCCATCGCTCCATCAATTGATTTGGGTATCGCCCATCTCCCATCGCCATCGCCGCCATCGCCCATCGCTACATCAATTAATTTGGCCATCGCCGCCATCGCCCATCGCTCCATCAATTGATTTGGGTATCGCCCATCGCCTATCGCTATCGCCGCCACCGCCCATCGCTCCATCAATTGTTAGAGGCATTGCCCATTACTACATCAATTGATATGGCCATCGCTGCCGTCGCCTATCACTCCATCAATTGACATGGCTATCACAGCCATTGCCCATCGCTCTCAATTGATGATATTGCTATCGCCGCCATCGCCCATCGCTCCATCAATTATTATGGCCATCGCCGCCATCGCCGCCATCGCCGACATCGCCCATCGCTCTATTAATTGATTTGGCCATCGCCGCCATCACCGCCGCCGCCGCCATCACCGCCATCACTATCATCAGGATGATATTATGATAGCTGGGATCGTGACGACGTAAGCATAATGCTATGACGATACTATGACGATACTATGACGATGCCGGTATGATGCCGTGACAATGCCGGCACGATGCCGGCACGATGCCGTGACGATGCCCGCACGATGCCGTGACGATGCCCGCACGATGCCGTGACGATGCCCGCACGATGCCCATATGATACTATGATAATGCTATATAATACTATAAGGATACTATAAGGATACTATAAGGATACTAGTATAATACTATAATAGCTAGGATTAGAATAATATTAGAATAATAGTAGTAAAGTAGGGATCACTATAATATATAATTTCTTACTATATATATTAGTTATTTCTACTATAGTATTAGTTATTTCCTATAGTATTAGCTATTTATAATATAACTTTAAGGTATAACTATCACTTCAACTATTTCTACTATAGGATTAGTTATTTCTACTATAACTTTAGGCTATATCCTTCGCTGCGACCATTTCTCCTATAGCATCAGCTATTATCCTATGGCTTTGACTATTTCTTCTATAGCTTCTATGACGTTCCAACACTAGGACGTGCTGCTTAGGGGTGGGTTACGTTAGAGTTAGAACAGTCAGGCCTGTTAGTGGCTCAGTGAGGCAATCAAATAGTATAATAATATCGTT